AGAAGGGTAGTGATAACACACAACCAAGCAGCAACGTCCACGAACAGATGGATATTGAAGACGAATCGTATAATAACTCCTTGCCTGGTGTCGGTCAACCAGCCCCCCGCCAATAAATGAGTACCTCTACCGATACCTCTCCCCCTATGCCAATATATGATCACGCTATGACTAACCATAATATTATGCCTACTAATTACCCTATGCACTCATCTGGCGACCATCATACTCAACCCGCAACCATACACAGGCAACCTAACCGACCTCACTTTAAAAGCACCAACCTCAAAATTGGATCTCTTAACTGTCGAAGTTTAGCTTCAACCTCAAACCCACGCTCTCGACAGAAATTCAATCGTTATCTACGCTCCCTCAAATATGACATACTCAATTTCCAGGAAGTCCGAACAGAAGACAGTGCGATCATCGACATACTGAACATGGAACTACAAACTAAAGACTCAATTTGGACACCACACGTCGGAATCGTTAGTTTCAACCCCATGATTCGAATCACACCCATCTTCATCACTATGTCCAAACACGCTGTATTTGTAAAAATACATCACATTAATCACCACTTTGAACCAATATTTTTACTCAACTTGTACGCTCCCAGCCAACCGGGCCCAAAAAAACAATTCTATAGCGATATAATGGCATTGCCTCTATTTAAAGATGATCGGGATATAGAACATTTTACTAAATATTCTAACTTCTTGATCACAGGTGATTTCAACTATCATCACTATACCTCACAACGAACAACACAATCATCCCCACCAAATCCTATCTACTCTTGGAAACAAACAATAGGTCAATTTCTACATGATTGTATCAATACAGACGATGTAAGCGAACTTTTTTCTATTGACAACCCACACGTCACATTCAGTCGAGGTAACTCCCGCACCACCATCGACTACATTTTTGCTTCTCTAGCCATCAAAGCCAGTATGACTTCATCCCAAGTCAATTTTATCAACTCTGATTGGACTGATCATGCTCTACTCTCCATTGATCTCACCATGGTGAGCAAAAAACACGGAAAAGGCATATACCGAGCCAATCCGACATTGGCCAAGAACAAACGCTTTGTCGAACAGCTAAACACACTGCTTCAAGAATTGAAACCAGATCCCGCCCAACAGCCCCACAATTCTCCTCAAAAAGAATGGGACGCCATGAAACGAGAAGTGCGACGGTTTTGCCAACGATTCAGTCGATATTACTGCCAATGGCGACATAAACAAATTAACAGACTTCAACTACGCCGATCCCAAATTATCTTTAAGCACTCCCACAATCCTGCCAGAATAAATCAATTACTACCCACCGTAGAACAACAATTGGGAATTCTTCAACAGGAGGTGGCAGAAATCGATGCAATTCGAGCTGGAAAACATTGGCGTGAACAAGGCGAAACCTCTGCCGGATTTTTAAAACGAACAATCCAACAAAGGGAACAACAACGAACTATGAACACAGTCAAGCACCCCGTTTCGGAAGAATTATGTCATACTGAAAAGGATATCCAGGAAGCAGTTAGAGCATTTTACCAGGACCTGTTCAACCCAGAACCGATCCGAGAGGCATCGGTCACGAAAATATTGTCACATATCACTGATGAATACAAAATCAGTCGCGATACTGCTACAGGACTAATGCAACCATTCATGATTGACGAAATACTAGAAGGTGCCAAACGATCCCCATCCAAAAGTAGCCCTGGTCTAGACTCTATTCCCTATGAAATATTGGCCCTCATATTAGTAGATCCCTATTTTAGTACCTTATGTGTCACTATATTCAATACCGCACTCACACAATCAATCTTTCCGGAAAGTTGGATGAAAACATCTATGGTACTTTTACCTAAAAAAGGAGACTTGACCCAATTGAAATACTGGCGTCCAATTGCTCTAATCAACACGGACAGCAAAATCTTCACTCGCCTATTGAACTCCCGAATGATGGAATCAGCTGTCGACATCCTCAGCCCACAACAACTAGGCTTTATGCCCGAACGATTTATTGGAGATCATGGCCTTACTCTCCAATTAGCTATCGAACACGTCAAACACCAAATACCACACGATGAAGAAGATTATCATTGCGTCGGACTACTTCTAGATCAGGAAAAAGGGTACGATCGAGTATCTAAAGACTACTTGCGCGCCACTTTAACAGCTTTTGGATATCCCACACCACTTATCAATACCTTGACTGGTCTGTTTTTCAACACATCCATTCAAGTCAACATTAATGGTCATCTTACCACTCCCATCCAACAAAATCGAGGCTTAAGACAGGGTGATCCCATTTCACCACTTCTGTTTAATCTAGCTTTTGACCCGTTCCTGAAATCAATTAGTAATCATCCCACATATGCCGGCTTGTCTTTTACAACACCAATCCCGAATGATGCCTCTACCAATGGCATGCGGTCCAACGACACCTTACCGGTAAATGAAGAATCACTTCCCCGTCCACTACGGCTATGCGTCTACGCTGATGACACACTGATTATATTGAAGAATCAAAACGACTTCCGGATACTTCAGGACGCCTACTCCACCTATAGTGAAGCATCTAATGCCAAACTTAATTATGCCAAAACCGAAGCCTTCTCACTGAATGGTAAACCTACAGAATACTGGAAACACTTTCTGAAAGATCACGATATCACTCAATGGCACTCACAGTCTTCACCAGCACCCCTACGCTACCTGGGTTTCCAACTATGCTTTTCCATCCCCCAACGCAATAATTATGTTGACACCATAATCCAAAAGATTCAAAACGCCTGTAACATCCACAAACAGCGACAACTCTCAATTCGTGGTCGAGCTACTGTTTTAAATTCATTAATCTACTCAACTCTGTGGCACGTTATTCGACTATTTCCTATGACTAAAGCCCAAATTGCCAAGATTCAATCAGTTGGATACCAGTTTCTCATGTTCCGGATGTTTCCTAAACTCAAGCTAGCAACACTACAGAAACCCAGGAACCAGGGAGGAATAGGAGTCTTGGATATTGCTACGCAACAAAAAGTACTCCAATGGCGCTGGCTACAACCATTACTGGAAGGATTTCGATCACATACTGCTTGTCCACCAGAATTATACAAACTTTTAAAATTTGGCTTACGATCCTACAATGGAAATGTACAGCACCATCTTCTCCCACTACTTTTACCCAAATACCGGTGCCCCTCTCTCATCCAGCACTTCAACCCTTTCACCAACATCTTTCAAGCTGTGGACTCTATCCCAAGAGATCTGACCAGCCTAAAAATCAACAAACATACCTGTCTCCTACTCCCTCTTACTGCTATCTGGATCCCCAACGATCCTACAAACCCTGAAGATATCTTCCTCAACAAACCAGGAACCAACAAACTGTTTGCACATCAACTGTTCCGCATTGATGACAGCCATTCTCGCATCATCCGTAAAACCCATACCACAATTACACAACATCCCAATCTGATCAAAAACTTCTTCCGACTATTGGATCGAAACAACATCATGCTAAATTTATTTTTCATTCGACAATGCCTCCCCCCGGATACCCCATTCAACTCGGACTCTACAATATCACCCGAACAAGATTGCCTAGATCTAACACCAGTTGTAGAACATATGTTGACTCCTTTCTACGACAGTATCAAACAATTTTCTGGTATCCGAATCAACATCAATAGATTAGTCAGAGCCCTCATGACAACCAAACCAAACCCTCCAGTTCCACCAAATGCTCATCCCACAATCACAGCCTGGACAAAATTCTGGAAAATCAGCTTACACCCAACCCTACGCAACATATGGTACCGACTGATACACAACAAGGCCCCGGTCAAATCGTTTCTACATCGGATCTTTCCAGACCTTCATTCCAGTCCTAACTGTGATATCTGCCCAGGTACAATCGCAAACTCTGAACACGTTTTCGTTACCTGCCCACCAAGATGGGCTGTATGGACTTCAATCTTACTCCTCTTTAACCTGCTTCAAGACATCTCTGAGGCCGAACAACAAGCAATCATTGTCCAAGGTATCTTTCAACTAAAGTTCCAAGGACTCATCACCACCATGCCCCACTGTAACTTCACACAACTACTTGGAGCGACTTTACACTCGCTCTGGCTATCACACCTCAATGCCATTTTCCGTGACATTCCGTTTCACATCGAATCAACTACTCAACGCATCCAACAAAAGATCACTTGTCTTCTCATTGAACAAGAAGAGGACATGGACCAACTACACCCAACATAACAAAAAAAAAAAAAAATAGAAAAGAAGAAACCCAAAAAAATCCCTAACAACAATCCCGAACACATTCCCCTCATTAATTCCCACCCCTTACATATTATTTCATAGTCACTCAACCATAAGAACCAATAATATTTGAATTCTGGTTGTTGACCTTAAACAATAAAGACTTAGCCTCTTTCATAAAAAAAAAAAAAAAAAAAAATATAACTATTCGTGACGACTCATGAAACGGATTTACATGTAGGTGGCATATAAAAAAGAATAAGAGGAAAAATACAAGGGGTGGGGGGTAGAGCGGTTTACAAAAAAGTATATCGATAGAGTTGCAAGGGATGAAACGATTATTGATTGTTGTGCTCATCAACCAAAATACAAGTTTTTTTTTTATTATTTTTTTTTTTGCTTTCTTTTTACTTTTTTTGTGCAAAATACGTTAATAAACTATATCCTTATTTACATGAGGATTCGCAGTAATATCATTACGTATCGACTTCAATTAAGCCTAAAAATGAACATGATTAAAAAGTCTAATCATATGTGCACTCGTAACACAAAGTTGCGTTCATATACTACTTTCCCCTTTCCTCCTCCTCCTCCCTCCTCCTCCCCCCCCTTTTTTTTTCACTCTCTAACGGCGCGTTATGCTCGAGCCTAAATTTTTTTTCTTTGTGCAACTGCTACGGTTTAAAAGAAGAAAGCCATCAGGTGCTAAGAAAATATATATATAAATATATATATATGTATATATAAATACCTTTTTTTTTTTTATTTCTCTTCTTTACTTTTTGATATAATTTTTTTTTTTATATTATTCTTTCTCTTCTTTATATATATATATACTATACACACATATCACAATGACTAGTACACTTGAAAAGGTAGAGATAGTTTTTAAAAAAAAAAAAAAAGTAGAAGTACACTAACAAAAAAGAGTCGCAGTATTCACAACAGCAACAGATACAGCAGCAACAAAGCGCCACTCGATCATTTTGTCCATTAATTCTTTACCATGACCGACCATCGAAAGAGTTATCAATTAATCTAAATGCGAATAAACATAACAACCGCACAGCCATCGATCGCCATCGAGACAAGACCAATGAAATGCTTGAACACAATGCACAGTTTTGGTCAGAGAAATCTGGACTTGTTGATGATGAAGCGGGTAATTTGCAATGTGATACAAAATAATCAGTGCACAATTATATTGACTATAAAAAAAAAAAAAAATTGTAATTAGATTATTCAGATAAAGATATCAAGGTATCTCCTAGCACAAGTACAACGTCAAATATAAGCTCTTCCAGTTCTAGCTCTGGCGAAAGTATTGCCACTATTGACATGCAAGGTCAGCAGCATCATAACATTCGATCACCTGTGATCCAAACCTCACTTAGCAACCATGGTCATGTCGGACTTTATTATAACAACAACAAGGAGGAGGAGGAAGAAGATGAAAAAGAATACTATCCATTATTACTATCTAAACCAACCAAAGTTACTACTATTCCAAGTGTAGATGCTACTAAAAAAAGACGCCGAGGAAACTTACCAAAAGAAGTGACCGAGTTCCTTCGTAAATGGCTTATTCAACATAAGAAGCATCCTTATCCCGCAGAAAAGGAAAAAGCTGACTTGGCGCGTCATACAGGCCTAACAGTAAACCAAATTAGTAACTGGTTTATCAATGCCAGACGTCGTATCTTGCAGCCCATGCTAGAATCTGAAAATCTTACTGCACAAATGATGGCATACCCTGATCTTGTTCCATCCTCATCATCATCAGGTAACCCATCCTTTGAACCCCCACGTCGTCGTAGACATGACTTTTACACTTATCAACGCGACTTTGCTTCTCGTAAGTCACACATCTCTCTCTCTTTTTCTTTGATGCTAACTATAAAATATAATTTTAGCTGTATCTCCGCCCATGCAGCATCACCAGGAACCCCCTCATCATTATTACACTCCACCCATCGATGAGGATTACCATAACCAAAGATTTATATTTCGTAGAACAAGATTGATCGATACAAGTGATCATTATCATCAAATACCTATGCGATAAATTCCTCTCTCTCTTTCTTTCTGTCTCTCCTTTTCTTTCTCTCATTTATTGTCTATACTACTATTACTTAATTATGTGTACATTCTATATGTTTTTCTTTTTTCTTTTTTTTTCTTTTAATTACTCTCATATGTTTCTCATCACAGGCCAAACTTTCACGAAAAAAAAAAAAAAAAAAAAAAAAAAAACAATCTACCCTTTAAAAAAAAAAAATCATGTGTAAATCCCCTTTCTCTTTATTGTTTTTTTTCTCGTATATACAAAAATAAAAAAATAAAAAAAAAAAATACATATAGTTATTGTCATTATGAATGGTTTTTTATTTCTGATGTACGGTGGTACAATAATGATTCATTAGAGAGTGGGGGAAAAAAATAAAAAAGGGAGAGAAAAGTTAAAAAAAAGGTTTGATCGGTTAAAGTGTGGACACACAAAACGCACGATACTAAATAAAAAAAAAACTCCCCTTTTTTCATACAAAGCTTTTTTGACTGAAATGGTTATTCCGATACAAATACAAAAGAAAAAAGTTCTCAATGGACGTGTTATGTGTCACCCCCCCCCTCTCTCTCACTCACTCACTCCCCCCGACCTTTTTCTCTTTGTATATTTGACACTCTTTCTAAAAATACTTTTTATATCATCGGACCCCATTGTTACAAAAAGGAACGGGAAGAAAAAAAAAAGTTTTTTTTAAACTGATTTATTTTTTATAGTTTTTTTTTTTTATTCTTCTTTTTTACTAATAGTGACAACAACAGTAATAAGCTCAAGCTTTTTTTTTTTGTGTGCATGTAAACAATAGGGAGAGAAAATAATAAGGGAAACAAACAACAATAAAATATATATGCTGTGTTTGATGTCGTACACATTACAAAAAAAAAAAAAAAAGCAAGGGTACTACAAAAATTTCCTTTTTGTACCATCATTTCTTTTTTGAAAAAAAAAAAAAAAAAAAAATGATTTTGACAATCAAACATCTCCCAAGGGAAACTTTTTCTCTAATTGGTTTTTTTTACACTTTGGTTGACCTGTGTCTAAAATAATGTGAATGTATTGTGGCCGAGTGTCGGAGAAAAGCTAATGTGATCATCACTTTTATGACAGTAAAGTAAACTTTTTGGAAAAAGAAAATAAAAAAAAAAGAAAAAAAGAAAGAGGGTCTGTGCGTTTTTAGAGCCTTTTTTTTTTTATTTTATTGTTGTTATTGTTATTATTGTGAATCAGAGATATACAATTTGTCTCATCTTTATAAAGAGTCCACTGCTCTATCCTGCCCACTAAATTTTAAAGGTACGACTATTTATGCTAAAAGCACTATATTTGGGGTTAAAGAGGAAAAAAAAAAAAAAAGGGGGGGGGGAGAACGTATTAGGGAGCAGTAAGAAAAAAAAAAAGTGATTTTTTAGTAGATGGTTTTTTTGGTAGGGGTAATGGTACCAATTTTGATGACTCGCTTCATGATATTCTTGACCTTGGATGGCTTATTGCTACTACTGCTATTACTACTATATTCGGAAGAATACATGTGTGATTCTGCATCATTATTTATATCATCCTGATAAACAGGTGCTGTATCCTCCTCTCCTCCTCCTCCTCCTGTTGTTGAAGGTTTATTGTGTTTCCGGAGATTCATCAACTTCATGTGTGAAATAGATGAATTTATCAATTTCATGTGGGATTTACTGTTATTTGCAGATTTATCACTCATCAATTCATGATTATAATTACTGGGGGAGGATTGAATCAAGGGCATAAAATCATCAAACGCCACCCGGATTTGATGATCAATGGGTGTCTTATCAAACAAGTAAGAATTAGCAAACGGGTCTTTTGGAACAGGTTCTACTGGACTACAGGCTGCTGTCATCAGACGGTAAAGAATGGGTGATAAAAGAGCGTCAGATGGATGCAATGTCTTTGAAAAGATACTGATATAAGGTTCTTCTTCACTCGGTGGTTCTATGGGATAATCATCTTCCAAAAGTGAATAAAGAGCTGAATCAGCCATATCAAGTGGATCAAAGTTACGTTGATGAATATGATGAATGTGTCGATTATAAGATTTAGCTTTGGCCCGGGCAGCTTCTGACTTGTTCATGGGTTTGGTAGAGATGGTAGTAGGCCAAGCAAAACCTGAATCAACCCTGAATAAAAGTTGCTTTTCTCCATGGATCGTTTTGGAATGCTCAATAATCATACGAGTCAGGAAATGACCTGCCTTTTCAGCAATAATAGGATCACATACCGCTGGTCCCAATGTTACCTTTCCCATAGCTTCACCTAAATGATAAGCATCCATTTCATTAGAGGATTTATGTCGCATCACTTGAACAAGAAAATCAAGTATTTCCACAAGCAAGTTTTCACACCGTTTAGAAATATATCTTGATAAATCATTCAATGTACAAGCTAACCTTTATTCTTTTAGTCAACACATAAACCTTAAAATAAAGAATTATATCTTTTTTTTTCATGTGCTTACTTTCATAATTAATCACTCGCCAGACCTTTTTAGGTACAATACGTTCCTGACAACACCAGAGAGTATCTTGCATTAAAGTCGCTACCGAATGAATACTCACATGAGCAAGATCATCCCCTATACAGTGTTGCTTTCGAAACACCTTTAATAACAAGACACTATTGGGAACTATTTTCAGAATATTTCATTATTAGACAAGATAAAATAAAGGGACACTTTTCTTCTTCTCTAGGGGGGCCACACAACACAACACACACACACACAAAAACCGTCTTTTCTTAACATCACTACCCACATTTAAACTAGCAAATACTACTAGTTGTCATAGCAGCAAGAGGAGAGAATAGATGCGGGGGGGGGGAAGGGAAAAGGGACACAAGGGGAAAATAACAGCAAAAAAAAAAAGAACTTACCAGATTTACGTAAAATCTTACGCTCTTTTAAACCTAGTCAATGTACTATTTGTCAGTTGAGGGAGAAAGTGATCTTATGTATGTTTTTACCTCGCTTTCGAATTTCATCCATACATATTCTACTCACTTGAGCTGCGAAATCAAAGGTATACATCTAAAAGTAAAAGTATTAATACACTTTCTATGATTGTAGTAATCGTATCTAATTCACCTTTTTGGTTGGTCGTAAAAGAAATATGAAGAAAAAGAGAAGAAAAAAAAGAAAAAGAGAGTTGTAAAAACTAGTTTATGTTCAACTGGACTTCTTTGTCACAATCAACCCCTCTTTATTATAAAGAACTCACACGCCTCCTTTATATCTTTTATAAAACATTCAAACAAAGGGAGTAACAAAAAAAAAATTACTTCTTACTGTTTACATGACACATTATTGGTTTGTCCAGCTACTTTACATACACCAGATGCGAAAAAACGGATCTTTAAAATAATAATTAAATAAACCTACGTCACACTCATCACTGTGAAAGTTTTTTTTTTTTTTTTTTTTTTTTTTATTCTTTATAATTTAGTTGCTTGTTTATCCAAGTTTTATTGTAGCTCAATGGACCCAGAAATACCTGTAAATACAAGCTCACCACCAAAAGAACAAGATGTTCTCATGGAAGAGCAAACTACTGTAAATACAACTGAACCTTCTGTTGGAGAAGAAACCCAAACTCCTCCTCCTCAGCAAGAAGCACAGGCTATGGAAGACGTTGTTCAGTCTACAGAACAAGTGTCAGCTATTCCTCAAGAAGAACCCATTCCCAAGGTTGAAGAGACTCACATAGAAGAAACGCCTGCTGCTGCTGCTGCTGCTGCTAATCAGGAACAGTCACCCAACATTCAACAAGAGGAGCCTACTACACAAGAAGAGCCCACTACACAAGAGGCGTCGGCTCCTCAAGAAACAGAGTCTACTCCTCAAGAAGAGACGCCTACTCCACAAGAAGAGACGCCTACTCCTCAAGAAGAGACGCCTACTCCACAAGAAGAGGCGCCTAAAGAGCCCGCTGTCCCAGAACAGAGCGTCGAACCCATGGAAGCAGTTGAATCAACTGCTCAACCAATGGAAGACGTGGAATCAGACGAGCCACCACCATTTTTGAGCGCGCCAGCCTCTTGGCAGATTCCAGTAGCTGCTTTACATCAACAACAACAGCAACAACAGCAACAACAGCAACAACAACAACAACAAAAGCCACACGACATTGTCATGAATAAGACTAATTTAAGAAAAGAAAGATTCGAATCACGTATTAAAGAATCGAAATATGACATTGAGGCTTGGACCAGTTTAATCAATGATGCTCAACAAACTGGTGATTTAGAAGTGATTCGTGATATTTATGAACGCTTTTTGAAAGTCTTTCCTACTTCGGTAAGTTCTTTTTTTTTTTATTATTATTTTTCTTCTGTCGCTCTCGCTCTCTCCCATCCTCCTCTCTCTCTTTATCTCTCTATCGCTTTCTCTTTCTCTCTCTCTCTCTTTGCATATTCCTTTTGAGTTGTTTAGAGTTCAAGCCCAATTGAGATTTTATTCGTGATTAATTGAGATATATTACGAGACTGTTTGTTATTTTGTATATACATACACAGAAAGAAAGAGAGAGAGAGCGGGTTTGGAAGGGGTTAGAACAAAAGTGAAAGAAAAAAAAAAAAGGTTGTGTTTATATGGTTTCTTTGTTTATTCATTTTTTTCCGTCATTTTTTTTCTTTCTTTCTTTTGTTTCCTTCTTCTTCTTTTTTACCTTAATGTGTAGCCAAAGCACTGGCTTGCTTATCTTGAACTGGAGCTCAAGTACTCGAATTTCAATGAAGTGGAAGCATTATTTACACGTTGTCTTAAAACCGTCTTATCGGTCGATCTCTGGAAATTTTATCTTGGTTATATTCGTCGTATTAATTTGGGTGAAAGCGGGTCTGCCGTCACCCCAGAAGCAAGAGCCATCATTGAAAAAGCATACGAGTATGTCTTGAGTAATGTTGGTATTGATAAAGACGCAGGTCCTATCTGGGCTGATTATATTTACTTTTTGAAATCCGCAGAGGTAAAAGCAAAAAAAAAAAAAAAAAAAAAACCCTAACCCCAACACACTTTCTTAACACACACAAATGTAGACTTCAAATACATGGGAAGAACAACGAAAGATGGATTCCATGCGTCGTGCTTATCAAAAAGCAGTAACAATTCCCTTGAATAACGTAGAACATCTTTGGAAAGAGTATGATCAATGGGAGAACAATTTGAACCGTTTAACAGTAAGTTATCTTTTATAAATCAACCCAAGGAATAGGCCTTTAACCATCATATATATATAAAAAGGCAAAGAAATTTTTGGGAGAAAAGTCGTCTGCTTATATGACAGCTCGTACAGCATTACGAGAGATGCGATTATTCACGGATAATATCAATACCAACATGGTACCTTTACCTCCTCATTGGACCCCTCAAGAATTAAATCAATTAGAATTATGGAAGAATTATATTCAATGGGAAAAGGGAGATCCTTTACAGCTGGAAGATGAAGCTGCCGTACTAGATCGCGTTGCTTATACCTATCAACAAGCTTTCCTTGTCTTGAGATTCTATCCAGAGATCTGGTACAGTTTTGCAACCTATTATCAAGAAATGAATAAACCCGAAAAGGCCCTAAGCATTTTAAAACAAGGCATTGAAATCATGCCCACCAGGTATTTTTCTTATTCTGTCAGACCAAAAAAAATTCATTTTTGCTTATTTTTCTTTTACTGCATAGTTTGTTATTAAATTTTGCATATGCTGAATTATGTGAGTCAAGGAGACAATTGGATGATGCGCGACAAGCATTCGATTCGTTGATTTTGAATTTAGATCAAGATATAGAGAATTTAAAACAAACTGCACAACAGGAAATCGCTAAATTACAACATGAAGCTGAGGAAGAAAGAGCTTCCATGAATTTGACGGATGATATTGATGGTGAAGTAAGAGAACAATTACGTGGTCGTGAAAAGAACGTCAAAAAGATTCAAGAAGAAATAGAGTCCAAATTAAATGATCAAGTGAATGTCATTGCTCGTGCTACTTCTTTGGTCTGGATTTGTTACATGCGTTTTGCTCGTCGCACTGACGTAAGGAATTTTTTTTTTTTTTTTTTTACACTGAGAAAGGGGAGTTAGAAGAAGGCTGATATAAATTTTTAAAAAAAAATAGGGTATCAAAAGTGCCCGTGCATTATTCTCTAGAGCTCGTAAAGCTACCAATTGTACATACCATGTCTATGTGTCTGACGCATTAATGGAATATCACAACTCCAAGGATTCCAATGTTGCAGGTAAAGTCTTTAGTCTTGGCCAAAAGACATTTGCGGATAATCCTGATTTTGTATGTCAATATCTGGACTTTTTGATCCAAATGAACGATGACAACAACACACGAGCCTTGTTCGAAAGAACCTTGGCTACCATGCCAGCAGAGAAAGCAGGTCCTATTTGGCTCAAGTTTTTAGATTATGAGAATAAATATGGAGATTTAGCGAGTGTTCAAAATGTTGAGAAGAGACGTATTGAGGCGATGGCTAATGCTACGGTTGCCAATCCAATGGAATCTTTCCTTATTAGACAGAGTTACTTAGACATTCATAATATTGAAGAACAAGAATTAGGTAGTTTGGCTCGTCAACAATTATTAGCCGATAAACATGCTGCTGCTTTAGCCAATGTCAGTGCCTTATCCAATCCCAATCATGATTCCAATCAACAACAACAACAACAACAACAGCAACAGCAACAACAACAGCACATACAGCAGCAACAACAACAGCATGCACAATCTCAACAACATAATAAAGATCACCAGAAAAGACCTCTTTTAGAACCCGTCCATCCTGAAAGATATCCTAGACCTGATTTAAATCAATGGCAAGCATTTAAACCTACTGCCGAATTAAATCGTCGCACGACAACAACAAGTGTAACCGCTACTGTAGCCGCTATTGTGCCTAATTCACCCGTGGTACCTACACCTGTTCCCGTCATTCCCAAGATTGAGTCTATTCTTGAACAACAACAACAACAACAGCAACAACAACAACAACAACAGCAGCAACAACAGCAATTACAGCAGCAACAATTACAGCAGCAACAACAGCAACAACAGCAACAACAGCAACAGCAACAGCAACAACAACAACAACAACAACAACAACAACAACAACAACAGCCTGTGATTTTACCTCCAGTGAATAATAGCTGGAATAATAATACAAATGTAGTCATTCCTCAACAACCTGCCCCACTTCCTGATGCAGTTGCTTATTTTGTTTCGAATTTGCCTCCTGCACAAACATTCAATGGTCCCATGATCCAGCCTGGTGAATTAGTTGATTTATTACGTAATATCATCATACCCTTACCTCCTCAAGGATCTGTTCCTCCTCAACCTGTGCGCTCGATAAACCAATCGAATAATAAACCTCCCATGCAATCCGGTGGCCCAATGAGAGGCTATGGTGCAAGTCGTGGTGGAGGAGGTGGTGGAGGAGGAGGAGGTGGAGGAGGAGGAGGAGGAAATAATAGTGGACGTGGAGGTTTTAAATCAAGAGGTAATATGCCAATGCGTGGAGGTGGTAAATCGAATATGAAGCGTCGTGCTAGGGATGATTACGATGATGACTATAATTCTCACAAAGGTAATATTTGGTTGTTTATATTTTATTATTGTTATTAAACTCTTTTTTTTTAAAAAAAAAGGTATGGGTCCCAATAGACCACCAGATTTTGATCTGTTCAGACAAAGACAAGCAAAAAGACATAGAGATGATCCTCCTTATTAAAAAAATAAAAATATATTTCAATAAACACTACAAATGATTAATAATCACTTTCTTTTTTTAAAACTATTTGAAAATGTGGGAAAATTAAGAGGAAATTTAAATAAGGGACATATTTGTTTATGGGGGGTAGCAATGATATAGATTTATTTTCTTAATAGAAATGATAAAAAAAAAAGAAGCGAAATAGGAAAGTTTTTTTTTTTTTTATATGTTATTATGCGAGAATTATTGGCCACCACGGAGACGAAGGACAAGATGGAGAGTAGATTCCTTTTGAATGTTATAATCGGATAAAGAACGACCATCCTCAAGTTGTTTACCAGCGAAAATAAGACGTTGTTGATCTGGGGGAATACCTTCCTTGTCTTGGATCTTTTGCTTGACGTTTTCAATAGAATCAGAAGACTCAACCTCCAAGGTAATGGTCTTACCAGTGAGGGTCTTTACGAAAATTTGCATACCACCACGGAGACGGAGAACCAAGTGAAGAGTAGATTCCTTTTGGATGTTGTAATCAGATAAAGAACGACCGTCCTCAAGTTGTTTACCAGCGAAAATAAGACGTTGTTGATCTGGGGGAATACCTTCCTTGTCTTGGATCTTTTGCTTGACGTTTTCAATGGAGTCGGAAGACTCAACTTCCAAAGTAATAGTCTTACCAGTGAGAGTCTTTACGAAAATTTGCATACCACCACGGAGACGGAGAACCAAGTGAAGAGTAGATTCCTTTTGAATGTTGTAGTCACTTAAAGAGCGGCCATCTTCGAGTTGTTTACCAGCAAAGATGAGACGTTGTTGATCTGGTGGAATACCTTCCTTATCTTGAATCTTTTGCTTCACGTTTTCAATAGAGTCGGAGGACTCAACTTCCAAAGTGATAGTTTTACCAGTGAGTGTCTTGACAAAGATTTGCATACCACCACGGAGACGAAGAACCAAGTGAAGAGTAGATTCCTTTTGGATATTGTAGTCAGATAAGGAGCGGCCATCTTCGAGTTGTTTACCGGCGAAAATGAGACGTTGTTGGTCTGGGGGAATACCTTCCTTATCTTGAATCTTTTGCTTGACGTTCTCAATAGAGTCAGAAGACTCAACCTCCAAGGTAATGGTCTTACCAGTAAGAGTCTTGACGAAGATTTGCATACCACCACGAAGACGGAGAACGAGATGGAGAGTGGATTCCTTTTGAATGTTGTAATCACTTAAAGAACGACCGTCTTCAAGTTGCTTACCGGCAAAGATAAGACGTTGTTGGTCTGGTGGGATACCTTCCTTATCTTGAATCTTTTGCTTAACATTCTCAATTGAATCAGAAGACTCAACCTCCAAAGTGATAGTTTTACCAGTAAGAGTCTTGACGAAGATTTGCATACCACCACGAAGACGGAGAACGAGATGGAGAGTGGATTCCTTTTGGATATTGTAGTCACTTAAAGAACGACCGTCTTCAAGTTGCTTACCAGCAAAGATAAGACGTTGTTGGTCTGGTGGAATACCTTCCTTGTCTTGAATCTTTTGCTTGACATTTTCGATAGAGTCGGATGATTCGACTTCTAAAGTAATTGTCTTACCAGTGAGTGTTTTTACAAAAATTTGCATGTTGACTATTTTATTTAGTAGAAAAGAAAATATGAAGAAGAAAAGAAAAAAAAGGAAAAATATGAAAAAAAAAAAGTATCCTATTTATAAACAGAAAAAGAACTGCGGATTGTACAGATATATTTTTAATTGGTTCAATTCTGTACTGACGTCGTCATTAGGTGTTACAGAATTGGGGTTTTTGATTTTTTTTTTCTTTCTCTCTTTTAATCAATCTCCTTAAAATTTATAAGCATCTTGACCTATAGAAAAGCATGATTTTTTTTTTGTTGATTAAACTATAAAAAGTTATACATCTTTCTTGTTTCTTTAATACTCAGCATGACAAATCTGAGTTCCAGAAAATCTAGAATCGCGTATAGAGTAGCGTCGTACCTTCCAAATGAAGGAAAATCTCGAACTTTCGAACGTTCTTGGTCAGGTTTCTTTGTCTGTACTTTAAAAAAAAAAAGACACCCTTGATAAATTTTACGCTTCACCCAGCCCTCCCCTCAATTTTCCGGTTACAAAAATGATTGAACGCGGTACAATAATGATATCATGAGTAAAAAAAAAAAAATGGTTACCGATATTTGATCAAAGAACAAAAGACAATGATATCATTTTTGTATTCATTATTAAATTGACTGTCTGCATATATTTCGTCCTGTACCTCTTCAAGTGCCGCTTCATTCATTTTTTATCTTTCATCGGCACAGCTATGAAAAGGCATGTAATATATAAAAAAAATCTTGTTTAAAAACCAATATATCATCAAGTGACACACACGAGAACAGAACGGATTTTCATTTACGTGATCGTCAGAAACATCAACTGCACGAGATAACGAATTCATTAAAAATCGACGGTCTTCCAAAATAGTCGGTAGGAGCTGTAACATTTTCTTTACCCAGTTACACAATGAAGTCTTTTCATTGTTGGCCCTAACAAATTCTCCCAAAGTCCCGTTTAGCTTTTGGATCAGTGATTAAATATCAGAAGAAAAAAAAAAAGGACCCGAAAGTTGGCTTAAGGTTTACGATGTGTGAGTTAATTGAACCCCTCATAAAACAACAAACATTTATTGCCGGTTGCCATGGAACGGGAAATTTTAGCTTTTTTTTTTTTCTCTCATCCATTCATGGTCATTTGTTATGTATTACCTATCTCAGAGAAATAATTAGAGATTATCTGAATACCACTGATCTATGCATCATTTCAATCTCCAAAAAAAAAAAAAAATCGTGCCATTAATGATTAGTTGTTCTTAAGTTTGCCCTTGGTTTAGCTCAATACACCCCTTTCCCCATTTCGCTATTCTTTACCGGGTAAAAACAAACATACAATATAGAGCGTATCCTGGGTTTCGAAACCATATATTACAGGTTTTAATTAAGCGGCATACGATTCAGTCTATTTGAAGTCACTGAAAAAAAAATATGTTATGCGTTATGTATGGAAGTATACAATTCCTATAATGAACTAACAGTCTTTATTTAAAGGGGGTATCTCTTTTTTTTTTCCAGCATTGTCGTTATACAGAAAAAATGCCTAAAATAAAGGTCAAGTCTTTTTTTTTTATTGTGGTGGTCATTGTCGGTCGAAATGAGGAACAAGACCTTCATGCACATGTTCAACTTACGAAATCAATAGATGGCAGCGACAATGTTTGTAAAAACAAACAAGGCAATCGTTAAAGACTTAAACCTGGTGAGCATGTACAACGCATAACAGGGTATTTTGTCAATAGGCATCTGTCCAATTTTTGGAGTAGCAAACGTTTCAAAAGTATTCTTCATAAACGTGATTCCGAGAATCTTCAATTATAAAAAATGTCTGTGTTAGTAAGCAAACACAAATGAATAACTAGCGTCTATGGACCCAAAAAAGTTATCGATAGAGTAAGCATCTTTTAAAAAAATGGATGCTAACATACATGGGCTCATGTTTTGTAGTCTTGACCAATCCGATTCAAGACTGATAGTTTAATAGATCATTGCCAGCAATAACTTTGAAAGCCATTATTATCAAATATGAATTACATGTAATCTTAAAAAAGTTCTCAACATTATAAGCTACCAGAAAATGTTTAAGGAAGACCATATATGCGTGATGATCAAATGTAAATCTTTTCATGCAGATGATGATCGATTCTATAACTACTGGTTTACGGGGGAAAAAAATGAACTCATGCAGTTCATGAATTAGGATTTGGACAGCGTTTAGCTTATAGACCGTGCTATAGATATCTGGTAGCTCCATGAGCTTTTTCGTATCTATAAGACAAAAATCACGCCCTGTTGCATTTAATTTATTCGAAGAGGCTCTGCACATGCATACTTTTGCAAGCCAAAAAAAAAGTTGTTCATTTGCTAAGAGAAATCAAAAGTATATTTATTGTTGGAAGTGGTTTTCAACGGGATGAATCTGGCATGATTTATATAATCAGGCCATAATTGTATAGCAAAAGTCAACTTTTACTCATCATCATTATCAAAGTTTCTACTAACTTGTTTTTATTCGAAATTAGTATTAAAAAAACTCATCATAAAATTTACTATAAAGTGCTTATATTGTTCAGGCTGCATCATTAAGATCGAGTTGATGTTTCATACATCAAGCATAATTCTTAAAATCTCGAAAAAGTCGGTCAATTTTGATTGGCTAAAAGATAAACTGCTTACGTCAACTCTCAATTTTAATATACATAACAGCTTTTTTTTTCTTGTTTTGCGCGGGTTTGCCCATCTGGAAACTCCTCGAAATCAGGATGGACCTGTAATCACCTTCGAATATTTTATTATAACTTTCAATTATATAAGAAAGGTATTCTTAGTTACTTGAGACTGAGTTGAGCTCTTTCTACAGATTCTTTTTGGGGTAAGGGGAGTAAGCATTCAGTAAGCCTTATGTCCCCCCCCCCCGTTTGCACCAAGAAGCATGATAAAACTCAAACTATAAACCGCAGTAATAAAAAGCAAAAATATATTTTTTTCTAAAAATAAAAAGACGAGCGGCCTAATATTGTAATCGTAAAAATGACAAAAGAATACAATAGGGTTTTTATTTGGACTTCAGCGACTAAAATTTTATGAGCACATGGGACAATACAAGCAGTTGGTTGTATCATGATTATATATTGTATCTATTATACTCAGTCCAGTAAAGCTTTGTTATTTATGACTTCACGAATGTGTCTCCGAATATGGCAGGTTTCGTAGCTTTTGCTGGAATACTGGACGCTGACGATTAGTTCTGGGTAACATCGCCTTCTCCACACAGTATACGTAGCTAACGGTCTGAGGGATACTTATCAAGCTGCTGAAGGTGAATTCAACTTCATTTTTACCGTGATGAGCATATTTCAGGTGCCCTAGCTAAAGAGCGGGGGCTGCCTTGGTGATTTAAAGCAACATTCCACTTGCTGGTCGCGCACTTCTGAGTTTGCAAGAAACGGGTCCCTTATCGGTTTAGTCGGTCATTGGTTTGGGGATAAGTGAAGTTCGAAGGGGTGGAACTATCACAAACTGAGAACATGGTGTTTCAACCTCTTTGTAGTGATTTACGTGAGTCCATTTCGAGAGCCATCAAAACTTTTAAAAAAAGGCGGGCGAGTGCACACGGAGACTGACTTCCTCACAGTTGCACTTGGGCAGTCTTATTTACTGAAACTGGCTAGCGATGTCTCCTCCTTTTTATAATAATAAAAACCATACTATCTTTTCTAATATTTGTCTTGATGTAAATTTCTTGTACTTCGTATGAAGAAATATATAGTTTTATTTACTCCAAACCTTCATGAGAGATGGTCTTTGCCTGTGAATTGAATTTTTTGTGAACATACTCTTTTTTCATGCTGCGCATACTGATGAACATGACGTAATCTTTATTTAGCGTCAACAGCTTATGAAAACAATTGAAACGACCCTAATAAGGTTTTAGATGAGCTATAAACCTTTTTCCCCTTCTCATTTCGTCTAAATGTACCGTTGAAGACTGTATTCAATGTGAAATATAAGTTTTAAAGACTAACGTATTTCGATGGCGAGAGTTTTAAAAATAATAATACTAGCATGGTTTCGAGCTGTTTCAGCGTAGACAGGAAATTAGAGATATAGGTGATATCGCTGAGCAGAATTGCATGAAGTATAGCTCCATCTGGGCAAATGAGCATTGGTCAAAGACAGACTAGACTCCTTAAGCAGCTTCTTATGGCGATAGTTGTATACATCTACATAAAAAAAGCATGGACTGAATATCCTTTGAGATAAAAATTACTGATCGACCGGGAACTGTATTTATGTTAAATGATTATAGTGGATACCTAAAGAATCATAACAAAATCATGATGCAATTGAAGCAAGCGATGGAAGCATACAAGTGTGTAGTATCATTTGTAAAAGCTCTAAGAGTCATTGAAAATAGTGTCTAAACACACAACAAGAATTGTCAGCTAATAAATTTTACATTCAGCTATGAGAAATATGGCGTATTTCAGGATGACAACCATAAGACACCGCAAAAGTGCGAGGAAATACTAAATATTATTAATGGACGACACTAAATTCCCCAATCTATGCTTACGATGACATTGAATAAACTTAATAAATTCAATGGCTACAGAGCCTGACTTTCTGGTGGCGTCAGTGTCAGAATTTTTTATATCTCTAAATTCATATTGGCTGACATATTCACAAAGATCGTCTTGTAAAGGTAAGGAATAAGTGCGACAAAGGTAATTATATTCGCTGACAATTATTCAATAATAAGTGAATATCTTACAAATGGTGATTTGTTTTAATCCGAAGAATTGGTAGATAACAAACAAAATATAATTTTTGATAGATTAAATATATGGTATGTGCTTTCGTATTGTCAGTATGTAGTTAGTTAGGAATTGACTCATATGCAAAATGTGAAAATTGTATCGGCAAGCTATTAAAATCTGTGGCACAAGCAAAATGGCCAGTGCATTGCTTTGAAATACACTTTTCTTGGAAATCTCTTTTTTTAAAATCCATATACACAAAGTAGTAATTCCTGTTTATCAATATTATAATGATTGTTTTGACTTTGCAGTATATACCTTATTTAGTAATTCGGACTGTTCTTTTTTTTTTTTTTTTTTGCGCGGCCAAGCGAAGCGCAGGTCGAAGCAACCGACATGTATGGGAATAATAAACATTGAGTGAATTGGGAGGGGCTGTAAGTCCCGACCTACACAGTACATAAAACACTGAGTGAAAAAATGTGTATTAGCATTGAGTGACTTGGGAGGGGCTGTAAGTCCCGACCTACACAGTACATAAAACATTGAGTGAAAAAATGTGTATTAGCATTGAGTGACTTGGGAGGGGCTGTAAGTCCCGACCTACACAGTACATAAAACACTGAGTGAAAAAATGTGTATTAGCATTGAGTGACTTGGGAGGGGCTGTAAGTCCCGACCTACACAGTACATAAAACATTGAGTGAAAAAATGTGTATTAGCATTGAGTGACTTGGGAGGGGCTGTAAGTCCCGACCTACACAGTACATAAAACACTGAGTGAAAAAATGTGTATTAGCATTGAGTGACTTGGGAGGGGCTGTAAGTCCCGACCTACACAGTACATAAAACATTGAGTGAAAAAATGTGTATTAGCATTGAGTGAGCTGGGAGGGGCTGTAAGTCCCGACCTACACAGTACATAAAACATTGAGTGAAAAAATGTGTATTAGCATTGAGTGAGCTGGGAGGGGCTGTAAGTCCCGACCATCACAGTACATAAAACATTGATTGAAAAAAATATTGATTAGCATTGAGTGAGCTGGGAGGGGCTGTAAGTCCCGACCTACACAGTACATAAAACATTGAGTGAAAAAAATATTGATTAGCATTGAGTGAGCTGCGAGGGGCTGTAAGTCCCGACCTACACAGTACATAAAACATTGATTGAAAAAAATATTGATTAGCATTGAGTGAGCTGGGAGGGGCTGTAAGTCCCGACCTACACAGTACATAAAACATTGAGTGAAAAAAATATTGATTAGCATTGAGTGAGCTGGGAGGGGCTGTAAGTCCCGACCATCACAGTACATAAAACATTGATTGAAAAAAATATTGATTAGCATTGAGTGAGCTGGGAGGGGCTGTAAGTCCCGACCATCACAGTACATAAAACATTGATTGAAAAAAATATTGATTAGCATTGAGTGAGTTGGGAGGGGCTGTAAGTCCCGACCTACACAGTACATAAAACATTGAGTGAAAAAATGTGTATTAGCATTGAGTGAATTGGGAGGGGCTGTAAGTCCCGACCATCACAGTACTTAAAACACTGAGTGAAAAAATGTGTATTAGCATTGAGTGAATTGGGAGGGGCTGTAAGTCCCGACCATCACAGTACATAAAACATTGAGTGAAAAAAATATTGATTAGCATTGAGTGAGCTGGGAGGGGCTGTAAGTCCCGACCAACACAGTATATTAAACATTGAGTGAAAAAAAAATACTGATTAGCTGTTTCCGAAAATTGGGTGTCACAGCTATAAATTTTTAAAAAAAAAAAGCTTTAACTTTGTTCAGCCCCTTTTTTCACGAACAATAACAAATGTCTAACATTGGTGATCACGAATTTATTCATTTCAGTGGAGGTAGTCCTCGACGCAGAGGCAGAGCCAGATTCAACGCAGCGGAATCAGCTAATCCCAGAGGTAGAAGACAATCAAGTCGAATTAACATTCCCAGAGCCCCGAGATCCAGTAACAGCAGTAGAGACTCTAACAATGAACCTGAGATTCAGAATGACGCTACCAACAGCACCGATCCCGAAAATAACTCACGATCTTCAACAGGTAAAATGGAAATGGAACGCAAAAACAAACTTTCTAACCTTATTCTCTATTTAGCCAGAGATCACGACTTGAATCGTGCGTGCCACGATAACTTTGAAGAGACAAATATTCTTCGTGAACGTAGAGGTATATACCGTGAAGATTCAACTTCTGATTTTTTTGGACGTCATAATTTACAAGGGATGACAGAAAGATGCCCCTATTGCCATGCCATGCTTTTTAAAGAAGAACAAGTAACAAATCAAAATTTTTCTTTTTGCTGCAGTAATGGAAAAGTCAAAATCGATATTGTTGCTATGCCGACTACTCTTATGCAAAAACTTTTGACTGGAGAACATCCCACAAGTACTGAATTCAGAAAGAATATCCGAATGTACAACAATGCTTTTGCGTTTACATCATTTGGAGCTGATCACGAGGATGAAACGTTTAGTGGATCTAATCAAGGATCATTCACATTCAGAATTCAAGGAGGAACCTATCATCGTTCTGCTCCGTTAACTGTGGGTGAAGGAAGAAAGCCAGTATTTGCTCAAGTCTACTTCAGCGATCCAAATTTACGTATACAACAACACATTGATTTCAATGAAGTTTTGGATCGTCAGTTAGTTGCCCAATTAAATCAAATGATGGAGGAAATATCACCGTATGCCAATCTTTTTGAAAACGCGAGACAAAGATTTTCCTCATATGCAGTAGATAATCAAGAGGAACCAAAAGATCTATACGTCTATGTGCGAGGAAATCCTGGACTTGGTCGCCAGTATGATGTACCTATTGCGGATGAAGTTGCAGCATATATTGCAGATGCAACCGTACCTGACGAAGTTACGAAAGGTAGTAGAGAAGTTATCGTATTTTCAACAGTAACCGGGTTTCCCAAAAAAATGAACGATTGTCATAGCTCTTATGATTCCCTACACTTTTCATTGATGTTCCCTGGAGGTGAAGATGGATGGAACACCAATTTGGAGTTAAATTTAGACGATGAGGCAATCCAGAGAAATCAGGAAAGAGATGAGCAGAGTTTTAGCAGCAATCGGTTAACACAGAAATCGGTCTCTTTAAACCAATTTTATCAGCATCGTTTGCAAGTAAGACCTGGAGAAACAATGACATGTCATTTCGGTCGATTATTTCATTTGTATATTGTGGACATGTATTGTAAAATTGAGGGGCGAAGACTGTACTATTTGCGCACAAATCAAAGCACTTTACGGTCCGAGTTGTACTCTGGATTAGCTGATGTACGAGTTGGTGTGGATATGAGTAGAGAGTCAATTGGAAAAAGAGTGATCTTACCCTCCAGTCATACTGGGTCTCCAAGAGCGTTACATCAAATGCAACAAGATGCCATGGCTGTTGTTAGAGCATTGGGAAAGCCAGATTTGTTTGTAACTATCACTTGCAACCCAAATTGGAAAGAAATTGTTGATGAACTGCTTCCGGGTGAGGTCCCTTCGGAGCGTCCAGATTTAATCTGTCGAGTTTTTGATTTAAAACTTAAAGAAATTTTCACCGATATCAAGGATAAAATGATATTCGGTAAGGTTAAGGGCTTGATTCATGTAATTGAGTATCAGAAACGTGGTCTACCCCACGCCCATGTTGTAATCATCCTTGCTGAGTGTTCTAAGCTTCATACTCCTCGCGATATAGATAGATACATATCTGCTGAAATCCCTGATCCTGTTCGTTTTCCAAAGGCCTTTAAAACAATCACTAAGCATATGATGCACACCCCTTGCAATATATCTTTAACCGATTCCTTTGGTAAAGTGAGAATGTGTCGGGATAACAAAGACAAATCATGCAGTAAACACTTTCCAAAAGATATTTACCATACAACTGTTATTGATGAAAAAGGATTTGCTAAATACAGAAGACGTCCTACGAATCTTTTTGTTCTTTTCCCAAATGGGTACCGTGCTGATAATCGTTGGGTTGTTCCTCACAATCTATACCTTGCCGTAAAATACAACACACATATCAACGTTGAATTTTGTGCTGGAAATCAGGCTATTAAATATCTGTTCAAGTATATATACAAAGGATCAGATCGTGCTCAAATTGCAGTATTACCTGCTCAAACCGACCCTGCCCATATTACAGCTACCACTCCAACTGTGATTTCGCCTGATAATGATGATGAACTGGATGAAATCACGAGCTGGCTAAGTGTTCGGTATATATCCACAGTAGAAGCATGTTGGCGCATAATGGGTAAACGTACTCATTCATGTCAACCTTCCATCAAAAGATTAGCCATTCATTTGCCAAATCAACAGAATGTTACTTTTGCTGAAGGAGCCAGTAATGTCGAAATCCAGAGGGCAATGGAAAAACAGACTACACTGACAGCTTATTTTAAGCTTAACTGCGATGACATCGATGCAAGGTCTATTTTGTATAATGACATACCGGCCCACTATGTTCAAGACGCCAAGACACACCTATGGAAAAAACGACGCAATCATCAAAAGTATCCACCAATTGGGCGAATGTACTTTATATCAGCTACTGATATTGAACGATATTGTCTACGTTTACTTCTCCTGCATGTCAAAGGTGCAACAAGCTTTGATCAGCTTAAAACCACTGATTCGTATGATGACGATGGTGTTAGATCAACTGGGACCACACAATGGCCAACATTTCGAGAAGCTGCACAAGCTCTGAATTTGTTAGAAGACGGGAGAGAATGGGATAGGGCTATGACAGAGGCCTTTATGCTTTGTTCCAGTTCAGCAAAAATTCGAGAACTTTTTTCTGTTCTTTTAATTTTTAATTTTGTTCCGAACTACAAAGAAATTTGGGACAATCATAGAGAGAATCTTTCAGCCGACTTTGAGTATACTTATCGTCAAAGCCTTGCTAATCATGGTGTTGATAATCAGGGTTGTCCAGTCGACCTGGATGAGCAAGATATTGCTTTCATAATGAATCAGACAATCTTGGATATTGCAAGCCGATTGCTTAAAAACTATAAGGATATTGCAAATTTTCCTGAATTACCTCAACCAGATCCATCCACATATAATGCCTATGCAGCTAGGGCCCAAAATTTGTATGATCACGAAATCGGCCAGTATGATGTGGATGATTTAGCAATCAATGTTGTCGTATATGAAGGCCAAGAAAATGGCAGTTTAAATTCGGAGCAACGTGTCATTTATGACGAGATTGTTTCAGCAATCTACAGAAATAGTGATGCTCCATCACAAAGTTCATTCTTTTTTGTTGACGGTCCAGGTGGCACAGGAAAAACATTTCTTTACAATGCCTTGCTTTCAAAAGTACGCTCTGGTGGTGAAGTTGCTTTGGCGTGTGCCTCATCTGGTATTGCTGCTACTTTGCTTCCTGGTGGTCGAACAGCGCATTCATTGTTTCAAATACCAATTGATATTGACGAATCATCTGTTTGCAATATTAAGTTACAAGATATTAGTGCCAAAATGATAAACGATGCCAAGCTTATTATCTGGGATGAAGCTCCAATGATGAACAAGATGACATTCGAATGTGTCAGTCGTCTGTTGCAAGAAATAACCGGTAACTACTCTCTTCCTTTTGGCGGAAAAGTGGTCGTTTTGGGCGGTGATTTTAGGCAAACATTGCCTATTGTTCAGTTTGGTTCCCGCTCTGATATTGTCAATGCATGTGTAACCAACTCTGTCCTGTTTAGGGATTGTAAAGTCTTGCGTCTTTTAAGAAATATGAGGCTTACATCCGATTCCATTCTGGAGGACGGCACGCCGTTTCAAGATTATCTTCTGGGAATAGGCGAGGGTCGTCAGCAAATATACGATCAATATATATCTATTCCTGCATCGATCGTATCATATGCTGAGTCCATTCAAGAGGTGGTTGACAATGTTTTTGGAGATTCGTTAAGTGACGAAAGTCTTTATAAAAATCAAGAGTTCATTGTCAGTAAAGCAATTCTTGCAGCTCACAACACAACAGTTGACGAAATTAATGAATTAGCAACAGAGAAATTACCTGGAATATCAATGGTTTACCTTTCCGATGATTCAATCGAGGAAACGCAAAATTCTGGGTCTACTAACTTTCCTGTCGAATCTCTCAATGCGATCAAACCTTCCGGTATGCCTCCACATAAATTGGTTTTGAAAAGATTCCAGCCGATTATGTGTTTGAGAAATATCAATCCTGCCGAGGGTCTTTGTAATGGCACAAGACTTATTTGTCGCAACTTTACAAGAAACGTAATCGAAGCTGAGATTGCTGTTGGTGATTATGCTGGTACTTTTGTTTTGATTCCCAGAATTGTCTTGATCTCTTCGGACAATGCAAACTTGCCTTTCACCCTTCGTCGTCGTCAATTTCCAGTGCAGCCTGCATTTGGAATGACTATAAACAAATCACAAGGCCAAACTCTTTCTTTTGCAGCAATTTGTCTGATCAAACCCGTTTTCACGCACGGTCAACTTTATGTTGCTTTATCACGGGTTCGTAACCCTGCCAATCTCAATGTAATCTTATTAAAAGAGCAACCATTATCAACACTCACAGACAACGTTGTATTTACCGAAGTCTTAAATCGAACACAAAACCACACTTAGATTTAACATATATTATTCATTATCAATAAACTCTATTTTTATCCCTTTTATTAGCATTGAGTGGCGTCGGTGGCCCGCTGCAGGCGCGAGATCGCCCCCAGCAGGAACGTAGGTTATTTTTACCGTAGCGAAGCGAAGGTCAAAAAATTACCGAAGTGGGCTGGGGCCGCGATCTCGTATATATAAAAATGAATTGGTGTATTGTGGGAACAATAGAATTATTGTGGGAAAATATAGCTTAAAGCATGATCGTATCATTGCATATTTGGTGCTACTAAAACCCAGGTCCAAATTAAGAACCCCGTTCCTATTTTAGATGCATTAAACAATGACGCAAGATTCACACGATGATGTTATTTATCCGACCTCTGTTTTTTTTATTTTATAAAATGTGCTTCTTTAAATATTAGGCTAGATTATAGTCCCAATCTATATAAGCGTGACATGTAAGAGATCCGTATTCTATTTATATTCAAAGTCATCTAAAACTGACAAATGAGATCCTGATGCTACATGTTTTAAAAGAAAAAAATAAAGTGCGAGGGATTTTCTGCAACAATGCGTCTATAAAATGCCTAATAAAGACGATTTCCCTTTTCTCTTTTTAATTTTTGTAATAAATTTTTAATTCTTCAACAGAAAAATATTAAAAATGTCTCTCCGTGCTCCCTCTCCTCCCTCAACGGGATACAGTATCATTGATATTCGTAGTTCTCTCAAAGATGATATCAAGACTGATGGTCGTCCTCCTTCTCCTCCAACATCTGCTGATGTTTCTGAGGATGCTTTCAATGGTTCTGATTTGGTTGACACTATTTTGGAGTCTCTTGATAAATCCACAGGTCACAAATCAATTCCAACCTACATCCTTTACGATAAGAAAGGTCTCCAGCTCTTTGATCAAATCACTCAGCTTAGTGATGAATATTACTTAACAGGTGCAGAACTTGATATTTTGATGCGAAAATCAGACGATCTTATAAATCGCTTACAAAACGGTAGCGTCATATTTGAATTAGGTGCTGGGTAAGTTTAAACAGAAACGTCTTTGTGAAAACAAAAAAAAAATCTGACCCTGCATTCAGTGCTCTTCGCAAGACACAGGTTATCCTTCGAGCTATTGAAAAAAGAAAGATACGCGTGTCATATTATGCATTGGATCTTGATCAACATGAATTAGACAAATCGTTGGCCTCTCTTGGTGAATTTCAGTATGTACAATTATATGGGCTTTTGGGTACGTATGATCAGGGCATACCTTGGATTAGCAAGCACTTTACTTCTTCCGACGTTCAGAAGAACTTTTTATGGATGGGAAGTTCTATTGGCAATCAAAATCGGTTGGAATCTGCCATGTTTCTTCGTCGACTTCAGAGAATGTGCATGGAGCCAGGGGATTTTTTTGTGATCGGGTTTGATAAACGAAACGCTGCCGAAAAAATTGAGTTGGCATATGATGATTCCTATGGTGTTACCCGTGAATTTATCATGAATGGATTGGATCATGTGAACCGTATCATGGGGCAAGAAAACTTTGTTAATAGAGCAGACTTTGCTTATGATTCCGTGTATCAAGAAAAGCAAGGGCGTCATCTTTCCCATTACCGTGCGTTGAAGGATACCACGGTCCATTACAAAACGTCACAAAAGGAATATGATATCAAGATTAAGAAGGACGAGCTTATCCATGTCGAGCACTCTTACAAATACTCACTCGGTGAAATACAAAGTATTTTGTCAGCAGCTGACCTTAACATGGTCGATTATTGGCTAGATTCCAACGATCAGTATCGTCTTGTTTTAGCCGAAAGCCGACCCTTTATCTTTGATCGTAACATTGAACAAGTTCGCAACACCATCTTTCCATCAAAGAAACTTTTTGAGTTAGAGCCCATCAATTGTTATGATTGTAATGAAGGCCAGTTGACAACTTTGGAAAATATCGAGGTCGAAACATTAGACCATTCGTTATTGAACACGAACAAGACATGGCCTACCGAAATCCTGCCTACGATGCATGAATGGAGTGAACTTTGGAAATCGTGGGACTTGGTGACACAACATATGTTAAATCCCAACATCATGTTTGAGAAGCCTATTTCTTTCCGTCATCCTTTTATATTTTATTTAGGCCATATCCCTGCTTTCCTTGATATACAGCTTTCACGTCATCAGGTCGACAAGGAATTAGGTGCTACGGACTTAACTGAACCCAAATACTATGCAGATATTTTCGAGCGCGGTATTGATCCCGATATGGATGATCCTACTCAGTGTAACCCTCATTCTGTTGTACCTGCAAATGAAAGTGATTGGCCATCTGTAGAATCTATCTTCACTTACCAAAGTAATATTCGTCAACGTCTTCAACGTCTCTTGGCCTATTGGGAAGCAGAAGCCTTCAAGAGTCAGTCACCATCCTGGGTAGATGCTAAACCTTCGCGAAGACGTCAAATGCGCATTGTCTGGATGTGTTTTGAACACGAGGCGATGCATCTTGAAACTTTACTTTATATGCTTGTTCAAAGCCCTAATGTCTTACCTCCTCAGGGTGTTGCCCTGCCATCCTGGAAACTTGCTAGTCAAGAATCAAAGAAAGCTGAGCTTTCTCAACTACCTGAGGCTCCCACACTCAAGATACAACAAGCAACTGTTACATTAGGCCACAATGATAGCGAATCTGCGGACTTATTAAGCGAGAAGGGCGCTTTGAAAGGGTTCGGTTGGGATAATGAACATCCCGAACGTCAAGTAGAAGTCGCAGATTTTGAAATACAAATAAGGCCAGTAACTAATGGTGAGTATTATGCCTATCTTGAAGCAACTCACAGTAAGGCTATACCATCCTCTTGGATTGTGAAAGATGGTAAAACTTTTGTTCGTACAGTCTTTGGTCCGTGTCCTCTTCCTTATGCTCAAAACTGGCCGGTTCAAACATCGTATAGAGAAGCCAAGGGATATGCTGATTTCAAGGGCCGTCGACTTCCTTCGGAGGCCGAGCTAGTTTTGTTCCGTGATTTCACTTCAGCTGGAAAAGTCAAGGAAACCATGAATAAGTGGACTAACATTGGGTTTGAGAACTGGAGCCCTACTGATGTTAGTAATGATCAAATTCATAACTTGGGTGATGTTTGGGAATGGACAGAGACAGTTTGGGAAAGCCATACAGGGTTTGAGGCCTCCAATATTTATCCTGGATACTCTGCCGATTTCTTTGACGGAAAACACCATGTTATATCTGGTGGAAGTTGGGCCACTCACCCACGTATTGCTGAACGCAGATCCTTTAGAAACTGGTATCAATGTGGATACCCTTATGCATTTAGTGGCTTCAGACTTTGTCATTATTAATGACACATATCATTTTTAACAAATTTGTTTATTGTATAAATCATTTTAACGTTAACACCGTAATGTCGCCATGCATATTTAAATAAACAATAAATTATCCCTAATTGGCTTTTTTTTTTAAGCAAGGTGATGTTTGTTGATTACGCCAAAGGATGAAGATAGAAAATGGGCTGACATTTTTTATAACAAGAAAAAAATACATGAATATATATATTTACAATGCGTATATATTGAGCATGAGGATTGGCCTACTGTCTCAGGAAAGGGTGATTTAATGCTTCTTTAGCAGTATATCGTTTGGTATGTATGAGTACAAGACAGTGCTTCATAAGATCGACAGCTTGCAAGAATTCTTCACCGTCCCATTTTTTTATGTTGTCGTTGTTCATCTCTCGACATAAAAGTTCAATGTTCATTTCCTCCTCAGGAATGGCTGGTATATTTGTTTTTATTGTGCGACCTACGAGATGTGTAAAAATAAGAATAAAATTATATGAAAACAGAAAAAAAAAAAAAAAAAAGGCTTACCATAGTGTTGGCTAAATTCCCTTAAATTCTTCATGCCAAACAAATGCGCAAATTCCATGATAGCATCGGAATCATCTTCTGGATTAAAAAAAGGATATCTTCCACTAAGAATAATCAAAAGCAGAACACCAACAGCCCAGATATCGATGGCTATACAAAACTTATCAATACAATTTTTTTTTTCAGGAAGCGTTTCATTCATTAAGTAAGTACCTGTTGTTTGGTTTAAGTATTTTAACATGACCTCTGGTGCTCTAAATCCCTTTGTTCCTGAGCGTCCTCCTTGAAAGGCCGGTCTAAAAATGTACATTTAATAGGTATTATAATTTTTTAGAACAAAAAAGCGCAAAACATTACCTCCTGTCGTACATGTAATGGCCATCTTCGCTATGCTCTTGGGTATATTGAGCATTAGCTACTAAACCATTACCTTCGCGTCTGAAAATCGTCTATATTTGTCCAAAACATAATAAAATAAGTCTTTCTGCCTATCTCAATATCATATATATATATAACCTCTTTTTGAGCTAAACCGAAATCAGCGAGATATCCAAGTTTTGTTTTGTTGCTGTACAAAAAGTTTCCAGGTTTAACATCGCGATGAATAATTCCCTTTTCATGCACACCTCTTAAACCAATAAGTAGTTGAGATATGTATGATTTGACATCAGCCATTGTCATATCCAGAAAGAATGTCTACAATAAAAGAGGATATCGTTTAGACTTGATTAATTTAATTTATATGTAGACTTACGTCAAAGTGATCAAAGTCGATATAGGGTAGTACAACATAGGTGTAAGGTTCATGTCGAAATGCAGTAATAAGTGGTGTAATACACGGTGATGATCTATTGATGGGAGTCTGTTACTATCAAATTGTAGAAAGATTGACTCTTTTTTTTTTACCTTAATATCGTAAGAAAATGGATTTCGTTGGCCACACGCACTGGTGAACTAATATCAAAGATCAACTTGACTGCAACAAGGTTGTCATCAGTTTTAGTAACCACGCCGCCTTGATCCACTTCCATATACTCATCCGCTAATAAATCTCTTGCTTTATAGACTTTACTGAATGTGCCTTTGTGAAAGTTACGAGTTAAAGTCAGAGGTAACAACATTACAAAGCAAATTAAAATTACCTCTACCGGCTCTTTCGATAAATTCGTAATAACGAGACAGAGTCGGAAATTCTTCAAAGATGGCGTCAATCTCTTGTCTGTCTCTCTCTTGTATTTTTTCCTTGTAAGCCTTTGCGGTATTATTCTCTTTTGATTTTTTCTCAGTAACTGGACCGATGCTTGCCGTGGTTGTTACATCTGTACTTATTGCAGTTGTACCTGTTGCATCCGTACTTGTTGCATCCGTACTTGCTGCATCTGTACTTGTTGCTATTACTGAACTCTCAACGGGGATTTGTGCTTTGCATTTAGTTTGTACAGGCATCTTTTTACTTGACTTTTCAGTCTTCTTTTCCTGAATAACAATCGTTGTATCTCTCTTGCTGCTTCTTCCTCTTCTAAGTTCGAGTGGGGTTTCTTTTTCTACTTTCTTTCCCATAGATTTATCTCCTGTAAGGTCTAAACTACTCTCCAATCCTTTCTCTGATCCTCTCATCGATCTTCTTACTGGAGCTGTGACTTTTTTTACTTCGGGGACGACCTCTTCTAGTAACTTCTTTTGATTTCTCGTTAATCTTTTGACGATAGGAGTTGGCTCGGTGTTCGATTTTCTTTTATTGGAAGTGGTGATTTTTGGCGGGGTAATAGCTTCCAATTCAGGTTTATCTACTGAATTTGCGTTGTCTAACTTTTCTGAGTCTTTTTGGTTTCCAGAATATGTAGGTGAAAGACATGTTGTATTTTGACTAGGTGGTGGTGTTGGAAGGTCGTTTTTGTGATCTAATGTCGCATCGGTATTGGATCCCTGGTCTAAGGTGATATCAGACTCTTTTGTAATATCGAAAGTGCGTGACATGTTCATGTGGTCCTCTTGCGTCAATTTCATATCGGTTTTTTGTATCGAACCCGTATTAATGCCTGGCGACATCTTTTGGTTCGATTCTTGTGGTGAGTTTATATTGGATTCTTTTGGAGAGTGCAAACCAGATTCCTGGGTAAAGTTTGCATTTACTTTTTTAGGCATGTTCATGTAAAGTCCCTGTGACAAGTCTGTATTAGATTCCTGCGTTGAACTGGTGCCAGAATGTGGGGATTCAGACTGTTGTGTCAGGTCTGAATCAGGCCCTTGTGTTGAAATTAAATCAGACTGTCGCGTCATATTGGTAACTGTATTTTGTATTGACGCGATGTCAAACTTTTCCGGTGATGCGGTGTGATCAGACTCTTTTATTGAGGATGCATCGGGTTTGTATGTTGATACAACAGTAGAATGTTGTTCTAAGTCTACGCTAAACTCCTGCGATGGATTGATAGCAGAGTTCTGAGTTGTTGTGAGGAAAGACTCTTGCATCGATGAGATATCTGAGAATCCTGACAAGTGGTGGTCGTTTTGTTTGGCAGTTTGCGAGGTATGTTTATAATTTCCATGTTGTGGCGTTGGTTTATACTCTAAAAAGTGCGAATCAAAGGGACTGTTCTCTTCAGACAAGGTAGACGAAGGCATTTTAAAAGTTGTTTTCCTAGAGCTTTGTAATTCAGGTACCTTTGATTCAAATGTGGAAGATTCTGCTGGAGAGCATAAAGGAGGTTCGTTATCGCTAGGACAAACTTCACTCTTGTAAAACTCAAGTACATTGTACCGAGCGTCGTCGTTCAGAATGGAATGGTTGTAATGACTTTGGAAACAAGCATCAGCAAATGAGTCATAAACCTCCAAAAGCGACGTCTCATTCTTTAATGAAGGCATATTGAAGGGCGACGAAGGTATCTCATGACGTAAATTGGTTTGTTTTGTGTTACGTCTTGGTGAAGAGTATTTACTTCCAGGAATTACAATAGGTATACCTCGGCTATCCATTATTGAAAGAAAATACAAAGAAAAAAAAAAGTTAAAATTTTTTTTTGCTGTCAACAACGTCAAAAAGATTGACTGACATTCAATGTTTTCCAAAGGGGACAGGGACAAAGCCAAATTACAAAAATATATCAGCTTTTTATTGTTACATAGAGGATAAAAGAGAAAAGAATTATTAATTATCTCAAAGGAATAGTAGCATGCTCTATGGTGGGAGTTATATCATTAGTGGGAATGGTCGGTACAGATGGTATATCTTTTGCTTTACCATCTTCCTCAATATTGATATTGACAGGAGGATTATTACGCTTTTCGAATTCGGAATGGAGGAAATCGCGCACTTGTTTACCAGTACGCATACGAAGAATACGAAGGATTGTATCACTATTAGGTAACTCGATCGAAACAGATTTTCTAGCCGAGGATTTTCTTTTCTTGACTGTGTTTTTCGAATGGTAAACAGTCTTACTTCTGTCTGCCTTTCTACCTCCACGTAATTTTAATTCAAGTTGATTCTTTACTGTGGTATTATATCCTTCGATTAATTCTTCTGTACCCATGTTGTAGGCTGCATTAATAGCCAATAATGCAAAGTATTGTGAACTATCCAGCTTGTCCAGTGAGACTGCGTCTGAATCTTCACCACCATTGAACAAAATCTTAAGAAGCTTTTTAAAGGAGAATAGAGTTAGATAAGTATAGCACAATGTCCTCATGTTTCCAAATTAAACTTACTTCTAACCACTTGAATACAACGTGGAACTCATAGTCGTCCAATGGCTTTAGTTCAGATAATTGTTCAGAGAGCGGTGGCAATAAGACGCCTTCCAATGTGATTAAAATTTCTCTCCAAATCTTCAGAACTATATGGTTCATGTTTGTCTCTGACAGATTATCGTTCAAGATTTTAAGGTTTTTTTCCAAATAATCCAATAAGGGACCAATGGAATCTTCACACTCTTGATAATCAGGATTGACATTTCTGTTTGTGCGAGAAAATGACGAAAAGAAGCTGCGATCACGACCAAGTAACTTGTCTATTGTTTTACGATTTAAGATTTGACGGAAGTAATTGCTCATCTGGGATGTATTAGTATATGTATGTCAAAAAAGAAAAAAGAAAAAAAAGTAGTCTACCTTGTCAACAATGAGACCGGCAGCATCATTTTCTGCTCTTTTCAAAACACGGAACGCTTTACCAAACCAAAATTGAATATCGTCTTTTTCACCTTCCATGCTAATACGTAAAACAAGTCGACCTTGTGGTTTAAAATTCAAAACAAGTTCATGTGTTTGGAAATCATCATAATAAGAGGGACCCAATTTAAACCAGTGTCCACCTAATTCCTCGTCAGCTCCAATCACATCTTCATCAAACACAATAGCTAAAACGTCAATGGTCTCATTGGTAAGCCATAAATCAAAGACTTGATCCCATCTAGGATTCAAAGTTTCGTAAACGGTTCTTGTTCTTGCAATATGCTTGGAATCGATCTCCAAGACAACATATGGATCACTAAGACCATTGTTATCAGCTGGCAAAAGATTTTCAGCTCTGACAATCTTGACAGAGTACAGGTATTTGGTATTTTGGTCAGCAGACTCCTTTGCGGACGCAGGTAGTTTAGATTCGTATTCTCTCATCTCTTGAGCAATATCATCCACATCCATATTCTGGTACAAACGGTCTAATTTTGTACGAGCAGCCTCAATGTTGTTAATTTTGACACATGTCTTTTTTTTTAGACAAAAAAAAATTGTGAATACTATATTTCTATTTGGTATTTTGTCCAACAGCTTACCTCGGCCAAAAAATCATAGTTATCATCTATTGCTTTTGTAGAAGTGCCTCTGTTACCAAAGAACTGAGTACGAGCTCTGTCAATGACATTTCCATTGGCATGTGTATTCGCAGCTCTATGACTATGAGGAAAGACATCAGCATGAATCATGTCTTCTAATACGGTGGTATATTGTTCAAGAGCAACCCCAATGACTTTGGATAAGGCTGTATTGAAGCGACATTCTTGGATGCTATTAGGCCATTCCAATCTCTGTACAAACTCAACCGCCTGATGGAACATGGTGAAAAGATCGACGACAGACGAAGAGTGCAATGTTGCATCATTAATCGATTTGAACTATCACATTCAAATTTAGTATACCCCTCAAAATCAGAAAGTCAAAATCAAGGTTACCTCATCTTGCTTAATAGCATTTTTTACCCACTCAGGAGTCTCTTCATTTGTAGTATTTAACCAACGACGGACATGCAACAAAAACCATGATTCAACCTTGAATAACGCAGATTTTTGTCTATATGTACATGTGTAAATAATATGTACTAATTAACATCCATGTATCCCCCCCTCCCCTTTTTTCTTTTTACCTTGGTCCATATTGATCATAGAGTCTCTTGAGTGTAAGAACTTTATCGTACAATTGGAAAGTTAAATCGATAGGAGCATTTCTTGCTTCTGGAAGGAAAGCCCAATTCTCCATTTCCAATACAAAGAAAGGCATCTGACGAGCCATTACAATGCCTGGCAAATGCAACCTACTATTAATAAAGTTGAAAGTTAATACCTTCTGGTGGCCTTTATCATATGCTTTTTTGTCTTACTTTTTAAGCGGCTTTTTAAATTTCTTTGCAACACCCACAAGTTCCTTCATCAATTTATCGGCCATGTTCATAAGGTTAGTCATGTCGTCATTTTTGGGATCTAATACTGATCTCTCAAGCACTCTCCATCTTGATACAGCTGCTCCCTATTGTTTTGAGTAATGATTAATAAAAGTAAAACATGATGGACTATAAAGTGTGAACACATACAGCAATTGTGTCCTCCAATAAATTAAATTGTTGTAATGGATCAGCATGGTCCTCAAGATAGGCTGGATTTTCATAGATACTGTCGAGTAAAGCTATTTGTTCATTGACAAGTTCGGGACTATTTTGATATAAAAGTTCAGATCACCTAAAATATTATTTTTTATTATAAATTTATAACTTACTTTACTCTCCAATATTGGCTTAAAGTATCGGCTAAAGCATGAAGGCATGTTTCATTTAGTCCCTCAAACACACGAATTAAGTTTTCGCGCTAAAATCATTAATTAATAAGGCTATCACAGTCAAATTTAAAGAACCTACATCATTAATAGTCCAATTACGGACGTCGCTTTCCTTCAGACATTTATCAAGGGCTCGCATAGCATCTCTTGCTTCCAAAATGTCAACCTCTCCTTGAAGTTCCTCTGTATCCATACGGTTCTTAATCAGCTCCAAGTAGAGTACAGCTCTGAAGGGAGATGATAGACGCCATGTTTTCCAACATTCACGTAAAAGATCATCCGAAGATTGTGATAAAATACTTGATTTTGCTCTTTCGGTATCGGGAGCAATGTTCGTATCAAGATCCATGCACATGTTCATCAAGAGACGGAAGTATGATCTAGGATCATTGGGAATAAATGTATATGGACTCTAGTTATTGGGTTAATACACGTAAGATATAGTAAGAAAAAAAAAAGAGCCAGGACATACATCATCACTGGAAGAAGAATTTCCATAAACCGAGTTCCTTTTAGAATCACTAGGTCTTCTACCATTATTGCCTGATAGAAGATTTCCGGAGCCAACGTCTTGTTCGCTATTGGTGGAAAGAGTCAAGGTAGAGTTTGTAACCATGATAGTCATTAAACTTTGGAAATATTTCTTTTCTCTTGCTAACCAACTCTCGTAAGCCTGTTGGTTGGAGAAATCCTCTCTTCTACCAGGGAATGGTTGATTTGTATTGACTGCATTAATACATTGTTTTAAGTCTAAAAAGAAATTCTAAAAAAAAAACAACCTTTTTGTTAGACCAATGCAGGTATACCAAAAATTAAATGGGACGTTACCGATTCAGTACAAATAACGTGAAGATCACGAATTTTTTGTCGATGGATAGAGTTTTCGATCTGAAACAAGTTTTGAACAGTCTTGACCATTGGATAATTCTCAATAATATCCAATATATCAGTTGAAGAATTGTTTATGCTTGAATTGTTTCTTTGATCTTGTTGTTGCTGTTGCTTAGACTTTGGTGGTAAAATCGACTTACGAAGGGTTTCCAAAAGTTCGGGTGAAGCAGAGTTGGGTGCATCTTCTTTCAGAGTCAATAACAAGATTTCTGTGAATCGAATAACATAACGGTCCAAATCTTTGAACCAAACTGCTGGATTAGGGTCTGTTTTTTTTAGTTCAGCCTCACTTGTTTTAAGGAAAACAATTACCAAGTCATTAATGGAGCCTGAAGGATGGTAACGGTGCTGTTTGACTTCATCTCTGACTTGTCTCACAACAGAAATAAAACGACGATCTGAATATTCTTGCTTTGAAACGTCTTTACCATCTTTAATGTTCTCCAATCGATGCATTAAAGGAACTACGACTGATTTTGTCAACTTGTCTTTACTTCCACTGTTTTCATCCCCAACAAATTTATCTGCCAAGTTTCCAAATACATCACTGACACCTCCCAAATGAACTGAATGTCGGTTGCTGCTTTTTTCTTTGGTCTCCCTTAAACCCCCCTTCTGTTTATTGTTTTCTTCTATACAGGCACGGATAGCACATCGAAGCGTATAATCATAAACAAAGGCCGGGTTTAAGGTTCGAACAGTTCTTCTCGAGTTGCCAATACCACGGCGAAGAGTAGAACTTTTCGCTTGCATTTAATTAAAAAAAAAAAGAATGAGATGGGAAAAAAGAAACTAAACTTTTTTTTCCTTCTTTCTTTTTTTTTATCGTACCTGACTGGGTGAGACAAGTTTGGGCTGAGGCTTTTGCTTGTTTTCGGAGTGCCAAGCCTGTTATTCCATTTGTTAGACACTAGCAAAAATTAAGCATATTCAAGCCTTGAGCAGGAAGTTTCGGTTGTATTTTACATGTTGTAGTTAATAAAGAGCAGCTACTAAAAATTTGTTTGTCGTTAAGTACATACAAGATGATAAGATATGCAGAACTTTCAAGCAACATTAAATCGCTAAAGAGCAAATTACAGCCCAAGAGAATAAACTCATCACCTTAAATTACTGCATGACAGATTCAATTTACTATTCATTACGCTGTTTGAACATTTAGTGTGAAAATAGGATAGTAACTCATACACACAGCTCCACAACCTATGACATCAAACAGTTTAATTATTCTCCATACGCTAAAGAAATCTTTTGTTTTCCGAAGCACTGGGATCTTTAAAGTTTACATGTATTTTAGGCTTTTTTTTTTCTTAATATGTTTATAAAGTCGATCCCGCCTAAATTTATCATACAGGTTTACTAGGCTGGTCTTTTAGCAATGAATATAACGTTTAATCCGTATATCTTTATTGTTTCTACCTTTAATTTACTCTCAAAGCGACGGTTTTTCGTCGTAAACTACATAAGTTGGATTATATAATGGATGCATAACTATTATATCAATCCTTGTACATCAACGCCCAAGTTTAGCATTTCATTAGCTTACTCTTTCTTATTTCTTCGTTTAAGTGTGAGCTGATATTAAAGACAATGGCATCGAGTCGATTTGTTTTGTTTTTGCTGATATGGTTTAAATCTTGTATGGGAAGTCGTTTGGTATACGCAAGGACGATCTTTAGGTTTATGCATGGTTCAATACGTATCTAAATGACAGCTTTATCACAAGTTTTTTCTTTTTTATTAGTATCTCTTTCTTCTCAAGAAACTTGCTGCTTTTTAAAACTGGAGATCAAAATAAAGAAGGTTTCTCTTTTAATCCACACATTGACAGAAAATGACACGATGTTCACGTACCTGCTTACACAGGTTGACCCATATATTTCAAAGGCCGACTTTTTTTTTGCCAAAACCCAACTCTCGAACAGATAAAGCTACAGGTTGCACTTGTACATAAACACACATTTCCATCATGATCAAATCTGTCCTAATCTTTAATAACCACGGTAAACCCCGTTTAATCAAATTCTTTCAACAAATTGTATGTATAGCATTCTACGTTATAACCATTGTATTTACTTGCCATCCACCTGCACACAGGACATTGCAACACAGCAAGCACTAGTGCAAGAGATCTTTTCACTTGTCTCGAAAAGACCTGATACTGCCTGTAACTTTCTGGAAGGAAGTAAACTTTTGGGCGGTAAGGATACGCGTGTTATCTATAGACATTACGCAACCCTTTATTTTGTCTTTGTTGTCGACGATAGTGAAAGTGAATTAGGCATCTTGGATCTTATTCAGGTAAGTCAGTAGTCAGGACCTAAGTACTGGAAAAGCTAACCTGTTACTAAGGTATTCGTCGAAAGTTTGGATAGATGTTTTGAAAATGTCTGTGAGTTGGACCTGGTAAGTTTCTTGTTTAAAAAAAGGGGGGATGTTTAGAGAGTGTAAGAGAGAGAAACTCAGTAAGATAGTGTAGATCTTTCATTTCGATGAGGTTCATGCTATTCTATCAGAAATTATTCAAGGTGGTTTAGTCTTGGAAACAAACATGAGTGAGATTGTTGCGGCGATAAACGAAATGAATAAGGCCAAGAAAAAGACAGGTGTTTCAGCAAGCAGCTTGGGCCTTCGAGCTACGGAATCGTTGAAGAATGGATTCCGCCACTAGAATATACACATTAAGTATATGAAATGTAATAATTGTTAAATAAATCAAAAGAAAAATCATTGTAATCTACTCTTCTGTTGAATGATTTCGAAAGACGATATAATTTTATGGTAAAAATGTGTCTATTTTATTATGTTCTATAGTGTTATATTGTTGGATAAATGGTTTGCTCGAGTAATAAGACGATCTACGCTACATGCATGCCTTGCTTGGATCCCGTTCTGCTTCTATTCATTGTGCGATTTTGAAGTTGTGTAGTTCGATATTGTTCGTAAAAACGTTCGAATGTATCAATTCTAAGCATGTCTTTGTGTCCGGATAAGAGTGCCTTTTTCAATGTTTCGAAATCACAATGGGTAGGATTGCAACACTCAACAACAGCCCAAGGATAAGATCTTCCCAATACAGATTTGATAATTTGCTTATTTTTAATGAACTCTTTTTTTCTTGTTACGGGAGTTGGCGAATCCTGCATCTCTTCATCCTCTTGTTCCTTTATATAACCCGAATTGCTATTGCTGCTGTTCTTAATACTGATAGGTCTTCCCGTCTGTGCATCTTCTTCATAACCAATAAGGGTAAAGGGCATACTCTGAAGATAGTCAATCATTGCTGAGGCGTCCTCGTCGTTATCTTCTTCCACACACTCATGGAGCATATCTAAAATTTTGGTTCTTTGAGAAGGGTGATATCCTTTTGTACTCGTTCTCTTGCCAAACATATCCTCGTCTTCATCCACTTCGATATAACCATAAATAGGGATTTGAAGTATGTCAAAAATTTCTCTTCTGAACACAGTTTTAAGTTGATTACACTGCGCCACAGTTAACGTGTCCGACTTGCCAATAACCGGCACAATATTGACTCGAGTACTTAAATTCTGCAAAATGTAACGGTCGGCTTCGCTAAGCCCATTGATACTTTGAATATCAATAAAGTAAAGACATGAGTGGATATGGGTGTCTAAAGCCTTAGCATCTCTTTTCACTTTTGATTCCTTTTAAATAAAAGTTTATAAATGATGGAATACCGTGTTTCTAAAACGCAAATATTTACCTCGGCAAGGGTACGTTCAAATTGGTAATCAATGTATTTTGCAATATATCTTAATTGGTGGTCAACGGCGACACCTGTGGTAAAACCCGGTGTATCTATAAGAGTTAAAGCAGTTCTCTGTCCTTGCTCTTGGATATGCATTGAAACAGTGTATAATTCTGTGGTGGGTTGCAATGGATCATTAAGCACCATTGATTTTGATTCTCTATAGGACCCTTGAATAACATCATGCGTCAACGTTTCACAGAAAGTTCGAATAAACGCAGTTTTTCCAGATCCCGCTGATCCAACAACCATTATGTTTAAGTAAGACACTGGATCTTTTCTCGATCTTGAGTTTCCAGATATCTTTTGAGAGTAAGCGTTATATAACATATGTAATAGTAAAAGAAAAAAAAGTATTTCGTTTGCAATAGAATAAGTTACAATGGGTAGACCGTCAATTTATATTACATTATGTTTTCGACTTGTTTACTGAAGTAACAAATATCTCGTTTAAACTTTCTCATCTACCTTTCGGGGAACTAAATTTCGAATTGAACTACCAACGCTTTGGGATTGAAAAAGAATAAAAATCAGGAAAAAACTCTTCCTGTATTGTTTGTATAAATAAGGTTATTTGTTGTCACATTGTTCTTTTTATTTGATAGATACAAACAACCTATCCCCCTGTCATTCATAAATAGTAATCACATCATAAAGAGGAGTATCCTTTCTATGAGGAGAGAAGGCAGGAAACGGGGATATGGGTAACCTTGGAAATGAAATGGGAGCCAATTCTAAATTAAAAAAAAAAAAAAGAAAAAAAAAAAAACCAAGCCCGGTACTATTACATGCCTTTTTGGATACGCGCCCAAAAAGAAAGGGAGGGGAGGGGCTTGTGGTTGTATAACGCTATTTGTAGACAATAGAGATCTAATAATACCTGGGAAGGCCTCTTTTCTAATGTATTATATTTAGACTTTGTTGTCCCACTCAAAAAGGGACATAATTGTTATTTGGTAGACGGGAGCAAAGTCTCCGAGCCACATTATTTCGAAATGTTGAAAGATGCGTGGACAAGCTTATACAAATAGATTTGATGTGTGTCCATCATGTTTTATATTGTTTATTATACCATTTACAGTTTATATAAAAATGTGGTGTATGAGAGGGAGAAGGGGATAATGTACAAAAGATGAAGTGTTTTTATCATAAAGTTCAGTATTGTGGCTTTAAAAATAAATTCGGCTTAGTAGAGAGAGGTATGTATGTAAAAATAATTAAGCGCCGTTGAATTAAAAAGAGTCTGTCGTGAAAGGTTACACGAATCTTCCGATGGCTCTCTGGTATGGTTTAATGGAGGCACACTCCTCTCTCAAATTCTCAGACTTGGGATGGTCCCATTTCTTTTGAGCAATGAATCTACGAGCCAGTCTGATACAGATTTCTTCTCTAAATTGAGTATACAATCTTCTGTTGTAGTATCTCTATAAGGATTTGTTAACAAAAGTAGAATTAAAAAATTAGATAAGAGTTTTGTACCTCAACATTTCTTGCTTCATCAGGATAGGCATGAGTCTGGTGAATAATAAAATCATTTGGTAAGACATAGTAATCTACACCAGAGATATATAATTCATAGAGACAGGCTGCCTTATTACTACCATAACCAGAGAATCTTTCATCACACCATGGAGAACCCTGATTCTTGAAAATGACATAAGGCTCATAAGAAAATTGATATGAAGTGACGGGATAGATTTCGGCGTCCTTTTCTTGCTGTGTCCAACGTTCATAATCAGTAGGTGCATGACCAGGTAACCAAAAAGAATGAAACATCTCAACTTCTTTGTCGGTGTATTGTTTTACAAGGTCGGGCTTATTCTTTGGAAAGCTACGATAATCCAAGCCTTCTTCTTGTTTCGAATATTCAAAAGCAGGAATCACCAAAGCGGCTTCCCCGGAGCGAAGGAGATTCATGGCTTTAGGGTTATTCAGTACAGACTGGCGAATGTTGGTACATGGGAAGAAATCGATATCAAGTTGCATGACGTATTCCGTTCTTGCAAATAGCTTTGCTACGTTTCTCCAAAGGTTCAGTTCGCGATCGAATTCGTCACGGACCACATGAACATCAACAAATTTACGCATTGCTGCATTTCTTTCCATAGCTTGCTGTAAAATGTCTAATGTGTATTCGCCTTCTTCGTCATCCGAAATATGAATAGTAGTAGAAATAGGACCTAAAAGATATTGTATGAGTATACGAATGTTGTTGTTATTGTCTTTAAATATATAATAGTGGTACCTTGATATTGTGTAGCAAGTCTTGCTAAATTAGGAATTCTATTTCTGGTAACAAGCGTAACAATCGTTATATCCTCGCCCGTCAGGTTCAATTCGGCCTTATAATAGTATGGAATGATTTGGGATTGTTCAGAATAGGAAGATAGCGAAAAGGATTTCGACAAGACCGTCTCGATAGGCAATTGATGTATGCCGCCTGTACAAGGAGCATGTTTAGTACATGACAGATACATAATTCAACTGCAAACTTACCGTTTCCGTCGGTCCAACTGAAATGACTATTAAATTGACCTTGTTGCAACGATGAATCGTTTCTATAAAAGAGCGCTCTACGGTAATGAGATGTATTGGTATCAAACGAATAGTATCTGGAGAACAATGCGAAACAAGAAATGAGAATAAGCGCCATGAATGGTTTAGCGCCTCTACGGGCCATAAATGATTGTAATTCAGCGGCCATTCTAAGATTTGTGTATATTTTTTCAATAAAAAAAAAAGTTGTTGAGAAAAATCAAACGAAAAGAAAAAAATGTCGTTGCTTTATATACAAGAATTGTTCTAAAAATAAGAAATCAACAACACTTGACTAAAAAAAAAAGGTTACACAATCAAACCACCACTTTTTATTATTATTATCATCACCTCAGCCCATCCATGGGCTTTGTGATACCTCTTTTTTTGGACATAAAAGGTTGTCTGTTTACAGCATGAATATTACTGTGAGATCCGAATTGTTGATTAAAAAGGACTTATTAACTGTTTTTCTTTTTGCTTCTCTTTTGAGTATTACAATGGTTGCGTTAGTGCATAAGTTTTCTTGGGAAACAAGGATTTATCTTTATATTTAGGTAAGATGTATCATTCAGGAACGACAGTGTATTAATAGGCCAAAGTATTTATAATACTTGATGTCTTATTTTAGTCCCTTGCTAGTTTCGAGGTCATTTCTGATTGCATTGAATTGATGTTTTGCAATAGGAAAGTTTCATTCTATTGTGTATAAAACCATTTTAATCAACTTTTGTAAAGCTTAAACCAATCTGAATTATAGTTTTTTTTTGGAAGTACGGACATCAAAGCACATTTACAGTGCTGACGGGCTCAAATGGCGGTTCTTAATTTTTCTACACCTTTCTGTGTCCAGTTCCCACTTTCTTCATGCTGTCCCTTATTTCAATCTCAGGCTTCCGTGTTTATATTTTTAGAGCTTGGTTCTTGTGTTCTTTATCGTTACTTTTTCGTAAGTACTAAATATGGCAGCAATAACAAGAGAACAGACTGTTTGCGTAGTATATTGTGAAGCTATAACGAGGAAAACGTATAAAAATTTGTAGCAAATATTGATATACTGAAACGTTTGAGATCTGCTGCAAGGTGGATCTCATAGAGCCGATGGTGATCTCGATATAAAAAAAAGGGTATACCCGCTCAGATACGAAAGTTATTCAGCCAAATAAAAAAGAAGTCGCATATTAAAGACAGTCAAGGGTGATAAAAGATCAAATGGACTGATCTGCTAAAAAAGCCATACCTTTTCTACTTTATGATCCAATAACATGAAGAATATTTTTATAGTCTTTGAAGCACAAATGTCCCATTTTGTCAGTAACGTATTTTGCCTGACACTCATACAACGAAAGAATATACATCTGCAAACAACTAGAAAGTGTATAATTATATATTATTGAACTTAATCTAACGACGAAAAGGGATTTAACTTTTACTTTTATACCAACGTTGATGATACCAGTAAATATGAAGCAAAGCGTCTACGTTTTATTTTCTTGGTTATTGCCAATAACATATTAAGCAAGCTTTTTAGAGAATCTAATGCCTGAACAAATATGGTAATACAAATTCAGGGCAAAACAATTTTACCTACTCAGTTATCCCGGTTTTCAAGTATTTGTTACATATTAAGCGGTACCGGCCCATAATGAAGAGCAAAATTTACTGGGAGCGCGGCGACGGCCATCATCTCTACCGAAACGAAAATATGGCTTGAAGAGGCCTAGTAAGATTAAAGTAAGCTGGCTTTTTTGTGATACATCATATTTTAAATTGTATTCAAGTCAAACATTGTCTGCTGTTTTTAAAGTGAAGAAGAAAACACCTTGTTTACATAGTAAATCAAATTACATACAAAGCTTTTCCACTCATTACAACAAAGCTTAAGGCCGTGTAAAAAAACTTGATGCCTTTTAGTCGAGAAAGTCTTTATTTGTACCACCAATGCCCTCAAAGTTAGGCAAATACGCTAATATTAACAATGGTATTCCAGTTTTACTGTACTTCACCCTGTGAACATAACATAGGACCAAATGCTTAAATTGTTTGAGAAAACTCAGTATGTGACGACGCGTACAATAAAATAAAAGGGGTACTTTTTGTGGGGCTTAAAAGGGGATCTATTAGTTGGTTTTCCCTTTTCTATTTTAAAATAATGACGGAAACCGTATCAGCGCCTCAGGTTACTTTGAGAAGGCTGTATCCTGGTAGACGCTTAGAAGTAAATCCTTGACGATACATGCACAACACAAAGAATTCATATTTTCAGTCTTTTTTTAGGATACTTTTCAATGGCCATTTGAAACTTTAGATTCATTAGAATCATCTTTTAATGTTCAAGAATATTTGCAACAATTAATACGTTTAAATTGTGGGGATGTCCAACGCATCATTCAATTACCAGAGAATGTCGACGACGAAGTGTGGCAATACGAACATTTACGGTATTACTGGTTGCCATCAATAGTGTCCGACGTGTATTAATATCATGATTGTTTAGTCAGGTGTGCTTAGAGCTTAGTTTACTTGTAGTAGCATTAGAATCAGAATGTAATCGGGAGAATTGCCCAGAAATGAAGGCAGATGGCTGGTTATATCTCTGCGCTGCTCACCCTTCTACACAATCCGTATGTTTTCGTTGATTATAAAGCTATTTGTCAATACTAAGTCATCATTTTATATAGTGTCCAGCCATTGATTATATTATACACACACTGGATGGTGCAACAATCTTACTAAATAACTCTAAATACTTTCCCAGCAGGTTAGTTATTTATTTCCATTTTTGTGCGTTAGTTGACATTTTAATTTTAGAATTTCCGTACCTGAGCCTTCATTAAAGCATTTCCAATCTATTGCCAGACGTCTCTATCGTATTTTTGCACATGCTTATTTTCATCATAGAGAAATATATGAATACTTTGAGGTATAGTTAAATTTTGGATGTATTTTCGAAAGATGATTGAATGTCTTTCTTTTCTTAAGAACGAAACAAGCTTATATGCAAGATTTCTGTTATTGGCTCAAACATACAGTTTAGTTCCTCCCAGTCTAATCAGTATCCCTGATACTGATAATACCGCAAATGAAGACGACGATGAAGACGATGGCTATAATAGAAACATACCTCACAACACGTCTGCCATACAATTATCCCGAGGTCAAGAATAATTAGCTACAATTTAATTTTAATAATAATATATATTTGGTTTTATATATTTAGGTTTTATGACATTGAGGGTGTATGATATTAACACGCTTTTTTTTTTCTTTTTTTCATTTGATAATAATTTTTTTTTAAGCTTTTTTTTTTACTATTGATGATTGTATGTTTTGTAATTTAAAGAGCTTCATCTTCATCCATGACTGGTAATTCGGAAGGCTTGACCATACCAGGAATAGCCAATTTCGATTGCATTTCAGCCTTTCTCTGGGCTTCTAACTCTTTTTCCTTTTCTTCCAAATAGAGCTCGGCATTTTCACCAGCAAATTCCTTCAATTGGATGAGGAAATCACGCACTTCCAACTTGAATTTAGTGGGGTTATTGTTAAATTCGAACATGGAGCGAATAAAGACCTTGACTTGGTTGCTATAATAGAAAGAAATTATTACAACATGAAACTACATATAATGTCTGCAAGCTATACCTTTGAAGATGAGGGAAAGCATTTTGTAAGAGTGTGGAGACATATTCACGCAAGAAATCGCCATTGCTTGGATATGAATTAGAGTTATAAAGAGGTACAGCAATCATGTTATTAGAGACCAATTGGAAAAGACGTGCCAATACCTCAGTTTGACCCTTGAAGCCTAAAAAAAAAATTAATACATGTATTAACACCATAATAAAAATAACCTTACCACTCTTGTGGTCACGATCAGTGAGCACAAAGAAGATGTCTTGAAGGATACTAAGATAATAAGACTGGTAAAATGCACCAGCAACAGCGGGATCTGTACGACTAATGTTATCGATAAGTTCACCGCAAATATCGAGACCAAGATCAGCAATGTCACGCATAGTATGCTTAAAGCCCCAAACAATACTATCAATGAAGAGCTTAAATTGAGCAGGTGCTAATTCTAATAATGCAGGGAAACAATGTCTATTGATGGTTCTCAGCATCGAATAAAATCCTGTTCTATGGTCGGGGTATTCTGCAAAGTCTTTGGTGATCATGTTTAATGTGGGTTCAAAAGTTGCTTCGAAGATAAGAGGGACACGTCGAGTCATTAAGCCCTAATAATACAATAAGTACAAATTCTTTTTGACGAAGCAATACTTTTTCTTACCTGTAACTTATCAATGATGGTGGAAATAACATTTAACACTTCAGCGTCTCTGGCAGCATCAACATTGGTGCTATAATCACTCAAGACAGCTTCCAAGAAAGGATCAACCATACCGTTATCCACGGCTTGAATGTTATCAGTACATTCGATGTAGGTATCGACTAACTTTAAGATCTCCTTCTTGATGGTTCTCCAACCACGAACCTTGGGTGTCTTCGTGGCAATATCACCTTGGGTGGCGACACTTTGGGAAACCAAATTACCGACAATACGGTAAAGAGCCAACAAATCCACGAAAATTTTACTCAATTGAATAATGTATGCAGAACCAACAGAGGTACAAGCTGCGACATTTGTCTTTAATACATTACTCAAAATCTTGATCTCGTTAGGGTTATTCAAACAGTCCGTATTTTGCTTGGCTTGAGCCATCATGCTATCCCACTATAAGTTGAGTCTGTTAGAATTTGGAGATACTCCTTACTTGTATGTTTACTTACGGCATTGTTGGGAAGTTCCATAAACTTAAGCATTAATCTTTCTTGAGCAGCAGGGTTAGTTTGGGCAGCAACCATATAACCAATGGCTTCATAGAAAGTGTGGATTTGAGCAGGGGCAAGATCGGAAGTGATGCGGTTAACATTCTCGAGAATCTCTTCAACAAAAGGATGAACCTCGCCTTGCTGTTGTGCTACGAAGTGACGCTTACATTGTTGAGCGATCTTAATAAAGGTATCACAGGCCATGTCTTGGACACCTTCGTGAGATTCGTGCATGAATTCAAACAATTTGTTAACAACAGTCTTGAGGAATTTCCAATGAGCCTTCAAGAAACGGGGATACTGACCAACACAGTACATGATGTTGGAGGCGACAACAGCCTTATTATCCTTGCCACGCTTCATTTCACAGAGAGAAAGAAGCTCCTTAATTACAGTAACCAAGAAACGCTTCTCAGTTTCTTCGTTCATAGCACCGGAAATAGAACCGATCGCCCAACAGAGCTTGTTGAGGTTGTTCCAAGACCACTCGCTACCATCCATCTATTCAAAATTTTACATTAGTATTCATTTTTTTACACAGCACAAGCTGTATATGATACTTACTTGTTTGGATAACTTGGTGGTCATGATCTCTTCAGTGTCAGAAACGTCGAGATTAGTCAAGTAAACGAGAGCTTCCTTCATACTCTTGTATAAAATGATAGTATCACTCTCTTTAATGAATTCTCTGACAATTTCACCTTCATCGTTTTCAACAACGAGGACTTCCTCGGGCTTAACCATACATTCAATCATAACAACTCTTAAATTGGACAATACGCTGATGTAGAGGTTTTTTCTGGCAGCACCGTTAAATCCACCCATATTGTTTAAATCCAATAATTGATTACCGCTAGAGGAAGCTGCTTCTTCGAATAATCCTTTGAGTAACTTGGCCCAGTATTCTAAACAAATCTTGAAAATCTCACGGTCTTCTACGCGAGAGATTTTGATAAGATAAAAGTGAGCATTAATTAAAACCTCGTGGCTAGCAGGATATCGTTCGACGGTCTACTATACAAATTAGTATTTGTGAAATGCAAGATTGTGATTTCTATACCTGTAAATGTCTGGAAAGATAACTGGTAAGGAATAAGGCCAAATTTTGGACAAACTCTTGGTCATCATCATTACTGTTTTCATATACATCGGCAATGTCTGCGATAACAGAAAGAAAAAAAATTAGTAGGCGCTTCTGCAGAACTTTCATAATAATCTTACTAGTGCTGGGAGGAATCATAACATTTGTAGCGTTCATGATGCCGGTAAACATCGAAACCATCTTCTCGCTATAGTTGTCGGTGTTTTCAAGACCACTAATTTCGGTAAAGCACTTTAAAGTAACATTTCTAAATTGAGGCACTGCAAAAAACTAACATGATTTCAGCTATTTATCCATACACGCTCCTGATAATTTATCATCTACCTTATTGAGGAGAACTTCGATAAGGTCTGTTTCGAAGACATATCCAACGGGAACCCAATCAACAAATCTCAATAAAGTTTCAAGGGTGGCTTTAATGAGACTGGGTTTGACAGCTTTATCGAGGACTTCTCGGCACAAGTTGTAAATCTCTGAAAATTCTGATGTCATTTGACTTTTCAAGGTACTGGCCTTTGCTTGGGTCATTTGATCCAAAGAAAAATCGAAAATCTCTTCACTATAAATTAAAAAGAAAGAAGTGTAAGGACGTGCTTCGGGTGATATATGCTTTGTTTTTCTTACCTCAAAAGCTTTAAAATAGCCATGTTATTCTCACAAAGAGATAAGTTGGATTTGCTGGAGGCAATAATCTCAGGAATAAAAGAAGGCCAGTTGTGAGGCCATTCTTGCTTAAGGATCTACAAAGAAAAAAAAAACTTTTTTAATCCCATTGTGTACATAATCGTCACTTTTAGTTATTTACCTGAACAAGAACCATGTTGAGCTTGTTAATGTAAGTACGCTCCTTGGCTAAATTTGCTTCGTCAGAGGATTGCTTCACAATAACATTGACAATGAAGTAGCGAATGGCTTTGAGATAGAGGAGCTGTGAGTTTAAACGGTATCAAGCGTGTGACAACAATTCTTACCATTTCTACTGTCAGCTTGCAAAGTGTTCCATCTTGTTTGAACAAATTTTTCAAGAATTTGTAACGCGATAAACTGGAGCGACGCGTTAATTGTGTCCCGTATAGTTGAGTGAATTCATGATTCTTACCTTTGTCTGAGGAATAGTGGACTTTTCTAAAATACCATCAACTTTAGTCCAAGCTTCTTCGTGATCTTGGAATTGAGTCAAAAGCTGTTGGGCGAATTGTTGCTATTATAAAAATATTGAGTGAGAAAAGTGAACATCTACAAATGTGTTTTTTTTTTTATTATTGTTTATATTTTGAATTAAATGGACATACGTCGGCACCAGCACCAGTGTAAAATTGCATAACAACTTGATCTAACAAGGCAACATCAAGTTCCTTACTAAAATCTAAAATAGAATCTGCCATTTTGTGATGTGTGATAGTTAAAAGAAACAGGGAGGAAAAAAAGCACAAAATGAATGCATTAGTATTTAGGGTGGCCGAAAATAAACAACGTCACGTATTTAACTTTGTAAAGCGACCAATCAATTGAATTGAATTTGTAAGCAATTCAAAAAGACAAAGAATCATATCTAAAGGAGACACTACATAGTTTTTAGGTTGAACCTGCTTAAATTCTATTTCATTGTAGTGTCTAGCATTGTGATAAATACAACAATAAAAACATGGTTATTTCTGGAAATAATGCCTTATTTTGTCACATGTTCTTTTCTTTAAAGAATTCATTATTTCTTACAATCAAACTATAGACCTATTATGTCAAACCATACGTGTAAAAACCTGCATTTAATTATTTTATTGTTTATTTACTCCCTCCCCCCTTTTTTTTCTTTAGTTTCTGATATGTTTTCTGAAGCCGAACAAAATAAACTTCAATCGTTCCTAACTGACCTTGAGCAAGATCATTCCTCACAACACCAGAACATTGCGGAATCCTCAACATCCAAAAAACGAAAAGACCACAAACGGAAAACTCCCTATGATAGGAAATCAAATTCGCCGGAAGAGGAATCTGCTTCAAGAAGGACAGGGAGAGCAAGGAAGCAAGCGCATGAATTACTTTCTGAAGATCAAAAAAAAGCAAACCATATTGCCTCTGAACAAAAAAGGAGAGCAAACATCAAAATTGGATTTGATCAGCTAGTTGATATGGTTCCTACTCTGGATGGCAGCCATCGGAGTGAATCATTAGTCCTGCAGAAATGTAAAAGACTAAATCAATTTCTCTTTAATCATTCTAATCTTTGATATTAGCTGTTGATTATATTCGTGATTTAGTGAAAGACAAGGATGGTTTAAAAGAAAGGGTCAGAGAACTCCAAGCATTGCTGGGCGAGCTGTAAGTCATAAAATATTAGCCATCATTTGATAAACTAAATTTCCATTTTTTTTTTCTAGACCCGATGAAGATGTAAGCACTACTAATTAATTAATTGATGTGATCGTCGTAGCTAACTTCCATAATTAATTAACAGAGTTCAGAAGATGACATAGAACATTTTCGGTGATATGATATGATGTCTATTATGAAGCCAGGGTTACCGTTGCCCTAAATTAATAAAAAAAAAATTTTTTTTTTGGATTAAATGTACTTCTTGACTTTCAATAATAAAAAACTTGCTTCTTATCTTTCTTATTTCACAGTTGAATGTTTGCATGACACTTTAACCATGCACAGACAAGAAAGAGCGATATAAGTTTATTAAAACGTGCGTCAATTATGCTTCCGGGCAGGTGATAGATCAGTCAGGTATGTTATTGTGGGTTTTTAATGCTTTTTAATGTTTTTTAATCGCTTCTCACTTAATACCATAAAGTCGTACACTCAGTCTTCTGCATTATAAATAAACAATAGTTTTTTCTAACGTATCACATCGAGTTAAATAAAAATTTAGTTTGCATTGTGTACCAATGTATATTTTTCTGCAGCTTTAATAAAAATTCTGGCCATAATATAGAAAAAGATGGCGAAGCTTTCTGGAAGAATTTTATGTCGGTAAGGATCTTCCTCACAACAATTATTCGGAAATTTTTATTGTTTGAGGAGACAATTACTGGGGTTTAAGGATCTTGTGTTATCAGATGCTCGATGATTAAAATGGGTATGTGTGTAGGTAAAGAAGCTCTCGAGGTATGTACTAGTATTGTGTTAGGAGAGTCATTGGAAGTGAAAGGCTAGTCGAACATGAGAGGGGGGGGGGGAGTTGAATGGTCTCAGTCACCGGAATGTATCGTGAGGGCATCCACAGCAGAGGAGCCATAATATATAAATGTTTAGGGTATGGTGAATGGGTTTTTTATATCATTAGAGGATTTCTGACAATCTTATTGTTGTGACAATCAGTAATTTTCAGGCAGCTGGATTTAGCACAGTAGGGTAAGACAAGGGGCGTATCACCTTAGGCTAAAACACAAATGTCAAAAATGTCCTATCCAACGAAACTCTAAAATATTAATTACATTCATCAGATGTTTCACCAGGCAATTTATTTTATGTGCCATATATTTTTTTTCGGCCTCTATTTCTTTATAATGACACTGTGTTTAAGCCTAAATAGCAGATGTAATTTAAGCATATTTCTTTATGCTCTAGATCAACAATTCTAAACACAAGACAGATTATTTTCGGTTTGGTCATATATAGTAATTGAATCAAAATGCTCGATGCTTGAGGAGTGGCTAAACCACTCTCCTTATTTACGACAAAAAAGAAGCGGCAAAACTGTAGCACTGTAAATGTAACTATATGCACATGTTACGCGTGGAATCAAAACTTTTTGCGAAATTGCATAATGCACTTCTTTCATAGTGACGTGACTTATTTTAATCAAACATCAGTAAAAGAACATGTAGCAAATTAGTTTATTTAGGTGATGAAGATGACGAAAAGTAAAGATATCGATAAAGTTTGAATTTTTATTTAATTATAAGCAAAAATATATCGAGAAAAATAAAAAATATTGGTTTAGATGCCAAACTTGGCTTTGCCATTGCTATTGAGGAGTCCAAAGTTAGACTCGATACCACTGGACTTCCAGTTAGAATCTTGCCATTCAAAGAAATAATAAGGAAGAGAAGTACGGGAGATTTCAGAAGCAAAAGTTTCAGTATTGCTGACACTAGGGACAGCCTTTCCTGAAGAAGCACCTGCGGATGGCCAGCCAACCTCAGCGATATAAGTCTTCTTTCCTCCAGCCACCTTCTTAAAAGCATTGTATCTATCATTTAAATTGGACATGGCGTTCTTGATATCAACTTGAGAGAAATAGGGATGAATATTGACAGCAACAAAATCAGAGACATCAACCAACTCTTGAGGATATGTAACGTCCATCTCGGCGGTTCCGACATCAATACCTTTGGAAATAGCCTTGACAGCCTTAAACTTCTTGATCAATTCAGAAGCAGGCATGACACCGTTGAAAAGAACTTCGTTACCAACCAAGATACCAGTGATGGCACTTGTGTCATGGTTTGCTAAAACGGACTTAAGGGTGGAGATCTCTTCTTGATCCTTGCTTGTACCGTCGATCCAGACAGAGGCCAGCACTGTCATACCACCACCTTGAGACTTGATAGCGTCCAAAATAGCAGGGAGTTGATCACATTCTTGAGAATAGGTACGGATACTGTGAACACCGCTCGATTTCATCAGCTTCACAGAAGCTGCGATTTCTTGCGAAGATTGACATTCACCATTTGAATTACGGGCAGTATATGTGACTCCATTAAGGGATGTGATACCGCGACGTTCGAGGGGAAGTGATTGGATGACACCAGCAAAAGAGAGGGCGATTGTAACGAGAGAAGTGAAACGCATATTGGTTAATTTGATGATTTTCGCACAGCGATTGATTTGTAAAAAAAAATGATAGTGAGTTGAGAAAAAAATAAACAAACTGAGCCTGCAGTAAAGGGGTATTTTTTTATAGAGCAAATGTGATAATGAAGAGAAAAGAATGCAAAAGCTTATTTTTTATACCAATTTATACATTTTTAATCTCACCTCTATTTTTTTTTTTCAACTTCCTTTTTTGAATGCCGTTAATGAGTCTGATCCCTTCCCCTGATCGCTGTGAATTGACGTGATTTGCCCGGTTTTATATTGAATTTTAATATTGTTTAAACCTGCCCACTTGAATTCGTGATAATTTAAAAAACGTTTTTTCACGGTTATCCTTACTTTCCTGTACGACGGAAATTCAATGAGTCAATATGGGTCCAGGTAGTTCTTTTTTTTTTTTTCTTGGCTTAAGATCTTGTGCTGTTTTCGCTTTTAACCGAGATTTTGCCCGAACTCAATATTTTCAAGAATATCGCATCATTATTGATTCATGTAACATCTGATCAGTTTTTTCAACATTCATTTTGTCTGCTAAAACTAAAATATTCCAGTTTTTCTATCCCGTAGAACAGGTTTTCTCGTTCGTTCCTATTTAAATCACAGCGAGAGTGTGTCTTTATGACTCGGGCTCCCTTCACGGAGACGTGGATGTAACACTCCCAGGCGTGAAGTATTTCAAGACAAAGCCAATGACAGAAAAGTACATTAGATCTTTGCCATTTTATCTATGGAAAATGACCTCATTTTAAAAAAAAAGATCACCCACTCTAAAATTTTTTATTCTAAAACGGCACACCATATGGCGTTCAATGATGAGTGATATGAAATCATATTTTCGGTTGTCATTTTATTGTATAAAGATATTAATTATCTTTTAGTCCAATATATCTGATGTTTCATCGATGACGATAAACTCATATAGGAATATCAGAAGAGTATTGATCATCTCGGCTTAATTCAGGGCCAAAAAGGTAAAACGAATTTAACCACCGGCTTTCATTGCTGAGTTCAGACATACACTTGCAGAATTTCTTTCGCGCTCCTTTAGAAAAGAAAAAAAAAATAAACAAAGATTTGCAACTCAATTCGACATTGCCGTGCAGCTGTCAAAAAATTTGCGTGGTTAAGTCATTATAAAGTATGTTACCCTTCGTTGATTGCATAAAGCATGACTGTGTACATAATGCATGAATAGAATAATGTTCAGTTTTCTCTGGTTATTAAAATTAATATGATCACATTGCGTGATTTCAAGATATCATATCATTGTTTTGGAGAAAACCCTAAAAATAACTTTTTTTGATGCCATCGTCTATAGATAGAAGGTTTTATTTTAATAGTTTGTAATACAAAACCAGACCTGGCCCGGATAAAAGCTTTAAATTCGGAATAAAAAAGCATACGCCAAAACTTAGCATAAGTCTAGTAAATGGTAGATCAGCTTTGTAACATTGGCTAGTGGAAGTGTGTTAGTGAAGAAAAGCGCACTTGTGACAAGGAAAATCTATTGTTTTGCGAATCTAGATCTTCATAGGTAGGATCTGTGTTTGATTTACACGCTGTCGTCTATCAGAAACAAAAGCTAGTCTTAGCCGGACCTTGGCATAATCGTTAGTCCGTAACTTTGAGAAATACATGAAATATTGATCTATGAAGTAAGCAGTACATTTTTATTAGCTTTGCAAACTCCTGATACAGATATCATCTGTTTATTATCACTAGCTATGCTTATGTTTGTTCAAGACAAGGTTCATGTTTGAACATGACATTTCTGGTTTTAAGAAGCTATATTCTATTTTAGCACTAAAAGAGCTAATTGTTTGATATGCTAGCGTTTGAATTAGCCAATGAATCCTCTTTATTGTGGCCAAACTGTGTTGTTACTCTACTAATTAGGTCTCTTGGAATTGACTCGAGACCCTAACACTATTTTTTTAATTACAAGTAGTTGCCTTTGTTTTTTAGTGTTTCACTAAGGCAACTTTCTCTGCACTAGCTACAATAAGTAGCTTAAAAATGCCAATTTACAAGGAGATAATTCAACAGTTCCAAGTCATAGCTTTCAGTTGCTGTCTAACAATCTTATAATAATCCAGAGAATCAGATGTTATTTTTACCTAAGTATGAAAACCGAGATATAAAAATTTTGACAGGATATTTGTTATGTATTAGTGAATTTTTTTTACTCTTATAATCTACCTATAAAAGTAAATCACAAAGAACTTGACAGCGGAGCTTCTAATATACCAGTGGTAGCAAGGAATATCTTGTGTTATAGTAAAAATGAAAACGTCGTTTAACTTTAGGTACGGAGTGATTTTCTTGGGAAAAAAAAGGGTAGAAACAGTGTACTTGCTTGTATGTTAGAGAATATTGATATTTTTGAATAAGTTTTAACGCTTGAAAAAAAGAGAACGTATTAAAGTGGTAAAGCTGGTCAGATGATGTGTAAACATGGTTTTGATGACTATTTTGTTTTTTAATCAAGGACCATATTTATTATATTTTGGTCAAGGATACACATACTATGGAAGTGTGTGCCACGATTTAATGAATAATGGTTATGAATGCCCAAGGCAGAGTAGGTGGCGCACCTGTGACGTTTTATCATTTTTCATTCCCAAACTTGGATTTCCGAAAAAAAATTGGGTTACCAGTCAAAAAAAAAAAGGCAGAGTGATTATTTGACGCTTTATAAGAGACTGGACAAAATGGATTATCAAAAGACAGTTATCAAAAAGTACGCCAAAGTTACGACTTCTAAGAAGACAGCGGAAGCAAAATATTGGAAACGATTTAGGGTAATGCAGAAACTCATAGAGTTTAATTGAACGGCATGAAGACTAAAAAAACTTTTCCCTCTGTATAGTCACCCATTGTTATTAAAGAATTTGGAAGTGTCTCTTCGATTTTCTTTTCACCTGTTGCACCATATGATTTCGCAGTTACCTCTTCAACACGTGTACAAATTTACTCGTCTAAAACACATCAACCCAAAAAGACGATTTCTCGATTCAAAGACATTGCTTACTCTGGTAGCTTTCGTCAAGATGGCAAACTTATTGTTGCCGGTGACGCTACTGGTCTTGTTCAAATGTTTGACGGTGGCTCCCGTGCAATTTTGAGATCCTTCAAAGCCCATGCCTTGTAAGTGCACTATACACAAATTTGACAGACCTAAAATGACTAATGAAATTACGAAAGACCTACGCAAGTAACACAATTCTCTACTAACAAATCAAATATTTTATCTGGATCAGACGATAAAACTGTACGTATTTGGGATATTCCATCTGGCGAAAGTGTGAATGTATTCGAAGAGCATGAGGATTATGTTAGAGCGGGTGTTGTTAGTCAGGATAACCCAAATTTATATGTTAGTGGGTCCTACGATCAAACAGTTAAATTATGGGATATGAGACAAAGTAACAGTGTGATGACTATGAACCATGGAGCACCCGTGGAATCACTTTTAATTTACCCTAACGGAGGTGCTATTATTTCTTCAGGCGGACCAATTATTAAAGTGTGGGATATATTAAGTGGTGGAAGATGTATGCACACATTGGGTAATCATCAAAAGACAGTAACAAGTATGTGCTTCGATGGATCTGCATCTAGATTGGTGACTGGTTCATTAGATCAACATGTCAAGATCTATGATGTTCAAGATTATAAGGTGGTACACAGTGTCAAGTATCCTGCACCTATCTTGTCTGTCGGTCTCAGTCCTGATGACACACACCTTGCTGCTGGTATGGCTAACGGCTTATTATCTATCCGCCAACGTCAAATCAAATCATCCGAGAAAGCAGTAAAGAAACAAAAGCAGGATTATATTCGTGGTGGTACCTACAAATACTTTATGCGTGGTCAATCAAATGCAACTACAAAGGACGATTTTGTTGTTGAACGTATAAAGAAGCAAAAATTGCAGAAATACGATCAATTTATGAAAGTCTTTCAATATTCTAATGCTTTGGATGAAGTATTAAAATTAAGCTCTCAAACACCTGTCATAGTCGCTGCCGTTCTTCAAGAATTAATTCATCGTGATGGTCTCAAACAAGCCATCACTGGTCGAGATGATGTATCGCTGGAACCTCTCATGCGTTTCTTAATTAGAAATATCCATCACCCTAGATTTACAAACTTATTGGTTGATGTGTCTGAAGCTGTTATTGGTAAGACTGCTGCTTGAAAATTAAATACGTAAAACAATATTAACGCTATTACTAGATTGTTATACTCGTGTCTTTGGACAATCCCCACTCATTGACGGACTTTTAGCGCGTTTAACTTCTAAGGTTAAACAAGAAATCCAACTCCAAAAAGATCTTATCGAAACCATGGCAACCTTAGATATGCTGTTTACCAAATCTGGTCCAGCAACTGTTAATAAATAAATAAATAAAAAAATAAAAAATAAAAAAAACGCATTCTATTTACATCCAGCATTAGTCACTTTTTTTCTTCATGTGAAAATGTGCGGGGTATTTAACCTGACAAACATGAATTTTCCCTTCTTTTTCTTTTTCTTTAAACTTTGTAAAAATGTCTAAATATCAATTTGAAACTGTTGCTGTTCAAGTAACCGCTGACGGTGTTGCCCACGTACAACTCAACAGACCCAAAAAGCTTAATGCTTTTAATGACCAGTAATAACTTGAACATTTTTTTTTATTCAATTTTTTTTTTAAAAATCGCATATTATCACAGACTTGTTGCCGACGTTGGAAACGTTTTCCGTGCTATTGATGTTGATCATGATATTCGCGCTGTTGTCATTTCTGGTAACGGCCGTATGTTTACTGCCGGCTTAGATTGTAAATATCACAATTGTAAAATATCACGCAGTCATATTAACTGAGTTATACTATCCAGTGGCAGAAACTTCTATTCAAAGCTTAGAAGTTGGGGATCCTGCTCGTGACATCTATAAAATGCGTAAGCACATCAAGGACTTTCAAGATTCTTTTACTGCCATTGAGGAATGTTCAAAGCCTGTCATTGCAGCAGTTCACAATGCCTGCTTTGGTGCCGGTGTGGATCTAATTACTGCTTGTGATATTCGTTACTGTGCCAAAGATTCATTCTTTTGTGTTAAAGAAGTTGACGTCGGATTGGCCGCTGATGTGGGCTCTTTGCAACGTCTCCCAAAAGTTATTGGTAACAATAGTTTAGTACGCGAACTTTGTTTAACAGGCCGCAAGTGAGTTTTTTTGATTTGATTTTCGTGTCACAAAGTGTATCCTAATATGTAATTCTCAGTATGTATGCCAAAGAAGCTTTAGACTGTGGTCTTGTCAACAGAGTTGAAGATACCCAAGAAGCGGTTTTAGGTAAATACACTATGAGTGACTAGAAAAATTGATGACTTAGCTATTAAATGATATATTTAGCCGAAGCATTTAAGACTGCTCGATTGATCGCAACCAAATCACCCGTCGCTGTTTTAGGAACAAAGTAAGTTACATCAGTTTAAATACAAAAAAAAAAAAAAAGAGTGTTATTGATGGATGATTGGTTTAGGCATATGTTGAATCATTCACGTGATCATTCTGTTGCCGAAGGTTTATCCTACGCTGTTACCTGGAACTCTGCCATGTTGAAAACAGAGGATATCCCTTTATCTATCGAAGCTTTTGTCACTAAAAAGCCTGCTACATACTCGAAGCTCTAAATATTACTTCACGGTATGAGAATTTTGGAAATAAAATGTTTATTTTCACATGTTAAATTGTGGATGCGTATGGCTACAGTTATTGGGGCGCATTCTACGCCTTCCATGTTGTTGAGTTCTAAAACGTTGAGCGCATTCATAAATTCACAGGCAAAGACCACCTCTCAGAAAGGTTTGGAGTAAATAAAACTATCTACTTCTCCATATGAAAGACATTTAAACAAATATTAAAAAGACAATGGGATTTGTATTATAAATAAAAAAGTGGAGACGGCTCGCAAAAGGGACTCCCGTTAATCACCACAAAGAGGTCAAAACACCATGTTCTCATTCTACCCCCTTCTTAGGCTTCACTTATTCATAAACGAAATCTGACTTACCAGACGAGGAACCCATGTCTCCCAAACTCGAGAGTGCACGACCGGCAAGTGGAATGTTGCTTTAAATTACCGATGCAACTCCTACTCTTAAGCCAGTGCACTTAAAATATGCTCCTTACGGTAAAAGTGAAGTTAAATTCACCTTCAACAGCTCGTTAAGTATTCCCTAGACCGTTAGCTACGTATACCGAGTGGGGAAGGTGATATTAACAAGAAATAATCGTCAGCGTCCAGTATCCCAGCAAAAGTCATGAAACCTGGCATATTCGGAAATCATTAAATAGCACAAAACAACGAGATAGTTTGACAAAGCAAGTAGCCTGAATCGCAAGTGGTTTCGTGTGACTTCAAGTACAATAGCCAAGGATTCACCCCCAATGAAGACTTTTGACACGAAGAGAGAAAAGACGCCAAATAATATCTATAAACAAACGGATCGACGTCATCTGATTTTGGGTCTACAAAGCACATTGAAATAATGCAGCTTTCTGTCTTTTTTTTGAACCAAATTTCTTGAGCTTCGTGTGTCTGTAGCAGACTGTGAAGGCTGGATCAAACACTGTCCCTTGAATCAATATGTTTACATGTTCATTAAGATACGAAAGTTGAGGTTTAAAGCGAAAAACTTCTTTTATTAATTGCGTAGTAGTAGCGGGTAATAAGAGACAATTGGTAGGTAGGTTCGCTTACTTTTTGTCTTGTTTACTCGAGAAGCTGCTGTAGGCTGCATAGGCATGAAAACGGAGCTGCAAAAGCGGGGATAGATTTTTTTTCGGTTTTTTGGTATGATTTAGAAAAGCTTTCTTTTGATTACGTAATATCTAAGGTAGGTCAATCAACACATCGGTAGACTTTACAGTATTTACACTATAAATTCAGACAAATTAGAATTAATTTCGGACAGATGCAAAAATAAATTCAGACCAATATAAAAAAAGTTCAGACTATTGAGCTTTTTTTTTCGGACGAATAGAAAATTATTGTTCAGATAATTTTACCTGCATGAAATTGCCAAAGCGATAACTTTGGCGGAAAATTACTGAGTTTGTTCCTTTTTACGAGAAAAGAGCGCAGGGCGCTCACCTACTTCCCTGAGATTGAATAGGATGTGCTTAAAGTTTAGAACAGCTGCTTGGTCTCTATTCCAAAATTTTCTGCCTTGAGTAACACATGCAGTATTTTGACATCTGATAATTTGTTAATATCAACATAACGAATATAATTGTAACTATACTACCTTAACAATCCATGACACTTCACGATTGGCATTGTATTTCTTCTAAATGGACGAGGATTAGAAATCATCTTGAATTGCTCCAAAACGTCACCACAATCTGGACAATGAGAGGAAGTTTTAAATTCGTCAATTAGATAAACAGTCAAACCATTTTTTTTTAGCATTTGAATAAGCCCTTTATTCCTTGTAGGTTCCTGGAACTTTGTGTTCGGGGCTGACCAATTTCCAAGTACCAAGACAGCATCAGGACCAAATTTTCTTTTCAAGTTTTGTACCAATTTTTGATCACTTTGTTCATAAAACATCTTTGATGAAAATTTCATTTTTCGAAAAGGTAATAGCTGTAACTTCTCTAAGACTGTACTGAGAGTTTTTCTGTTAAGATCACTTTGGTTGGGTCGTCTATTAATCTCTAAACCAAGCGCAATAATTCTTCTTTTTTCATCATCATCAAATCTTTGTGAGATATGCTTTTGTGACAGCATCATTTCTAGATATACGGCATAAAACTGAGGATCGACAATCCTATCATTGGAAAATTTCTGAGGTTGAGGGAAAAAACCGCAAATTCGTGATATAAATATATTGCCATAGTACAGATTGCATTTATGATCAACTCGGAATGAAAACTCTGACTCTGGAAAATAGGAGATTTCTTTGGGCTTTAATGTCTCGTTTCCATAGTAGTCGGTTAACGTGTCATTAACGGATGATCTGGCTTTTATGTACTGAATGTAGTTTTCCAAATTTGTAGATTTGGATTCTGTTTTGGAGAGCGTTGTTTCGGCTTCTTGGACAACCAAAGGTTTGTTTTGATTCCGTAAATATCTGAAATGTCTTGAGCATTTTGAGCGATTATTTTTGGTAAAAATCAAAGTTTGCTTCTCTTTAACTGTACTAGTTTCTTTCATGCAATACAATAAATCACGTCTTCCAGGGTCGATCAGAACACACTTGTTTTCAGTACGTTTTAAATCAGCTTGATTTAGCCCTTCTATATACTTCTCTTGATCATCGACTACTCTCTTAACGCTGGTTGTAAAGAATTTTCTACTTGTATCTGTGTTTTGTTTAATGATTGATACACCGACACCATCTGTTTCAAGTGTTCCTTGAAACCTTAAAGTCTTATCAACACCTTGATTCTTGAACGCCTTCTTTTCAAAATTCACGACAGAACCCCAAATTTTAAATTTTTTTCCAGCTTGGAGAGGACTTTTATTCTTGAGAATATGAAAGTGAATTATTTTGGCATCCAAAGTCATGTAGCATGGAATGAAGGAAGTACGCAACGGGAAGCAGATAAATGCTTTTCCTGTTCTGGCTTCAACTAATTTGGCAAGTTGAAAAAACGCATCAAAATGATTCTCAGGTTTTGCTGCAATATCATAGTATATGGAGTCCTTTTGGAAAGTGTAGTCTTTAGGATAGCAGGAAAAGATACTGTTTAATTCTTTTCTTGACTGGTCATCTAGAATACTGTCTGCAGGTATCTCTTTCCTTGCTACGGCACGACTGATCTGATTACAAGGTCCGTATATCTTGCTTCGGATAGCTGATTTTATTGCTTTTTCATCTGATCCATTTTCTTTCATTTCTTTCCGAAGATTATTTGCTCTTTCCTTCTTTTGTAATATAATATTAACAAATTGGCGCAGTCTATTTCCAAAATGAGCTTTAATATTGTTATGGTAAGCCGTTTGGATTTTGGTACACTCATACAATGCTATTTGCTGAGCATTTGGTAAGCTGGGAGGAGTATAATTAGCATCTTGAAAGTAAGCCTCTTTGTATTTTGCTATCAATTGCCTATTTTTTTTTGTTACAGGCTTTAATCTTGTGTTTCGAGTTTTTGAAAGTGTAAGACTTAAAAAAACTTCTACAAAAAAATCTTTTTCAACAAAGCCTTTTAAAGTAAAAGTTTCGCTTGCTGCCAATTCTTGCAAATAGATGTACTTTGTGAAGGCAAAGGTGTGTGTAATCAATGAATTAGTAGTGTTAACCAAATCATACAATGGCTGTAAATACAACGGCTTCCAAATGTTCTTCGCAGTTGTTTTAACTGTAATAACGCGCTTGCTTATTTTTTCAGAATCTCTCGCAGTGACACTGGTACTTGATTTTGATGCTGTTATGAATACTTCAGGCGTAGGACTTCGCTTACTTTCAACAGGGCGTCGCTTACTTACTGAAGAACTTGACTCGGCAACAGTAAATTCGGATCCGTACTTGGAACCACCACGACTTCGTAATGTATGTATTGCAGGCGGGGACTCATTAAAGTCGTCACTGCTATAATCTATCACATTGTCGCTGACAACATTTCTAATAGAATCAGGAATACCAATGGTACTTGTAATATCAGGTTCATGTTCGGCTGCCTTGCCTTTCCCTTTAAACTTCTTTTGGGAATCAATATATGGGGTATTTTCCCGACCTAAAAGAAAGGGTAATTAAACATCACGTAAGTTTTCTATCAAAATAAAACTTGGCAATGTAACATACTTCGTCTCTTCCGTCCCAAAATCGGTGGTTGAAAGTCATCGTCCGAGCTATCATTTTGAGTTTCTTTTTTATAATAGAATCAGTTTTTTGGTTGCATTTCCATCAAATATCATACATATACGTTACCTTTCATAGCTTAAACTGAATAAAAGAATGAAGAGAGAAAAAAAGATTAAAAAAAAAGTATCTATCACAATTTTTACACTTAAAATCCAGATGTTTTAGCTTACCTTTTTTGAAAAAAAAAAAAAAAAAAAAAAAAAAATCAGACTGATTGATTACATGTAGAAAACCCCTGCCGATTTATGCTATGAGCTTATTTTATGTTAACAGCGGAAAGGCGTTTAGCTTAAATTTTTTTTGGCTTTGTGGCAGGTACTCTAATCTCAATATTCACAACGCCGATTACAGATGTTTTCAATTAAGATCGTTGAATTATAGCCCTGAAGGTTGGTGTTTCAACTACTATTGTGTTTCCTTTAGTCGATCTATCTGTTGGTGGTCTCATAATGATATCAACTACAAATATACAACTACTCAGTAGTCCACATCGGTCTAAGACTATTTTTCGAGCCATTGTTCTCTTGGATTTCTACGTCAATTTCCCTGATATCTCTGGAAGTGAATTCATCACGTATTGATGATTAACGTGCCTGCCATTAATCCAGTGAAGTCAGCATTACTGTCTTTTGGGGCTCTCTATCTCATTAATAAAATCCATTGCTTCAAATCCATCCTCTTGATAAACACCTTCTTGTTCATTTTCTTTAAATAGTGTTAAGCTCGAAGTAGTTTTATGAATAGCAAAGAAATATAATCATTTTTTCGGTGGTCATGACGAGGGCAAAGCATAATTTGACTATTATTGGAGATACTCAAACCTTGCTTAGTGAAGGATAAATCGAAAGTAGAGGTTATAAACCTTTGCTCATGTCGCCCTTTTCATCATTTCTAAATCCTATTGAGGAGTGCTGGTCCAAGATCAAGAAGCACATCAAAAGAAATCCGCTTTCAACTTTGGACACTTTAACCCCAAGAATCAAGGCAGCCTGTGAGACTATTACCACGGAAGATTGTAATGGTTGGATACGACACTCTGAAACGTACTGGGATAAATGCCTCAACAAAGAATCAAAACTAGTTTAAACTTTTACTTGTCTGAATTTTTGTTATCATTTTTCTGAAAATAATTTCTCTTTGTCTGAATAATTTTTTACGTTTGTCTGAAAATATTTTTTTTTAGTCTGAATTTTTTTTTGAGCTTGTCTGAAAATAATTTTCATTTGTCCGAATTTAAAGTGATAATACTTTATATAACCCACCACCAAAAAATCCAGATACGTCTAGTTTATGTGAGCTACATTTAGCCCATATAAAAATAAAAGAGAAGTTTTAATGCTGCAATTTAAATCATTCTCCGCCCAATCTCTCTCTGATTCAATTTCTCGCCTCCTTTTTTTATTCTTTGTTCGCCCATTAGATATTCCTTTTTTCGATCGATATGGACCCGGGAGATTTGGAAGTAAGGGCAGACGTATTTTATACTGCAGTTTTGTAAATTGTACTAATTAGTTGACATTACTCAAGATTACCTCTCCACCAAGCGATGGTGTTTCGTACTTGGATTTTTCACCTCAGCAAGACTACCTTGCAGCTGCTTCTTGGGATAACCAAGTAATTATATATGAAAGCATATAATATATATTATAAAGTGTAAGTAGGTACGTGTCTATGAAGTTTTACAAACAGGCAGTACAGTCGCTAAAGTAGCATATCCTCATGAAGCACCCGTGTTTTGCGTTAAGTGGTGTCCGGACGGTACAAAGCTGGTTTCAGGAGGAGCAGATAATGCAGCAAGGTTATATGATGTTAATACTGGTCAAAGTCAACAAATTGCTCAGCATAGTCAACCTGTAAAGTCGGTACTGTATATAAATGAAAATATAGTTGCAACAGGTAGTTGGGATAAAACAATTGCCTATTGGGATACAAGATCACCACAACCAATAGGAATCATTCATTTGCCTGAAAGAGTGTATTCTATGGACTCATTTGGTGGGATGCTTGTTGCTGGTACAGCAGACAATACGATTTCGATTATCGACCTTGGCAATCCTACAGTTATATTTAAATCGGAACCTTCTCCTTTGAAGTTTCAGATCAGAAAGGTGGCGTGCTTCACTGTCGGAAAAGGGTATGCGGTGGCATCTATAGAAGGAAGAGTCGGAATACAATATATCGATCCCCAAGAACAAGTGTGAGTGAAAGTAATTATATAATTTACAAAGTGATAAATGTATTTATTTTATCGCCTATAGGAAAAATTTCTCTTTCAAATGTCATCGAGACGAAGCTAAAAATATTTATTCTGTAAACGACATCAGCTTCCATCCTGTTTATGGCACATTTTCAACAGCTGGTTCAGATGGATCAGTGAATATCTGGGACAAAGATCGGAAACAGAGATTGAAGGAATACCCCAAGGTTAATGGAACGATTTCTTGCACCGCCTTCAACAGAAACGGCTCTATTTTAGCTTATGCTGTTAGTTATGACTGGTCCAAAGTAAGTTTGACATCAAGATTTTTTTAACGATTTGAATCATTTATTGTTTTATAGGGGTATAAATATGCATCGAATGTAAACAAAATCTATCTTCATGCCGTGAAAGAAGATGTGAATCCTGGCTCACTAAAAAAACGATAACATTAATATACATTATCATACGATGGTATATAATAAATTGCACTGCATGCAATCATTGATAATATACCTGAAACTTTTGCGATTATACGGAAAGTGGTTGGTTTCTAGTATTTTATGCTGTAAACTTAAACTGTGATTAATAACGACTTTGTCATTCATTGTTTGATTAGCTGCATCATAGACGTTTTTTTTTTTTTGGGGGGGACTTACAACTGCCCACTTATTATAAGATCATTGTGGTTTAGAATAATATTGTTGTTAAGTATATTTTTACAATTGAAAAGCTGCTTTGTTTCTCCAGTATCTCCACATAAGTAAATGACTGTACTTGCCATATTCAGCTTCGGTACCACTTTGGCCGCTCAATCATTTTCTGTTTTATTTGAAATTATGCTTTGCTAGAGAGCTTAATAAAAAACAATGTTATAGGCATCATCATCTGGTGAACTATCAATATCATACATGTATACATCCATGCATTTTCTACACACAGCTCGTTTGCTTCCCTGTCTTCTTTGTTTCTATCATAAGTAACCACGGTGTTACGGTGTTGAGTCTGTTTGAGATTAATTGCGAATGATACACTTACATATGAAAACTTATCACTCGTGTAATTTTTCCCACATACTCGGCAAAAAAGAGAGACCTCACCGGGGTCGTGTGTACAGTTAATACATCCTGTATATCAAAATAGCTTGATTACTATCAAAAAGGGGAATTGAAGATACAAACATACGCTTTCCATCAACTGTTTGCTGTCTATCTGAAAAGGATGAAGCAGGCTTAGACTAAAGAAACTAAGTAAGTAGGATAATATCAATACGTCTATAAATTGCCTACTTTTTTGCAAAAAATACAGCTGTAATATACAGGATTAGCTGCAAGAAAGTAAAATAAAAATTTAGTTGTAAAGTAGATACAGGCATCTGGTATTGAACTCATTATATGTACCCATTGCTGTAGTAAATATAAAATTAAGAAGAAAAAGGACACCGAACTGAACTAGTCGAGGTTATTTATATTATTTAAACAGTTGTTTACAGATACGATCATTACGTAATAAGCTGCTTTCGGGAAAGTTTATAATTGTCTGTTTATAATATTTCTAGGTTAATGATAAAATCACTATCTTGTCCTAGCTGCAGTCACTACACCTATAATTGTCAAATGTCGTTTTGTAGACCAAGTCCAGATATATGTGAATTTTCTCTATTTATTGCTTGCTTGGGAAAGTATTTGGACTAACATAAATTCTTGATCCGTTAATCTTATCAGTATCATCACAATATCAAGAAGAACTAAAAAAATCAATACTAGTCACCATTATATGATATATTTTTCCAGTAAGAAATATTATTCTGTTAAATAAGTCGGTTAATAAACGCCGGGTGGTGATGCGGCAGCATTGTTTAGAGTAGCTTTGTTACTTTATGCAGATCATATTGTGGATACATGTACTACGCAAAAATTTGGTGCTCCACTTTTACGCACCATTAAGTCAAGGACTGCCCTTGTTTTTTGTATGAGGCATTTCCGTTATGTAATTCAAATTTTCCTGTCAATCAGGTTCGATTTTCTCTTAAAGAAGAGACAGAGGGTGCTGGACTATTTAACTCAATAACTCAACAGTATGTCTATTTTCAATTCATTTGTCAGTAAACCATTACCCTGGGTTTCCTTACAAGCGGTAAAAATCAGTGATTCAATCGCCACTTTATCATTGCTTGCTAACATTTACCCGTCGGTTCATTTCCCCAGAAGAGAACAGAATTGGATCGCTTTAACGCCTGGGTTATTGTTTTTATAGTTCGAAAAGGATTTCAATGCAAATGATGAATATTTTTAATACTTAGATATGTACATTGATTTTTCTCAACGAGTGAGAATAACCGAAAAATTGAAGCATGGTAAGGAGGATTTATAAAGTTTCAGAGGAAGAGCTCAATTCAATGAAGCTTAGAGTAATACTTTGCGAGATCAGACGTGGGCCGTATGTAAATTGTATCCTCATAGCTTTATGGCGTGGAAAAAACAGGGTTGTACAATTTCAGCGATTAAAATATTATCAAGTCAGACATAATTCATTTGTAACAATAGGAAAAGGGGGAACTTCTGGCGGCTATTCGCACAAACTATGAAGTAGGTGACATTTGCTTAAAATACATTATCTAATCAAAGCATTCGTGTGCATTTTATACAGATAGTTCCCACAGATCCTGCAATTGAGACACGAGGATTATTGAGGCACGGTCGTTTTCTCATATGATAGCATCTTTGCAATATTAGCTATTGTGTAACCTTCGATAGCGTACAAGGAATAATGTATTGTCCAACCTGAGACTAATTACAAAATAATTTTGTAATATAAGTCCAGTAACCTTTTAACCTTCCATTTCCTTTCGCTTTTCCTTCAGAAAGAAATGAGGACCCAATGTGCGATCAGTTCTCTTGCTTTAGCATTTGCAGCCATCTCAGTTTTTGCTGAGGTTCAACCTGACGAACTCCTTCTTATTAGGGTACCCATGACAAAAAAAATTTCATCTCTGAAAGGTTTGCAACGCAAACGCGATACCAAGCTTTATAATGATTATGGATCCATCTACCTTGTTGATGTTGCAGTTGGAACACCCCCTCAGGTTTTTGAATTAGCAGTAGACACAGGAAGGTAAAAGATTAAGCTTAAAATGTTTTAAGAGTACCAGCACCTTACATTTTTTTAAACATAAAAGCTCCGATCTTTGGATTCCAGGCTCGCAATGTCCAGATTCTCTTTGTCCTCTTGTCAAGTTTAATGAGGCCAATTCAACAACCTATAAGCCAACATCCGAAAATTTTAATATTAAATATGGCACTGGAAACGCAACTGGAAAATATGCATTAGACACCATAACAATCGCAGGGGCGACAATCGAAGAGCAGCAATTTGGTTATGTTTCCGCTACAAATAATATCTTGACGGAAGTAACATCATTAAGCGGCGACGAAGTCACTACAACTAACGAAACCATAGCTTCTGATTCATATTATCATATGAATGGTATATTCGGTTTAGGGTTTCCTTTTCTTACCGCATCAGCTACAAGTTATAATCCATTCTTGTTCAACCTCAAAGCATTAAATAAGATCAGCCAAAATATCTTTTCGATCTACATGAACAATCGAGAGGTTTATGGTGATTCTGGAGAAATAATTCTTGGCGGTATCGACAAGACGAAATATACGGGAGAGATTATTTACGTTCCGGTTTCAAAAACTACTCGCCAGACATCTAGTATTCAAACTAAAACTGACTATGGATATTGGCAAGTAAATGGTCAAGGAGTAGGCGTAGCAAATGGTGTCACAGCCGATGTCCAACTTGATTTTCAAGAGACAGTACCTTTTGTATTTGACACGGGTACCACATTGAGTTATTTCCCAAGTAATGTGCTTGAGCCACTCTTGATTGCATCAGTTGGCAAAACTAACGTGGTGTATGATCAAGTGAATAATTATTTCCAGATTCGATGTTCCATGGCCAAGCGAAATACAACTATACAAATTATGTTATCCACATCGTCTAATATCAGCAGTGAACCTATTACAATGCATGTTCCAATTTCTGACATTATTTTCCCAATGGATACAAGATATATTGCTACAGCCACTATTTGTATGTTTGGCATTGTACCTACTACAGGTACAATTTTTATCGGAGAATCATTATTAAGAAGTGTATACCAAGTCTATGATGCTGAACAAAATAGAATTGGCATTGCTGGAGCTGTTGGTTCGGCGGCTACCGTTACAACAGGAAAAGGCGTATCGAATAATAATGGCGGAAGTAATACTGGAAGCAGCAATGATAATAATAACAAAACAAGTCCCTCATCTGGGTCGAACATGACAAAATCCAGCATGATGACTTCTTTATTAGGCCTAGCCTTTGCATTTTATATTTCACATTAATAAAAATTAACATTTGATAATTTTGTTTAGAGCTTTATGATTATGATTAACATTACACAAAACCATTCTTTTCTAGTTTTTATTCATACAAGACCAGCTTTGCCTTTTTGTAAATCGATTCATTAATAGTTTGGGTTCCTCTGTAAAATCGGATAGATGAACGAGATTTATTTTGTAGTTTATTAAGCAAGTTGTTTGGCTAATAAGCTGTGAACAATGTTGGTGTAAATGTTTATTCATTTAATAAAAAATGTCATTGCATGGATGTTATTACTTGCTAAACTTTGTGGGGCGAAATTGTACATGAAGATTACTTCAATACAAAGAGAAAATCCAGATGACAAGATTCACTTTGAGGCTGTTTGTCCTGTCAGATTTCAGACAATTATTTATATAATGGGAGTATGTAACCCCTCTCTAATTACTTGATGAACAATTTGATGTTGATCTGGAATCGAACACCAAGATAGTCGATATCTTTGGAAATGATTTAAATGTATTATATAACAAGTACTTTATTTATAATACGCCGGCGTATTTTTTCATACTGCTAATTGTATAACCAAAATAAACACTATTGTAACATGGGTTATTAACGTGCACACGCTATACTTAGTTTTAAGACACATGTTTTCATAACCGATAAAAACTGTATTAAGTTGTAAGCTTTCCTAGTTTAATCTACTTAGTGAGTTCATGTCAAGAAACAATATGGTATATGAAATGTTCTAAATAAGCTCACTGTTGTTGATTACACTCTACCACATTTAAGTTCCTGTAAAATCATCGGATTGTAGGAGGCTTGGAGGTTGGAGGCTTTAACACTTCAGTTGGCCTTGGGCAACTCAGCTGTAGTCACATTTGATCTTAGCAAAGTCATTTGTGGGAGAGGTTTACAACCTTGGTGCAGTTGTTCCTCTTCAGTGAACCCTGGTAGCAGTTTACAGTGACAAAGGTCTGACCTTAGGCAAGTTAGCCGTTTATTGATTTACCTTAGGGAATTTCAATTAATTTTATACGACATGATAAAGCTTATTCAGTATTTGTTATTCGGATTGTATAATTAGTCTGTGAGTTACGATGGTCTGACATTCAGCAAGTCAACCGTTTATTGATTTACCTTTGGTACTCCAATTACTTTTATACGGCATGATGAAGATCATATGATATCTGTTCTTCTGATCTTAGAGTTATAAACAAGGTAAGCTATTACACTCACATGCAATTATTTACATTTATTAATCTATTCGTCTTTTCCTAATCTTACAAAAAGCAAGACTTGAATATGAAAAGTATAAGAGGTGAATATTTGTTTTGTTTACTAGTACTTTTTTAGACTGTGTTTTACTAAATCACTATCCTTCAAGAGGTATTTCTAAAAGGCAGTAGATCGTGATCCAGTCAGTTGTCAAAAACCTTAGGCAGGTTATGCACATATGAACGCAAATAGATCAAGGTTTTTAAAAAGACAAAGACCTTGATCAAGTCTTGTCTTTCATTGAACTTTAGGCAAATTTTTGTTAGATCAACGGGTGATTGGAGTCGTGGAGGGTAACTATTTGTTTGTCAATTAGGTTCGGTTGGGTTTAACCATTATTAACTTATTATCTTTGTAGCACCACGTTTTCAAGCGGACAACTGTATGTAAGCTACAGTCGCCCAAGAAAAGATTCTGGTTAATGGACAATATAATTCACTATTTTTGAAATATTATAAAAGCCTGGAGAAAGCAATCAATAAACGTATCTGTCATGACAAAAAATATAAACTGTATATTTAAACCTTGCCAATCAATGCCAGTTTTTTTTTTCTTTTTGACAGCCACTCTATTCCTGTGGAGTATTGCTGTCAAAGAAAATTACATGATACGGCTCTGGATAAACGGCTTAATAGTATCAAGTACAACCACAAGCAAGAGTCCTGGTGTCAAACCTTTACCAATAGGAACGTCAATTATTGTTTATTTTTATTTGGGAAATTACTTAAAGTATACCAGTACATATCCCGGTCTCTCATCTTCTCTTTTTACTTATTTGTAAGGTCTGTGTCCATTCATACTCACGACTTTTCTAAAGAACACCTTTAAATACAAATATAGAAACTCTACAAACGTTCCTTACAGGCCTCTCTGCCTTTGCCAACTCCTGAAGAATAATAACAATATTTATATAGTATATTCGTAATAGTATTTATTTTGCCTGAATTTGGATTTTCAAGTTGTTTTCCTTAACGAAATGGACTTAAAACATAAACAGTAATATAAAATATAGTTGTAATCTCAGATGATGGCGTATATTGTGTAACTGTCAACAACGTACAAAAATGATTACTGTCAAATATATAAAGGCTTTTTTTGTATAAATCCTCTTGCCTTAAAGCCTTCCGTTTTTTGTATCATTTTTTCCATCGAGCCAAGTAAAATGGTGATAGGATATGCTATCAAATATTTGCTTGTTACATGTGCAGCAAGCACAGCACTTGCTATAGTTCTACCGGAAGAGCCTCATCTTATCAGGATACCCATGACAAAACAATATGATTCACCAAAAGGGCTGCAACGCAAACGCGATACCAAGCTTTATAATGATTATGGATCCATCTACCTTGTTGATGTTGCAGTTGGAACACCCCCTCAGGTTTTTGAATTAGCAGTAGACACAGGAAGGTAAAAGATTAAGCTTAAAATGTTTTAAGAGTACCAGCACCTTACATTTTTTTAAACATAAAAGCTCCGATCTTTGGATTCCAGGCTCGCAATGTCCAGATTCTCTTTGTCCTCTTGTCAAGTTTAATGAGGCCAATTCAACAACCTATAAGCCAACATCCGAAAATTTTAATATTAAATATGGCACTGGAAACGCAACTGGAAAATATGCATTAGACACCATAACAATCGCAGGGGCGACAATCGAAGAGCAGCAATTTGGTTATGTTTCCGCTACAAATAATATCTTGACGGAAGTAACATCATTAAGCGGCGACGAAGTCACTACAACTAACGAAACCATAGCTTCTGATTCATATTATCATATGAATGGTATATTCGGTTTAGGGTTTCCTTTTCTTACCGCATCAGCTACAAGTTATAATCCATTCTTGTTCAACCTCAAAGCATTAAATAAGATCAGCCAAAATATCTTTTCGATCTACATGAACCAACAAGAGGTTTATGGTGATTCTGGAGAAATAATTCTTGGTGGTATCGACAAGACGAAATATACAGGGGAGATTATCTACGTTCCTGTTTCAAAAACTATTCGTGAGAGATCTAGTATTCAAACAACTGATTATGGATTTTGGCAAGTAAATGGTCAAGGAGTAGGTGTAGCAAATGGTGTCACAGCTGATGTTAAACTTGATTTTCAAGAAACAGTAAATTTAATATTTGACACGGGTTTTACGTATAGTCGTTTACCAACTAATGTGTTTGAGTTTCTCTTGGTTGCATCAATTGGAGAAAATAACTTTTCTTATAATCCAGGTGATTATTTTCCCCTAGTTTACTGTTCCGTAGCCAAGCAAAATACGACTATACAAATTATGATGTCACAATCGACTGATTCCACCACTGAACCTGTTACAATGCATATTCCACTCTCTGACATTCTTATCCCTTTGACGACATCAACTACTATTTGTGGCTTTGGCATCGTACCTGTCGAGAGTAGATATGTTATCGGGGAATCTTTATTACGGAGTCTATATCAAGTTTATGATGCTGAAAAAAAGCGAATTGGTGTTGCTGGAGCAATTAGTTCAACCGCTTTTGTTACATCAGGCAAAGTAGATTCGAATAATATCGGTGGTAAAAATATCGGCCGCAGTTATTTATAATATTTAACAGTACTCATCCGGGTCAAAGCATGAATAAAAAAACCAGCATGACTACTTCTGTATTTGGTTTAGCCTTTCTAATTCATATTCCATAGTAATAAAAATAAACTTTTGATGACTCTATTTGTAGCTTTCATGGAGATCGACCTGCAAGAGGAGTCAGTCGGCATTTTAAAAAGAGTTGCTTGGCACAATTTATATGAATTCTTTTTTTACCTGTCTTAACTTTATATTTAATGGCTGTGTTTCATTTAGAATTGCCAAGATAAAAAAAAATCATACGCCCCCTTTGGTCTTTACTCCCCCTTTTTTTTTATTTAAAAACAAAATAAATCAACAATTAATCATCTTTATCTCTTTTCTTCTACATCTTCTTTTAAAGCAAACAACAAACAAATATGCAAAGCTCTTTGGAAATGGATAACGAGATATATTTCTGTCGCTGGATTGATTGTTCAATATCCTTTGATGACCCTGAACAGCTTTACGCTCACTTAACCAATGATCATGTGGGTAGAAAATCGACCGGCAACCTTTGCTTAACTTGTCATTGGGACAAGTGTGATGTCACCGTTATAAAAAGAGACCACATTACAAGTCATCTTAGAGTTCATGTACCTTTGAAACCTCATCGCTGTCAGGTACAAAAAAAAAAAAAAAAAAAAAAAAAAAAAGGGTAATCATTAAAGCATGTTGTTTTAGTTTTGTAGCAAATCATTTAAGCGCCCTCAAGATTTAAAGAAGCACGAAAAGATTCATAGTGATCAACATATTGCAACACTCCGATGCCATCATCGAGCTTCAAACGTACAGCATCAACCTTTAACACCACCTAGTTCTATAAGCCAATCTAGTAGGGATGTATCGCCTATTCTATCGGATAACCATCCAATATCACCACCCACAAGTACCTACTCTGATGAAAATTGGATGTACTCTGGTGTATCTTCTACCACAATGTCCACCCCTCAAATGATGCAACAACAGCAATATGTTACACAACCAATGGAAAATAGTTTTGGCCCTGATCATATTATCAATGATCTATTGTTCCCTATGGACACTAAGCCAGTCGAATATAACACTGGTAGCTTTCATTTTAACACTATTGCTCTTTATAAAATTGCTTTTATTAACTTTTTTTTGTTATTGCTGTGTATGTAGATGTTGCCAACCGGTTGAATCAAATTCAAGGCTTTATGGACTCTGGACTGATCAATCAGTCAAATTTCAATTTAAACATCACCAACGAGCAACAGCTTGAAGATATGAATGACTGGCTGGCTCGTCTTTCTGATAGTATTACTACAGGGCAAATGCCACAACAACCTACGATGGATACAGCCACATCGTTTGCTTATAGCCAGATGTCCGGCGTCAACCCACCGCAGGCCCAATATGAACAATTTCCTGTTGTACCATCACAAAACCATATGTATCCTACTTCATGCGAAGAAAATGAAATGTATGTGCGATCACAACCAATCGTGCCAAGCCAAAATAATTACATGTCATACCAACAACAACAACCTGTTTATACTCAACAAAATATCGGACTCACTGGTCAGCGTCAACATTATACTTCTGTTCCTAATGTTTCTAGTCATTATTTCCAACCGGAGTTAAGGACAACCATGAATTTTACAAAGGCAAATAACCCAGCGAATGGCGAAGTTGAAAAGGAGGAAATGGTTTCATTCAAACCCACTAAAGACGTTACACACGACGAAAAGAAAAATATGGCCACTTTGGTTAATACTTTCTCAAGCGCTTTGGACTTGAACAAGAAGCAGGCAAAGAAACCAGTTATTGAAGAAGAGGAAGCAGAAGAACCTGTGTTGAAGAAGACGGATGCTTTAATAAGGGATTTAATTACAAGCGACCTTTCTAAGCTTTCCTTGCATGATGATGAAGATGCAGTTACTGCAGAAGCAAGTAAAAATCAAACCTACAGAAAGTCATCATCTGATGCTTCTCTTTATCCTACAGCTGAAAATAATGATAATCACATTTTATTATTAAAGAAAATGGCTGGGTGGGTAAATGAGAATTACCGTAAAAACCATCCTCTTTGTCAATAAAATAAGTTTTAATAACCTTAATTTGGTAGTTTGATATTTGTCACTTGTTATTTCAGAAACCAGGTTTTTTTTTGGTCGAGCTAGGGGACTTTAAATTATGCCATTCATAAAAAGGGGATAAATTTCGGTCTTTACTTTTCTTCTTTACTTTTTTTTAAAAAATTTCATTTTAAAACAGTAATGAGTTCAAGTAACGTAGTGTAACATCATTGTGCGCACACTGTATTCATTTTTTTTTTTTTTTTTTTTTTTTTGCTATTATCCAGAAATTCTTCCTGTTGTTGCTGCCGGTGTGGGCAGTGCACTTGGCTCCATGTACCTAGACTCCAGATATCTTCTCAGTAGGGATTTGCACCAGATTCGCGCAGGAGCCGTTGCCATTATAAGGTAGAAATTACGTAATTTTATTTTACCTATAATCAAATACTCACTAGTGTAAAACCTTTTTTTTTTATCAGTCATCGAATTTGGGAATTTCAAAAAAAACTCCATTTCTATTACAGATTCAAGACTAAAGCAAAAGAAAATCCGAATGCGATTTATCTTTCATTTGAAGGCAGAGAATTTACTTTTCGTGAAGTTGAATTAGGTATGTTACACACGCACACACGCGAATGAAACAATTATTCATTCTAATTTTTCCTAATTTAGCCTCCAATAAACTTGTAAGATTTTTTTATATCGGAAAGGTAACAATGAATTGGTCACTGATGATTTATGTAGGCACGCTGGTTCATGGCAGAAGGTATTCAGAAAGGAGGTAAGTTGGATTGTGTACCTTTTTCTTTCCCTGAATTAAAAGGGTGAGCAGTTTCGTGACTGAAATTTTTAATTTCATATCAGATGTGGTTTGTATGATGCTTCAAAACCATCCCAGTTTTTTTTTCTGCATGTTAGCAATTAGTAAAATTGGTGCCATTCCATCATTGATCAATACAAACCTATCTGAAGACCCGCTTCTTCATTGTGTCAAAATCGCCAATGCCAAACTATTTATATTTGACCCCGTTTACGAGACGCAAGTGGCTACCATCAAGGATGCGTGCCGTGAAATGAATGCAAAACTTGTAGCCTATGGTGAATCCACTTTTGAAACTGAACTGCCATATTTAAGTATCGCTGCCACTCTTACCCCTAGCATCTTGGCCCCTTTCTCTGACGAGGATACCAGTGAGGATCTTATCCGCGATGTTAAAGGTGTCGATGCTGCATATTTAATTTACACAAGGTAAAGTTACAAAGATGACAATGGCTGTCGATCTCTGTTTTATGTTAATTCTAAATTCTGTTTTGTTTGCGTAAAAAGTGGTACCACAGGATTACCAAAGGTTGGTAGAAAAGCAACGTTTTTTTTAGAAACAGCTATCTTACGTAACTTTTCTAATTTTAACAGGCCGCTATTAGTCAACATGCCCGTGTAAATTGTAAGCTAATGTTATGTGAAAATTGTATAAAAATGTAGTCTGACGTTTATATTTAGTTGCAATGTGTATGTTTACAAACACAATTAATATGAGAAAGGGCGACAGAGTGTATTGCGTATTACCTCTTTATCATAGTTCGGGAAGTAAGGCATTCAATGTTTGACATATGGGCAGAAAAAAAAAGAGTATTCATCATTTAAATTAGTGATTGTTGCTTCCTCTGTTTCTTTACATGCTGGCGCAACGATTGTATTAGGCCGTAAATTTTCAGCCAGCCGATTCTGGAATGATTGTGTCGATTACAATGTGAATGTTTTTACTGTAAGTAAACTTAGCTTTTATCCTATACGTGTGATGACTTACGTATAATTAAGTATATCGGCGAGTTTTGTCGATACTTGCTGAGTACACCACCTCATCCAGAAGAGCGAAACCACAATGTACGAATGATTTATGGTAACGGTATGAGACCAGATGTGTGGGAAAAATTCCGCGAAAGATTCGGTATCCAAGAAATCTGTGAATTCTATGCTGCTACAGAAGGTAACGTTATAAATTTGTGGAAAGAGAAAGGAAGAGGGTGCTGACAGTTACAATTCAAAGCACCTACAAGTTTATTCAATCGAAACACTGGTCAATTTGGACAGGGAGCTGTGGGGTCTCGCGCTTCATTGTTCAGACTCATTCGTAGAGAAGTACAACTGATTAAAATTGACGCGATTACTGGTGAGCCAGAGTTAGATAAAAACGGATTCTGCAAAAAGGTGAGAATTTTGTTATTTTCATCTACAGAATAGACCATATCTAAAAATAATATTTTTTTAAAAAAAATTAGGCTGCATATGATGAGCAAGGAGAATTGATTGTTCACATGGTAGAAGGGCCTGTCACTTTTGATGGTTACTATAAAAATGAAGGCGATACCAACAAGAAGATCTTGAAAAATGTCTTTGAAAAGGGTGATGCGTAAGTATTTATGGAGTAAAAGAGGCAATATACTCAGATTTTTTTAAATTTAGGTATTTCCGTAGTGGTGATTTGTTAAAATTAGATTCTGATGGATTCTATTACTTTGGTGACAGACTTGGCGATACTTTCCGTTGGAAATCAGAAAATGTAGCTACCACTGAGGTTGCACATGCTTTTGGTGACTACCCTGGTATTGCAGAAACTAATATTTATGGTGCTTTGGTGCCTAATCATGATGGTAGAGCAGGTATGGCTGCTCTTGTATTGCACCCCGATGCCAAACTGGAGTTTGCTGAGCTTTATCAACATCTTCGTAAAAACCTACCCAAGTATGCTATCCCTCTCTTTATTCGTATTCTTCCTTCGATGGTCATGACAGGAACCTTTAAACAACAAAAGGTCGCCTACCGAAACGAAGGTATTGATTTGACCAAAGTGCCTGAGACAGAGCCAATTTTCTGGCTTCGAGGAGATACGTATGTTCCTTTTACATTACAGGATTATGCAAGAATTGATGTGGGAAAAGTCAAATTGTAATCTCACTTGAAAAAATAAATAAAATATGGGCATAAAATAATATATTTTATTCAGGTGCAAGACATAGTAGTGATTTATAAGGGGGTATATTTGTGAATGAGTGAATATTATTAATGTCCTTGATTGTACAGGTGTGTAGCCATTTCTGCATAAAAATCTAATCTATCGAATTCTTGGCCGGATGTTCTGAGACGATAAGGAATATGGCTACATGACATACAGGGTTTAATCACACGATTTTTTTTTTTTTATTTTTTTTTTTTTTTTTACCTTTTGCCACTTAAATCCCAGTGATCGGCATTGATTGTTTTAACATAGGTTCCCCACTTGGCACTGTTGACACTAACAAAGCCATCGTTGTCACCTTCTTTTTCTTGAACCATGCGCCAAGGAAGTCCCAGTAAAGAAGACCAAGCGGGTAACTGAGCAGCAGCACCATATGAATAGTACTTTACGCTAGGGTCATCGGGGGTATTGGGGTTAAAATAGTCATTACAAAAATCAGTAGTCAAATGAGCGTAGGCAGGTTCATCGAACCAATTGACAACAAGCTTGTCAATGGCGGGTCTTAAAGTGGGGAATTTGGGGCCACCCCATTTTTGGCTATTGGTGGTGTTGGTGGTCGATGACAGACAGTCAGCATCATGACGCAATGTATTATTTTTAGTGGAAATCGTGGTTGTGGCTGGTGACCAATTGCTGTTCTGATGAAGTCCGTTATGAGATTGGGACAGACCAACACCCACATGATCTCTCACCCAATCCATGACAGGTGAGCCTCGATGAGGAGTACAAATGGTCGTTAAGGACTGTACATGGTAAGGTCGATCTTGTGTGTTGGCTAATAAATGTCTACAGTCAAGTCCGCCCTAATAAATGCACAACGAAAAAGTCAATATATGCGTTGTCAAAAGATTTTTTTATGGTTTACCATTGAATGTGCTACAAAATTTACATTTTTGCCGACCAGAATAGATTTTAAAATGGTATGCAATGCGTGAGATCGTTCCCAAATGCTTCCAGCTTGTGGAACTCGAGTGACAATAACTTTGGCACCCAATTTGGCCAAGGTTTCTTCTACACCGCTCCAGTAATGAAACTGCAGTGCAGGAATGTTTTGCGGCCCACGAATGTCGAAACCAAATAATCCGTGACAAAGAACAATTGGCTCTCTTGGTGCCATGTAGTGTGGGGTGATTTTTCCACAATGGGACTGTTGCTTGATCTGTTCGACATGATTGATCTTTTGTTGAATGATGGCTTTGGGGTTCGAAAAGAAGGTATCTGTGGAAACAAGTGTGATTCTGCCAGGATATAGAATACTTTTGATCTTTTCGTCTGTTTGTTTTTTTGGAGTCAAAGCTAATTTTCGATGTGCGTGTAATAAGAAGGATGCGATCGATAAAGCCGAGCTTTTAAATAATAAGGAGCGTTGTAAGTAACTGTATAAGGTGTTGAGTGTTAAAGTAACCATGGGGAAGGATAAAGAGAAGAGAAAAATGTAAAAAAAAACTAAACCTTTTATTTTTGTACTTTTTATTTTTTCCCAAGCATGAAAAATCCGTATGGATCATCGGCCTTTTAACATTTGGGAATAAAAATAAAAAGCGCCCAACCCCATCTCGTGAGATTCAATTAAACAAAATTTGGGGTTGTCTCTAATTTTAATACAAAAAAAAAGTGGGATCAGTTTCGGCAGTTGACATCATTATTTAGTATTCATTTCCTTTATTGAGAATCAAAGATATGTCCTTTATATATACTCATTCTATTTCTTCATTATTTGATTTCTGTTTGATTTATGCATTTCATGTATCACCAAACGGATCAATCATGTGCTCAAATCACAGGTTGCAACACCAACATTCCCACATCATCTATGCAAATACAATACTCTGCTCTGATTGGTCAGCTTTCTATCCTATTTAAACGTGGACAAATGAAATCCTCACATATTTGCTCAATTTCAGATGGAGGCTGTGTATCACACAACATTTGTGTTTAATGAGACGGCACTTTATAATAATTATGAAAGCTCTCTGATAACACCCACAAAAAACCAAATACCTAGTGGTGCTTCACTAATCCGCGGGAGGGTAACCTTTTGTGTAAATTAAGTGTTCAGGCGAACCCCTTCGATGCCAACTAATCACCCCCAATTAATGACAGCATTTTTTAATGAAGTTTTGTGCTATCATTTTTAATTTAGTGATACAAATATTCATCATATCAATAAATATCAGTGCTACTTATCTCAATGCTCCCGCTTCCGTTCCATAGTATAACAGACATATGGAGCTAGACTAGGAGAGCTTTGTTGAAGGGGATCTCAAGAACATAGACAGTATGCGGAAAAAACAATTTGACAGCTGACGTTTTTCTTTTTAAAAGGATGGCTAGGATTACTGTCACTATCGGTAAAAAAACACTGCTTGTCTCCCTTGGCATTGACACACCCGTTCATTACAGTGATTTTCTACTTATAGTCGTATTATTTAAAAAATAATCTTCTACTACGGTACATCTTCAGTATGAACATACTTTGGATTAATACTATGAGCTTGGAAGACATAATCATTACTGATATATGTGTCAATAGATCTGTAGTGGTAATGTACTTGTACATTCTTTCAAGGAAATGAGAGCGTAACATTACGCAGGCAATAACTACTTATCATTGAGAGGCCCGGTTGGTAATGTTTCAAAACAATATAGGTATAAGCAGGGTAACTATGACGTTTCGACCTTTTGATTCTAATTTCTTTTTTCTGATCGGGATAATAAACTTGGCATGAGCTAAAATACCAAGATATCCAGCAACAAAATATCGTGTGATGTTTTTTAGTATAGAAAATACGGGATGTTTCGCTTCAAATAACAACAGATGGGTAATCTGCATGGGGAGCGACCGGAATTTATAGTTTTTTATGAGCGTTGCTAGGTCTTCCTGAGCAATGGATTATAAGAATGTTCGTGGGGTTCAATTCTTTGAATACAAATTATGCTTTTTTTTTTCAATGCATGTAACCAGCAGCCATATTTAACAATTGCTCAATAACTTTACGCAAACTGTCCATGAAGTGATTTGGATCCATTCTTTCGCTCCATACTCAAACTAAGCCGTTTTCTATTTTTAACTAGCTTTATACTTGTATATATTTGGTCTATAGCATTCATATTATCATGGAAGTCATAGACCTACCTCCGTGAGGAATCGTTACACACGACTTTTACTTCGATATGTAGCAAAAGTAGGCTTATAGAGGATAGTTTTGCAGAAAAAAAGGTAGAAAAAAACAATAGGATCAATTAGAATTCTTGTCAGAGTTTATTGATGTTAAAGTTAACTGAAGATTTAAGAAGAGGAAAAATAAAGAGTATTTATAATAAATGGAATGGACGAGGCTGAAGATACTACTCTTAACAATATGAGTATGCTATCAATAACAATATCTATATTGGACAATTAGTGCTACGCATAGTCAATAGAGAAATAATAACAATAACATGTCTTAAGTTTGGACATTGGTGTTACGATACCGTGACACTTTAAAATAGTGACCGGCTTTAGCGAATTCCTTTTTTATGCCTGATCATGATTTAGCTATCATTTATCAGTGATGATGAGATATGAATTTATTATATGTACAATCTATATGTGTGATTTAGCACACGATAGGCTCATAAAGATTGGTTAAAAAAGCAATGAACATAAAGATGCAATTTAATTATTCCATTATATTTTTATTTGTATTGTGATGTCGCCCACCTTCCTAACCAGTTTCAACATATCCTCCTCGAATGCCTCACCCGTACATATGATATACATGTTGGATGACTGATAAGTGGTATTGACCAGACCAATCGAACACATGATATCCTCCGCATCAAAAACGACAAACTTCTTTTGCTCGTTCTTGGAGTAAGCCTTGACCCGGGGAATAGCCTTAGAGTACGGGGACACCTCATTCGTCTTCATCAACTCACCATACACATAATGAGACCCAGAGCCCCCACGGAAACTGAAACTAAAAAAGAACAAGGCCTTACAAACGTACCATCTTTCGACGAAACGGAATTGTCTACCTATTGGATAATTTTAGTATTTAACACAAATGAAGCAATTGAAGGGGTAAATACTTACAAGTTCTGATGGACGGCCTTGAACATCAGGAATTCACCACCACGAGAACTCGAATTGTTGTTGGACTTGAAAATATTAGAGATCAAAACTTGGTTGTTGAACCATAATTTTGCCGAAATTATGGTCGTTTGATCAGCGTGAAATTGACCGAAAGATACCTCTTCATCTCCTTCTAGACGAACAAAGCAATGTAATAAACCCTTGATCCAAAAGATAAAAGGGTATCCTCCAAGGGATAAAGAAGTCGAGGCGGTAAATCTCTGGTACAAATCGCCAAACACCAAAGAAGCCGGGTTTGACATGAAAGGAGACCAGAGCTATGGGCGGGTTGGATTATTTGACGGATGCTCTACAAAATTCGAGGATTTATCAACAGAGGCGCGGCCAATCGAAAAATCAATAATATCAGCCGACTGGATGAAGGCAAATATTTCTCGAGTTTCTAAGATGTTGCCAGCATTGACACCAGGATGAAGAGTTGACCGTATTCTTTTTTTGTATGCACCGATGGTTCTTTCTAAAGATCGTGCAAAGTAACAACGCAAGGGACTATATTATAATCAGGTTGGATGATGGATCTCTTCGCACAAGTACTATTATTTTAACTACCCCATTCTTTTAATCATATACATAATAAGATTTAATTGATGCATATTAGACTTAAAAATGGTACGGGAGATTGTTTCTTGGATAAGGCACGTATCCAGATAATCAATAGCCAAGTGTCAAATGATCTATCAGATTGGACGATTAGTGAGTTAAATATTTATAAGGCAATTGTAATATGTAGCTGATTACCTTTCGATTTCTTTAAGGTTGGACTCGGTTACAACCCAATGCAAACTAAGTTTAATGCCTCGGGAGAGAGCAATAAATGCCTTTGTGGTACTACTAGCGGGAAGGAGAGGTGCAACAATTGTAGGTACCACATACAGCAACCAAGCAATCCAATCAACAGATTGATACATAGAACGGACGTTGTCTGAATGCATGCCCTTGAAAGAGCCACTGAATTTGGTGGGGACGCTACAACGCGAATTGTTCATATATTTTCGCATATTTTTAAAGTTTTCGGTCGTGATGGGAATGGATAGTTGAATGTATATGTCGCGTGATGAACCCCTACTCGTCTGATTATGTCCACAATATGGATGTTTGACGTGAAAAAAAATGCTCGGAGATATAAGTAAATTGTAGATATGAGGAGAAATTATTAGAAGAGAAAAGAAAAGGAGACACACAGTTTAGTTATTGAATTTACCGTTTGAGTACAGACAAAAAAAAATTCAAATGCAATGGCATCGTTGGTGGGCACAAAGAGTGCATGAATCATGTTCAAACAATTAGTAATACCATGAATTTATAAAAAATAGGCTCTGTAATTTTGGTTTTTACATCTACGTCGGGTCTCTTAGGGACAGCCAGGGTGCGCGTAGTCGTAACGTTGGGATTATGATACTTTAATAGACATCAAGAGGTCAAATATAACTTAACACTTTGAAATATTTACACATTTACTACAACCAACATAGTGTAAACCAGTATATGTGCTTTACAGCTTATTTTCAGCTTCTCGTTCGGACTTTATCTTAATATTTCTGCGTAAGATTAAGATCAAACGAGCTCAAAGGTGAAAGAGTGATGATAGAATTGTCAAAATAAGTATAAATAGTTTAATATACATTAATTCGTACATGTTACATTGTTTTTGATTGTATATTCTTGTTCCCAGGTCTACAGAACATCCAAATACAGATCTTACGTTGCGACTACACGCACTTTGGCTGTCCCTAAGAAAAGCGTTTTATTATACATACGTACTTTTTCTACGGCCCTTTAATTTCTACCTGTTTTTTAGGACTATGAATACGCCTGTTTTTTAGTATGTGAAGGCTCAAACATATGGGTGATTAAATATACAATTAAATCATCCTGACATAAGCCAGCTCTTGTTTATCAGTCTTCATATAAAACCCATTCAAACATTTGTCCTTCCCTTCTTCTCTTCATTTTTTTCCTTTTTATTTTTATGCTGTACACTATTTTCAGAAAATATTAGATAAAAAATTCGTTCACAAATAAAAAAATAATTCGTTCACAACGTAAAAAAAAATACGTTCATCTTCCGAAAAAAAAAAAAAAAAATGAGCTTACCACTTAAGTGTATCTATGGTTGACCTGCGATAACAGGCCTGGAAAATTCTAGTTGCGACGTTGACGAACATTTCTAATGTTTGCTTGTTCATTTTGGGTTCTTGCTCTTCTCCGTTGGTTCTGGGGAACCTCTCCACGTCGAAATCTTGGGGGAATGCCATTTCCAGCACGAAGTGATCGAACAATATCAACCATGTTCAAGCAAGCAGCCATATCACGATTCCATAGACGAGGAACAATCCTATTTGTGTTATTAGTCATGGCTCTACAATTTTGATTTGTACATCTGTCACAAGAACAACAAAAAAAATTATTAGATGAAGAAATTATTAACATGTAAAATCAACATACCTTAAGAGACCATGTCTGATTACACGAGGATTTGCTCTTCGTCTATGAGGGCGCGGGTTATCCACCATCCGAAACGTTTCAAGACTTCTACGTTCACAAGCTGGGCAGCACTGACTTGTTCTAAATTCATCAATCAAGTACACCCTTTTACCAGCTTTTTGAAGCAACCGACGGAATCCAAGGCCTCGGACCGGCTCATGAAATCTTGCATTAGGAGAAGACCAGTTACCCATGACATAAACAGCTTCGACACCAAACTGTTCATCTAGTTTTGAAATAAGATCCTCGTTTCCTTGCTGTCTTCTAATATAGGCAGATAGCCGCAGTTTTCTTTGCAAAGGATGAGCAGTACGATGGTTGGTTCGGAAGTTGACATAGTGGTTTTGGATAATGCCTGTCATATTGGACCTGTTTTCAAGATACTGTTCAAATTCATCTCTATTCAAGGAATCATAATTAACCAAAAGCCTTTCAGCGGCTGCTACTCTAGCGGGTTTCACAGCTTCACGGATTCTACGGTATTTTTTGATCTTTTCAAACTTGTCTTGGTACTGTTTGGTAAATCGAAACTTGTTTGGATTGTTTGCGGTTGAGTTTTCATGCACACAGAATAGCAAATCTCTTCGCCCAGGATCAATTGTAACACATCTTCCAACAGTTTCTTGAGCAATCTCTTGTGAAATGTACTGAATTGATTCAACCACAACAGCAAAACGAGCAGTATATCTGCTTTCACGATCCATTCTTTTCTTGATCACAGTTACACCTACTCCATCCGTTTGAATAGTTCCTCTAAACTGGAGCTCGCCATTTTCTTGGTGTTTGAGTGCATCCGAGTTTAGGTTAATTACTTCACGCCAAAGTGCTATCTTATCTTGACGATTAGTCCACCGACGACCAAGAATATTTTGACAAAGAATTTTTGAATCGATGGTTGTGTAGCAAGGAATCCAAGAGCGGCGTAATGGGAAGCAATTAAACACAGGTAATTCTATATCAATAAATAATAAAGCCAGTTCGTAAAAAGCCCGCATATGTTCAACTAGTCTTGCTTTGGAATCAAAATAAATGCTATTACCACGAAACCGGTAGTCAACGGGATAACTGGTAAGGACAGGGCGAAGAATTTCAAGAGCGTTATTGTAGATAGGGTCCCCGAACTGCTCTCCGTCCAATACAAAATCTTGAGGTAACCTTCTAGCTATAAGTTCCTTGAATCTTGTCGCCGGCTCAGTTATTTCTCTGTATACTTCAGATTTTATCAGTGCATCAATTAATCCTTCACGTCTTCTATAAGCAATTAATTCGGCTTTTCTTTGTCGAATACGAAGTAGATGATTAACAGCTTGTCTAAGATGACTTCCCAAACGCATCTGGACATTGTTGCTATAAGATGTAAAGATCTTTGCTCCTTCGATTAAAGATGCTTGCTGACCATAACGGAAATCTGGTGGAACAAAACCAGTGACCTCCAAATAGTCATCAAGATAAGTGTCAATGAATGCACGAGTCGCCGCAGTTCTTCCGCCAGCCCTTCCTCGTGCATACCGAGTCAGTTTGAGCCACACCTCTGCAAAAAAATCACGATTGATACATCGCCTGATATCAAAGTTCTCATCTTCTTGAATGGCACGCAAAAAAATGTACTTTGAGAGTGAGTATGCGTGTGTAGTGATGTTGTGGACTGTCACTACATATTCTTCGAGCCTTTCACGTCGCTCTGGGTCCCAACCAATACCATCAATAGAGGATTTAACAGATATAATACGATCGCCAGGAGCCAAAGAGCTAGATGTGCTCATATTGCTTCCAGGTGTACCCGGCGTACCAGACAAGGATCTATCAGAGTCCATGCTGGTAAAAAAGGGCAGTTATTTGAAGTAAGAAATTCGCTATAATAACATGTTAGATAAATGTCACTCATTTTTGGATTGGTTGTTACAATATTTGCCTCTTGTAGAAAAATAAAAATTGAGTAAGGATTGAGGTAAACTTTTTTACCGACTATTTATATAAGATTTCATTGTTCATTTCTGACTTTAAAATGTTGTTATTGAAAAAAAAAGGGGGAGAAAAACAAAGAACAATGAAATTCGCATGAAGCAGTAATAAATACACTTTTTCTAGCTTTCATTTTATATATATATCTTTTGCAAGAAGGTATATACCTCATATTCATTATAGAAAAATTCGGATTGCCCAGAAATTATACGAAAGCAAACGGAAAATAATTGTGTTATTCAAAGTAAAATAAAAATTGGTTGAAATACCCCTAATACATACAATGAAATAAAACTTTATTTCAAGTAAAACTCTAAATACCATGTACTTGTTTGAGCGTTTTTAGGTATTTTGTTTGTAGTTTGACAAAAAAAAACAGGTTACCGTTTCAGGGTGTCAGGTAAGGAAGGAAGTCTGGTACATCCATATATTTATCCACTTATACGTTTGTTACCAATAACTGTGTCGTTCATGACGAGGTAGTGGCATTTAATTTACTCTTGGTAACGCAACACATCTAAAGGGGGGGGGGGTTGCTACCCCTCGCTTCCCTTATGGGTGAATAACAACAATATCAAGTTTTTCTCGTTTGTGCGTATCAAAATAGGCCTAAAAAGAAGACAATAATTATTTGGTTTAAACCCAATCGTTCAATTTTCAAGAGCAAGCTCGAGCAGGTTAGTCTTTTGGATGAAGTGACATTAAATTAAAGTCATATTATACGCATACAATAGTGCACTTATTCGGGTCCTTCAATATGATGAAAAATTGTTCTTCTACTTTTAGCAGTATACCCATTTAATGATAACAGATATATTTCTCTTTCGTTCATTTCGTTTGTAAACTATGCATGGAAAATTAATTAATTTTTAAGCGATTATTTATTCCGTCGCTGATTGAAGTTTTATTCTAAGCGTGCACGAAAAATTTATGAAAATAGTGTATAACACCATATTTTTGAAGAGAATTATTAAATATTGGGAAAAGGTTAGTTTTGTTTTCTATAAAAACACTAAAATATTACTTTTTTTAAAAATAAAAAAGAATGGACTCCCATTTTTTGTTATCACGGCTACGACTAGTCTTTTCAATATTAGCAATACTTTCCCGCTCCCAGTTGTAAACATTGGGGAAGGAAATCGGGTGGTTCGTCGTTTGTGCAAGGCTAAAAACGATAAAGCGGTAGTGGTATTTCACTGGCACCTAAACTCCCACTTATGCTACACCCTTTAGGTCTTTTTATAGATCAAAAGTAGGTAAGAAAAAAGAATAGATCACGTGAATCTAAAAAATATGTAAAAAAATTTACAAAAATACGTAGGTGTAGACATTGTCGACATTCGTGCGATGGAGTGGCGACCCATTGCATTCAAAAAGAAGGCGTGTACAAAATACAGAAACGGAACTCTGTTAAAGAGCACTGAACTTTTATGTGTGACTGCATAAAAAAACAAAAAAAGAACAAAATCTCGAAAACTCTTTCTTTTCTTCGATCCTAAACTGTTGATATTCTGCCTTCAAAACAGCAATTTCATTATTATGGAACGTCTCCCCCGAGAAATATTAGAGAAAGTACTAGATAATTCTAAACTTTTTACGCGTTTCGACGTCGCAACATTATCAAAGAATTTATATGAAAAAATCAGGCACATCCCATTAAAAAAGGAATATCATATCAATACCAAGGATGGTCATGAATCTATTGGCTCATTTTTTTTCGCGTCGGTGAATCATGTGAATGTGGTGATTGATGATATGCCAATTAATTTCGGTAATCTGAGGAAAATGCTTTCGGTTTTTTACTGCTTACATACTGTAACTTTAACTGGGTGTTTGACACAAAGGACTGCTAACAAACTGGTTGGATGCTTACCGTTGTCGCCATCGACAATCAAGCTAAATTTATATTGTGAACCAGACACTATGCTCATGATTGGTAATGCCCTGCAGAATATCACTCAGAGACAAATTGTTGTTAAGGATAAGGGACACCAAAGGTAAAAAAAAAAAGAGAAACCCCCTCCCCCACTGTATAATTACCTTTTCTAACATTAAATAGAAAAAAACGAAAATACGATCATCCACAACCAATTGAAACACCGTCCCCACTTAAACCAGCATTACGCCCACTCAAATTAGCATATGAAGCAAGCAAAGCTGAATTATGTAAGGCGATGGAAATAAAGCCAAAATCGAAAGCTTATTTACCTGCTCCGTTTGTCAAGCATAACTTGGCAAGCGGCAACTATACAACAAAGATAAGCGATAGGTTTAAAAACATTGATCTGACCGAAGACTTTGGTGTCAATGAAATTAACACAGTGGCCACCAATATATCAAAAATTTTAATCGAAGCCATTTTACAATTCGAAGATCAATGGTTCTTTGTCACTGAATATGAAATGTATGTCCGTAATCGCAGCCAAGTGGACGATTGTGCCCAAGAATCTTGGTGGTTAATGTACCCTGGGGAAGTAGAAGCTTACATCGTAAAAAAGAACGAAAAAGGAAACACTTGGTTCGAAGTAAGCATCTTTTGGGATAGGCTGGAATTTCTGGTCACAGGTGGTGTACGTGGTAATTACTCGGACGGCACCCTCACCCCTTTCCTAGGATCAGCCCAAAAACATTTGGAACCAATGAATCTGCAAACGCATACGAGAACATCTAACATCATCATTCGTGAAGAAGGAGCCGAAGTCTCCCAGACAACAAGAAGACTCAGACAATATAAAAAACAGGCTGCTCATCTGAAATGGCTCTTCAGGTCTTCAAAATTTGTAAGGAAAGGGTTTCATACGACTGTTTCATTAGAAGTACACCTTAATTTGGCTAAAGCTAACATGGCTTCTGTGGCATCCTTCTTGTTATCAAGAGTTGTGGAAAAGAAGTTCGAAGAATCAGATGTAAAGCATACCCTCAAATTAATAGCTGATACAAGTGCTTTTCCTTTAAATAAGCGAAGCATGACATTAAGAACGTTCAAAAAAGACTATCGACAAATGAATCTGTCGCCAAGTTACCAATCAATCTTCAAGTGTTTTATTTACTTGTCAGAAGGGAAAATCGAAGAGCTCACGGGTGACGATATCTTGTCTGTCTACAAAGGAACCTTGGCCAATTATTGTAAAAACGAAGACGAAAAAAAGCTTCGTCGCAATACTCATTTATTGTGAACGTCCAATAAGTTATTTTTTTTAAATTTGTAAAATTGCACTCAGATAATGTTTAGTCCACGGATAATCAAACTAATCCACAAAATACCCTCATGAAACAAAGTACCATAATTATGTAAATAAATAGAACACTAAATATGTTAATATAAAGAGAGCCTAAATCTGAAGTGATTGGCATTTGATGCTTATTAGCTATAAGGACTCTGGTTGTAAGTGCCTCTTTAATTTAATTGGACGATGCAGCTGTCACGGAATAACGCCTTTAAATACCATCCCTGAAATTTCACACTAAAAATTACATTACACTGTTGACTCATATCAAACTACTGTATAATTCTCTCAGCCAGTAAGACCTTTAAATTAAAAAACTCTTTAGGTATTGCCAATAAAGATGACGTAGTCGAAATCCTTTTAAATCACCGATCGCATACTTAAGATTTTTTTTTTCCCGTCACCTTTAACTACTACAATGAACATTAAGGTATAAAGAATTAAAAATACAATATTAAGATATTCCTTCGTGATGTAAAGCCTTTTTCAAGAGGTGACTAGGGGGGCGGCAACCCCGCGACACGAGCTATTTCTTGTTTCCATGTTTGAGTTGCTCGATCTAGCTTGGGTTGCGCAAAAGGTATTCATGTTGGTTTATCTTGACTCATCTTTTTTCTACAGGCTCTTCCATGATGTAAAGCCTTTTTCAAGAGGTGACTAGGGGGGCGGCAACCCCGCGACACGAGCTATTTCTTGTTTCCATGTTTGAGTTGCTCGATCTAGCTTGGGTTGCGCAAAAGGTATTCATGGTAAGAGGTCTCATCTTTGACATGGCTGTTGTGATACTTCCACTTGGTTAACTTTTGTTTATGGTATTCTATCCGATTTCATAAAAATTAATGCTGGTTCCTAACTCAATCTATATTTTTAAAGATCATGCTCTATAATATCATAGCCGGCTTATGATACCTTTTGGCGAATGAATATGGTACCTTTGGTGTGAATGAATATGGTACCTTTGGTGAATGAATATGGTACCTTTTGGCGAATGAATATGGTACCTTTGGGGAATGAATATGGTACCTTTGGGGAATGAATATAATGCCTTCTCCCTCATGATAACATTATAAAAACTTTAAATAAAGGCCTTGGCTCGTCTACTTCATAGCTATTTCACAGACGAAAAAAAAAATTGTTTTTTTTCATGGCATTGGTTTATGTTAATGTTCATCACGTTAATTTATTAAGAATGTATTTAACTCGAATGGTGTTTCCATAATGCTGCACCCGTCTTATAGGATGTTTGATTCTCGTTTTTACTCCAACACACCAATTTTATTTGTATTGTTTAAAGATACATGCTACGGCTGATACACTACTGATAAAATAATTACCAAGTTTAGTGTAAGTTTGAGGCGATTTGTACTTGAATATATCAGTAAATGCAAGTTGCATCATGCAGATATTCCTATAATAAGTAAAGATATAGATATTATGACTGATGCAAACCATCACTTGTTTATATAAGAGCCCATTATCACACCCTTTTTTCTTATTTTATGAAAATGTTTATGTTGTCCAAGTAAATGCTAAAGCATGACCTATTTTTCTTACAAATAAAAAGGGCATGTATCAATTTTTGCCGTGCCGGGTAATATTACCGCTGTAGCTGTTCATCGCTATACGATGGAGACCTGTCAAGTTGGTATTCTCATCTTAAGGCCAACATTATTGTGGATCGCATAATTTCTATTATGATTTCATCATGCGGGTTGGCAGAACCGCGTATGGATGTTGTTTCCAACATCAAAACATGTAAGAAGAGACACTTGAAAGTTTCACAAAGACGTTAACCCTCCCCCCCCCCCTTTTCTTTAGACGTGTCGGCTTCTGATGCGACTATTAAGCAGCACAAGACTCTTACAAAGAAAAATACAGTCAATTGCCAACAGTTTTTCTTCGTTTGCATCTGTTGATGAATACGATAAGCCTCTTGCTTTGTCTGTTGGTGGTAGAGATACTGTCAATGAGGTCAATGGCATTGACCATGAAGATAGTGTTGATAATGGCGGTACTGCTCCTAGTGGTGGTGGCTCCGATTTTAGACCAACGGGATAGGGACTAAAGTCAAACAATATCAATCTTCAAGTGATTTATTTACTTGTCAGAAGGGAAGATTTCAGAGCTTATGGGTGACGATATCTTGTCTGTCTACAAAGGAATCTTGGCCAATTATTGCAAAAACGAAGACGAAAAAAAGCTTCGTCGCAATACTCATTTATTGTGAACGTCCAGTGAGCCTTTATCAAAAGTGGCTAACTATTTTATTGTTCTACAATTGTACAATCACTTCCAGGCATACTTTTCCAAGTCAAAGTTACAATGATATATTGGTGAAATGGAGTGTGGTGTATCACAAGACTATCTCACCATAATAACAACTACTCTGATGTAAATACGGAACGTATAATAATCACCGATACAACAAATACGATTCACCGACTTAAGAAACATGAACATATAATATATATACAAGAGCAAATTAAGCATTTAATAAAGGATTATCTTATATTTGATTGAAATTATTGTCTCTTAGACATCGGATATTACAGAGTGATAAATGCCTTCAGAGCCATGCTTTATTTTCTCATTATAATAAACAGATTTCCCTATATATTTCTTATACGTATTCTTTTCTTTTTCTTTTGGGACTAGGGAGGGATGAACTTTATATATTTGACCAAATATGCGATGGTACCAGATGGGTGGTTTAGTTAAATTACACGAGCCTCCATCTACAATGAAATGAGAATTGTAAGTAAGGGGGGTTATTTTAACATAAAGTTCAAAACGACAAACAGGTATGAGTAATTCCCTTTGAAATTACGTGCCGCACGGATAAATGTGATAGACATCAGTAGATAGTCTTTATTTAACAATGATAAATGTGACGCTGTTGATTTGAACAATAAAAGAGCAGTCTAGATTTTTTACTTCTATGGGCGATCAGTTATTAAAAAAGTGATGTTCATCAACCACGTCGTGTGTTACACGAAACGACTCACAACCCAAGGAGCACCCTTTTTATAAACAAAGAAATTAATTATTGTGTATTAGTAAAACCAAGGGATGATTTTTATGAGTAGGTTGAATAGTCATGTCGGTTATTAAGTAGTCTTGAATGTTCAATGTTGAGTTTCAAATCACACAAAGAAAAACTTTGCATGAATCGTCCTTTAACCTTTGTACGACTATTTAGGCTGTAAACTACAGTGAGCCCTTAATGATTTACGGTTTCTTTTTTTTCCCAGGGTCCTTAGGTAAACAAACCTGTTTTTTTTTTCTGCTTGTGCATTAATGACCAAGTTTTTATTTTTATGGTTTGTCCAGTTTGTAATTATTCTGGAGAAAAGAGCAAGATAAATATAATTATAGAAACCATGATTGTTGTTTTTTTTTAATAACGCTAGCGTGTGCAAATCATACACATGTAATTGCCCCCCCCCTTCTTTTTGTGTGTGTTTATCATGCTTTTATTAAATTTTTGGTGTCAATGCCATGTGCAAAATCCATGATTAGTATTTTTTGATCTTGACTTGTACTTTTGTTGTTGTAGACAGGAGAGAAAAGACAATGAATATAATTGCTCTTGTACATGATGTATACATATATATATATATATATATTTACCTTATAATTTTAGTTTCGTCAAACATGACATCAAATACCCAACTGGTATGACATCTTGAATAAGTCTTTATACATTTTCCAGTGTGTATGTCCCAAACACGTATACTTTGATCATAGCTTCCGCTGACAATTTTGTCTTTATCAAAATGCAATGAACGCACTAGACCCGTATGACCTAAATAACAATAAGTACGGGGAAAAGGGGATAGTGGGAGAGAGATCTGATTGCAAGTTGTACCTTCTAAAGTCAAGATACATTCTCCAGTGTCTAAACAAACGAAAATAGTTTTAGGAAGTCAATTTGATAAAAGGAAGAATCGATGTTCTTATTTACCTGCATTCCAAACCTTGATTTTATTATCGTTGCTTCCGCTAACTATTTTCTGACCATCAAATCGAATACAAGCCAAACCATGTGCATGGCCCATAAAGTCACGTAGACAAGTGCCAGTGTCGATATCCCATAATTTGATGAGGGTATCGCCTGAAGCCGAGACTAACCGGTTTCCCATGAATTGAATGGCATTGACAGGACCTCGATGACCGACCAGTGTCTTGATGGGTAGGCCGACCCGATTCCATATCCGAATGGTTGCATCTTTAGAGCAACTGATGATATAATTCTGGTCAAAGCAAACATCCAGTACGCCTGAAGAATGACCACGTAAACAATACATCACTTGAAAGGAGGACATGGACCAAACGAGCAAAGTGTGATCCGAAGAGCCTGTCACCAATATGTGTGCATCGTATTGCAGGCATAATACACTGGCACCATGGCCATACAATGTACGTGTGCATTTACCCGAAGCAGGATCCCAGAATTTAATGGTACGGTCTCTACTTCCCGTGATAATCTTTTTCGCATCGAATTGGACGCAATAGATACTATCGGTATGACCTACAATGGTCTGTAATCGAATCTGGCTGCCTGTGTTCCATCGCTGCAACAATTGCGATTTTCGTAGGTAAAGGTGTTTGTAGTCGATGGGTGTCCGAGAAGGATAAATGCGCCCATGTTGGCTTATATACATGTGTTTCCAGAGAATGTTGTCTTTACATAACCAAGACCAATGTTTGGATACTTGGTGACAGGTCATGATGGTATCTTCATCGCATAAGGATAATATAAAGCAAGACAATTCATTCGGTAACAGCAGGAGAAAGTCTTTTTTTTTTTTTATGTTGCACATGAAAAAGGTTAGTACACATTTATGTTATGTATAGATATATATATATATAAACCAAACCTATTTTGTTTTCTAGAGTCATAGTAGTTGTACAGGTTATTAAAGAAGGACAAGAAACGTTTGGTTTTTGTTGTTGGAATCCTTCATCGATTCTTGAATCCTGAATGGTAAACGATTGACGTTTGCCTTTTTTAAAATAACGTAATAATTTATGCTTTATTTCTTTGGATTTCATTTTATGTGTGTATGGATTGAACAAAGGAGAAAGAAGAAGCTTTTTTAGAATTACATGATTGAAATAATTATATACAGATATATAATGAGGAGAGTGAAGAAAGAGTGAAAAGACACTGAGAGGGGGAACAAGGGGATCTTTTTTTTTTTGTATGTTCACCCCTTATGTAAAGGGGCAAAAAAGAAAAGAAAAGGTATTTATTGTACAGCATTTTTTTTTTAAAAAAAAAAAAAAAAAAAAAAAAAAGTATGTATATTAGGGATATGTGTGTGTATATAAAGGTTCTTCACTCGGAATCAGAACCAGAAGAGCCCTCATCATCTTCTGAACCACTGGAGGAAGAAGAGGAATCTATTATAAAAACAAAGGTAAATACATGTGTGTGTACGTTATATACAGTATTGGACTGACCATAATGCGCATTGCTTGAATTAAACTTTTTTAAAGTAGCCTCTAGTTGGTGGATCTTTTTATCGGCAGCTCTTTCGGAATAATGAATGCGTTGTCTCTTTCCTTTATTGCTCACCTTTGGACTTTCGGGATGAATGTAATCATGTAATTGATGTAATGTGTGGCTGTCCAATGAATCAATGTCCAACTCAATTTCTTTTTGTCCATTCTATTTCAAAAGAAAGAAAAAATTGCCCCGCTTAGTATATATGAAAATACCAACTACAACTACTTACAACTCCCAAATCTGGCATTGAGCTTTTGATGATTTCAACCACCACGTTGAGACGATGACTGGGTAAATGATTGATTTCGTTACTGAGAATCTTTTTTTCATCAAAGGTAAAAGTATACAAATCATCCTGCTGTTGTGCAGCTTTTTTGAGTCTTCTCTTTGGTTGTGGTGGTTGCTTAGCAACCCTCTTGACTGGCTTCTTTTGAGGTTTTTTCATGGTTTGTATTTGCTTTGTAATGTCTTGGATGGTACGTTCAAGCTGGGCAATTTGATCATCCACAACTTCATCATCTTGTAATTGTTGATGCTTTTGTTTGTGCTTTTGTTGCTGCTTTTGGTGTTGTTGGGAAGGAGATGGTTGATGTTGATGATGATGATGATGAGAAGGAGGAGACTGTGTAGTTTTGGCAGATGGAGTATGAGTAGGACGTTGATCCCATTTCTGTTGAAAGACGGCTTCCATATCTTTGGCCATGGTATAGATGGGGAGTGAGGGAGGATTATAGGTGTAGCAATTATTAAACATGAGGAGGACATGTTGAGCAAATTCTTCCGGTAATTTATAGTGGTCATTCAGCAAGTTATTTTCAATGGTAGAAAGATCCATAGGATGCTTGATGATTGATGTATAGTCTGGTAAATTCAGAGCGACAGGATCGACTGGAGTTAAGAAGGGATAGATTTTGTTACGGTACTTTGTCTTTTTGAGTTCACGTAATACCTGAAAGCAATATTTCATTTGATTCTTATTGGCAGGAGATAACACTTGTTTACTAGTAAATGTTTCTGGATAGTCTTTGGATGGACAATGTATTTCTCTTTTGGGTCTACCTAAATCTTCCGATAAAGTGTAGGACTCGGTGATTGGATGTGGACTGATGGGAGAAAAGGGCTCACTAGTATGACTCTGAGTTGTATTTGTGGGCATTTGACGTAATCCTTTTTCAAAGGCAGACTCTACATTTTGACACAAGACTGATATCATGGCTTCGGGTCCATTATATTTAAAGCAGTTATTAAATACCAATCTAACATCAGACACAAATTCCTCTACATTGGCATATTCAGACCCATTTAATTTACTTTCTACCAAATTTAAATCCATTGGTTTTTTCACAATGCTTGGATAATCAGGCACATTCAATTTTACGTAATCCACCGCCTTTAAAAAAGGTGAGGCGTCTCGATGTTTCTTTAAGTTCCTCATAATTGCTCCACAATACTTTTGTTGCTCACGGCTCATGGTCTTTTCTACCATTTGTTGGGGTGGCGAAGGTAAAGTGTTCTCACTACGCCTTTAGACTTTAATAAAAACTAATTTTTACGCGTATCCACCTTTTCTTACCTATTATAAAATGTATTTGATGAAAGCATATATATATATGTATATAAAAAAAAAAAAAGGGGGAGGGGGTCGTGTGTAATTTGATAATAATAAAAAAAAGGAGAAAAAAAAAAAAAAAAAAAAAAAAAAAGAGAAAGAGGATTGCGTTAAATCACACACTAAGCCACCGGAGCACGGATGACTCATTTTCCTTTTTTTTTTGTGGACATTTCTTGTTTTTCAATTTCAGATTGGTATAAATAGATTTCAAAGGTACAGAGAAGATAAAGCATAATGACTTATTGTGGGCAGTGAGCAGCCATCATTACATTTATTCAAAAGACGTTTAATACACAAAGAAGAATTATATTACTTATGGAAATCATCCTATCCTGTGGAACAGCAATCCATATCATTAATGGTTGTATGTCTTACATGTCGAAGCGAATACACAATCAACATTTGTAGACAACAATGTACCAATGTCATGTTAATCGTCCTCCTCAGGATCTTTTTCAGAAGGTCATAACTTGCCACGAATTACCTCCTTCTATGCTGCCCTTTTTGTTGGAATATTTACTTGAGCTTCTTTCTTTGATGGCCGCTTCGAACAACATCCACAAACTCTATGAATACATATAGAAGTGAATAAACATTCGAGGATTGGATAAAAAGCTACCTTTGACACCTGTAAGCAATCCATCAGTTTGTGGACGCCATGTCAAGCCTTTTTCTTTTTATCTGCTCTGTCAATGACGACAGGTCTCTACGTTAGACAATATTGTTAGTAGTGCATAAAACATTGCGTATTGAGCTTGACAACAATCAGTATTCACCTTTCTTCGCTTGTACTTGTTCTTTCATACGAAAAAGCAACCTTGTTTGAGATAGCGGGTAAAGCTAAAGGAAAATCAATAACATCAAGGTCAACGCCGCCCGTGTTAAATGACATAGGTGGCATTGATCTTGACGAAAAGCTTTTTTTTTTTTTGCGTTTCAATTAACATTTTCTACTTCTTCCCTGTCCAAAGAAACAATAGGCCTTCGGGTCGCCCATCCCGTTTTGAAATACCGTACTCAGACAAATACTTCCACGACACGTTTTCTGGGAGGGTCTACATGCATGTTTTAGTTTATAAAAATGAACAAAACGTACACCAAATAATATACCTGTATTAATCCCAGACCAAAGCTAGGAGCCTATATCTCCAAGCGCTCACCCTATAGCAGTGACTAGCCGTAGCCGTGATAATACCAGTGTCCTCCTGATAACGCAACTGTTCACATCTAGAAAAAAATGTTGCTTGTCAACTTGTAGTATTACTGCTTGAAGAAACGGAGTCCGTTTTGAACTACCTTTTCAGAGAACTTGGCTTGGTTTTGATGAAAAGAAAAATAAAGTGAGCGGATTTTACTATTACCCATAAACAAGCTTATGTCAGGATGAGGTAGTTATTTTGATATAGTAGATGTCTATTCTTATAAAAGAGATAATAACTGCGCAACAGGTATAATAGCAGTATGGTTTATTGAATAAAAATAATAAATACACACGTGATAAAACTGTTTATCGGTGGTTTAGCACCTATATCCAAACAATTAAAAAGAATCCGAGTATTTATTTATTTATTTTGTTTTAAAAAAACAGATTGTAATAGAAGTGTATTATTACTATTTCTTGTATCTTTTAAATAAGAGAGATTTGACTGAATTATTCTTTTGATGGTCTTCACGTAAGAGTTTTGCAAGGTCTGCTACGGGTATAGACTTCCATGCTTCAAAGTGGTCAATTTCGTGCTTGATGGCTAATGTGTTGTGCTATAAAGAGAGAAACGGTAAAAAACGGTATCCAGATGTACATAGATGTGCATACCTGTATGTTTGACCAAAGTGGGTGGTTGATATGAGTCTCACCTTTTACCTGATAATACGCGTCTTGAATAAAGGACGCGTCTTTTTTGTAGAGATTGGACTCCGCCAATAACAGGGCAGCAACATTATTATTCTCCTCTACCAATTTATAATAAACAGGTTATTTTTTTTTTATATATGTGTGAGATCGTGTGATTCCGTGTATGTTACCTTCTTTAATATTATTTCTTTTGAGTTGATCTCGTAACGAGGCCACGGTACCTGCCAATTGATTAAGGCTAGAGGATAAAGACTGGACTTTTTCGACATGCGTTTCCTTTAGAATTTTTAATTCAAGTTCAACTGCCTGTTTCTCTTTGGAACATTTTTCTAATAAAAAAAAAAAAAAAAAAATTGATATGCAGCCAAAATCTGGGGGGTGGGTGGGGAACTAACCTGTGATACGGGATTCAAATTCAGATTGCTCATTTACCATGAGACGATGTTCATGTCTCGTTATTTGTAATTCTCCATTGACATTACTTAATTCTTTCTATCCTAAAAATGATTATTTATTTAAACTTGTTTTGTTTGTGGGTATGGAAAAGTGGTTTACTTTTAATTGGTTGATCTTTTCATCCTTCTCCTTGATTAGTTGATCATAAATATCTTGATTAATACTATTGATATTAGCTAAACATCAAAAAAAGGTATGTTATGTAAAATTAATAAATAGTAATTTTTTTTTTTTTTTTTTTTTTTTACAGTCATGTAAATGATGATGAAATGAGCTTGACGAACTATAGGATAGGGGACTAAAATTAGACCTGTGTTACGTTAACAGCCTTCTTTTTTTTTTTTACCTGTTATTTGAAATTGGTGTATCCAACAAATTGAAATTAATTTGCTTTCTCTTTACAGAAAAACTTGTATTTGACTTTTTTCCTGGCATGTATATTTAAGAGGAAGAAAAAAAGGAGAAAGGGGATTAAGATAGGAATGAAGAAAAGAAAAAAAAAGTAAGTTAAGCAAAGTAGGTAGGCAGGCAGATACAGACAGGCAAGACAGGCAGGGAGGGGGAAGAATATGTGTATGTTGGTTCATGTTTGAATTCTTTTAGTAAAGGCGCGCGCGCACTTATAAAAAAAGATTGTGTCAAACTTTTATCCGGTCTACATTTATAAAGTTTTACTAAATTTGAAAATAGACAGGCCGAAAGTCCGAGTTAAAACGAGAGGATCTTTGGGGGGGAGAGAGACATTTAAAAGCTTCTGTTTGGATGGTGACACGGTACCCCCCAATTTAATAATAATAATAATAAAAAAAAATACCGCCCTTTCATCAACACCGGGTTAATTATTATTGTGTAATGAAAAAATGTGTTGTGTTAGAAAATAGAATAAAAGGTACAATCAATCAAAAAAAACCAGTTTTTTGATGAATTTTATTAAATGTGATTACTAAAAGAGGGTTATATAAGAGATGTACAGAATAAGGGAGAAAGTGTATAATGAATTAAAAAAAAAAAAAAAAATTTTTTTTCTTGTGTTTAAAACCCATTACTCAGTAGTGGTTTGCTTAGAGTCATTATTGCGAAGCCTAATTAGTCTTTGACGTTCTCTTGTACGCATTGCTTGTCTACGGTTCTGGAACCAGATCTGGACAGTTCTTGGGCTCATGCCTAATTGTCTGCCAAGCTCAGCTCTCATCTGAGTGGACGGAAAGAATGTACGATCAAACACTCTATTTAGGACTTCGAGTTGTTTGGCATTGGCTCTTCTGCGTTTTGCTTTGATAGCAGCTGAGGATTCATCATCATCATCTTCGTCATCATCTTCTTCAGTTTCTTCTTCCAACATATCAATGTCTTCATTGTCCATACTGATGGGTGTGTGTGATCTGTGTTTAGCATCTTGCCATTCAGCCTGTTGCGTTGGAAACGGGTAACTTGTGAAGGAATTTATGCTTGCTGGTGATGATGTTAATGAGGGTGAGAGAGAAGGGCTTTTGGGTTGGTATGGGGTATTTAAGAGGTTGCTAATATCCAGTACAGCTGGTCTTTTGTAGTGTTGTTGTTTGTAATTCAACATGTTTGTTACTGATAACATGATTATGTATGTGATTTTTTTTTTTTATTTATATATAAGTAGTGTAGGAAGAAAAGGGAAAGAAATAAATAATTAGAAAAAAAGTAACCCTTTTTATTTAGTATCGCTCGAGCCAACTTTTTGGGATGACCATGTCAATTGGGTATTTTTTAATTCTTTTAATTGTCCGATTTCGTTTTGTGATACAAAAAACGGGTCTTTTTTAAACATGTACTAAGCTCGTGACAAGGATGTTTAAGCTTTTTTTTTTTTGGCTGCAAAAATAAAATAAAAGCGCGATGGGGCTCTTCTTATGTTTAGAAAATTGCCTTTTAGAAGCTTGACTCTTGTCACACCTTGATTTTTTAATTTTTTTTTTTTTTTTTAATTCCACGTTGAAAAAAGCTCACGCCACATTTTTTCATCCAATCCAAAAAATTGAGTCTACACGTTCTTTTTTTATATAAGGCTTCCGGTCACACAAATATCAATTTTCATTTCTTTTTTGACTTTTTTCCCTTTTGAAAACACAAACTATCAATAATGAATTGGTCATACGTAATTTCTTACATGTCTTCTTTTTATGCTAGTCTCCCCCACTAACTGACAAATTTTTTTTTTTTTTGCTAGATTCATGCTTGGTTAGCAACTCTCTACAAAGACAGGGAAATACCCTCCTTTGACCACACGGATAAAAATTATCACATACTGGAGAACCTTAAAAATCTTAATTTCAATTCAACTGAACTAGTAGAAAATATAATTATCAATGCTACTGCTGGTATATTTCATTTTATTTTTTTATTATAAAAAAAAAAAAAAAAAAAAATTCATTACTTTTATTAATTAATACTAGTTGAATTTGACACTAGTTCATTAACTTTGCAGGGAAATCATGCATTACATTCTCTTGCAGTCATTGCTCAGTACCTTGGGATCGGTCAAACTGAGTTGAGCACGTAAGATAATTAAAAAAAAAAAAAAAAAAAAAACTTTCCTGGGCGGGCCTCATATCTCCCTTTTAAATTTCTTTAATAGTTATTACACTGCCATTACCCAATTATCAATGGACCGAATGGATTCTCATTTGGAACTAGAACGTCTGCGGCACATCGACTCTTGTCTGCAAGAGGGATTTGACGGTCACTTGTTAAAAATGGAAAGGTATACTTTACATAAGAATTTTTTTTATTTTTTTTTTATTTTTTATTTTGTGATGATACAAAAATATAACATGAATGTATTTATAGTATTCTGACAAAGTTAAAAGAAAATCGGGATGTTAACAACAGCAAACATATGATGAACCAAAACGGGACAGATCAATCTGAATATCTAGTTCTTGAGGTATCACAAAGGAGGGAGAGAATAAAACCTTATTTGTTTGTAACACGCACTTGTTTTAATATAGAAAAAGTATAATAATCTGGGTATTCGTACAAGATTAAGTCATTTATATGAATTAGATTCAAAATCAGATTCCATAGAAAACATCCTATTGGAGCAATCAACTTCACTTGCATCATTTAAAACTTTGCCACCCGTAAAAAAATGACAAATCCGTTCCCCTTTTTTAGTGATGTGAAAATAATTTAATCTTTTATTTTTTTTTTCTTTTTTTTACCTTATAGGACATGACATTAGCTTCGATCAAAATACAGGAAACTGAACTTCTCTTGGTAATTTCATTTGTGTATCGTTTCTTATTTTCTGTTTGTAAAATTAAATCCTTCTTATTTAAGCACGAGTTGGAATCACAAAGAGAAGCTGCCTTGATTGCCAAATTCTAGTTCCTCCCGCCATCATTTGTGACTGTTTATTTGTGACTGTTATTCTCGAACGCGCAATGTGTGTCTCCTACATGTTTTGCTACTGCTACATACATTTTAACTTTATACATTAATAAAAAATAAACATGTCGTTTGTCCCCGTACCTAATTACAATCCTTCATTCTTGAAGGACTCTACGCTTATCTTGGTAAGCAAGAAAAAAAAAGAGAGATATATAAAATAAAGATTACTCATTATCTGCATTTACAGCCTACAGTGTCTATTGGTAATGTACCTCAGTTAGTGTCAGACTTGCTTATTCACACATTTAAGCTTGAGCGTATTGGTTTCCTTGACTCCGACGCCTTGGTTCCTGTCTCTGGTGTGCGTGAAGATAACTCACAAACAGGTGTTACTGTTCCCTTGGAAGGTAAATATATATATATATATGTATAACAAAAATTATGCAAAAACTCTAATAAATAAATAAAAAAGTGTTCCAGTCAAAGGATCATCAATGGACATGTATTCAACAACGCTCGCCTGCATTAAAAGGTAAAAGACAGGCTTTTATTGACGAGATCACAGAATTTTCAGCCCAATTCCGCAAGGTGATTTTATTGACGAGTATGGATGCTTCACGTCGTATCGATAATCAGATTAACGGACCACCTTTCCGTACGTGGGGTAAAGGAGAAGAGGTGGAGAATGCAGCCAGGATAGGTGTACCTCAATTGGAGCTGGAAGAGAGCGATAAGCTGGATTTACCCGGATCTGGTTTAGCCAGTGCATTGTACAAGTCCATCTCGGGCCGTGTTGAAGCTACAACAATGGTGATTATGTTTGCTTTAGAAGGAGATAATGTTCAGGATAGTATTGAATATGGCAACTTTGTAAACACCTTGTTACGTATCAATACAGAACTGAAAGGATGGACACCCCCCAAGAGTTGGGAATTCTTATTTGGCACACCATTTAATGCAGAATTATACCAATAATAATAATGATAATAATAAAAAAAAGGGTTTATTATGATGAATTAAAAAGTTTCGTCGTCATATTGTTCTTCACCCAAATCTTCACCTTCTGGAGGCACTTCAAAGCCTTCTTCAGTTCTATAAAGAATAGCTTGAATATCCTTGATACAGTTTGTATCTTCGTTATCTTGATCTGTTAATTCTAATTGTTCCTGAACCAAAATTTCGATTTCTCGCAACTTTCCAAAATAAAAGTCTCGTTCCTTTTCAAGACCATCGACCGTGACCTTTAACTCTGTAATTTGTTTGTTTAAATCACTAATGACGGATGCTGATTGAGCATCTGTGCCAGCAGCTGAAGATTTGGCACTCGATGCACGACCTGTTGCAGTAACAGCTGTACGACTAGCACTACGACCTAAAAAAAAAAAAATGTTATTTCTTTAGAATAAGACTGCTCCCATCTATTTTGGCTGTCCTATCTTTACCTGCAGTATTCGTGGTGTTCATTGGTTTACGTGACATTGCACCTACTGCTGCACGCGCTGCTGCTGGACTCTTACCATGTGCACCGTTACCGCCACCATTAGTAGCAGCACCGCCTTTTCTACGGTGAACAGCATCATAAGCACCTCCTGGAAAATTCTGATCCCAGTATCTTTTTACCCATTGCATAAATTCAAGGTTATCTTGAAACTTGCACTTCATCAACTTATCAACTGGAATGATCTGTGTATTTTGCATGTGATAAATAAAGCATGAAAAAAAAGAGAGATTATCATGTATACCTTGTCGATCCTAAAAAGAGATCATCTACTATTTAGCCAAAAAAAAAAAAAGGAATGACGCGTAGTGCGATTCTACTTACTTGTGTTTATCAAATGTATGTTGAAGCACTTTATAGTTTGCAACGTATTCGTATTCATGTTTAGTGTCAAATTTAACTTTGGTCATATGCACATCATCTATCCGCAAATTATAAGTATCCTTACTATCAATTTTTTTTTCTAGATTTAACTTACTAAACACTGAATCCATAATTTGACAATAAGCAGCACCTATTTCATCTTTCATATCAGTACCTTTTTTTTTTTTGAAGTGGACTTACAAAAACAAGAATTTTGCCGTACCTGTGCCTGTCTGCTCTACTTTGGTATAGTTTAACTGTAACAAGTCGTTCACCCAAGCCAATAATTCTGTTCTGGATTCTCCCATCTTGACTCTTTGTTAGATTGGATAAAAAGGATGAAAGAGAGAAGAAAAAAAAAAAAAAAAAAAAGGGCACTCGATTTTACTGTGATGTCATTCGCTGAAGGGTTCAATACCCGCTACGCCCCTTTTACTTTTCATTTAAATCTCTTGAGAGTGCTTTTCCTTGTAGTTTATCATGTCCAACTATTATTTTGCCATTGTGGGAGCTACAGATAACCCAATATACGAGACAGAAATTGTACCCTCATCACGTTCTTCAGCATTTATCGATTCCAACAGAGTAAGAGAACATTAGGAGTGAATGAAACACTGCCTCAGTTTTTTAACCATTTTTTTTTTTTTTACTTGTAGCAAAGAGATGATCATAAACATTTAAACCAATTCATTATCCATGCCGCTCTCGATGTTGTCGAGGAATACCAGTGGAATACACAAGCCATGTTTGTAAACTCAAGCTAGATGAGTTTTCCCCCGCTTATATATTTTTATTGTAAATAATAGGTACCTTAAATCAATTGATAGATTTAACGAGTTTTATGTATCTTGTTTTGTCACAGCAGGCAGTAAGTTTATATTTAGCGTGTAAATGACATGTACTAACATATAAAAGGTGTGAAATTCATGCTGTTGCATGATCAGAAATCTGAGGATAGCATAAAGGCATTTTTCACCGAAGTATATGAACTGTACATCAAGGTAAAAAAAAGAGATATATATCATGACGACTCTTTTTATTATTGTTCTTAAAACCACTTTTTTTTTATATATTTTTTTGGTAGGTCTTGATGAACCCATTTTATGAAAAGAATTCCACCATTACCACACCCACCTTTGATAATCGAATTAAACTTATAGCAAGACGTTATCTTTAATAAAAAAAAAAAGAGAGAGAGAGTTACGAGTCTTCCTTTTCATCTCCATTTGTCCATACACGAAGTCGTTCTTTGAAATATCTTTCCAGTCGATTTGCACAACGAGCATAATTGGTAGCTTCGGCATTATAGACTCGACAATTATCAAAAATCTTTTGGACATCTCGTATAAAATCATCCATCGTTTGATACACATCCGTTTCCACATTTTGATCCAACGTCGTCAAGTCTAAATAAAAGTTTTAGTACACATACGCTTGCCATAGAAACATGTCTTACCCATGGGCGACTTGATCACATCGTAGTAATCCGTCACTTCATCCGCGTTCACCGCTTCATGAAACGGCCATGAATGAGCATGCGCTCTCAACTCACTCACTAGATGGCGCATTTGGTTATAATGAGGTGGATGACGAGGTCGATTTGATCTAGAAAATGAATAGGTCAGTATTCTATATTCGCTCATTCCTCACAAGAGAGCTTACAGGGCATCCATCTCGGGTGTCCAGCCGGATTCTCTGACTCCCGGTGCGTCGAATGGATCAATGGCTCGTTTGCCGTGTTCATTGACTGGCATTTTTAAGCCTGGGTATACAATATGGGAGGTAGAATACTCCTTCATCTTTTCATAAACTGCCTTACGCTGCACAGATAGAATATCGTGCACATGAAGGTATTTGACTTTGGGAACGGTTGTGCACTATTCTCTTTTAAGGGTTATCATTTAAAGTATAGATGAATAAAAAAAAAAACGCACACACATACCTGCATAATGGTTCCACCTTCGTAATCCTTGATATAACCTACCCATTTCCTTTTATCCAATGTGATATCTGTGGTGAAGCCCTGCTTTTTAAAATATCCCGTAGCATAATTATCGGCATAGGTCAAGTAATGCTTCATGTTGGTATGAGTGGACACGTAATCCTTGAGATGGTTCATTAGGAAGGAACCATAACCTTTCACTTGTTCGGTAGAAGCAATTGCACAAAACACGATTTCAGCAAACTCTTGTGGGTCAAAGGGTCTATAACAAATGCCACCAATGACCTTCATTGGATTTCGAATGAGGGCCATACTTTTATGGTTACGATCATAGACCAGCCTTGCAATATACTCCTTTGGCATTTTTGGTAATTGTTTTTGAAAAATGTTCTTTAATCCAGTCAATAGAATCATACTTTCTCGACTTCCATCGTTTTCTACCACGCGAACTTGAATCAAACCCGTTCTTTCCTCAATCATGGCCGGACTCTCCTTTTTCTCGGGTTTGAATCCTGCGAGGATTTTCACACGACCAAAGGAATCAAGAATGCCTTCTTTGGCATCAATTGCTCCATTGACTTTTAGCGCTTCTTCATTCAGTAATCGCTCACCTTCCTCTGTCTCGCTCTTGATCTTGGGAATCGCTCGGTTTAATAACTGTCGTTCTGCTTCGTTCACAAGTGCCGTTTCGTATTCTTCTTCGTCTTCTTCGTCATCCTCGTCATCCTCCTCTTCATCTTCTTCGCCATCGTGGGCCTCTGTATCTTTACCGTCATCCCGTACCTCTACTACCGCTTCTGTCACTGTCACTGTTGGTGGTGGTGGTTGTCGTGGTGATGACGATGGTAGTGGTGGTGGCGACGACGACGACGGCGATTGTTGTTGTTGTTGTTGTTGTGATGGTGGTGGCGGTGGTGATGATGAGGGTTGTGATGACAGTGGTGGTGGTGGTTTTTTAGTGGATGGATTGATATCCTGCATTTCATAATCGTAATCCTTTATTTCGTACGAATGTTGTTCAAACTCCTCATCGTAATTCTCTTTTGTATAGTCATGATCATAGGTGTCCTGTTTTTCATCATGTGTATATTGATCTTCATACTGACTTTTACTGGAAGTGTAATCATCTCTATGTGATTCTGATTCGACGGTGGGTAGCGAAGGAAGGTCCGTGCCAGGTATCTTTGAGACGTTCAATTCCTCTTCGGCATCTTCGAATTCCTCTTCCTCCTCATCATCCTCGTCCTCGTCTTCCTCTTCCTCTTCCTCGTCGTCGTCATCCGAGTCATCGTCGTCTTCATCCTCGTCCTCTTCTTCAGAATCGTCATCGGAATCCTCCTTTTGCTTTTCTTGGTCGGATTCATCATCGGATTTGAAGCGTTTCGGTTCTTCTTCCTCGTCTTCCTCATCTGTAAAATCTCGAAGTCTCTTCAGGTTTCTATCTTCCATAGAGGAAGGAGAAGATGCTTCCGAAAGAAAATCTGTGGGTTGATCTCGAGTTGAATTATACACAATCTGTCTATAAGAAACAGGTGAGTTTTTGTTTTGTTTTTTTTTTAAAAAAAAAAACACGAAATCATGCAAAAGTATTTACTTTACTTTTTCAAGGAAGATATATCATCATCCATATAATCATAGTCGTCTAATTTGCCTTTTTCCTAAAGTTAAAAATGTGAGAAAGAACAAGAGAGAAAGAGAGAGAAAGAGAGGTTTACCATTAATAATTCATCGATACGTAAAGCGACTTTCAAACGTCTAGTAAAGTCTTGCTTTCGATCGACGTGATGTTCGGGTTCATGACCACAAATACAGGTATCTACAGAAAACTCGACGGATAAATCAGGTCGCCAACCTTGACACTCTTGACAGTGATCACATGGCATATGACGAGCCACTTTCAAAATCTTTTCGGTGTCGGTCATGACCGCAAGTTGAGGGAACAATTCTCCAATCGAAGCTGGTAAGTGGCTGGACATGGCTTTTTCTTTTCTATATATCTCTATTTTTCTTTATATATGTACAGTTTGTAGAGAAATGTATTATGCGTTGAAAAAAAAAAAAGAAACAGAGAGGGACAAAAAAAAAAAAAAGCTGTTTGAAATCAAGAAAAAAAATAAAGTTACGTCATCAGATGGAGTTTTAATTCAGGAACACACAAAATATGCTATTCTACGCGTTAAAGGTGTTTTTTCGTGTTTTAAGTTTTTTTTTTGATCAAATGTATCAGATCTGCATCATGTGAAATCGAAACGCCAGATATTTGATGTCAGATATTTATAATGTAGATGGGCGTCTGATCTATTTCTTCCTTCTTTTTTTTTTTTTTCACACACCAAACAAAATAAAGAGAGAGAGAGAGATGCTGTTCAAAGATTTTAAAGAATTGAGTGTACTTCGTCAGGCACTGGCTAGTGACACAGAAGTTGACTTTGTTGCATACATCCAATCTCAAGAGATCGAAAAGAAGAGTGTATTTGATCGACACTTTAAACGCACTATGCAAGCCATGAAAACTTGTTTCCCTAACGCTAAAGAAGGCTCCTTGCAGGAAAAAATGGTACAGTGGGCACGAACCGTGATTGATAATGAGTTTGAAATCCTTGAACGTTCAAAAGTGTTGGCTTATTGGTTAGCATTGGAGGAATCGAAATTTACAAAGAACCTCGAGTATGTTTCCTTGATTCAATTGAATAATGAGGTCAAGTTGAAGTCACTCTTACTCGAGTCCCTGTCTATCAAAAGGTAAAAAGCTAACTTTACTGCTACGCATGTACCCAATTGAAAAAGAACTAACAAACACTACTAACAGACACGCAAAGAGGCGCAGAGTTGTCTAAACAAACCCATCCAATGTGATGTATGCTTGTCTCATCAAGTATGAAAAGAATAAATGATATCCTTTCATTTCCTTTATAACTTTGTACTGCAGATTTTTTTTGTTTTTGTTTTTTAAACTTCCGTGTGTGTGATTTTATTGATGCATTTAAAAAAGGCTGGATATTAGTAAAATTCTCTTATAACTCATAGTGAGAGCTAATGTATGCATCGAGGCTGACATTAGCATGAACTCTAGTCCATGTCTTTGCTTCCCTAATGAACTGTTGTTTGTTGGATGTGTACACTTTAGCTACCTGAAAATCCTGAGGTGATGATGCATCAGGTGCATCTAATAAAGATTGGATTGAAATCAAGCAAAGTCTCAGTGTCATGGCTGGAGACCAGTTACTCTTCAATACATCCTATTTAATACAGTTGTCAGTGACATATTCCATGATGTGCCTGTTATTTGTAATTTACTAAACAGATGGCACCCTACGGGATTTACAAAATAGGATTAGTTGGAGTATTTGCAAAATGATACCACCACTTACGGTTTGTGAGCTGACGTTGGGATGGTAGACCTTTGTAATAAACTTGATCTCGGGAGGTGCAAAGGGATGATTATCCTATTTTTTCTCCATCAAGATGAGTTACATAGATTCATGTATCTCTCTCTCTCTCTATTTATAAATATATCTATATTTATCGCTTACATGTAATTTGATATCAAGTAAGAAAGTCCCTCCTACACGAATAAAACTTTTGTTTAGAAACACCATGGTGTGAAACATGGCAAATTCTTTCATTTACCTTCATAAGGTGTTTCCCGGGGACCTTGAATAGATCCAAGCATTTTATCTAAATTTCTCTTGTTTTAATAGATACAGTTGTAATGTAATAACAACTTAAAACTCCTTACAAATGTCTCCCTCATGAGGAACATACACAACAGTTTCCGCACTCTTGTCGTTATTGGCTTCGGCGATTTCATTCAAAATTCGTTTGTGCATGTTGGGTGGCATGATGGTGTTTATATCGATGAATGTGGATTTTTTTTTTACAAACTGGAAAGAAAATGAATACGCGGCAGCAATGGATTATAAGAGAAGTGATGAAAAAAAAAGTCACATTAATGGTTATTTTAATAAATTAAAGGGTGGGGGTGATGATATATTAGATTTTTAAGCGAGGTAGATGAAAGAAGCAATAGACACAACAATGGCCATGATATTTGTACGAGTGATGGTAGCAGCACTGGAAGATGAATCATCAGCTAAAGTGAAAGCACCTCCGTTAAACTCAGTGGCCATATCAGGTCTAGGTGCGTTCTCGGTCCAGGTACAGTTGTTCACGGTAGTATACTTGATGGATTCTGTAGTAGCAATATTACGAAGCCAGTTACGGTTGAATTGAGAGGAAGGTGCATCCTTGTTCACAACATTAATCATGTCCTCCAATAAAGCATCTGCCATAGCCACGGGGGCCTCAAACCAATCATATCCACCAGATTCCGTCATGATGCCATCTTCACGGAAAACCTTCTTATTGGCCAAAAACTTGTATTTAGATTGATCTGCTTCGCTGAGTCCATAATTCTTCATGAAATCCTTCATCTCGGGTCCAATATATGTTTCATCAATCAAAATATCCACATTTGTCAAGGCTGCTAAAAGTTCGGCAGAGGTCTTGTATGTGGCCTTTTCAGTGTTGGCCATAGCAGCACCTTCAATTTCAAAATACAGGTTAGGATTTTTACATCTAATAAAAAAAAAAAAAAAAAAAGCCGTACCTGCATCATTGGTGAGACCAACTTTGAAAGAATCATTCTTCAAGTTATAACTGCCAGTGTTGTTGTTATATTGGCTGGGAGCATCGTACTCGGTCCAGGCAACCACAGGCTTCTTGGAATAACCAGAAGCAGCGGTCTTGAGACGGTTGTAGTTGTCAATCATCTTTTGACTGAGTTCATTAGCTGTTGCTTCCATGTTGTAAAAAGCAGCATAATAGGAAATCCATGAAGCACGCTATATTCTTGGCTATTAGTATATATGTATATAAAAAAAATGTATAAAACACTTACGCCCAAGACATCAGGTTCGTAAGCTGAAGAAGTGCTCACAGAGCTGTTGGTATCATAAGGTTCATAAGGGTTGGTACCAAATTGAACTTGGATAGCCGCAATTTGTTGTGCTTGCAAAGTCTCATTGGTAGCGGATAATTGAGTGATATCTCCAGAGGCTAAATACTTTTGGAAACAAGAAGACGAGATCAAGCTACCATCTGCAATAAGCTTGATACTATTACCCACGCCGAGTAACTAATATTCTCTTGTGTTAAAATTACGGGTCATGTGAGCACTTTTTTTTTTCTCTCTTACCTCGAGATAAGGTACGGCAGTGGTTTCCATGGCAGCTACCTTGGTAACAGGAATTTCACGAACTCGAGTAGAGTTATCTGCGTTGGCAGGAGCGGGAGTACCACATTGAACGAGAGTGTAAGAAACACCACTTCTATGATTAATCACTGTTTTGTAATTGTTGTGGTATTCGATGGTGAAGAAAGTTGCCTTATCCTCAGCTAGTATAGTTCTGTAAGTAAGATTTGTTTTCGACCCCGGGAATTTGGTTTTTTTTTAATTTACCAGTGTTTAACTTTTGAGGAAAGTAATCCACAGATGCATCATAGTTTGTAACACAAGCGCCGTTGAGCAAGTTGGAAGTAGGTGCCTGAGCGGCGACAGAAGCAATAGCAATTGTAGCAATAGCTAAAAGACCTGAGAAATTGGCAACCATAATAATAGATGGTGAAAAAAAAAAGAGAGATGGAAAGATGTGAAAAAAGGGCCGACTTAATTTAAGGTTTGATCTATTTTTTTTTTTATGAAATATATACTATGTAAAACAGTGGCTTATTCTTTCATATGGTACTACAAACATTTAGTTTTAGGTATAAAAAAGATCATCTGAGCTTGGATTTACTTTTTTATTTTTACTGCTTTCTGATACATATTTCTGAATTGTGTTTCGTCAATTACTTCTTAATCCTGGTCTGGCTCTGGGTCAGAACCCAACAATTTCTCTTCTCTACGAGATGCAATGATTTTGTTTTGTTTCTCAATTAGTTGTTCAAGAATATCTATTGCCGAAAAAAAAAAATTAGAAAGAGTAAAAAACTCGCTACTGCTGTTTGATCTCTTTACCTTTAATTTTCATTGTTTCAAAACCCTTAATCAAGGCACGATTATTCAAATAGAAGCTCTTGTCACTATGATCATGAGTTATCAGTATAACAAGTTTTTTTTCTTTTTTTTACATCAAGATGTCACTTACACAAATCCTCTGTCCTTAGTATAATCCAACTGTGATTCTTCCACAAGTTTGTGCTCTTTGACCTGTGCCAATAATCTATTTGATTGTATGATCAGTACATGGATTATCAACGCATATCCTCTGATTCCACTTACTTTTTTAAATACTTGAGCTCTTCATACGGAGTTGCATTTCTTTTTTCTGCAAGAGTGCCATCGGGTTGGATTAAATGACGAAGCCTGTAAAACCTAGCATGGATTTGTTTCATCGTTCGTGTTCCTTCGAATGCTTTTACAATGGGAGAGTAATCTAATCGTTTGTCAGTCATGTCTAATTTACTGGCTTCCTTAGCAAGCAAAATATCCTCTTCTTTTGACCAACGTTGAAGACCTAAGTTTTATCTACGGTGAGTCCCTGTTTTCGTTGGTGATGTACTTCACACTTACTCTTCTTCTCGGTGGCACCATGAGTGTACAGGTAATCGGAAATATTTTTAGGTGATCTGTCCATATGTTGTGAAATCACAATCGGGCTTTGACCGTAGACCTTCAATAACCTAGCATCACGGGGAAATTAGAAAAAAAAAAGAGATGGTCATAGAATACAAGGGAAACTCACTCTTCTAGTTGCTTAACATCTTCGGGTGTCCAAGGGACGTTCTTTTTCTTTTGATGATACATGTTTTTACATTGTCTTGCTAAAGCATTCAATGACACGTTTGGGAATGGTTTGGCGATCTTTTGAAAGAACCTGATATATTCTGTACGGCAATCCTTGGTGAAGATCTCCTGTACACCTTGAAATGTGATTCCTTCACGCTAAGAAAGAGTGAAAATGGGGTTAAGATTTGAGATATGTAGCATAATTGAAATTCTACTTTACTCTGCAGATTTTTTTAATTCTTTTCTCCAACTTTAATGTGTCTGAATAACCAAACTTTCTTTGTACAGGCCAAGGATCTGTGGCTTGATCGTGAGTACGACTGAGATTACGCTGCCAAGTAGGATATTCCTTAACTTCATAATCTTCTCCTGAATCGGTGTCTGATTCCGAGTCAGAAACAAAGTAATTGTCATTGACTTCAGGCACGAATAAGTCACTGAGACGTTCTGCCACATTTTCCGCTCCAGTCTTCTTTGCATCAAATTCACGTGTCTTACGGAATGAAATACGGTTGGATACAAGGCGAGATGCATCTCTGTGTGGCGTGTCCAATTTGATGTCTTTGGAGACGGTCTTTTTTTTTGTTGGTGCTGTTTCATCTTCGCTCTCAGAGTCTGACTGGGAATCAGGGGTAACCACTTTACTATTCTCCTTTTCAACCTTTTTCTTTTCAACTCTTGTCTTTGCAATCACCTTCTTCTCGGTGGCTTTCTTTTTCTGCGAGAGCTGACCAACTTCGCGTGCAGCGGCTGCTGCTGCTTCCTTTTGTTTCTCAGCCTTTTGTTTCTCAATTCTTTGTTGCTCAGCCTTTTGCTTTTCGATCTTCTGTTGTTTAATCTTTTGAGTATACAGTGTACGTCTTTCATCGTCGGTTTCGTCGGAATCTGAAGCGGATGAATAGGATCTTGCTACTGGTGTGGATAATTTAGGTTTTGAAGGCGTTGTCACCATGGGTTCCACAACCTACAAAAGAAGAAAAACGCGATCAGCAAAAGTGTTGATAGCAGAGAAAAAAAGTCCGTATGTTGTTTACTTTAGGTGTTTCATCTGCTTGCTTCACAGGTTCAGTTTGCTCATTGTCGGATTCAAGTACTTTAGCCTTTCTCTTTTCTACTTTTCGAGTAGCTTTTTTGGCTACCTTTTTGGCTGCCTTTTTAGCAGCCTTTTTGTCTGCTTTTCGTTGAGCTTTTTTCTCGGCTTTATCTGCTTCGGAGGTGCTCTCAGTATCTTTTACTTTCTCAACAATGGGTGTCACCTTTTCAGCCGCAGGAGGCGGGGCTGTTGGTGTTGGTATTTGATTTAAAGCTTTGTTGAGCGCAATGACATTATTTGGTCTTATCTTTTTTTTTTTTTTTGGTGTCAAAAAAAAAAAAGTTTTAGTTATTTTTTTTCTCAGACTCATTGAATTTAATAGGTGTTATACCTTTCTACGTTTTGTAGCTGCGTCCGTCATGATCAGTTAATGGCTTGACTTTATAACACAGTGAGAAAATAAAAGGTTGAAACAAAAAAAGTTTTTTTGTTTTGGGATTAACGACGTCACACCTGTCAACCAATCAAAAGAATAGCATAATTAATGGTGTTTGTAACTCTCTACGGAAAATAAAAAAGTAGTGTAGAGCGGAGCCGGTCATTATCCCCCGAGAAAAAAGAAAAAAAAAACTGACACGGTGAAAAATGAAAAAAGGGTTTTTTTATAATGGTGTGTAACATACAGAAATTAATTTTTTTTTTCTTGTATCAAGAAAGATAAGCGGATAAAACATCGACAAATTGATTCATAGAAGGCTGTCATTTAAAAAAAATCAGATTTTAGAGTTGGGTGGATCATGAAAAAAAGAAAACTGACTAGTTGTGATTCGCTCTTCCAGATTTCCATAAGCAGATGTGAGTAGATCTGAGAAAGTTTACCCAATGGGGGTGCTGTACGATGATCTCTTACTACCACGTACAAGACATGTTCTGTCAAGTCTAGTCATGTTTTTATTTAGGAAAGTTCGGTCTAGATTCTGTATAATTCCTTCTTACCTGGAAAAGGATAGGCATATTCTCCCCCCAAGTTAGAACTTCCCAAAAAAACAGGTTCACAAGCGTAAATCTAAAATAAATCGAATCTGTATTACCATCTTTTTTTTTTTTTTGTAAACACGAGGGGGCTTTAAACTTTATACGGACTAAAAAAGATAAAGTTACTATGAGGTGTTTTCGTGTAATATGTCGTTCCATTGAATATATTGCCTTCTTTGTGTAACTTGAATTTGAAAACCAATACTCCGGTGCTATTTTTCCTTATGGTCATATTTGAGGGTATATTACAAAAATAGTTCTATATTACCATGCCTAATATAATAACAACATTTTAATGACTGTTAACACGTGTTTCATGGTTTCTTTCTGTTTTCTTACCAGTTGCGGGTTCCACAATGTGTGCGCATTAATACGTTAGCCTTGGGTCGGATACGAGACAAGCCGAAATCATTCGCTTTAGTTCGATCGTCTGCTGAGATCTTTTTTTATATCACATTTGTTTCAGAAAGTAATGTCGCTGATATAGAGATCAATGTCGTGCAAAACAATCGTACCATGAACTTTGTTTATTTCTAATTGTCGGTCAGTCAATGTTCTTATTTTACAACAGACATTGAAAGGCACGTTGTGGATGAGAATGGAATTGAGCCAATGGATAGTGTTGTTGTTATTGAGGAGTCATTCGCAATTAAAACGATTAGTTCTCATACTCAGCTCATAAATAAAATCTTTGGAAAGACTCGACCATGTAATGCATCCAGTTATGGACAGAAAGAATTTTATTAAAGATATTAATATGGAGTTGTGTACCAGGCGATGCTATAAGGCTCACTGTGATGAATATAGGACTAGATTTTTGTTCTCTTAATTCGGTGTGTTGTTGGCGTGAAAAAGATCTCGTGTCGAAGGGTAAGAGAAGGGGTTTCGACAGCAACATCAACAACTTCCAGAATTCGATCTACATTATTTATTTACCCAAAATGAACGGATACTCGCTCGCGGGCGGTTATCTGCCCAAATTTGAACGGATGGCTATCCCCAGGGGGCCATTCGCCCATCCATCCGCTATTACTTGGTTTAAGTAAGCTTTTTTAGCCTAGGTGTAATCAGTCAGTCAATAGTTCCTCTTTTAGGAGGGAAGGGGGAAGGAAATACCTTAAAAGCAAAGAGAAGCCGCAGAGTATTCTCAAAATCAAGTACGCCATTGATTGAGGTGGGGATTGTGAGGGTATCAATAAGTTTAGGAACATATACACCTCGATGAGGAAATAAGCAGCACATATAGCCGGTGCTGCCTAACCAAGTATAGAAAAGTAATCAATTATTAATCGATTATTCAAATTGTTAACGCGTTGAGAGAGAGAGAGAAACTTACCTATCCAATCCATTGCAACTATGGAATCAATTTTGGGGTTTAATCTTTGCAGGTGGTTAAGAATAACTCCATTAACACCAAGATTTTTGCACTGTTGTGCAATGGCAATTGTGGCAGTAACTGAAGGTTTTTTGAACTCGATGCTTGATAATTCCAAGTCTTTATTTTCCTTCCCATAACGAATTAGAAGATCGATCTTCCTCCCACAAAGTTCACGTTCCGTTGTCATTCCCCCAAAAACAATGTCGTTATATTGACGTTCATTCTTAGAGCCATCACATGCTGTCTCCCTGCTAACACAACATAAAAGGCCTTCACACCAAGACCATCCAGACGGGTTTTGTCAGCAATTTATATTCATTTGTACAACAAATAAGAATATACAGCTGACGTATTTCTAAAATACCAACAAGCTTAAATGTCTTCTTTTTACTGTTTCATATTGAGAAGCAGGTCGAAGTGCAGGACATGCACCAGAGTCGGTAATTCACTTTTTGGCCGAACGATTTAGTTCTAGATTGAGTAAAAATCATGAGTCTCAGTTTCCTTTCATTTTTTTTTTCTACTTACTCGGCCAATTTGACGTGAGTGTTCCGAAACATGAAATCGAAAACAGTTGCAATGCGTCTGTAGATCGTGTTTTCGGAGTCATCTTGTTTCCAGTCCTCCAGCGTTTCAAGTCTAAAGCCAGAAAAAGAAAGTCAATCATTTGGGCCGCACAGTATAACATATTAACATCTTCACTATCATGATGTTCTTACATATAGTCCATTATTTTTAGCATAATGTACCCCTCAGTTGCTCTTCCTTCCGCTCTCAGGAATTTGCTCTTGAAAGTATTTATTTGTAATAGAGCAAGTTCAATTGGCGAGTTTTCAGATTTGTTACACATAGAAAAGATAAAAATGAGAAGTCATTTCTTTTTTAGTAGCTCTAAATACTTACAGATGATCTAATATCAACTTGAACATTGATAAGGTATCATCCTTCAATTTAGGACCTTTGAATCTTTTTGCAACGCCGTCCACGTATGGCTGATCAAAGTTATCTGGTAGATAAGCTTTGACTGCGTTAAATTGGTCGGCTTTCAATTGGTTTACTATCCCCGATAAGGATAATCTGTTTCAAAAAAAAAAAAAAAAAAAAAAAAAAAAAGGGTATGTCAATACATAATAAATAAATTTTTTCCCTATACTACACATGACTCACTTTAAAACCGAAATATCAATGCCGGTCAATGGTTGTTCGTTGTAATTACTTTACTATCATTGTCAACGTCAAAGTTAATTCAGTCCTCTTTATAGTGAGATTATAATACTTACAGTAATTACAACCATAAACCTAAGAGTCCGACCTTGTAGGTCTTCCTCGTATAAGGAAGACCTGCCCCAGCCGCAATTTTCCCAAAAACTGGAGAATGCCTTTCTCCTGTTTAAAAAAAAAACAGCAGATGCTATACCCAATATTGATCTTTTGGTCAAACAAAAAGAGAAAAAGAGTAAAGTGCCGTGTACGTTCCCAGTGATAACTGCTTTGGAAAACGGTAGTCGGTAGGATCTTTGTAGAAGAAAAAAAAAGTAATTTTTCTTTGATTTTACTCCGGGTTTTGCGGTGGGTTCCAGAAAAAAAAAGATGTTTTGACTTTTTTTCGAATCGACTTCTTTTGGTGGGAAAAGAAAAGAAAAAAAGGGAGGAAAAAAAGTGTTGAAAATGAATTATATATACAAACTGATAAACAAGAACTGGTTTATGGTAGGATGATGTTTAATTAATCATAAAAAAAAAAGTGTTTATTTGTAGATTGATAAATAGGAGCTGGCTTATGTCAGGATGATTTAATTGTTTGTTTACTCGCCCATCATGTTTGAGCCTTTACTTATAATAGAAACATCCTCAAATGATCCCTCTGGCTTACAAGTAATTCTAGACTTGGTAATTATCTATCAGTGTTTCAGTAGTAGCATGTATTTATTAGTGAGCATACAAATAAAAATTCAGATCGATCATCCCGTAAAGTCTACAAAAAAGTTGGTATTACGTGAGCACATGAATCGACGTATACTTTTTTTTTATTTTTCAAAACGCCCAATTTTTTTTTTTTTTTGCACGACATTGACTAGATATAAAAAAAAAAATAAGCTTTTTATATATTTCACCTGTGACCAATCATAAACTTACCAGTGTTTACATTCATTTAGATTTAAGGTCCTAAACTATAAATTCAGCAATTGGGGGGAGAACTTGTTGTATCACCTTACTTTATGAAATAATAGACGATCCGGTTAGAAAGAAGAAATTCATTTGTGCTTTTCACTTTTTAATTAAAGATAAGATACATCTCATGCAACACATACATGTACATCACATTTACAATTTTAAAATGACTTGAGTCACTATCCGTTTCTTTTTCTTTTATTCTTGCTAGTTAACTTTTTTTAAAATTTCGAATGGCGTCAAATAGATCTCCTTTGGCACATTAGCTCAGTAAGGATGCATATACCGGTAAATCGAATGTCATTTCCATTTGTCTTGGCCGTCTAAAATGAAAATACAGCATGGTTAACAGAGTTATCGTTGTTTTATACATCATCTACATGGCTTATTTTAGCATTTATTGATCTCGTCATGTTATTGATTTAATCCAGATTCACTTGATTTAAAATGTGTCAACCTTAACCTAACCTTGTATTGGCCGCAGGTGTAAGTTATAACATCAGAATAGGAAACCATATTGTCTGTGCATTTGTTACCCCTTTATACAAACCTTAAAAAACGAAGCAAATATATAAATAAACAAGACAATCCTTAAAATCCACCACTTTGTAACTTTTCGCCAACAATTAGCCCATAATATGGAATTATGGAAATCCCCGGGTTTTTATTATGGAGAAATATGGCATGGATAAATCGCGTGAGTTTAATACAAGTCGTTGCGATAAAGGTATAGTCGAGGAAGAGTCCGGTAAATGTATGAGATGAAGATGTGCATGACTATCAATGTTTATTATTTTAGTATTAGGATTTATAAGATGTGTATGCAGTAAGAAAGAGAGCAATGATAATAGTGAGAAAGGGAGTAAAAGGAATAAGAGGACGTTTTTGTACAGCGGCATCCGTTACCTGTTGTTTACTAAATAGAACTAAATAACTTAGTCAAAAATGAAGCACAACATTACCGTATTAATAAATTAAAAACACAACACTTACCCAACAGGTTCCGTAAGTTTGAGGGTTCTCCAACTATTAGCGGTAAAGAGAGTTGTACTCTTGAGTTTGGAAACAACCCAATTACCAACAACAATGCCACCCAAGATGGGTAATAATCCTACGCCCTTGTCTTTACCAAAGGTAATAAACATGGCATCGGGAGCCTTCTTGTATACATTGGTGGGCTCCTTCTTTCGGACAAGCACGTCAAACAGATTGCTAATAAGAATAGTCACATGACCACCCACACGGTATGCCATCTTGGTTTCGTTAAAATTGGCAGCATCACCCAACACATAGATATTTTCGCGACCCTTAACATCTACTTGGAAAGTAGGTTTCACCTTGACATAACCATTCTCTGCTAAAAGACCACTATTCTTTAACCAGTCTGTTTCTGGTCGGTTACCAAATGCCAACAAGACCAAATCGACGTCTGTTAAAGATTTTCCACTCTTGGTCTCGACTACTTTATCTTGAGGGTGATAGTATGAGTTTGCTGCAGTAGGTAAAATAACAGAGTCACTGAGGATTAGGTTGACATTGCTCTTTTCCAATAAGGTTTCACACTTTTTACGAAGTTTGGGAGTGCTGGAGTTTAGAAGACTATCCTCGTTATGTACAACTGTGATTTTAGTGTCTGCATAGACATCACGAATCTCACCAGCTAATTCGATACCGACGGGACCACCACCAACAATGACAATGGATTTGGCAGCTTTAATCTCTGCACGCAAAGTGACGAGATGTTCGACGGTAGCATCGTAGTCAAGAGCGGTTGCTTTAGCGGGAGCAGGGTAACGAGTACCTGTGGCCAAGATTAAATAGTCGAATCGAAGAGTGGTTCCAAAGTCAGGAACATTTCTGTCCAAGGTGATACTCTTCTTGTTTAATTCAACGGCCGAAGCTTGGATCACCAAATTGGACTCGTTGTTAAATAAGTTGGTGTAAGGGATCATGATCTTGTTATCCCAGTCAATGACGGCAGAACGAAGACCACCAATGGAGTGATAAAAATGTGTTTTCTATAGCAAGAGATAGGGTTAGAGGACAAAGTATAACCAATATATATATATATTGGTTTACCTTTTCAACAAGAATGATGCGAAATTCCTTGTCATTGACTTTAGTCAAGATTTTCTCGAGAGCAGTAGCAAGTTGAGTACCTGCGAATCCACCACCAACAATAACAATATTTTTTACAGACATTTTAATTTGTAGAATACACAAAAGTAAAAAAAAAGAGAGAGAGAGAGAGAGAGAGAGAGAGAGATAAAGAGATACGAAGACTTGGTTATATTCCTCTCTATTTTGTGGAACGGCAATACTTAATCCGCTTTCTCCGGCGAGTCGTATTGGAGGGTTCCCAAATACAATCCGCTTATAGTAATTTTACGAATTATTGATTTATTTGATTCACCAAGATTCTATTCTAATTATAAAAAAAAAGATTATCTGCAGCCAAGGCCATAACAACGATGACAACATAACAACTTCTACTACAGAGTGAGTGAGTGATATACTCTGTTAACAGTGCACAAAGTAATAAAGGCAAGGTGTGTGTAGATGCATTGACAAAGTAAGTCGAGGTAAAGTGCGGATACAAAGACTGTGAGATAAAGATTTCAGATACACAGGCTGTTACTCAAAGAGTACCTACTATCATATTCTTTTTTTGCTATTAGTAATTGCTCTGAATTCATTAATAAACACACACCGAGGAACATAAAAATAATGTAAAGTTCTGTGTGCTCGAGGTCATCTTTTTCCTTTTGTGTGTTGTATTTGCCTTTTTGGACCCAGTTACACCATTGTACATGTAAATGGTTTATTTGGGAAATACATTTTGAGTTATCTCATGCATGCATTTCTTAAAACTGGGACAGACAGTCAATCTAACACTGGACAATCATTGATGCCACTGTTGTATCAGGACGAGTGAGGATTACAATGAAAAAAGAAGGGTTTTTTTTATTTATTTTTTTAATGTTGGAATGGTGTGTGAGTGTGTGAGGGGGATGAAAATAGTAGTAATTTTTATGACAAAGGGGATAAAATAATAGTTAAATAATAATAGAAAGAAAGAAAAAAAAAGATAGTATAGAAAAGAGAAAGAGATAAAAAAAAAGAGTCTAAATTAGATGGAAAAAGAAGATTACAATTGAGGATCGAACATGTAGTCTCTATTCAAGAGAGCATTGCCCATTTGCTTGAAACTCATCAAGCCGTTTTCCTTGTTGCCACTGGAGGAGGTAGGTTTAATAAAGAGCGGATTTTTACTATAGCTTAAGCGAATTCCACCTTTGACGGAGTTTGTTAAATTATGCCCTTGTAATTCATTCAAAGCTTGTGAGGCAAACACAATATCTTCAAACTCTACAAAGCACATGGGACCTTGAGGCTTTGTACGGAAACACATGCGACGGTAGCCTTTACAGTTGGAAAAGACCAGACGTAATTCTTCCTCTGATGTATTGGGTGGCAAATTACCCACATACAGTGTATTACAGGGGGGATTTTGATCGGCGGGATTAGGTAAGCGGTTAGCCAGCAGAGAGGTAGAAGTGGTAGTGGTAGTGGTGGTAGTGGTAGGGGAGGAAATACTAGGAGAACGCAAGTCCATGCTGGAGGTATTGATGGAAAGAGAGCCCATGCGCATCAGGTCATGTTCTAAAACCGAGTCAAATCTATCGACGGGCGTAGACTTGGAAAGGTAATGGTAGGGATCATTGTTATTATTATACTGCTGTTGTTGAATGGGATGCTGATGCTGATGCTGAATGGGATGCTGATGTTGCTGTTGCTGCTGCTGCTGGTGCTGGTGATGAATAGGATGCTGTTGTTGTTGTTGTTGTTGTTGTTGTAGTTGAGAGGGATGTTGGTGATGTAGACTGAATGCACGAGAAGAAATGAAGCCCAAGTCTTGGTCAAAGGATTGCGAGCGAATACCGAATAAGGAATCATTAAAGGACGAGGAATCATATAGATCTTGCGAGAGTAAATCTGTAGGTAAAGGTGAGAAGGAGTCATATCTTGACTTTAACTCATTGATAGCTGATGGTTGAATAGATGAAGGAGCAGGTGTGATTGTGGTGGAGCAGGTAGAAGAAGATGTAGATGTGCTTGTTTGAGTAGCACTTCCTCGCTTAATGTGTAAGTTCTTCTTTGCCATCTCTGCCTTTAATACAGTTCCCTTTTCCTGATCAATCTTTTTACCGCTCAACACTTCAATTGCTTCCAGTGCCTCTAAGCGAGTGCGAAATCTGGCAAAGCCGATCTACATAGGATATTAGTAAGCAGTAAAAAGAAAAGAAGAAGTTTATATTTACCATTTGCTTCTTGCCACCATTGCTGGGGATACTTTCTTCTTCCCCGTCTTTACAATGCCATTTTAAGGAGGCTGCTTCAAACCCTTGACAGAAGATAAACATATTTTGAAACTCTCTCTCGGCCATATCCTCGGGAAATCCAACTACAAAGATCGTTGTAACATCATCCATCGTAGAAGAAGACTGCACCGGAGACGTTGTACGAAAGAACGAACTATTACCGGGCGAAGCAGAAAGTGGATGAACTCTTTGAATGTCGTTGAAATTAAAAGGATGAGAAAACGGTGTTGCTTCACTAATCATCATTTTTTTTTTTTTTTCTTTCTAAAAACTTCAAAAAAAAAAAAAAAAAAAAGGGAGGCTAAAAAGAAGAAGAAGAGAGAAAAAAAGGGGTTAAGAGTTTTTTTTTTTTTCTAGAGTTTTTTTTTTTCTTACTAAATATGCCAGAAGAGAATGTACACAACAGGTTGAATTGGAAGATCTCGGCTTTGATTGGTAAACAATACAAAAACAAACGTCACCCTTTCTTTTCATTGGTTCAATCTTTTTTTTTTTTTTTTCCCTGGGAACCAATTTTTTGGATCTTTTTTTTTTTTTACTCTCTTCAAACACGCTATTTCTTTCTGTAATGTCCATTGACCCAAGTTTATACGCTGATCCAAAGTAATTATATTGAATAAATAGAAACTGCAGTTAAAATATACTCAATGACACTGTTTTATCTTTAAAAGCTACTTTAAAGTCTCTTTGAAGACCCCCATGGCTATTGCTATTGCAGGTGGAGCTGACAGTAGAAAAGTAAGGCACCTTAGAGTTATAGCAAGTGCAACGACTAATAAAGGGAGTGCTTAGAAAGCATTTTGTGATGCTTTAACAGCGCGGTTAAACAAAAAACATGCCACCAAGGTTGCACTTTTAAGTTTAACTCAGTTCTACCGAGAATTAAGTCCCAAAGAGAGAATAGCTTACGAAGCTGGTGACTTTTATAGCGACCATCCCAGTAAAGGATCATACTAAAAAATGAAAAGAAAATGACATATTGACTTTATCTTTTTTTAAATAGGCGCATTTGATTTCAAGGCATTGGAAACGGCTCTTTGTTCCTTATTGGCTGGTAAGGCAACCACTGTGCCTGAATGGGACGCCTCTAACCATACAAGGTACGACATACAAATAATATAAGGTATACAAATATTTACTTTTAAGATTTGCTAAATGTAGAAAGGGTACACGTGTTATTGAGCCTGTAGATGTGATTTTGGTGGAGGGTACACTTGTGTTGTATCAGCAGGAAGTATGTGATTTAATGTATATGAAGGTGTTTATTGATGAGGATAGTGATGAGAGATTGGCTAGACGGGTCCGTAAGACAAAGGTGCGAAATGGTCATGTGTTGGATATTAAGGAAGTACTGAAGGAGTACGTTGAAAAGGTCAAGCCCATGTTTGAAGAGTACATTTTACCTGTAAGTAGTACCAAAAATCGTCTTTTTGCTGTTAATTAAAAAAACTTTTTTTTAATAATAGAGCAAGAAATTAGCTGACATTGTAATTCCAAGAGGCACTGAAAATACAATTGCTCTTGCAGTGCTTACAAATCGCCTTGAACAATATATTGAATCTCGCACAGAGCAAAAGAAGAAGGATGTGATTATTCCGGGTGCTACTGAATTATTTGCTACCTCTGTCAATAGCTCCTATAAGAACATACCAAAATAAAAAATGCCCGTGCACTGTTACAGTGGGGTGCGCCAGGGGGTTATAATATTTTACCCGCCTTTTGCCAGTACCTGTTATGTGTGACAAGCTTTGGATTGGATGCTGATATCATCACTCATTTTCATTGGCTGAAAATATCAGATATTGTCGGTCCCCTTGCTTACATTTTTATTACTCCGCCTTATAATTTTTGTTTGCTTGCTCTCTTCTTGTTATTATTTTTATAGTCATTCCACAAAAAAAAAAAAAAAAAAAAAAAAGCCTATTATTTATTTTTCTCTCTCTCTCTCTTATCTTTTTTTTTTTTTTTCCCCTTTCCCCTGTGTTTTTTTTAGAGATTAATAATGGCACCCATTGTATTAAAAGTAAAAGGTAATTTACAATCTCTGCCTTTTGGTAATCTTGATTCGTCAGATGATCTCTCCAAGACCTGGCGAGTGTGTACCAAAGTGAAGGACTCACTTGAAAATGGGTCCAGACTAGAGAATTTATCATGGAGACTCTGGTTTGCGCATAATGTAAACCGACCTAGCAGCAATATGACAACAAATTTTAAAGTACCCGATAATTTCGACTTTCAACAAGATATTCAGAAAAAGAAGAATCTAATCAAGATAGAGTCTATGGAAGTCGATTACAAAAGAAAACTTAGTTTACAGCAAAAGAAACAAGCTGAATTATTATTGACTCAGTCCCGCCAACATCAACATCATCATCATCATCATCAACAACAACAGCAACAACACATACAGCAGCAACAACAACAGCAGCAACAACAACAACAGCAACAACAGCAGCAACAACATCATCATCAACATCAACAACAACAGAGAGAAGAGTTTACTTTGCAACAATTTACATCAGATCAAGCAGGTGATCAAGTCATTCAGCTCGATGATATCTTTAAATCGTTTGGGGCAGATATACAAGCGTATTTGGACCCTACAGAAGAACAACAATTGGATAATCTGATTAATGAATCCTGGCCCATGTCTAGTAGCAATTCTTCTTATAATGAAATGATCAATTCCAATGCCACATCACCTATTGCCATGACATTTGGTAATGTGTCGCAACCACCACCAGCAACACCAACAGCAGCATCATCATCATCATCAGCAGCACAAGCACCGGCAGCAGTATCACAACATAGTAGTTATGGATATACGAGTTATAATAACAATCAGGCGTTATATGTTTCTTCTGAAGCAATGCCTCCTATACCAATAGGTACACTTCATAATAAACTATTAGCCACCTTACCTAAAGAAACCCTGGAATCTGCCGGTCGATTATTGAGCACCTCACCCCAAGAACCTGTTGCATCATCATCCTCTGTGGTGGAAGACCATCCATCTTCTTCTTCTTCTTCTAGTTCTTATCGTTTCTTTATGCCTCCACAACCCGTCAACCAACAACAACAACAACAACAGATATCCAGCAATAATTCATCCTTCACTTTCCATCATCATCATTCTAAATCATTACCTCCTTCTAGAGCTGCTTCTCCACCTCCAACAGATATACCTCCTCAAAGAAGAGCAACAGCTCCCATCAATAGTTCTCCTTCGGAAGGGAAAGCCCCCATCTGCAGTAACTGTAGTACTGCTTCCACTCCCTTGTGGAGACGTTCTGCCAATGATGAATTGCTGTGCAACGCCTGCGGCCTCTAGTAAGTTTTTTTTTTAATTGTGTGTGTGTGTGTGTGTGTGTGTGTGTATTTACAAAGGACAAAAAAAAATAACATCATGTTAGCTTAAAATTGCATAATGCGCCTAGACCCAAATATTTAAAACCTCAATCTTCTCGAAAAGACCTGAAAGGGGAGGATGAGAATATTATCCAACCGTTATGTTCTAATTGTGGTACTTCTACCACGCCACTATGGAGACGTGATTTGGACGGAGCCCCTCTTTGTAATGCATGTGGACTGTAGTAAGTTATCTGTTTCCTTTTTTTTTCTTTTCTGTTTTATTAACTAGTTTTACAGTTTGAAGCTACACCATGAGAAACGACCTTTATCGATGAAGACGGACAATATTAAGAAACGACAACGGTGCGATAACGCGGCGAAATCGTCTTCTTCTTCGTCAGCAGTACCACCACCTACGACAGTGACGAAAAAGAAGAATCGTGTGGTGGAGGAACCACTGACGACAACATTTGAATCCACCACTTATCAATACATGCAAGATGTGGTGCCATCCAATACAACGGAATATTCTCCCTTTGGCACTTTTGGTCTTACAATGACAAACCAACCCATTTAAATCTTTTTTTTTCCCTTTACTCTTTTGTAAATAGTTTTTTTCATTTTTTTTCTTTTCTTAATATTCCCCCCCTTCTCTTTCTCATTCTGCCTTTTTTTTTTTTTTTCACTTTTTTTTTTTTTTTTTTTTTTTTGGCTCGCTGGCTGTATTAAAATGCCATGTTTTCTCCTTGAAACGCAATGTGCAGGATTATTTAGTTTGTAAAAAAAAAATTCTTTGTTCCCTCATCACGTCATAAACATATAAATAACGCATAAACACTCGGGTCATGTGAGTCGATCTGTTTATTTATGCGTTTAAAGCAGACCAAAAACTCTCACTCTCTTACTCTCTTTCTCTCTCTCTCTCTCTCTTGCAATCCATCGGACATTCAAACCACACGTGTTTTTGTATTTTTTTAAAAAAAAGTAGTTTATTTTTCCAAAAAAATGGTATCTAAGCAACGGTCTTTCCCTTGACAAAGGTAGAGACGATCTTACCAAAGTTTTCACCTTGAGTGACAGCAATCTCCTTTTCCTTTTGAGAGACTTGTCTGCTACCATCACCATTGGCAACAGTACCAGCACCGTAGGCAGAGCCACCAATGACTTCAGAGTTATCGAAAAGATGAGGGTTGGCGAAACCGAGGGGAACATATACCATACCGTGATGGGCAAAGTAGGTGATGGTGGTGAAAGCAGTGGTTTCTTGACCACCGTGTTGAGAAGCAGTAGAGAAGAAAGTACCGGCAAACTTACCAGCCAAAGCACCAGAGGCCCAAAGACCACCAGTGGAATCAAGGAAAGACTTGATTTGTGCAGGCATGGTACCGAAACGAGTGGGAATACCGAACAAGAAACCGTCAGCTTCGTTTAAATCAGCAACAGTAATAACAGGAACGTCGGGCTTGGGAGGGGCGTGCATCTTGGTCAAGATCTCCTCAGAAAGGGTCTCGGGGACTATTGTTTACATGTTAGTTTACAATCAAACGCGACCTCTATCTTATTTTTATTATTACCTTGGAAAATCTTGGCATCAACACCAGAGGCAACAAGACCCTTTTGGACTTCTAAGGCAAGGGTATAAATGTGGTGGTAGAGAGAGTAGATGACGATATAAACTTTGGCAGCCATTTTTGTTGTAATTGTTGTTTTTTTGTTGTGTTATGAAAGAAGAAAAAGGATTGGTCTAGAAATTCTTCATGCCCTATTTATACGGAGAACAAAAAAAAAAAAAGATTAGGAGGGACCTGTTTTCAATTTAAACAACCGATCGTTTCGTTTGTCATGCTTTCAAAGCAAGAATTAATAATGGGACTGGCAAAAATTATTAAGGGTTTACTAATATACTAAAAAAGGCAACAGAAAACACGGTCGCGTCTTTTATCTCGATCTGATTAATTCTGTGACCCTAATTTTACTTTTTTGTTATCTACCTATTCAAAATGCTTACACTTTATCGTCGTAAAGCCTTCACTTTAACATAATAGGTTGATTATGTTATCTGACAGAGTATTGTTGTTTCCAAACCAAAAACCTGTTTGTCCATTCATGCCTCAAGAGAGCTTAGACTTTTAGACTGTGAATCAAGGTGTGAACTATATGCTGAGTTTTCTCTGGCTTATCAAATACGAATTAAAATATCAGATATTCATACACACATAAACTTTAGCGGTTTTTTTTTAGCATTGAGAATGAAATGTTTTATGTTTTTACATATCATACTCATGAACTGTTTCAAATAGAAGTAGCAAAGTGCACAATTTCAGACAAAATTACATAAGCCTACAACAGGTTTTATACATGCTGTTGTAGCCAATAATAACAATATTACTCGGTGTTACACGACATAGAATAACTTCTAAAAATATTTCTCATTTTTTTTTTTAGTATCATAGCCGTCGTGCAATTAATACTTGTAAAGTTTTCCTTCCGTTTTTTGTTGTTGTATAATTGTCTACAGACATTACCATCTCCCTGTAAAAAACCTGTCTTTTTTCCAATGCTATCATTAGATTATTTTCATGTAAAAGGCAAAATTGTTTAACATCTAATCCGACATATTTATAATACAAGATGTATTAGGGATACGTGATAAGTGAACGCGTTCTCCTTGTCATACATTTATAATAGCCAACTTGACAACTAACTTAGTCACTGGTGCTCACTAATCCAATGATTAGATATTGTCCTTTCTAGGTCTAAAATTACACTAAAGTTTTATCGTATTATAGATCGGCTTTGTAAAGTGGGTAAAGGGGCAATATATCATGACTTTACAATAAAACGTTGTGCATAGCAGGCGATGTTGTTACTCTAACATAATTACTTATGTCTGATTAAACGTGTAGACCTTAATATTTTTGCACAAGTAGCTACGGCTGCTTCAGTCCACGATTTACGGAAATTATTACATTATAAAGATTCTCGAGTTAAAATTATAGAGTGTTTTATTTAACTTGTGCTAATCCCTAATCCAAGCTGGGCGTACATCTTTAAATCCTACCCACCCTATAGTAGTGATTAGCCGTAGCCGTAAACAAAGTATAACCTCAGCACTAAAGTTCACCCGGATCAGTAATACACTCTATTGATTAGGGGTTGCTATTCTCGTCTATGGGTATTTCCCACATTTATCTTGCTTGCAGGAAAGCAATGCAGGGTAATCTTTCTTCTAGTCCTAAAAGACAAGTTCTCATTAAACATAAATAAATAAACTATTTTGTTCTTTTTATTACCTTTGAGACAAAGTAGATCCTTTTTTTTCCATTTGAGACACAAAGTAACACTATTTGCTGCTTTTGTTTTGTTGAGTAAATTTACCTGATAAGGCTCATGTCTCGCAATCCAAAAGCGTCCAAGAATGACTTCATGTGTGATGGAAGCGTACCAAAAACGTGTGATTATGCTTGTTTTATAAAAAAAAAGTCAATACTTCACATCAAGGTGTGCCACCGAGCATGAATGTGTCAGCGTTGACAAGAGTCATGGACAGATGATGAATAATTATTTTAGGCGAGTGAGGTGCATGTAGTTATTCAAAAAACTAATGTTTATGGGGAACCTATTTATATTTCTAATTGTTAGGTAATGATCGACCTACTTTGTTGTTATTGTGTTTTGTACCTGGAAGATCTTTACAGTAATGCCTTGAGCTTCAAGTTTATTTTGTGGATATTGAAAGCTACAGCCTAGGTAGGGCTGTAAAGAAAATCGGTAATGATGTAAACAGGAGATAACATCGAGTTTTTTTATATATTTTTTTATATTTTTAAAGCACAGAATTAGTCAGATCGAAAAAGGAGAGAGGGGATAGAAAAAAAACGCGACGTGTCCCTGTTACTTTTTAGTACATTAGTAAGTCCTTACTAATTTTACCAGTCCCATTATTAAAATAGGGCAGTTTGAGATTTTATAAATCAATCCCTTTTCTTCTTTTATTTTTCCAAGAAAACAGCAGATACACAAAGGCAGTAATAAAAAATAAAAAAATGGCTCCCAAAGTTTATATCATCATCTACTCTCTCTACCACCACATTTACACACTTGCCTTGGATGTTCAAAAGGGCCTTGTTGCCTCTGGTATTGACGCTAAGATCTTCCAAGGTAATACGAAACAAAGATAGATAGCCATCGCATTACTAATAAAAAAGTATTAGTCCCCGAGACACTTCCTGAGGAAATCTTGGTCAAGATGCAAGCTCCCCCCAAGCCCGATGTTCCTGTAATTACTGTGGATGATTTAAGCGAAGCCGATGGTTTCTTGTTCGGTGTCCCTACACGTTTCGGTACCATGCCTGCACAAATCAAGTCCTTCCTTGATGCCACTGGCGGTCTTTGGGCCTCTGGTGCTTTGGCTGGTAAGTTTGCCGGTACTTTCTTCTCCACAGCTTCTCAACACGGTGGACAAGAAACCACCGCGTTTACCTTGTTGACTTACTTTACTCATCTTGGATTAAATTACGTGCCTCTTGGTTTCGCCAACAGCAACTTGTTTGACAACTCTGAAGTGATTGGTGGCTCTCCCTATGGTGCTGGTACCGTCGGTAACGTATAATTGCATACTTTCTTTTTTTTTTTCGATCATAAAAAAACTAAAACATCTTTTTCACTTTTCACTTTCTCAGCTAATGGTGATGGATCTCGACAAGCTACTGAAAAGGAATTGGAAATTGCTAGAACACAAGGAGAGAACTTTGCAAAGCTTTTGATCACGTTCCATCGGGGTTTGGAGGTAGCAGAGGAGGAGGAAAACGTAAAAAAAACAAACGTGGTAGAATCGGTTGAGGCCGTTGAGGAAGCAGCAGTATCTGTAGAAGAGACAGAGGCACCCAAGCCTGTGGTAACAGAAACCGTCAAAGCGGAAGAGCCTAAAGCGGAAGAAAAAAAGTCTAGAGCTGTTGCTAAGCCTGAAGCCAAGAAAGAATCCAAGTGTTTCTGCATGTAAAACCACAAAAAAAAAAAACCCCCCCTTACACTCTTATTTCCCATCTATTACTATTACTACTATACAGTGGTTCCACCCTCAATTTGAAGATTGTTTGTCGTATCTTTAACAATCCCTATTGACTCCGACTCGTCTTCCAACGTGGTGAATGCTCCAAGAGCCACGCCTTTATTTTCCTTTTATGTAATATTTATACAATAAACTATTTAATCTAATATAACTTTCAAACTGCCCTTCCTTTTCATACCTTGAAAAGGCAAGCCTGTTATCAATTTTTTTTATATATCTTGTAGTAATTAAGAGTGGGGATTCAGTACCAACTTCTATATAATGGTGTGGGATTTACCACATTTTCAGACTTGTCTATGTCAACTACAATAGTGATTTTTCGAGTGGCAAAACTATGTTATGAAGGTACTTGATAAGAGTGTTATATGCGGCATCGACAATTCTGGCTTTCAGCGTTTCGGTATATTGAAGTTTCTGACATTTTACGCGAGCTTGAAGAGAGAAAATAATAAGTACTGCTTTAGAAAAAATCAATTCAAATAAATTCCAGCAATTTTTAGATAAATTCTATTGGCCAAGCATTTGCTTATTCTTTTTGCTGATTTCTTAATTTAAAAGCTTAAATGATGAAGAAAAATGGACACTATCTACTGGTACCATTGTAGAAGATATCCTTTATGAGTTTATTAAACGATGTATTGTAGACCATCCGACATGTTCAATGATCCTTGATTTAAAAGATATGACCTATGCAAACAAAGGGCTATTTACCATTAAAGAAATCGATGAAATGAAGAAACAAGCACCAATGACTATAACATCAAGAATTCCACAAGATCTTTGTGACTACATTGAGCACTTCAACTGTGATAATATAAAAGATCTACGAAGGCGTCTTGCTGATATCCAGGATTGGGAAAAAGAAGAATACGATGTGAACAAATACCATGATCTTGACTGGATTAAGCATACTATTCACTCTTATGTTAGACTCTACGAATCAGGCGAATTAAATACTGTCCAGAAAGAGCAATGGTACAACAAACATATATGGCTTCCTATTGATACAGTTTTTAACGATATCAGTAGCATTCAAATTGTTGCGTAAGTTTCAAAGAAGGAGTATACATATAGATATTGTAGTAATTTCGGTTTTTTTTTCCAAATTGTAGTGGCGAATCTGTAAGTCTGGCTAGCTCCCAACGTAAAAATAAAAACAGAACAATTGGATCTACATCGGCAATTAAACGAATCAAATTACCAAAAGTATTAAAAGATATGCTCGATAATCTGGTCTTTGTCAATAACGGCAACTATGAAGGTCTTGGTACGTTTGCGTTACAACAGTTTGGCTTGAACATGACTTTGATCATAGCAGATAAACCAAGCAGATATATCACGTCTCTTTGGTAAACAAGTGCTACCAATACTTGTTTTGTTATGGCAGTTCAAACAGCTTGTCTTGAAAACACAGCAACATAGGTATAGCACGTAATCAAAGCAGTACACAAAAAAAAGCGACGGGTTGCAAGCTTGTTTATTAAATACCGCAGTATTTCATTTGCCTGATTGGTAGAGTCTAGTAGAAGAGCGAATAGTATGCTTAATCCAGTCAAGATCATGGTATTTGTTCACATCGTATTCTTCTTTTTCCCAATCCTGGATATCAGCAAGACGCCTTCGTAGATCTTTTATATTATCACAGTTGAAGTGCTCAATGTAGTCACAAAGATCTTGTGGAATTCTTGATGTTATAGTCATTGGTGCTTGTTTCTTCATTTCATCGATTTCTTTAATGGTAAATAGCCCTTTGTTTGCATAGGTCATATCTTTTAAATCAAGGATCATTGAACATGTCGGATGGTCTACAATATATCGTTTAATAAACTCATAAAGGATATCTTCTACAATGGTACCAGTAGATAGTGTCAACTTTTCTTCATCATTTAAGCCTTTAAAACTAGCTGCATTTGCAAGATGCTCCCTGGGTACTGATAATATAATGTAAGTCAGCAACTACGCAATAAAAAATACATATTCTTTAAGTATCTACCATGCTGTTGTATCATATGATCTAAAAGATCGTCAAGCTCTTCGTAATACGTTTGGCAACATTTACAAGAATATGCGGTTGTGTAACCAGCCTATGAACCCGATTTAGTCTGTTTAACAAATCATGACAAAAAAACATGAACCCACTTACAAAGCATGTACTTTGGTCTTTTGAAATCAAAGAAACACTATCAAAAAATAAAAGCCTTATTAAGAGCTGGGCCCGCATTCCTTTTTATAGTGCTTACTTGGGTGTTTTAAAATCGCACTGCGACTTCACTAATATCCAAATCTGTATTATCAAATGTTAGCGTTTCACGGCAATCTGCCATTGAGCTCAAAATATTTACCTTTTACATCAATATAATGACGGGAAATGTCTAGACCCACTAACAGAAATTATGGCTAAGACCAGCAGGCCAGTATGATTACACCTATTTATGGTGCAATCTCTGTTGTTCACAGTCCGTGAGTTCCAAAAACTTAAGAACTCTCTGCCTGGGATGTCGCCCTCCTATAGCAAAGACTAGCAGCAGCCGCAATATCGCAATATATCTTTTTCGACTTAACGTATTTTGAAAGAAACAGAAGTATCATTACTAACTAACCTTTTTACGTTATCGGTTACTTTCATATGATAAAAGAAGTGTGTTAAGGGAAAAGAAAAGAAGGAGAATAAAGTGTGTGAACCAGCTTTATTTGTAGGCTGATAAACAAGAGCTTATGTCATCAGAATGATCTAATTGTTCATATTTATAATGTTTATAATAGAAACATTTGCAAAAAAAAAAAAAAAAAAAAAAAAAAAAAACCCCTAGCAGTAGTAGCTTTAAATGATAGTGAAGCAGATTTTATGGAAAACAAAAGTCGATGATCCTAAGAAGTTTAGACGATATGGCATGTCAATTGACGTAAAGACTTATGTGTAGACCATCACGTAACTCTAAAAAATACGTTTGATAAAAATACGGAGTTCTAGACATTTCCATAATAACGCTTAAATTAGTTCTGTTCGCATAAAGCTCGCGTAAAACGTCGAAAACTTCAAGATACCAAAACGGTTGAAGCCAGAATTGTTGATGCCGCATATAACATTCCTAGTATCTGTATAACATGGCTTTGCACTCGAAAAATCACTTTGAAATTTGTTTAATTAAGAAAAAGCCAATTTAAACGTGTGAGAATGATTTATTATTATTTAAATAGCTTAATTCATTTATTAATTCGATAAAAAAAGTCTTTTCTTATTTATGTGATATTGTCCTTGTTATGGTAAATCGAGTGTGGAGGACGTACGTGGTGATAAATGACGAAACGGAGTATCGTTTATTGGCGTTATTTTTAAACACACACAACAAGCATAACGAGTCACCTTTTCTTTTTTTTTCTTTCCTCCTTATGAAACCCTCAATGTCACAACCTGTGTTTATAGCAGTTCATGTGGGTGCAGGTATTTTCTTTTGTTTCAATGCTTGTCATTTTCAACCAACACAAAAACAAGGTCGTTTAGCACGTTCGAAAGAACCTAAATATAAAGCAGCGTTGGCAAAGTAAAACTTCACAACACGCTACAACCAACAGCAAACTTATTTTTTCCCCAACTTTTAGAGCATGTCAACTTGCCATGAATGTTTTAAAAAGAGAAGGAGGTACAGCTGCTGAGGCTGTGGCTGTTGCCATTGCGCATTTAGAGGTATAAACATTCAAGCCCCCTTCACCTCAAAACAAAACGACTGACTGTGGAGGTTTAGAACGATCCCGTAACGAATGCAGGTTATGGCTCGAACCTAACCTTGAAGGGTACAGTGGAATGTGATGCTAGTTTAATGACAGGACAGTCTGGCACGTTTGGTGCAGTGGGAGCAGTCAGCGGTATCAAAAACCCGATTTTGACAGCACATCATATGGTTTGCGAGGCAGAAAAAGGTTTAATGTCCTTGGGCAGAATACCTCCAATGTAAGGGCCCCATTTTTCTTTAATATTTTTGCTTTCGCACGACGCTTATATATGGGTTAGGTTTTTGGCAGGAAAAGGTGCAAAAGATTGGGCTCAAGAGCGTGGACATGTCATTGTAGAAGAAGAGGATTTGATTGATCGTAAGAGACAACTCACATATGGATTCCTTCTTTTTGGTTTTTCACACATTTCACTTGTAGCAAACGCGTATAAGACATACTTAGATCATGTTGGAAGGTTAGTAGAGGATGAGGAAGACAATGTGGATTTAGGTCATGATACAGTGGGTGCTATTTGCCATGATCAGTATGGAGATATAGCTGCTGGTGTTAGTAGTGGTGGAATCTCACTGAAAGCACCAGGTCGTGTAGGAGAGGTAAAAAAAAAAAAAAAAAAAAAAAAAAAAAAAAAAAATAAGGCGAGGAGTGCATGTGTAAAAATAAGCACGGAGCTAACAAGTACAAAGGCTGCCATGTATGGTACAGGATGTTGGGCACAGAATGAGAAAGAAGGTCAAGCTGGTGTGGCCTGTAGTACAACAGGCACGGGAGAACAAATCATGAGAACTTTGTTTACCTATAAATGCGTGGAACGCATTTCCAAACAAGAAGATATGAAGATTGCTTTGACAGATTCATTCAACAAGGATTTTCTAGGTTAGAACAAATAGGCAGCTGGCTAGTCAGATTACTAATAAGAAAAAAAAAAGAATCACCATGTTTGGATATGTATGATGAGAAATCGGTGGGAACAATCGCGCTTCGAACGCAGAAAACGAGGGATACAACAAGCAAGTTTTGATTTAAATTATCAATCTATTATCAATTGAAGTGTTACCCTTTTTTATATATATTTATATATATTTAGGAATAGAGTTTTGGTACGGACATGTCACTCCGGATATGGTACGTACGAAAAGTATGGGAAAAATCAAAATCAAAAATAGTTAAGGCGTTCTTTCTAGGGGATTGGTTACATGTCAGGGACATTTAAAAAGCCAAAGGTACACTACATATCAAGAAAACACGGGGAGAAAGATTAACAAGAAAAAGACGTTGATATCTAGGAAATCATCTGAACATGAAAAGACGGTGTCTGCTGGATGGTTAATTTAACTTTTCATGCGCTAAAGAAAAAATAAATAAAAGGCCGGAGTTATTCTTTAGCCTATAAGCGGGCTTCATCATTGGATTTTAGAGATTGAACAAAAATGACTATTTATTTATAAGCCAATAAAAAGTGTAGGATTTTCATAAAAATGACAGAATGCGTGTTGACTCACAAAGTGTATTTCTATTTGATTTGTGGTTCCAAGTAATTTTTTTTTCTTCTTCTTTCTTATAAACCCTTTTTCTTTAAAAGAATTTCTTCACCTCCCTACTCTTTTTTGTAACATTTAAAAAAAATAATGGCTTCTAAACTTCTTTCGAGAGCTGCCCCTCTCACAACACGTACTTTGTAAGTCTTCAAATAAATATACTTTTTTTAGATCAAATCACTCATACTGGATGTTTAGTCGCGACGTTACCAAGGCCGCTCCTATTGGTCTTAGACACTATGCTTCTGACAACCAAAAGAAGTTGAACAAGTACAGTTCTGTCATTACTCAACCTAAAAGTCAAGGTGCTTCTCAAGCTATGTGTAAGTTTTTCATATTAAATTCACGAGGAGAAGGAAATAATACAAGTTTATTAAACAACCGACATCATTAGTATACGCCACTGGTTTGACTGATGAAGATATGAACAAGGCTCAAGTCGGTATTTCTAGTGTGTAAGTAGTGTTTAGAGAGAAAAAATTGCGTTGTTTTTTCATTGATGCTAAACCATGTGTATAAAAAAATCCAGTTGGTACGAAGGTAACCCTTGTAACATGCATCTTTTGGATTTGGCCGGTGAGGTCAAGAAGGGTGTTAGAGATGCTGGTCTTATTGGTTATCGTTTCAACACCATTGGTGTCAGTGATGGTATCAGTATGGGTACCAGAGGTATGAGTTACTCTCTTCAATCCAGAGATTTAATTGCTGATAGTATCGAAACCGTAAGTATCTTCATATCAAAGAAAACAAAAAATCTCCCGACACGTATATTTAACCAATTTTGGTTTAGGTCATGGGTGGACAATGGTATGATGCCAATATTTCTATTCCCGGTTGTGATAAAAACATGCCTGGTGTCTTGATGGCCATGGGTCGTGTCAACCGTCCTTCTTTGATGGTCTATGGTGGTACCATTCAACCCGGTCAAAGCTGTGGTGGTGGTAAGTTAGATATCGTGTCTGCTTTCCAAGCTTATGGTGAATATGTTGCTGGTACAATTGATGAAGATAAGCGTTATGACATTATTCGTCATGCCTGTCCTGGTCCCGGTGCTTGTGGTGGTAGTAAGTAGTCATCTTTTTGTGATTTTTTTTTTTATTTATTTTTTGGTTACTGTATTTTGACACATATTGGTATTAGTGTACACTGCCAATACAATGGCCTCTGCTGCTGAAGCTATGGGTATGACTTTGCCCTACTCTTCTTCTACACCCGCTGCTTATCCTGAAAAGATTGCTGAATGTCACGCTGCTGGTAAAGCTATTCGCAACCTTCTTGAAAAGGACATCTTACCTCGCGACATCATGACTCGTGCTGCCTTTGAAAATGCTATGGTATTGACGATGGTCCTTGGTGGTTCCACTAATGTTGTTCTTCATTTGCTTGCTATTGCCAAGAGTGTCGGTATCAAGTTGACCTTGGATGATTTCCAAGCCGCTAGTGATAAGTCACCCTTTTTGGCCGATTTGAAGCCCAGTGGTAAATATGTCATGGAGGATCTTCACGGTATCGGTGGTATCCCCGCTATTCTCAAGTACCTCATGGAAGAAGGTATGGTGGATGGTAATGTCATGACTGTCACTGGTAAGTCTCTCGAAGAAAACTTGCACGGCCTTCCTGGCCTCCCTCAAGGACAAGATGTCATTCGTCCTCTTTCCAACCCCATCAAGTCTAGTGGACATTTACAAATTCTTCGTGGTAATTTGGCTCCTGAAGGATCCGTTGCCAAGATTACGGGTAAGGAAGGACTCCAATTTACTGGTAAGGCACGTGTCTTTGACGGTGAGGAGAACTTTATCAAGGCCCTTGAAAAGAACGAGTTCAAGATTGGAGAAAAGATTGTTGCCATTATTCGTTACGAAGGACCTATGGGTGGACCTGGTATGCGTGAGATGTTGAAGCCTTCTTCTGCCATCATGGGTGCTGGTTTGGGTAAGGATGTGGCTCTTTTGACCGATGGTAGATTCTCTGGTGGATCTCACGGTTTCATCATTGGTCACGTCTGTCCTGAAGCTCAAGTCGGTGGACCTATTGGTCTTGTCAATGACGGTGATGTTATCACCATTGACGCTGAGACTCGTGAAATGAACTTGGAAGTTTCCGATGAGGAACTCGCCCAACGTAAAAAGAACTTTGTACCTCAACCTCTCAAGTATACTCGTGGTGTTCTTGCAAGATATTGTATGACTGTCAAGAGTGCAAGTGAAGGTGCTGTTACTGATGAATTGTAATTAAAAATCTAAACCCCCCTCCCCCTCCTCACACACACACACACACCCTCTGTATAATACATCATTTGAACCATTTATAATCCTCGTCATTTACAAGTCTATATCAATAAAATTTTAAATGAGAAATTAACTTCTAATGTATCGAGGCCTTATCGGAATGCTTGGATCAGAATTTTAAAAACGTGAAGTATTCACATATGTAAAATGAGACCTTAAATCAAAACTCTTAGCTTTATATAACTTCTTCCCTTCCACCATTGATATCATTATCAAAGATACTCGTAAAAAAGAAACGTTGAGTGACATTTAATTTAGTTTACAGCAGTTCTGGCCCCCTGGTTAGCTCTCTTACAGTGGTTCTGGTCTTATTGTTGGTTTTGTTTCTTCATGAGAAAATCGATGCTTGGTCTGATGGTGTGCTGCATTTCTTTAATCGCGGTCCCGGATATATTATTGGCTCAAAAACCCCCTTCGTCAAGCGCACCGCCACAAGTCAAGGCTTTTCAAGGCAAGTCAAAGCCAAATCGGCCGTATAGCCATAGTTGGGCCATTCCAAAAATGATTATTTAATTGACTGATTTTTTGGTGCTTTTTCCTGCAATAATTTCTGTCATAAATACGCTAAGTACCGCCCCTACGCAGGTGTTTTGCATTCGAGTCATTCGATTCAAAGCAGTTAACGTTGAGGAAAAAATAAAATACCAATTTGTGAAAAATAAAAAAAACCCCTTATTTAATCCAGCTTTTAAAAAAACGGATGAGGTCCGACTTACATTTTTTCAAAATCATCTACTTTTAGCAGGCGTCATTAAATTTATCCTAGGATGTTGTAAAGGACCTCATCCGTTTTTCAAATATTCGCAACATTTTTAAAAAAAACTACCATCTTTTAGATCTCTATTTCGACTTTTTGGTAAGCATAAATTCTCATTTCCAGTAACGATCGTTCGTCTACTATCACCACCGGAATTTATGCTATCAACTTTCTAGGTTATGCATCAGGCCTCAATGTTGGATAGGAATCTTTTTCCAACGCTATGAAATGAATCGAGCTTTATGTAAAAACACCCTTTTTTTTCATGTTCTCCTTATTTGTGATACTAAGGCGCAGCCTAAAAACCACGTCCGAGAAGATGACTTATACAAGGATTATTGTTGAAATAAAAGATGTAAGCTGGAAAGTTCCAGCTTTGAACAATCACAATCTGGTGTAAAACCGGATGTGATTTTTATTAAAAACAGTCTGCAAACAAGCTGTATCAATCTTGGGGTTGTCTTGGATTAATTTATTGAACATACTGTTCAAAATAAATGGGATCTTTACCCCGCACTCGGCCAATCTCTCGCGGCTTTCCTCTCCCTTGTCTTGCTTTTTTAAACTCGAAAGCAAAATAACTGTCGGAGTGTATCATTTAGACAGTCCTTTTGGTTTTGTGAAGCGCATTTTTAGAGACCTGTTTCCCGGTCGTGGATGAAGATTTCGCGGCCGTAGCTATGTTGGTTTATCTAGGTATGTAAATATTTACCTTACAAATTTTTTAGTATTGACATGCCCTTCTTCAAACTATTCTAGCAGCTATTCATCGGAAACGAAAGCAGTTCATTGAGACTATGACATAAATAAAGCCAAACTATTGAAATGATAATACAAATTTGTCTAACAGAGGACCTTGTCACCCATCGGGTTTTTAGTATTGATTATAGTTACGTTAAATATATATGATTACTTCAAACATTACAAAGCCACATATGGTTGCCTATCTACAATAATGTAAAATGTATCCGCCTTTACCTGTTTATGAAAAGCATTCTGCGACCGTTTAGGTTGAATTTCTAGACCATTTGGAGGAAGGACTGATAAAATGAAAAATATGGCCACTTAAGAACACCAGCACAGTCACCCCTTGTATAGATGCATTTATCAAAGATCGAATAGCTGATAATTCTACCGTACGAGCACAATTATGAACATATCAAATGGGGTACGTAATTGACACTAAAGAGAGAGAGAATGAAAGAAACTAGCCTTTCGGTTACGGCCACTGAATAATAAGTTCAATCGTATCCAAAGGGTGATTACGCTTCATGAGCATGCTGTGAAATAAATACAGTCATATTGACCCTTCCTGATTGAAGTTGATGATAAGTGACGCAGTCAGTAAAAAAAAGACAGTCTTTCTCAAAACTGTACAAAAAGCGTATCAAACAGAGACAGCACAAAAATGTGAGAGTGGTCGCACAAAAGAACCATCTCATGCAACCGATTTGTATTGAAAGCCAGTTCGTTGTTGTACTATCGCTGAAATAGCTTCAGTTTAACCCGGTTATAAACAGCTTTAGACAGCCTAGTACCCATTCATTTTTTGAAATTAGCTTTAAGATTGCTCATAATGTATCCCTGTGTACTTTTACAAACAGAGTTGGACAGTTCCAAAATGGCCCAAAAGAAGTAATAAACCAATGATTTGTCAGTGGCCTATCAATATTTACCAGTGTCAAGTTATTGTGAAACCTTAATATTTTACTAAAGCTATTCCAGATGATTGGGTAAAAATTTATAATGAATAAGAAACAGTTGAAAGAACTCTTCAATTTCAACTTTTATTAATCAATAAAAAAACTATCGCAATCTACCATGTGAAGCTGAATGTTCCTTTTCAACTAACAACGTCCTTACAGTCTGAGAAGTTCGAACGCCGCGCCGATTTTGTGATGACATGGCAGTTTGAGTTTTTCATTTCACTGAGAACGAAAAAATGCGCTTTTAAAGAGAGAGAAAAAAAAAGTTTAGTAGGCTATTTTTAACCTTTATCTTTTTTTCCCATTGTAAATGTCACAAACAGCAGACGATCCACACATTGCGGGAAATGTACCCGTTACACCGGTTCAGTTAAAAAAGTTTCTCACAGAGGCACCGTTAATGTATACAAGTAAACTTTCCAGAGGAGCAGAAAAGCATATTTTAACCAACTGCTACCGGTCTTTATGGAGCAATGATCTCGACTTGATGCAAAAGTACTTTTTTAAGGAAGGGCTTTCTGACAGCGACAACCTTTCACAATTGCTGGAAAAATACAACTTGTTCGGTTCTACCAAAGAAGATAAAGCTGAAAAAAGTCAAGAAGACGAACCAGAGTACTGGGAAAGTCAAAGAGGCAAACAGTGTGGTCATTTGTTCAAAAACGGTGAGAGTGTTTATCGTTGCAGGTAATAAAAGGAAATTGCGTGATTGGATAGGTTTAACGTTTACTCATCATCTATCTTTTATTATTGTGACCAGAAACTGCGGTTTAGATGATACATGTGTAATGTGTTCCAAGTGTTTTCATGCAACTGACCATGAAAATCATGATGTCAAAATTTGGATTAGTAGGGGAGCAGGAGGTTGTTGTGATTGTGGTGACCCAGAAGCATGGAAAATACCACTATGCTGCAAGATTCATTCTCCCAGTTCTGATATACCCAATTCATCCAGTTCACCAAACCAAGTCTCCTTGGAGCCTATTTCTTCTATTCCTGTTGAAACCATGAATTCTGTTAAAGAAACAATGGTTGTTGTCATTAACTACATTTTGGAAACATTTGCTACTTCTCCTGAAGACGTGATTTCCTCTCCAACAGATATTGGCACTTCAGTCTCTGCCGAATCAATCCAACAAGACTGTATCGACTCTCACGATGCCCTTGGCTTGCCTGTAGATTTATCAACCCAAACTTATGCCTGTTTATTATGGAATGACGAAAAGCATTCTTTTGATGCTGTCATCAATGTTGTAAGACAAGCTATTGGATGTACCGTATCAGAAGCCACACACGTTGCCGAATGCGTCGATGTTTACGGTAGACATATCATTAAAGAGTCCAAAAACCTTGCCGAATTAATCGAAATCGCCAAAATAATCAGTTCAATTCATTTGGCTGTCACTATTTGCTCAACTCAGAAAACTGTGCGCGAAAGTATTGCTGGTTTATTGTTAGATTGGCTCAAAGAATTAACCGGTGGTCGTTACAAGTTTTTCAATCAGGTGGAAGGCGGAAACTGTATTATCCGTGATATCATTTGTGATGTATTAGCTAGTGATTGGCAGTTAAGTCCTCAACTCGCATCTTTAACTACACGTTCAAGAAGATCAAGAATGCCCGAGGATGAAGATGACGGATTTGAATTGGAAGGTGCTGACGATATGGGAGATGACAGTGACGATGAAGTTGATATGATGTTCGACGGCGATGTTCTTGACATGGAGGAGCTTAGCGAAGACACAATAATGGATGAAGATGGTCTCGACGAATTCTTCAATGTCATTAGCGAAAGTATAAATACTGATTCCGGAGAGGATGAGGGTGAGGACGATGATGAGGAAGAGGAAGATTCAGCAGGAGAGTTTGTAGATGCCCACGAAACGTCCCCAACAGGCGTAACAACAGCTATGGAAACTGATCAAAATATTCCGGATGAAGCCGCCGAACAATCATCGCAGGAAGTCGTCAACAACTCACAATCTACTAGAAGAAGAGCAAGTGGCGCACACTCTACTACACCTGCTTTGGCACATCATGTTGACATGCTTAAACGAAGAAGATTATCAGCCTCGTCTCAAAACAAATTAGGCAAGTCTCAAAAACCTCGTGATATTTTGGATATGGATTGGAGTTTGGATCAATGGCTCGAGCATACGGAACAGTTGGAATCAGACGAAAGAGTGATTGCACAAGAACTGGGTATTCCTTACGCTGTAGCCAATGACGACATTTCAGCCACTCGTCGCGTCAACGCTAATCTTAAAAAGGAGTTCAAGCGTAAACTTCGTATCGATTATCTGTTGCAATTCGACTTGCGTCTTTGGAAGACGGCCCGTATCAGCATCAAGGACTTATTGATCGGTACATTTATCTCCAATTTTGATTTCCGACCTGTCATTGGAACCAGATTTGCTCGTAACTACCCAGAACTTGTTGATGCATTTTTCTTTAAGGACAGAGAACCCGAAAATTCAGTAAGCACATTATCTGTTCAACTTTTAACAGTACCTAGTGTGGCATTATTGCTTGTGAAAGACTTCAAGTTCTTTGGTATCGTTTGCTCAATCTTGCAAAACTTTTTCTTGACCGATAGTATCCATATGATGCTCCCCGAAAACAAGGGTTATGCCGGTTCTCAAGTGGATTGTACTGCAAAAGCTATCGGAAGACACCGCTATGCGTATACTATCTTTGACTTGAGATACGTTATGAATGCTGAACCTGTCAGATTGGAAATTTCTAAAAATCCCATTTATCTTCGTCAATTCATTGATATGATCTATCAGTTCCAAGCAATGGATCCCCTTCAACGCCAAACGGATACTCATGTAGAATATGAATCCCAATCATGGGTTTCTGCTTTCAACATGACTTTGCAAACATCAAAATTATGCCGCTTACTTGCTGGTTGCTTCGATTCTCTTCAACCTTCTGAGATAACTGTTACTGAAGCATCCCGTAACCTGTGTCGATCTATTTATCGTGTATTGAAAGCATTATCAGACTGGAATCCTCATCTTGCACCTCGTAGGGATACAAATACTTTTGAACCTGATACTAGAGTAATCATTAAGGGGTTAAGTGGCCAGAAATTCCATCAAGTAAACACGCCTAATGCTGGCGTATTTGAAATTGTGGACTATGATGTTTCCGAAAACCCGGTTTCCTTCCATCATCCTTTCCACTGGTTATTATCAGAACTTTTCGAGAATGTATCATTATTGAATCAAGGAGTCTTGGCTGAACTTGGCTGGTTGGGAGGATTTAAGCAAATGGTCAACGATGCTTTCCGTACCAATGATCATGACATGTTCTTGATGATACTTGATTACCCCATTAGAACTTTGACGATCCTCTATCAAATCAATTGTGGTGTTTGGGTTAGAAATGGTTATGCTGTCCGCAACATGGTATGTTTTAATTTTATTTTCTGTTGGCATATCCTTTTACTTATGAATTCCTCTTTAGTCTCATTCTTACAGAGATGTCAATGTCAGAGAAAACACCATGGATTGTGATATTTATCTTTTCCAGGTTGGTTTGACGGTGTGTAACAGTGATCAAATTTTGTTGACCCTGATCGATCGATTCCAACTTACAGACTGGTTCAAGGGAAAGCCCGAAAAGAAGTCCATTTATGATGCCAGCCAAAAGACTTATATGGTCGAAGAATTCCTCAATTTACTCATCATCAGTGCTACAGAACATGCCTATGCTTCTGGAACATCAACTGAAGAACGTATTCGTCAATATATTATTCAATATCTTGGTATCGGCAGTATGTCTTATTCTGAACTTTTAAAGTTCATTCCCGAAAGCTTGAACGAACATGAATCATTTGAAAATCAACTAAACATGCTTGCCAACTTTAAGGCGCCTGATGGATTAAGCGACAAGGGTCTCTATGAACTCAAACCTGAATATATAAACGAAATCGATCCTTATTTCTGGCACTACACCCGCAACCAACGTGAAGAAGCTCATAATGTGTTGAAGAAGAGATGGAATCAAACAAATCCTGATAACAAGTTGGGTGATAAAGAAGAATTTGTTGTCAACCCCAAGGCCAACCGTATTGAAAATGGACCTTTCAGGCACCTTGGTAAATTCTTGCATTCTCATACGTTCTGTCAAATTCTCGTGTATGCTCTCTGGGACGCTAAATTCCACAAGGAATCCAAGAGTGATACCATTTTGGACGAAGCACTTTATTTGGGCATGCTCGCCGTAACTGACCAAAATAGTTCTGCTAGTGAATTGGCCGCTATGAATGTCAAGGGCAAATACAGAGCCGATGTCATTTTAGATGATTCTGATACCAAAAATTTCGTCGAGTTTGCTGTTACTGATGAATACTCTATCCAAATCAATGAAATCGAAAAAACACATGCTACGTTGTTAATTGTTCTTTTACGCTGCATGGACGACAGTGAATTGAGCCATGCTCATAAACGTTTAAGCTTTATCATTGATAAGATTGAACAACGTGGTTCTGACACTGCCAAGGAAATCATTGCCGATTGGAAAGAGAGAAAGTCAAGAGAAACAAAGGCCGATTTAGATAATGGTGGTAACGGTGGTATCTCCGAATATGAGCGTAAAAAAGCTGCCGCTAAAGCTCGTCAAGCAGCCATCATGTCTCAATTTGCCAACGCACAATCTAAATTCATGGAACAACACTCCGATCTTTACAAAACAGATGACGACGAAGATATCAGAGAAACATACGAGGAGACAGCCGTTGCCAATAATGATATTTCCTCTGATTCTGAATTGGAAATTGTGCGTAAGTGTCATTTCCCAGCTGATACCTGTATCGTTTGTCAAGAAGAATTAGATGACACAAAGTTATATGGTACACTTGGTTTGATCCAACGCTCTAACATCGAAAGATACGCTGAAATGAGCAACAAGAACGTTTTTGCTGACATTTTGGAAACTAGCAACCATGCAAACCCTTGGGCACCAAGAGAGGGTGCTGAAAAGCCTGCTCCCTTCATTGGATTCCCTACTGACTCTCATAGATCTGGCTTAGATATCTCTTCTTGTGGTCATTTGATGCATTCTGAATGTTTTGATGCCTATCAAAAATCTGTTGATAATCAAGTGCTTAACGAACTTAGTAGAATGTTCCCATTGTCGCTGGCTCCAAAGAGTCGTTTCCTTTGTCCCTTGTGTAAAGCACTCGGTAATGTTTTGGTCCCAATTGTTTGGAAAGGCAAAAAAGAAGCTTATCCAGGTGTTATGGTTCCCTCAACCCCCTACTCTGATTTAAGCAAAACGATCAAGGATACCATGGATGATTTGAAGAAAAGAATCCAAACTGCTCCTGATGAAGAAGCACCTTTCAAAAGCGATGATCCTAATCTAGTTATTTGCGATGATTCACAACTCAAGCTTATATACAACAGGTTGATGAAAGTGATTCATTCCAATGCCAACGAAAGAGTTATTTATGATACGGCTTTAAACTTGTTTGATTCTGTTCAAGAATTGCATGATATGTATGCTTATACCATCACAGATTTTGAAATTGCACAAAGAGGTTCAGAAAATACCCGTGCAAGAGACTTGACTGTTGAACACACTGGAACTTTTATCGATGATGTTTCAAGTACTTCTCAATTGCTTCTCAAGATCCTTGGTATGACAAACATGTTGATCCCTAAATTCATGGACTCTCCTTGGCAATCGGAAGAGCGTTGTACAAGCGAAAGATTAGCAATGGTTGCATTGAATCAGTTTATGCCCGGCTGTTTAAATACGACCGAAGAGTTCTCACTTAAATCCGAGTTGGCACCAATATTAGCAGACGATCCATTTAGGGTCTTGGTCCGTATGAGTTTCTCCGTTTCCCAGAACCCAGCGATCGAAATTCATCATTTACTTCGTTCAATTTATATTGCAGAATTAACCAAAACGGTGATTGCTATTGTACATGGTGTATTAAATGACGGAAGAATTTTAAAGGAAGAAAAGATTAGCCAACTTTTGGAGTCCCTCAATACAAACCAAAGACAAGCATTGGGAACAGAAGGAGTTCAACAATTTACACACTACGTACTTGGACTCTTAAAAGTTTCGCAAGAAACTATTGATGGATTCTTCAAGGTTGTTTGTCCTGGCGCATTTGTCGCTCTTGTACGTACTTTTGCTTTACCTTTCCTTCGAAAAGCACTTTTGTTTATGGTCGTCCATCACGGTTTCATCCCCCAAAGTCCCACTGATGATATGGTAGATGAAAAGAGCGAATTTGAAAACATTTTGGAAATTTTGCGATTACCAGCTCTTGAATCCATTTTCGAATTGGAAACATTTGAGCAGGAATTGGTAAGCACTTGGTGTACGGAATACGTGAACAGCAAATTGGTTGCATCGCCGAAAGAATTAGCGCTCCTTTCTGACATCAAGGTCAATTTGCCTACCAAGTTTAAACTGGCTACATTGCCTTATCGCTTAGATCAACTGCTTGATGAAAGCTCAAAACGTGTTTGCCGCAAGTGTAAGACCGTTCCTGAGCATTCTGCCATCTGTTTGATATGTGGAACCTTTGTATGTGCTCGCCGCTTCTGTTGTACTGAAAACAACAAGGGTGAATGTAACACCCATATGAAGAGGTAATTATTTTATAAATAACATATAAGGTAAATGTCTAATACAAAGTTTTAGCTGTGGTGGTGAGATCGGTATATACTTGATCATCAAGGACTGTTTCCTTCTGTTATTGCATGACAACGGTGGAAGTATCATGAACGCACCATATCTTGATAGCCATGGCGAGGCTGATATTTTATTTAAACGCGGGGCACCACAATATCTTAATGACAAGAGATATGAACAGATCAGACAAATGTGGTTAACCCAATCTATACCTGCTTTTGTAAGAAGAAGAATGGAAGCTGCTTTCAGTGCAACTATTTGGGAAGCATTTTAAATTGAGACAATTGTCATATATTGTACATTAAACAAACAAAAACAAAAAAAAAGTTAATCAAAGAAAGAAAATATATATAGATGTCTAATAAAAAGTTTTGTAATCTATATCTAACTTAAAAACCTATAAGGGATTAAAAGGTGTTAAGTGATGTGTAAATGGATACCCTTAAATATTTTAAACTTACAGCATTTACAATCGAAAGGGCATTCGGGTGTATCTAAACCACCACCAATGTTTAAGTCTTTAACATCGTAAAGGGGATAACCATCATCAGTAGTACGTGCTTTAAATAAAAAATGTTAACTTGGTTTCTAATGGTTTCACTCATTCATTGCACATACTTGTCTTTTTGATGCCTCTTGAATCTCCGAAATCTTCATCGGCGGTGGGTGGGGGAGCAGCACGCTTTTGTGGTGTCAAACTACTTTTGACAGCTGCTAATTCTGCAAATACAACCTCTTCAACCTTTCTAACCTGTTCTTCACTTAATTCTTCCTCCTCCTCTTCCTCTTCTTCATCCTCAACGTCATCCTCTTCATTCTCTTCTTTTTTAACCACCTCTTCGGCTACCTTCTTTGACTTTTTGGCAGCCTTTCTCTTTGCGCTCTTTGATAAAACAGGTTCCTTGAATTTCTTTTGTACCACTTGGTCATCGTCATCCTTGATTGTCTTGGTGTTAAAAATGTCGTCGATTTCAGAAGCGTCCGAGATCTTTTTAGAGCTGAAAATATCGTCAATTTCGTCAGTGCCAGCCTGGACATTCTTTCCCTTTCTAGGGGTGTTTACTTTCTTGACACCTGCATTCTTGGGAGCGGTTTCTTTCTTTGTATCCTTCTTTTCTAAATGAGCACAAGTAAATGTAAGTAATCTCGTTTCAAGCTGATCATTCCGCCAACGTTTACCTGCAGCACGCTTTCCCATTTTTTATTTTATGCAATACGTAGAGGGAAAAAAAATCAAGAGGGGGAAAAGCCCAAATCAAAGAGTAGGAAAAAAGGTCACGTTTCTGTAGTCACGGCTAGCGGATTAAATGCGAAAAAAAAAAACTAGGGGCATTATTTCACTGTCTGCAATAAGAATATGGAAAAGAAGCAAGCTTTTGAATATTTCAGTTTATTAGAGCAACAGTTCTGGAAAAAAATTGATGAAAAGCTATTAAAGGATATCACTTTCCAAGGTGAATTAAAACCAGAGGATATGTTGATATATGGAGAATTTGGTTTTGCGTTATTGGGTCTCAAACCTTGCGTGCTGGTTGAATTCCGGGACGCAAGAGTCAATAAGTTTTACTTGGAAACAGTAATCCAGCCTGTGTTATTTGCTTTAAAAGAAAAAACATTGGATTATCATGTCATACGGAATACAAAAACTCCCGAGTCAGACCTTGATGGCTGTGTCTTTATATATTCCAAGACTGCCAGTGATCTCTCTACCATGTTGACAGATAAAGAACAAATGATATCAGAAGATACAATGGCTCTGTTATTGGATTATCCTGGGCATTTACCAAATTCTGAAGAAGAAATACCCACCATGAAATCAGTCATCTATTTCCATAATAGACCCAACAAACAGTTAGTCGCTTTGACCTCCTTTGCTATTCAAATCACAGAAAAAGAAAAAACTTTGCAGCATTTCAGAGAATACTATGCTATTTGTAAAGAAAAATTAGATATCGAGTTGAAGCTTTTAATTCAATAATAAACTATGTGATATCCCGCATTAAAAAAAATTGAATTGGTGTGGTGCACAGAGCAAAACGCAATTTACCCGGACTTTGAGCCCTTTTGCCGGGCTAATTTTTTTCTTGGAATAATTTTGATTGAAATTACTGAGAGCCACTGGCAAAGTGTGAAGTTCCTCCTCTTTTACTGAAATGGTGAGTTGTAGTGCCATAGTTGGATGAAGGGAGAAAAAAAAAAAAAAGAGAACGAAGGCAACAAACAACTATGCCAAATGATACTGCAGAACGATGATTATGGATGTAGAATGATAACCGTTGGATGGATGTTTTATTTTCGATATGATTAAAGATACAACCTAGCAACATTCTTCAACATGTAGACATGTCGAAACTCCCTTTTTTTTTTTTTTTTTTGCTCTCTTCACTCCAACTAACTGAGTCCAAGAATTTGCTTATTAAACAGATTCTCTTCCCATGTAGCCTACCAGACTTCATCACAACAGAAAGAAGCGTGGACACGTCTCAGCCGGTCACGGTCGTGTCGGTAAGCACAGAAAGCATCCTGGTGGTCGTGGTCTTGCTGGTGGTCAACATCATCATCGTATCAACATGGATAAGTACCATCCTGGTTACTTCGGTAAGGTCGGTATGCGTCAATTCCATTTGAAGAACAACGTCAACTGGCGTCCTATTGTCAATCTCGACAAGATCTGGACTCTTGCCGGTGAGGGTGTTCGTGAACAATACAAGAACACTGAGAAGGTTCCCATTATCGATACTCTCCAAAAGGTAAGAGCATAAACTACAATACGAGTATTTTGCAGAATACTCATTCCCTTTTTTAAAAAAATAATAGGGTTACGGTAAGGTCTTGGCCAAGGGTACCATCTCTCAACCCGTCATTGTCCGTGCTCGTTTCGTCTCTGCTCTCGCTGAGAAGAAGATCAAGGCTGCCGGTGGTGGTATGTATTAAAACAATATCAAAGTATAATAATATCTAATTTTTTCTTCAATAGTTGTTGAGCTCATTGCTTAAATATACTCTATTTAATATAATGAATAATCCCCAAATAAACTTGTTTTAATAATACAATTACCTATAAATTGAATATTTCTTGAGCTATATGTTTCATTCTTTTCTTGATTTCACAGTAATGTGGGATACGCTTCGAGCTATAATTGAATTCCTAGTCTATGGCTTAAGAACTTCATTAAGCCACTACACTGCAACAGACACACATTAGCCTGTTTTTTTAGAGGCTAAATATTTTTTTTCACACCTTTTTCTTTCTCCGTGCCAAAAGTCTTCGTTGGAGGTGATAGCACTTGAAGTCACACGACGCCACTTGGACTCCAAGGTGGTCGCTTTATTAAGGTATCTCGTTATCATGTGCCATTTGAAATGATTCCCGAAGATGCCAGGTTTCATGGCTTTTGCTGGGATACTGAACGCTGACAATTAGTTCTGGGTAACATCACCTTTTCCACTCGGTATGTGTAGCTAACGTTCTGGTCTGGGGAATATTTAATGAGCTGCTGAAGGTGAATTCAACCTCAAACTTACCGTAAGGGAGCATATTTCAGGTGATCTAGCTTAAGAACGGGAGTTGCCTTGGTAATTCTAAGCAACATTCCACTTGCCGGTCACGTACTCCTGAGATTGGAAGAAACGAACGGGTGCCTCGTCGGGTTAGTCGGTTATTGGTTTGGGAATGAGTGAAGCTCTAAGGGGTGGAACGATTACATGATTTTTCGACCTCTTTGTAGTGATTTATAAGTATTCCTTTTGAGAGCCATTTAAAATAATAAAAAAGCGGGCAAGTGCACTACCTGAGCAGTTTTCTTCACTGTAAACTGGATAGCCAGTCTCGACTGCTTTATAATAATAAAAACCTTGCTGTCTTTTCTAATATTTGTCTTGCTGTAAATGTCCTGTATTTGGGTGAAGAAATAGGTAGGGCTTGTACTTCGATACTGCTTTTATCACCAAACAAATATCTTCCTTTTTTTGACGTACACAGCTTGACAGCCACCATTAACCATATCGAAACTATTTACAACATTAACAAACCACCTATGCCTACTGAGACTGTCATGGATATTATCAAAATCATTCAAGAGGTTCTGGACGGCACGGCAACACGAGAAATGGCAGCCATAAAACTTTTGAAATTTGATTCTACCGTCAAAAACATATACAAATTTGCCAAAGCAATAGCAGAATTGATAAAGAATCTCCCTCGTATGTCCTTAGCAGAGGACTCCAATGAAATGGAACTCTGCTCTCGTTTTGTTGATCCGTTTTTATCTGGACTGTTTGATGATCCTGATCAAAATATATTTTTACGATGGACGAATGAAACAACCTTGGAAGCCAAAAACGAACAAAGCTTGTTGAACTGGAGGCCTGACCTTTGTGTCACAAGATTGCAAGGTGTAAAATGAAGTTCAAGTCTAGGTTTTGGAGAGGCTAAACCGGAAATGTCTAGAACTCCGTTTTTTTTTTTCAAACGTATTTTTTAGAATCACGCGATGGTCTACACGTCGATGGACATGCCATATCATCTAAACTTCATGGGATGATCGATTTCTGTTATCCATAAAATCTGCTTCACTGTCATTACAAGCTACTACTGGAACGCAGATAGACAATTACCAAGCTCTGACTTGCTTGGGAGGTTTTTGCAAGTGTTTCTATTTTAAGTAAAGGCTCAAACATTATGGATGATAAAATAGACAAATGAAACCATCCTGACATAAGCTTGTTTATCTATAAATAAAGCTGGTTCACACACTTTATTCTTCTCCTTTTCTTTTCCCTTAACATACTTCTTTTATCGTATGAAAGTAACCGATCACGTAAAAAGGTTTGTTTAGTAGTGACTCTTGTTTCTTTGAAAAGAAGCTAAATTGAAAAAGATATATATTGTGATATTGCGGCTGTGGCTAGTCTTTGCTATAGGAGGGCGACCTCCTAAGCAGAGTTCTTGAGTTTTTGTAACTCACGAACTGTGAATAGCAGGGATGCATTTTAAATAGATGCAAACATATTGGCCTGCTGGTCTTCTGGCTGGAATTCCTGTAAGTGCGTAAAAAAAAAAAATACGTTTAAAAAAAATACAGAGTTCTAGACATTTCCGGCATTAGACGCTACAACACGCCTCACTTTGTGTACATCAAAGTTGGAGCCACAGAGCATCATCCACTGATCGAAAAACACTCCGGTTGCCCGTCTTGCATTGCTCATTTCAAGGAATTAAAAGATTTTAAAGAATACGTTGTGAATAACCATCCTCAAGCCATGCCGTTACAGTCAAGGCAAAAAGGTGACAATGATCAGCTCACGCAAGAAAACAGTGATAATGAAAGTGAATCGCCTAGTAGGAAACGGCCTTTCGAAGACGATGCCAAATCATTGGTCTCGATATGTCTGTCATTTTCACCACCTGACGATAATGACCATCTCTTGATCCACGCCTTCGACGCAGCAGATGCCTTTTATAAACTACAGCAATCATTACAAACACAAAAATGGAAACTCTCTCTTGAAGACCACATTCACTATGCTTTGGCTTGTACTTCGATACTGCTTTTATCACCAAACAAATGCCCTGATGACCTTCTTCCTTTTTTTTTTTTTTTTTTTGACATACACAGCTTGACAGCCACCATTAACCATATCGAAACTATTTACAACATTAACAAACCACCTATGCCTACTGAGACTGTCATGGATATTATCAAAATCATTCAAGAGGTTCCGGACGGGACGGCAACACGAGAAATGGCAGCCATAAAACTCTTGAAATTTGATCCTACCGTCAAAAACATATACAAATTTGCCAAAGCAATAGCAGAATTGATAAAGAATCTCCCTCGTATGTCCTTAGCAGAGGACTCCAATGAAATGGAACTCTGCTCTCGTTTTGTTGATCCGTTTTTATCTGGACTGTTTGATGATCCTGATCAAAATATATTTTTACGATGGACGAATGAAACAACCTTAGAAGCCAAAAACGAACAAAGCTTGTTGAACTGGAGGCCTGACCTTTGTGTCACAAGATTGCAAGGTGTAAAATGAAGTTCAAGTCTAGGTTTTGGAGAGGCTAAACCGGCTTGCCAAGAATCCAATCTCTATGTAATATGCCGAGATCTTTTACGGGTTGCAACGTTCTGCAAAGACGCATTGGATACACAAAAGATGGTAGGAGTCCTTGGATTACAAATCGTTGGCAGAACCATCACTTTTTATGTCTTAGTCTTACCTTCGAGCGGTTTATATGTCATGTACGAAATTACCAAAGTTCAGATACCAGATTCTTTGCATGATTTATCGAAGCTTGTTATGGACATCTCTAACTTGTTGCTTGTGCTCGACACATTCGACAGAGTTTGCATACCCTCCACTGATTCCCCACCCCTCGAACGACATCGCCCGACTATCATCAGCTCCACCTTGGACCAGTTGTTTTTATCATCCCAAAATCGAAAACGCCCTTGTCATCTGAAACATCAACATAATTAGTTTATAATAAAGTAGTTAATTGTATAAGGTAATCTAGTTCTTTTTAGAACTAAGACGTCGGTCGCATGAATCGTGTGGATAATTAGACGATTAGGAATAAATATCACTGAAAAAATTGAAAAAAAATAAGTTCTTTAAAGTTTCTTTTTATTAAAAAGTTGTTCGAAAAAATATCAAATACAAATCTATCTACTATTTATATAAAGTTGGATTCCTAAATATAACGAATAATTTCAAAGTGATATCGTATTCCGTTGTAAAGTGATTTCTAGAAATGTCTAATATCATTTCAAGATAACGGTAACAAAGCAGCAGCATACGACGAGGTTCCTTCTTCCCGTCTTAAGAAGCTAGTCAAAAACAATAATTATTTAGAATTACACGAGATTGAAATTCCTGATGTTAGCATGAAGGAGGCTTGTCTATTAGAAAAGAAAGAGATACTGAGTATAACATTTATACCAAGAAAGACAGATTGCTGTATCTTTATTTTGTTTTCGAAAAAGGCATGAAAAATAAGGAAGCCGCGGCAGCTGCAAATGTCAACTTGCATACTGCACGTAAATGGAAGCAAAAATACCAGAAGAGCCCGGAAGAGTATGTGCCTTACAAGTTGACAAACTTAGTCCCCTCTCGTCCAGTAAGCCAGTTAGATGATACACACAAAGATCGTTTGGTAAAGTTTTTTGATGAAAACAAAAGGGCTACTATTGATGACGCCGTCAAAGATTTGACACAAAGCTTTGAAAATCTTGAGATAAAAAAATCCAGGGTTGCAGAATTTATGAAAAATGAAGGCAACCTTTCTATCAAAACAATTTCAAGGCATCCTACTGCGAGAAATAGCCCTACTGTGATCGAAAAACGCGCTGTTTGGGTGGAGGAGTGGCTAGCGAAAGGGATGCTTTACCTTCAGAATTGTGTATTTTTAGACGAGTCAGTATTTGACAACAATATGACTCGCGAAAGAGCTTGGTCAGCACGTGGTGAACCTGCTATTGTAGAAACTCCCTCAGGAAGAGCTACATTACATACAGTGTTGGGTGCTATTTCTTCTGTAGGAGTTGTAAACGTGTCCATGAATGTGAAGAGAAGAAAAATGGCTAAAGCAACCAAGCGTAAGGCACCCAGTGATAAGATTTCAATGCCAAAAGGAACTACAGGAGCTCATTATATGCATTTTATTATTAACACAATGGATATCATGGACACGTTCCCTAAAATGCAAGGATTTCATATTGTTATGGATAACGCTCCTATACATAATCCTAGTGTAATTGACCCTTTGATCGAAAAGCGTGGTTATATTCCGGTTTATCTTCCACCTTATTCGCCAGAACTTAACCCTATTGAAAACTTTTGGTCTATTGTCAAGTCCAAAGTTAAACGCCATTCACTTAAGGACACAGAAACCCTGACTAGTAGAATAGTCGAGTCTTGTGAAGAAGTTCCCCTTCAGCATCTTCAAAACTGCATTCAACATTCTGTGAAGCAATTTGATAAATGCTTAAATAAATAACCTATTTGATTGCTGTAAAATGTTTTAAGGGGTGACCAATTGGAGTTCAAAAAAGAGACCAATTGGTTTTCGGAAAAGCGACCAATTTCTTCGGTAAGGTGACCAATTGACGCTGGAAGCACTGTAAATTTAACAAATACCAGAAATTGACAAGGCACTTTATTTGCGCGTTGTAGGGCATGTGATTTAGCGTCACAAGATGTTCAGCAGCAAGCATAGTTTGGAGTGACCAGGTCGTTGCTGCATTATGAGTTAGTATAAATGAAACATTGACTACAGCTTTTTACAAACCCCCCCCCCCCACTGCCTGAAGATAATGTTATTACTGTGAGTTTAATTCTCTAAGTACGATTCACTTGAACTAAATCAATTTGGCCAAAGGCTAAAAAAGAATCTCTGCATTCTTTTGACGGACTTATACATTGTAGACTAACAGGCTTGCATCTCCTTCTGAATTGATTGCCTTAAGTAGTGCTTCACTTTGCAGTACATATGGAACTTAGCCGGTACCTCTTTTTTTTATTTTTATGACAAAGGAAAGCATACCTCCTTTTTTAGAGTTTTCACTGGACGTATGAGATGATTTATTTGATACAAGTTTCAGCCCAGTCATTTGCACCTTCTAATTATTCCAAGCACTAAACGTTAAAATACACATGCACATGACTTTAAGTTATGTTTATGAGAAGAAGAAGACTTGTAGAAGAAGCGACCAAGCATCCCAGTTTTTTATCATTGTAACTGTTAGTGCATTACATCGGAAAATTATTCAACCGAAAAGTGTGACATTTCTGAATTGGTGTGTGTCAGCCAATCGGCTTTAAATCATATTTTCAGCACATTTTTAGTTTCCTTTCATAATTGTTTGTTTATCTAGGTATAATGTAGTCGTAAAAGAAAGAAGCTATTGATTAAAAAGGGTTTAGGATGAATAGATAGAAATTTTATGATCAACCTAAAATTATGTTTCATGTTGGCGAAGTTGTCGCTGTTACTTCATTGTTATCGATATCATGATCCCCTTTATACATATTACGTTTCCGAAAGTATAAAGAAGAATGGCTTGATGATGCTTTATATTGGTTCAAAAGCTTCCCTGCATTTCACGATTATTATGAAAATTCCATTTATGTATAGAAGTAACCAGATGGCTTTATTATATATCAAGAAATGTAAAGTCTATTTATAGTAGGTCTGTTTTAGAAAAAGTGTCAACGTTTGTAATCGTTGTAGTTATCCAAATTTAAGATATGTTATGAAACTTGTAGCATCAGCAGACAAGCTTAACAACATTCATGCATATCTGAACACTGATTTGATATTGTTGTAATAAGGAGTTATATCTTTGGGACAACAGTGGGAGGCATGATGGGCCATGATGTTGTAAAAAAAAAAAAAAAAAAAATTGACCACATCTTGTACCTTATCCGTAATATTAATGATAAGCTAACATGTAATAGACTTGTTCCAAATACGAGCGACATGTGGGAGAAATCAAGGGATACTTTACTATTGAAACGACGACGATTGACAAATTACCAAATAGTTAAACGAACCATGCCCTTGATAATTTCTGTATATACAGCAAATACAGTTTATTTTGAGACTGAGCTAAACAAATTAGTCAAAAGTATAAAGCTAATCCTAAATCTCGGTGCGATTAAGATAGTACATTTTTGGGATAGCATTTCTTCGTACAGGAGTTTATATTTGAAACCCAACAAAAAGTCCAAGGTATGATGGGTAAGTGAATTGGTCTAGATAAAAATGGCATCAAAGGGCGACATTAATTCTGTCAGACAGTACCGCGTAAATATAAGAAATGTCAATATTATTGTTGTGGGATCGTTATTAAATTAGAAATATTTCGATTTAATCAAAATCCTCGGTAAATTCAACATGATAGGAGGATTGAATCAAAGAAAGAAGCACTGCAGGTGTTTCTCGGATTCTTGGCATAATGGAGTTTTGGCAGCAATGAGGGACCAAAATTTGCCAAGAGTTGCATAAAGGAGAGTCACAGAGTAAAAGAACGCACAGATGACAAAGACTTACTTTTTTTTATAAGCGCCGCTATCTCATTAGTCAGAGACGTAACGAGGGGGATTACGTAGCAAAAAAATCATAACAACAAGGAGATTATATAGAACAAAGGAATGAAGGGGAATATATTATTTTATTTTAATTAATAATGAGAAAGAAAAAAAATAAAGGGGGAGAAGAGAACATCTATTTTAGACTTTACTTGCAACACATCGTTCACTTAAAAGCTTTATACTATTTCTTTCATGAGCAGCTTGTCTACATGACATCAAGTTTTCACAGGCATGAGCTTCAGGTAAACGATGACGAGCGCAGAATTTATGTTGACAATATCTACAATCACCAATGATTTTTACAATTTTATCAGAACAGCTTCTAAATGCGCATTTGCTCTTCTTTTTTGGCTTTTGTTGTTCCTTATTTTGATGATCATCAGTTGTTGTTGTTGTTGAATCAGCTGACATCACACCTCCACCACGAAGACGTAATACTAAATGTAATGTAGACTCCTTTTGGATATTGTAGTCTGACAAAGAGCGACCGTCTTCCAATTGTTTACCAGCGAAAATAAGACGTTGTTGATCTGGAGGAATACCTTCTTTATCTTGAATCTTTTGCTTTACGTTATCAATACTATCGGATGATTCAACTTCTAAGGTGATAGTCTTTCCAGTAAGTGTCTTGACAAAGATTTGCATACCACCTCTCAATCTAAGCACCAGATGAAGAGTTGATTCCTTTTGGATATTATAATCAGATAAAGAGCGGCCATCTTCTAATTGTTTACCGGCGAAAATAAGACGTTGTTGATCTGGAGGAATACCTTCCTTGTCTTGAATCTTTTGCTTGACATTATCAATAGTGTCTGAAGACTCGACTTCTAATGTAATGGTCTTTCCTGTGAGTGTCTTGACAAAGATTTGCATTGTAGTTTTAATATAAAAGTGTAAATATACAGGAAGAGAGAGAAAAAAGAAGAGAGAAAAAAAAAGCGAAATTGAAAAATTCTGTACCCTTTTATAATCATGATGAATAACATCATGTGCAAAAACCAATCATTTTGCTTGTATTCGAAACATTACTAAATGCGGACTACGCTGGAACTCACCAGAATTTATTTTTAATTCTTATTTGTGCAGAATTTTGCTCTCCCCTAATGCTAAAAAGATATATCTTTTTTTAATTGTACCCAATCATATTATATACTGTCATTGCCATATTTGCTCACATCGTTTAATTTATTTTTCCGAAATAAGAAGAGAAAACATATAGTTTTTCTATTGAAGAGTTCGGGATGATTACGATACGGGCTCCCCGGACTCTTCCCCCATTCAAATCAAGATATCAGTTTTTTCCGAGAAAAAATCTCCCCATTTTACCCTTATAGCTTTTTTTTTTCGTTTATCAAGGGTGTTAATGAAATAAGGTCCCTCAACTATCACAGTCATATCTGTTGACAATCATATTACGTCGGCCTCTCAAGGGGAAAAAAGGGAGGGGGAGGGGGATTATGCAAACCGGCTTGTAAACTGGTTAAACGTTATACGGGATTTTCATTGGTCAATATTTTTCACAAGCTTACCTGATATATTTTATTAAGAGAGCTCTTCAACGGGTGTGACAGGGAACGGAAAATGATATCATTCAGCACCACCGCCTGGTGCTTTGTTTGGGTTTGAACTCCGTATTTGAGGTTACATGTCTATGGACGTATCTTATTAATGTACAGACAGTATATGTGAGATGGGATGGGGGGGGGGGACTTCCATGGTAAGAAATGTCATGTTTTTGTTCAATTAGACATACTGAGTCTTAATTATCGATCATGCTGCATTAATCAATTAGTAAATATAAATGCCCCCTTAATAAAATCCGAATTCATATACAGTGGAAGCATACGATGCCCTACTACAGTTGTCAACCTGAGACAGTGTACTTTGTCCAACTCTGGGACCAACACATCCGTAAAAGGATGTTCCGAAGATAACTTCATTATCACTGTCTCAGATTATTGCACAGTTACAAGTGCTTGATCGGTGAAACACATGAGGCAAAAAAAAAAAAGATCATCGCTTCTCTAAAAAGGTATAAAAGCGTAATAGAAAAAACTAGTAGCTTAGTGGGGAATACAAAACGCGAATTATTTATATTACAGAGAGTCTAATGTAAAAAATAAAAAAATAGTAGAGTTACATGCACTCAACGCATGGGTCACGCTAAATAAGAATTTGATTTCTGTGTATCAAACACGTGTACTAATTTGGGAATATTGGCAAAGAACACTTCTCTATTTCTCAATTCAACATTGCACATTCGTAAAATTGTTGTAATGGGAAAAAAAGAGAGATTATGCTATATATAGCACACAATGGTCGGGGAAGGAGTAAAGGGGTACTGCATTGTGAGTCAAATTATAACACAAGGCTTTGATCCATATCGACTCATTGGACCGAGTACGTTAATCGATGCACACTTGTAGTCGAATGAGAGAAATTCCTTGGCTTAAAAAAGCATGCGTTGATTGCATGTGTTGTTAGGCTAAACAGTCCGCGCAGTAACAATTATAAAATGGCCAATGCACACTCTTTTACTTTTGATGCAGAAGCACAAGAAACTTTTTTTTTATCTTGCGTCACACAACGTTGTCTTGCCTTATTTTGGTTGTTGTTGTTGTCATTATGGTATATATAGTTGGCAACAATCACCTTTAAAAAAAAATTTTTTTCTTTGTTTTTCACTTTTTTTTATTTTTTCTCAGGCTATCTTCACCCGTTGAAAAAAAAAAATTAGATGCCTGGAGCATTAAAAAATTGTGTACTATTAAAAAGTGGTATACCATCAAAAAGCGGCATACCATCAAAAAACTGTATACCATTAAAAAGCTGTATGCCATTAACAAAAAAAAGGTCTCCAAACACTCGTGTTGCAGTGATAGAGACCTTTTTACAAATAAATGATCATCTTGTATCGGTAAGTATTTCATTGTTTATCTTTAAATCATCATTAACGTCGGATCATAGGCATTTCATGTTATGCTTGAGGACGATACCAACCATTATTCCCTCATCCGATACATGAACGATTTTAAAGAGCTGGATACGCTGGTATGTTAAAACGCGTCTTTATCATTAGACAGTCTGATTAACCCTTTTTTCACACACCAAAAAAAAATAAAGATTTTAAAGTATTTCCCCAAACAACGGATTCCTTTACCGAAATTAGCTAATCCTTCAGATACTTCAAAAAAGCGATCGTTGTTTTCTTTGAAAAAGAAGTCAAACACCGAATTACTTGAACAGTACCTCCATCGCTGTATTTACGGTCTTATTGGTCAGTCCTCGCTTTTTCGTGATTTTCTATCGGCTCAAAGAGATGAGGATAGAATCATTTCAAAGGTAGATGTACGCCAACTTGTCACACAACATGTTGTACAAGCCTCATTTCCTGAGCAACATCAAGATCCTTTGTTAATGACACCACCACATACCTTTAAAAGAAAAAGAGCAGATACCAGCTGTCAACAAATATCCCATTCTGACGTCACTTTACCTCCTTCCCCACCATCCTCAATTTCTATTACATCGATACCTCTTATAAAACGACAACTTAATGCATATAACTATGATAATGAATTAATTCCACGCCCTTATAATATGCTTAATTTCTCAATGTGTGGCTCCGATTCCGAAGATGAATATCCCATGGACTCCAGTCACAAAAACATCAATGACTATCAATTAATTAAGGTGTTAGGACAAGGAGCCGCTGGCAAGGTAAACATACCCACTCACCGTTTTTAGCACAGAATTCCCATATTAAACGATCTCAATTATAGGTTATACTAGTAAGAGAAAACGCCTCACGTAAGCTCTATGCTCTCAAGGCCATCAACAAGTCTTGGAACATTACTAAACGAGAAGTGGATAACCTGAAAATGGAACGGGATATTTTAGCAACATTATCACAAATATACCATCCATTTATCATTCAACTCCAAAGCGCTTTCCAAGATCAACAAAACTTATATTTGGTGTTGGAATACCACGCTGGAGCTGATTTAGCCACTTTATTACAACGTTACATCAAATTCCCAGCAGAGCAATGTCGATTGTACGCAGCGGAGATGTTGATGGGACTACAAGAATTACACCGTCATCATATCCTCTATCGAGATCTAAAGCCAGAAAACGTGTTACTAGCAGCTGATGGTCACATTGTCTTGACTGATTTCGGGTTGTCCAAAATGTTCGAAGGAGAAGATAAGTATGAGCACCGTACCATGTCATTCTGTGGCACGCCTGAATATTTGGCGCCAGAAATTATCCGACAAGAAGAATACTCGTACGCAGCCGATTATTGGAGTCTAGGCACAATGATGTATGAAATGATTACGGGCGTCACTCCTTTTATGGCAGACAACTTACAGGATATGTACACGCGAATCGTATATGGGGACTTGCTCTTTCCTCATGGATTTGATCCGGAAGCCATGAACATCATTGCTGGACTATTAGAACGTGATCCTCTGGATAGATTAGGAGCTGGGTTCGGTGGTGTATTTGAGTTAAGAACTCATGCTTACTTTGCCGGTCATTTGAGTTGGAAGGATGTGCATGCAAAGAAGATCCGGCCTCTCTATGTGCCTCCAAGGGCCTCAGAAACAGATCTCAGTAACTTTGACCCGGAATTCTTAAACATGTCCACTCATCTGAAGGAAGAGAATGATCAAGCCATCATTCTGAGACAAAAATGGCTACCTGATACTTGTCCTGCTGGTTTGGTCAAGGACGCTTTCAGAGGTTTCTCATTTGCTGACAAGAATACGAATCTTGATATGCCATACGAATCAGAATTATCTTTTCTCAGCGATGAATACATGCTGTATGGCGAAGAAGACGATGACGAGTTCATATGTAGTACAGATGTTGATTATTATGCTAATAATATTCTCTCTGTTTCCCATAAACCATTCAAGCTACAATGTTAAATAGGATGGAATTGATTGTATATGATATAAATAGTTGTATGTGCTATAAATAATAATAAAAAAACCTAAGTCTATTAAGTAATTATGCAACATATGTTCCATGATTTTCTAATCTATTGTTGTCGGTTTGGTGCAACGTTCCATCAATGAATGATCGTCAAAGTTTTACCGTTTTCTCACAGACCTTTACAGTGTTACTTTTGAGCTTTGTCAGAGCTTAAAAACGTTGTTTTTATGAGGCTTGTTATCAACAGGCCTTGTATAGAAAATTGGGGTCCTGGCTTAGTTCTAACCAAACACCCAATACAGTAATCTTTTATTGTTAAACAAAAGAAGAACCATTGATCTTATTAAAAATTAATTAAGCGTGGGACCCATTGTATAAAATCAATGTGTATTACCTTTTCTTCCCAAATAATCAAATTACCATGGATGAATTGATTACAAGTAATTTATTAGGGGACCCCTTTATTTCAGATACATGTGTCCCTTTATAGCATTAAATTTCGAGCAAGTTTTTAGACACCTCCGATGTAGCTACATCTATAATTACAAAAAAAAAGAAAAAAATACAAAAAAACGAACACAGGCCTTCAAAACCAGTATGTGTCACAAGAAAACCCCATAAGCACTCAGTTCTAATGCTGAGTCTTCAACAATAGCCATGTCGACATAATTTTATCTGAAAATAAGCCCAAACTAACTAAATGATTCTCTTAAGGTTTACCTTTTAGCCCAAATTTAATAAATCAAAATTTTAGACAAGTGGCTGATGTCAGTTGGGTAGAAAACTGAAAATCAATTATAGAAAGATAATTCGACAATAGGTACAAGGCTGAGCCTCTTATTGATTTTACCATCCAATACATAGCTGATACTGAGTTTGCTGCATTAGTTTGGACAAGCAACCAGGTCACTAATAAATTCATAACGATCCTCCTAGTAAATGATTTTATGTAATGATATCTTCCGTCAATAACCAAGGAAGATGTGTCTCACAAAGACCAAAATTAAGGACGACAATATGCCAGCCCAGTTCCTAAAGAAGGGACTTTGGCCATTTGTAAAACAAAAACGGTCCACCAGGATTACATTGTACTAGCATCACAAATAAATTAAGCATGCTTATGGTATGTAGATATCTTCTTTAATAAAAGCCGCCAGCGTCAAAATATGGGCCAAAATATGTAGGCAATAAATCAGACGAGACTGTCTTAAAAAAAGACGATCAAGCGCAGCAGAGAAACATTGTTCAACGCTCTTCCTTATTTTAATTCAATGTCTAATAAACTTCTTGTCAAACCAACACAGCACAACAATCCAGTTTTAAAACACATTCGCAATGTTCCTTGGGAGCCTGCAGATTACATTAGGGCTGATTTCGTAGTAGGAAAAACAACGGGTGTTGTATACCTTACTTTGAAATACCACAGACTGTATCCGACATATATATATGATCGTCTAACGGAATTAAAGAATTGTTATGTGGGGCGTGTTATGCTAGTCTTTGTAGACACAGATGCCTACCATGAGGCATTAAGAGAAATAAATCATTTGGCTATCGTAAACGATTTCACCTTAATGTTGGCTTGGAGTTTAGAAGAAGCGGGAAGATATTTGGAGGCATACAAGGCCTTTGAACATAAAGGGCCAGATTTAATTCGCGAACGAGTTCAAAATGAATTTCTGGCAAAAATGACAGATTGTCTCACTCAAGTCAAAAGTGTAAATAAAACCGATGTCTTGACATTGTTATCGACATTTGGATCTCTGCAGAAGATCGCTGATGCAAAGTCCGATCAACTCGCCATGTGTCCTGGATTTGGAGAACAGAAAGTCAAGAAGCTTCAACAAGTTTGGAAACAACCTTTTTTGGCCAACAAGAAATAGTTTTTTTTTTCCCTTAGAAAATTAATTTGACATATAATAAAGCAAACTTGATCTAAATTTGGTAAAGGGTGCATTATCTCGTTGGTTCATTGAAAAATTTTAAAGGCAGATTTGAGTAAGATTATCGTTACATTGCTGCCAGCATTAGTTCCAGATTTCTATAATGCAGCAGAAAGTATGATGGAACAAGTAAAGAGTTAAAAACAAAATGTTCAGATTAAAGGTCGTGGTTAGTTCCAATACAAATTCGAAGTCAGTATACATATGCTAAATGCATATCACACAATGTATATTATTTAGGTATTTATTACATGCAGCAGTCATGATCACCAACTTTGTCATTTTCACTTTTAAAGTGTACCAAACCAAATTAAAAACGAAATATGTATGAAAAAATATGTTTATTAATAATAAAAATCTATAGAGTATGAATATGTATGTTGCAAATTAATTATTGCCAGAGTTCAGTACTTGAGCAGCGTGTGAAGTCTAAGAAATTTAAAAAGGTTAATAAACAGAAACCATTTGTCTAAATGTTTGAGATGTGAGGATATTTACCTGTACTGAAGAGAAACGACGCATTTCTGTTGGGTTCATGGTCTTACCAGCCTTACCCAAGATCTTTTGGGCAAAGTTTTGAGGGCGCTCCAAAGAACGAAGTGAGCGAGTTCTGTTGGCGTAGTAACGAGCAGATGATGTACCGGAAACAGCAGAAGCGCGACGGGAAGCAGTGATCTTGGCATCTTCAGCATTACCGACCTTAGGTTCAAAGAAGTGTTGCATAGCGAACTTGACAAGATCTAAAGGTGCAAACCAGATAAAGTTCCAAACCCAAGCAACACCAGCCCCTAGAAAAAAAATTTGTAAGTTTATATGAAAAAGCAATCTTTGTTTTGATTAAATACTACTTACAATGCCATCCGCAACCTTCAATTTGGGTAAAGCCCCAGTCAGCATATACAGAGATGAAAGTAGCGACCAATTGGGCAACAATGAAGGAACAGATAAGGAAAATAGATGGACGTTCCGTAAAGAACCAGCCACGAGAACGAGTAATGAAGATCAAACCTTGAGATATAGTAGAAACTTGAAGGTAGACAACGGAATGAAGGGCAAAATCGTTAGGATTAGTGAAGTTTTGGAGGTTGAAATGACGGTGGAAGAAGTCTGTCTTGAGACAAACTGCGACAAAACCGACAGTAGATGCTGTAAGATAAAGACCGTAAACGATGGCATATGAGAAAATTTCACGCAAGTTCCAAGAGTTGGGGAAAGGTGATGGACGAACACGATCTTTAGAAATAGTCATAATGGTACCATCGTTAAGCATAGCAATAATCAAGACCATGAAAGGAGGGAAATCAAACTCAAAGGCCCAGATAAGAATAGAGAAACCAACGACAATACGAATGGTAACAGAACAAGTGTAAATGGAATAATTACGCATACGTTGGAAAATACGACGAGAACCCATAATGGCTTCAACAATAGTAGAGAGACCGGGTGCTGTCAAGACAATATCGGCAGCAGAACGAGCAGCGTCAGAAGCGTCAGCGACAGCAACACCGACGTTTGCCTTTGAAAGGGCAGGAGCATCGTTAACACCATCACCAGTCATTGCAACCATAAGACCCATATTTTGAAGACGTTCGACAATTTCATATTTGTGTTCAGGATAAACACCAGCGAAACCGTCAGCATGAAGTACCATGTGATCAACATCAGTATAACCGGAGCCAGCAGGTGGACCTTCTTTTAAAGTCTTTGAAAGGAACATGTTATCACCCATACCAAGACGACGACCAGTTTCTTTAGCAATAGCCAATTGATCACCAGTAATCATCTTTACGCCAACACCAAGAGCTTGAGCACGATCGATAGTTTCCTTGGTATCAGATCTAGGAGGATCATAAATAGGTAAAAGACCGACAAGCTTGAAACCAATACCAGGAGCATCAACTTCACCAGATGGAATTTCATCAATAGCGAGGGCAAGGGCACGAAGACCACGACGAGCAAATTCATCAACATCATCGTTAAGAGTTTGAATTTGAGCCTCAGTCTTGTCACGAGTACAGAGTTCTAAAATCATGTGAGACATACCCTTAGTGACACGGTACGTTTTTCCGTCTTCTTGGCTCTTGTAGGTAATTTCGGTACGCTTGATAACAGGGTTGAAAGGCTTGAAGTCTAATTCAGTAATACCAGCACGAGCTTGACTTGGATCAGGAAGTGTGTGGGTAATACAGAAATCAATAGCATCCTGATTTTCGAGACGAGAGGCGTAACTAGATAATCTAATAACATCATCACCATCATATTCCGGACTATAGGTTTTGATAGTAGGCTTATCGACAATAAGCTTGTTCAAAGTAAGAGTACCGGTTTTATCAGAACACAAGATAGTAACAGCAGCCATTTCTTCAATAGCAGTAATACGGGTGACGATAGCTTTATGTTCAGCAAGCTGTTTAGCACCGATAGCGAGAGTAACTGACAAAACTGTAGGCATAGCAATGGGAATACCACCAATGAGCAAGACAAGTACGTTATCGATACCACGTCTGTAATTGTAACGGAAGGCGGCATATTGAACAATGATGACAACAACCATGAAAATGGAGATGGTAATCAAACAGAAATTACCAATTTTAGCGAGAATAGTTTGCAAATGACCAATATCATCACCGGCTTCACCTACAAGTTTAGCAGCACGACCAAAGAAAGTGTTGACACCAGTGCCAATAACAACAGCTTCAGCTTCACCTTGCTTAACCGTTGAACCAGAGAAAACTTCATCACCAGCGGCTTTTCCAACGGGCAAAGATTCACCAGTAAGTGCAGCTTGATCAATAGAAACATCGCCATGAGCCTATTGAGAATGAAATTTAGAACATGGGTTTCAGATACAAAGATAAAAAAAAAAAAAATTACGCGGATAATAAATACTTACAGCTAAAAGACGACCATCAGCAGGAATAATATCACCCAGCTTAATACTGACGATATCACCGGGAACAAGCTCATAAGCTTCTAAAGTTTTCCATTCGCCATCACGTTTGACCTTACATTCTGGAGCAAGAGCATCCATAAGTGCTTTGACGGCATTACCAGCCTGTCTTTCTTCGAGGAAACCAATTGTAGCATTTGCGAAAAGTAAAATGATGATACCAATAAAATCTGGATAATCTGGAGGTCGGTTATCACCATTGGAAAGTACAATGGCTACGATGGCAGCGGCTTCCATAACCCAAGAAAGAGGATTCCACATAAAACCTAGAAACATCTTAAACGGATTGACTTCTTTGGTTTCCAGTTTATTATAACCAAATTTTTCTACACGCTTAGCAACTTCATCTGACGTTAAACCTTCAGGTTGTGTTCTACGAAAAAGAAAAGAAATTAGAAAAAAGGATAATGATCTGCGCGAATACAAGTACGTACTGTAAAAGTTGCATGACATCTTGTTGCTCCATAGTGGAGAGATCGTATTTCTCTTTATCATAGAGATCTTCTACAGTGATTTGATGAAAATCACCAGTGACTTTGGCGTGAGGTTGTTCTTCAGCCATGATCAAGTTTTAATGTGTATAAGTTAAAAAAAAAATAAAAAATATATATATATATATATGCACTTGTTAAATACAAAGATGAAAATGGATTGATAAGAAAAGATAAAAATGCAAAGTTGCTTGTATATATACCTTTTTTCCGGTTTTGGTTCATGGAAAAATCCGAGCAGGGGTGGGGTATTTTATTTTCCACCTGGCAAGTAAGTGTAGTAGGATTTTACATGAAATTCATTGACAAAAGGTAGGTTTCATCAATGTTAAATCGCCGCACGGATGGCGTCTAAACGATAAAGAAAAAAAAAATTGTTCCCAGCATGATATGAGGCTGTGTAGCGGAAGGGAAAACTTATAGGATCCCGATTTGTTTTGTCTTTATCCGGCATTTACGTCATTTTACGACCTGTTAAGCAATGAGGATGGATTTTGTACCACGTAAAATGTTGGGTCTGTGCATATGTACTATTTTAAGCCAATGGTCATCATTATTTGTTGAATACGACAAATATTTTACCCTTAGTCAGTTTTATTTGTTTGTCCATCTCAACTACACGGAAAATGCACGCGGTTTTTACATTATCCGTATTAATCCCTATTGAATTACGAAGATAAGGTTTTCTCTTTCGCTTGGCAAATATGATATCATATACTCTATGAGTAAGTTTGATAATTGCAATTTCAAATAAGGAAGCTTCAATGTCAAATGCAGGTGGACTGACGGATTTGTAGAACACTGATGTCAAGCGTATTCATTGTCCGCCCAACTGTCAAAAAAAAGAAAAAAAAAGAAAAAAGAAAGCAGAGTTGCTTCATGAGCCAGTTTGTATACATGAATGCCATAAAAGAGTCCCTTATTTTCTGGAAAAGCACAGCATGTGTAGAAAAATAATACGAACCTGGTTTCAGGAATTCGAAATTTCGGTTACTTTTTCGGACTAAGAAAAACTGTTGAAACAAAAATTTTATTTTTTAACCCTTATTCTTTACGTTTACTATGCCAACCAGAGAAATCATCGATCAACAAAGTGCCATCAGTAAAAAGATTGCCAAAGAAAACAAGGTTTTAGAAAGTGCAAAGTTTATTTCAGAGGTAATTCTTTTTTTAGAAAAAAAACTTTTCGCCATCAATTGTTCCTGAATGTTAATCTTTTAAAATAGAATAGCAAGAATGTTTTTATCCCAGAAGAAAACTTGGGTACTGCAGTACAAACGGTATGTATTTACTTGTTTATGTTCGATCTTGCGAGTACTAAGTCATCATTGAATAGATTATAAGCAACATGAAAGAAAGAAAATACAGCACAAAAACCTGGAATGAACACCCATTACACCCCAAAGTAGCAGATTGTCGAACAGTTGACTGGTTAGTTATTGACTCAACCTCATTTTGTATATTTACTCACTAGTTGCACCAGGATTTTCTTGATTGATTTGCTCAATTTCTCTTTTTGGAGTGATTTGGATGCTTCAGACAAAAGTGTGCCCCATCCAGACCGTTATGCTATCAAGTACGATGGGATTGCTTACACAGGATACTGGTCTTTATGCGCTGTTGTCAATAGAGGTAAGTTATCAGATACAATAATTTTACAAGTCAATCTGACTTGAATTTTTAGCTCTCGACAATGGTATTCCAATCACGAATCCCACTTATTATGGCAGTAAGGCAACCGACGAAGAGCTTGAGGCTATTTTTAAATCAGACACAAAGGAATCTGCCCCCATGCTGTCTGAAAGAATTAGAGTGATGAGAGAAGCTGGACAAGTTTTGTGTGATAAATTCGAAGGATCTTTTATCAATTGTATAAATCAAGCAGATAACTCGGCATCTAAGCTTTTGGATATCATTATCGAAAACTTTCCTTGCTTCAACGATGTTCATGATTTTCATGGTAGAAAAGGTATTTATTAGATTATTTACGTATTGTGCGTGTACTAACAATTATTTCAGTTTATATTTTGAAGCGTGCGCAGATTTTGATAGCGGACTTATGGTAATATAAAAAAATTGTGTAGATTTTAAGTAGCATGTTAAATTTACATGATATTATAGGGCATGTTTCGATGGTCAAAGCTTTGGTCGATTCGACGATATTGATTCGATTACAATGTTTGCTGATTACAGGTATATACTATATTTGTATAATACTTGGGTATTTTTTTTTTTTTTTTTTTTTTTTTTACTCAACTCTTATCTGTAGGGTTCCCCAGGCATTATACCAATTAGGTTTACTTAGATATTCACCAGAGTTAATCAAGAAATTAGAAAACAGGGAATATTTTCCCTCAGGCTCAGAGGATGAAGTTGAAATTAGAGGAAATTCCATTTGGGCAGTAGAATTAGCCCGTGAGAGAATCGAAAAAATTGACCCAAATCTCAAAATCAATGCCATCTTGATTGATTTTTATATTTGGGATATGGCTAAAGAAATTCAAGATCAAATGACTGTCCCCACACATTGCACAAGAAGTTGTTTCTACTGATTCAATAAAAATCTATACTATGCAACTCTTTTATATATATTAAATATTCGACCAAGTGAGTCTGATAACGTGATCAGTCTTTCTTTGAGTTGGTTTGATAAATCCTAGGAATTGAAGTTCCGCCACAGATCTGATAAATCTTGCCCTATAAAATTTATTAGATCATTGTAAAAAGTGAAACTCTATGAAAAAAAAAATTGCTTACTGGACTTCATTTTCCTCTAGCTTTTGATTTGCTGGTCTTTTTTCTCTTTCTATGATACACCCGAATGCTACGAACCAATCGTAAAGATTGATTAAACGTCCACATTCAAGATAAAGCTTGTACAAGATACAAGTATCATGCTCTGAAGTTACAATTTGATCACTCTTTTCAATGTCGCAACAAGAACAGTTAATATAATGCTGTGGTTGAGTTAATGCAGTTTGGGCAGAAGCACGGGGCTGAGATGCAAATGACTAAACACATGTCGTGGTTAATATTGAATAATTATTTGAAAAAAGATATGCTTACCTTTTCATGCAATTTTATATTTGTATAATACACCAACTCAAACAATGGCATTTTTGTAAAAGATCTTAATAAATGCCTATAACAATATGTTAAAACAAAGATATTCGTACTGCTACTTTCTTTTTCTATTTTACCCAAGAGTTTTATCACACCAATCTGCGATATCCATAGCAATTTTTGAAGCTTCTGTACCCTTCCTTTTCAAATGTTCAAGAGCCTGATCTTGGACCTTTCTTGCAGTTTCGGTATGTCTTCTTTGTTCGTTCTCTAAAACCATACCTTCCAGTAATTTCGATTTTCTGTCCATTCTTGTATTATAATTATCATCTGCTTCCATCAAACCCTCATAGCGCTTATCCCACACTGCCAGTTGCTCCAAGAAACTTTCATTGACATTTTCGTATTCGGAGAACAAGTGGCGTAACTCTTTCAGTAACCTACCGACATGTTCGGTGTCAATTTTTCTTACAAAACTAACCAATCTTCGCACCATGTCTGTATTTTCTGATAATCCATCTTTCGCTTCCAGTACTTCTAAAAGCAGCATAAGTTTTGATTTGTTTACGCTAGAAAATGACGGGAACTGCTTTTGGAGCAGGAGAAGAAGATTAAATCCCATTTTGAATTGTTCTTGGTATATTTTGATATCACACAAAAGTGATGGGACAACTTCTGTTATGAGAAAATCGTCATCTTCCAACAGTTGAAGAGCCTTTTTAGGATCTGTATCTGCCAATGACTCTACGTAGTTCTTGAAAGATCCAAGCATACGAATATGTGTAATATGGTGCTCGTTGATGAAATCATTTCTTATCCATTGTTGTAAAGTTGCTGTCATGTCAAATTCATCCATTTGCAAAAGCGGTAAAAAGATAGAAAGTGGATTTCCATAAAAATGGTGCATCAATGCGTACTATGATAATAGTATTAATAATCTACTTTATAAGATCCTTTCTAAGTTTACCTTCAGACTAGCTGTGACTTTGGTCATTGAAAAATCATATAAATAAAAATGATCCAACAAGAATTTGTAAGGACGAGCACCAAATTTCAATGTACTTGTTGAGTCAAGAAGAACCTTTTCTATAACTCTATTGAACCACACTCCACTTTGTTCTAACCTAAACTTTTCGATCCGAAGCAGTCCAATAGTTGATTTATTGAGAGATTGATGAAGAATTTCCGTCGATGTTGCAATACCCATGATGCAAACGATTGGTAATCGAGATCGGTATTCACTATTATTTGATTTCGCATAAATAAAATATCCCCATCGTATCGATTGTATCATTTTACCTGCATATTGTAAAGAAGTCCTGAAGAATGGCTGGCTCGAAAGACTCAAAATCTTGAAGAATGATGACTAGGTTGGGTTTATTTTCGTAGCTTTGTTGATGATGTCTATACCATCCTTCCAGCAGCTTCATATCGTATGGTAGACATTTACTTGGTCTTGCTGATGCTCCGCCTAATCTATAAGACGTAGCAGCACGCTAAATGGATGTATGCCATCAATATATAATAAAATCTAGAAAAACTATTCCTTACTTACTTCAGTTGTTCTAATGATATCCTCTTCGTCTTCAGCATCGTCATCATTTTCTTCATTATCATCCATAATTATATCGTGGTCCAAGTCGGTTGAAAGGGCATTAGGCGTATTTTCCAGAAACCGTTCTATCATCGCTTTAAACATGTTTTTGATATTTCCACAGTCTTTAGACTGCAACAAACTAACAAAATTCTTTTGTTTCCCTGCTTTGGAATCCTCTCTTAATTTCGATGCAATGTGTGAAAACTGCGTGTTATGGTCCGGTGTATTGATACCGGCAAATACAAGCCCTGTGGGGATTTCATGGTAGGGTAAAGCTACCATTCCTTCCTCGATATTACGGCTTTTGTAAACGAATTGACAGATGTTTTCGACAGCTGTCTCATTCATATCCAATAAAATATTCTAAGTACAGTTAGTACACATTGCTTTAAAAGACAAACATTGCACCTACAGAAATGTCGTCATTGATATTTTTCCAACATTGTTCGAACGAAGACTTTCTATACAACATGGAATCAAAAGATTCATTTCCGTTGAAAAGCCTCTGGAATCCAATGTTTGAAATCCCCTGACTATTTTCTTCACAACGTTGTGTGACATCGACGGTTGCTATTAAATTGAATGAGATTACAGTTTTCACGTGTTGGGACTCTTCCTTACTTTTCGTTTTAGATCTTTGTTTTTTTCGAAGTTGCTGTTGACTGGTATTTCGCCTTTTCTTGTTGGGCATGATCAGAAAGCATCCCTATTGTCACAAACGTCAGTATCTGGCGCTTTCACAATGTTATAATCGTGTACCTCTGAAATCGAATCAAGTTTGTCTTTTATTAACGCTGCCATGTTGTAATATAAGATCTAGAACAAACAGATTAGGTTAAAAAAAAAAGAGTCGTGTTAACAAAAAATTCTATTTTTTTGAGATTCCGAAGAACGACAGAACAGTTCTTAAGGTTTTGGAGACAGGTATATCGGAGTGATCTTTCTGAATTACTCTACCAGTAAATTATTAAAGTGTTCAAGGATCTGGTGAGTTGATAACATCATGTTATAAGGAATGTCTATGGCTTAGTTGTAGACAGTTTACACCAGGGCATTTTTCATTGAATTTCCTCTTATGAACACGCACAAATTTGAATAAGACGTAATTAATCAACTGTTTACTTTAACATGATAAAAGATGAAACAATTGCTTGCTGCACAATTCACTAAACTCGACACTTGATAAACAACCGTCAAGGGATGCAAACTACTCTTAAAACAGTTGACTTCCATGAAAACAGAGTGGAATATTACTTTATAACCTTTAGCCACACTTGAGGAACGAGAAATGTTGTTGAAAATTTCAAAATGCCGAAATACAACTGATATTGAAAAACTTTTAATCGAATGGTACAGCAAATGCGATTTTAAGTTAAACTGTAGATACATTCGATTCGCTTTGGCTGCACGCTTAGAGATTTAGAATTCAAAAACCTTAAATAAAAAAAGACACGGGGAGGATTGGTTCAGGATGCATTTGTATTTAAATGAATGGGATAAAGCATTCTTTGACAATGGTGTATCTGAAACGAAACGCTCAAAATGTCTCAGTCAAGTGACAAAGGTCTTGAAAGGAGATGAGATATACCAAAGACTTTGTTATTCTCTCAGGTTTTATGCCTGGTCCTCGTGAGAGTAAATTGGACGAGATAAACAACTGTCGCTCTATCCTTGTTGATGAGCTCAACAGGTTTGATTTTAGATATATCTTAATTCAGATAATGATGTGATGACGGCCGAAGAAAAGCCAAATTTGAAAGGAGTGAAAGTTGATGTTAGAAAGGGAGAACAGTTGAAAAATAACACTCTTTATCTTGGGTCCAAATAGGTTAAAAGTCACATACTCATGAAAGAACTGGTGGCTATTTCATGTCAATGACAAGGGACCAAGTTGACTATGTATGATTCTCGTCTGGTATCTGCTGATTTAGTTTTTAACCTACAACAAAGATAGTTTTCAAATCCCAGTGTCTGTAAAACATCTTGAATTCTCTAGACTGTTAATGACTGGTATTTCATGGAAGCGTATAGTAAAACTAAACTATACTAAATTCAGTCTAATTCTGGAAAAACACTCGTAGGAGGATCAAGACAACAGGTGAATGAGGAACAGGGAAGGGGCAAAGAAAAGAAAACTTCTACCAAGATAAGACCACTTCTTAGAAAACGACGACGAAAGAATACCTTTGGTAGCTTTGAGTGATGCTGTCTTTCCTTCGACTATGAAAGGAACGATTTCAGGGTTGGCACGACGCTTGACTAAAGTTTTGAAAAAGGCTGAACGAGAAAGATTGCTGGTGACTGTTCCTGTTACAAAATACAGGACTTCAAAAACATGATCCAATTGTTCTTCTAGTGTTGATACTGATTGATGGTGTTCGTAATACCCTATGGCAAAGAGACATCGATGCTTCAAGAAATATGCATCGTATCTTTGATACCTTGGTTACCACAAATGAGATCCCAATCATGATTTGAAGATAACAACAAGACTCAAATTGTAATCCGAATATTAAAAATTCGTTGACGTTTACATTGTAAGTTAGATCCCGTAAAAATGACCTTTTAAAAAAACTTTTTTTTTTGTAACTGTTATCTGTAGATGTGTAATTTTCACTTGTAGCTATCCCCTGACTTTTTGAAATTCTAAAAATCAATATTTTTTCTTTATTAATAATATCTATTTACATTTCGAAGTCTACCGTTAATCAAAAGGAATTGATATGTATGCGAAAAGAAGGAGCGAAAGGGTAAAGACTTTTCTTTCAATAAATATTTTCCAATTGAAGCACGAGATAAATCAAACACCTTTTTGCGATTAGAAGCCTTTAGAGATCAACCATTCCTTGAGCTCATTGACGTGATTGCCCTTGACGATAACATGTTGAGTTTTTTGGTTGATGCGAACAACGGCTTCGGGGAAATCAGCACTAAGATCGGCCATCAAGGCATTAGAATCACCTTCGATTCTACGTACAACAGTCAAAAGACGGGTTCCGCCATTCTTATATTCAGAATAGACAGGAAGACCCTTGTTGACAGTTCGTACAATGTTATAAGCAGGTGTAGAGTAGAAGCGCTTATTTTGACTGGCGGTTTGAACAAATGAGCGCAACATGACTAGCTTTACAGCACGTTAGTCTTTCAGATATCATTTACATTTACAATGCAGGTCCACTTACCTATTGAATTTATGTTTAAAAAACGTTAAAGGGCCTGTTCTTTCCACGGCCTGGTAAATTTAATCCCAATAAAAAAAAACGACAGTCCCAACAAAATGCGGGTATTTAATTGTATTGAGTTCTTGATGATAAGGAGTTGCATGATGGAGATGTAGCAATACATCACAGACATTTTCTGATACATTCTAACATGTTTGACAAAAGCAATGGGATGCATTTATTGGTGGTAAATTTTACTATTAGCAGGGTAATTTAGTTACCCACGGTTACTATAAGATCATACTACATTTGTTTGAGTTCAAAGTTTTCTCTTTTTGAGCATTCGATGAAGAGCATTCTTTCCCTTTCTAGAGTTTGACATGACGGGTTCAATTTCTTGCTCTATGCTTTTCCTTTGTTGATCTGAGAAATCATCCATATAGTCTCTTCGTCTTTTCGATTTATTGATATGTTTATCATATACTTTTAAACCCTCCATATTTTTGTTTGTTGTTGGGGCATCATCAATTATCTTCCTCCAAAGGTAGCTCGTCTCTAGTGCATGTTCCTCTGCTTTTTTATGAAGATATTTGTTCTCTTCCTATGCAGGTATGAGTAACCTTAATATTTTTGGTGGCTTTTTGGGTAATACAAACCAATACAGAAATAACCGTTTGAACAAGTTCTAGATTCTCTTTCTGGCATGCATAGTGTATTAGATTGGAATTCAGACAGAAGAAGTTAACAATCACTTTTTACCTCGTTCGTCACGAGCCTCTCATGCAAAGCTTCGCGATCGTTTTCTAATTGTTTAACCATAACTGTCATAATTCTGTTCTCTTTTTTTAGAGTTTGGATTTTGCTCAAAGGGTGAGGATTTTTATTTTTTGAAGACTTTAAGGCCATTTTTTATTTTTGAAAGTTAATAAAGAAGTATATATAAGATCAGGTCGAAGGTCGCCTTCTTTTATGTTTAAAAAAAAAGTCCCCGCGATTATCTAAGTCAATTACGTAACGTGACAGCGATTTCATCTTACTGCGGAATAGGCTTACCTAAATAACGAAATCCAGCAATATGTAGAAGAGAAATACTTTTGGTTAGCCTCTTTTCAGGCAAGTGTGTGCGTCAATTTGCTTATACAATGTCCATTCTTTTTCGTATTAAACAAAATACTTGTGAAATATGTTAAGTAAAAAAAAAAAAAGTTTGGCCAACCTCAGAGAAACCCCAAATGGGCTTTAACAACGCGTTAACGAGTAATTCTCGTTTATTTTTTAAGAACAAATTATGCATAACGCGTTACACGCGACTTTTTTTTTTTTTTTCCAATCGCAGCGATGGCAAAAGAGCTTGTTTAAATCATCAATTTTGTTGGCGCCAAGTCAAGATGGTAACATAATACGTAATTATATAATATTAATACGTCTACCTGTTAGAATCATGCAACTTACAGAGGTGCGGGCTTGGATGAAGTAGGTATAAATAATTGCAAGCCACCTTTTAAGCTTTGAGAATAAAATGCGTTCCTGAAACCCGGATTTATTCTTACTATTTTGTGCTGCTTTATACTGAATGCTTTTGGAGAGTTGAGAATTAATATGTTTATTATTCAATAATGTTTCTGATACCTGTTTACTGCTGTGAGTAATCACATGCATTTATACATGCTTATTTTAAGAGGCAACCTTGTACCACAAAAATATTACAACTCCCGATCAAGGAACCACTCACAAAAAAAAAAAGCTTTTTTTATCCACCAATGAATTGAAACTCGGCCGGATCACAGAATACAAGGAACGTTCAACTTGTCTCCTTTTTGGCTTTTTTTCTTTTTTACGTACTTATATATATATGGCTATAGAACAGCAACACGAGTTGTCGAATTATTTACCTTTAAATACTGTTGATGATAGCAACAGTGTCTCGATAAATCCCGCAAGTTCCACCTCAATCTCATCAGCTTCATCGATGCAATCTTCTAGATGGAAGACAAAAGGTAATCCTGCGAATCCAACAAAAGGTCAAGCATTGATGTACTTACAAGTCCATGACTAGAATTTTATTTTTATTATGCTTGTGTTGCTGTGGTTGTGCCCTACATGTTTTATGTAGCTTCTGATCTCAGCCAAAGTAAGTGTGTTAGATAGACTCTGCTTTTTTTTTCTTGTACAAATGGTTAACCCAAACAAGGTGAACACCCAAACTATTACCTGTATAGCAACTTATTATCCAATGGTTGGATCTTCAATCGAAAAGTGGATAATAGCGACATGCAATACTCACAGTTCCGTCGCAATATTCCTCTATTATTCGCATTGGCATGTGTGTATCTTATTGCAAGCCATATTTACAAATCGTTGCTCAAGTCCAAAAAGAGAAAACTTCAACAAACCTACTTTTATTTGGCTGCTTCAATTATGGTTATCAGTGCACTACATGGAACCAGCTGTATCAAGATTTTAATCATCATCACCACAAGTTATCTAATTGGACAATCCACGGGTGGGTCGTATTGGAACCCTTTTTTGACTTGGACATTCAATTTGATAATCTTATTCTTGAATGAATATTACAAAGGCTATGAATTTAAATCGATTGGACTATCTTTATTGGATCAACATAAAGGCATTTTACCCAGGTGGCATGTATTCTTTAATTTTGGTATGCTTCGACTTGTATCTTACAACATGGATTATTACTGGCAATTTAAGAAGCCAAGAACACAGTATCATCATATCATGGGTGAGGATGCATTTACGACAGATAGAGAACGTATAGCCGTACCATGTAACTTTGAGGATTACAACTTTTTCAACTTTTTGACATACATCCTCTATACGCCACTTTATATTTGTGGCCCCATCATCACGTTCAACGATTTTATATCGCAGATCAGAACACCATCCTCCAAATTAACACTCAAATATGTTATAACGTATGCCGTTCGACTCGCTGCAGTTCTTTTAGTGATGGAATTCACGTTACATTACATCTATGTGGTTGCTATTTCCAAGGCACAAGCATGGGATCATGATACTCCACTTCAATTAAGCATGATTGGTTATTTCAATCTAGTGATTATTTGGATGAAGCTACTGATCCCCTGGAGATTTTTTCGACTATGGGCATTGGCAGATGGTATCTGGCCTGAAGAGAATATGATTCGATGCATGAGTAATAATTTCTCTGCGCAAAGATTTTGGAAGAGTTGGCATCGAAGTTTTAACAGGTGGACAATTCGATACATTTATATTCCATTGGGTGGGTCGCGTTATTTTGCGTTTAGCATGTGGGTCGTCTTTACATTTGTAGCAGTCTGGCATGATATCGAACTGAAATTGTTGGCGTGGGGTTGGTTGATCTGTTTATTCTTGTTACCTGAGATTATTGGATCAAAGATCTTTACATACAAAAAGGTATTGTACAGGTTTAATTCCAGCGAGAGCAAACATTTCTTAACCATCTTGCATAGTTTGGACATACATCCTATTATAGAATCGTGTGTGGGTTAGGAGCCGTCGGAAATATTCTGATGATGATGGTAGCTAATTTGGTCGGTTTCTGCTTAGGACTGGATGGTATGAAGGCCATGTTGGTTCAGATCTTTAGCTCTACGGATGGTAAGTTGTTTAATCACACTCTTAGAATGTAGGAATTCTAATCAATGTATATTAGGTCTCATATTCTTAGTCACTGTTATATTTTGTCTTTTTGTGGCAGCACAAATTATGTTTGAAATCAGAGAATCCGAAAAAAGAAGAGGCGATCCTAAATGGACCATGTAAAGAAGAAAAATACCCCCTACCTTAATCCCATATTCACACACTTTTATGTAAATATCCTTTCAAATAAACTATAATACAAATTTTTATTTCTTGACTGGTGGTGTGGATGGACGAACCTCGATACCCGTAGCATTAACAATAGCCCATTTTACTTTAGCCATTTCATCAGCGACCATGTCATTGTCGTTGGATTTGCTTGTTCGTCTTTTACCAGTGACTAAAACCTGAGGATAACAGCAAATGGCGTGTTCAATCAGATATTTTTCTATAGATAATTTGGAAGTTTGAAAGGCGTCTTGCGATAATCGATCTCTTTTTGTTAAAATCACCTGATAGGATAATGCTTGTTGATCCAAATGGCTCATCAATTGTTTATCTGTTTCTTTTAATCCTGCGACTGGATCTACCAACAAAAACAAGCGCTTTAATCTAATAGAGGAAATAAAGCGTTAATTGTTTTATGACGAAGATGAAAAAAACCAGTATGCGGAACCACTTTACTGTTTACGTGTAGATAAGTATCCCATAATCAATTCACCCCATTCTTCCTTTGATTTGTAGCCATAGCCAGGCATATCCACCAATGTCAATTGACGTCCGATATCAAAAAAGTTGAGTAATTTGGTATGACCCTACATATGCAGGTTAGAATCAGACAAATGAATCCAGCATTATGACTTACTGGTCTGTTTGATGTTTTTACTAGCTTGCTATTGTTTGTCAAATTATTGATCAAGGTGGATTTCTGTAGGTACGGTAAAAAACAAAATGAGTTGCATGTCAAAAATATGGGTTGCACAGAGAATACTTTACACCAACGTTACTTCTGCCAACAAACGCGACCTACAAAAAGTGAGTGAGTATATCAGATATAGTCGATGCTCGTATTTTATTTACATACTTCTGGGTTTATGAGGTCTGGGGCCTGTTCTGTTTGTGAAATACTCTGAATAAAGCTCACAGGTCTTGCAAAAAGTTTAGTGGCCTCAGCAACTTGGGAGGGTAATAGAGTTGGTGGCTCAGGAAAAGAAACGAGTTTGAACTTTTTGTTGTCCTTTGTGGTTAAATGATCGGTAGTTCTCTTTAACAATTGACATGATGAGTGGAATGCTCTTTTTGCAAGGGCCATATTTAGGTTAAAATAGGAGTGGAAACAAAGCGCATTTTCAAAAAAAAAAAATTATTTTTAATCTAGATTAATTTTTTTTATTTTTAACTATACAATCACATTTTACTTTCTAGCAGAAACGGCACCACTGGTAGCATTTGTTAAAGCAGATAAGAATGCAGTCTTTTGAGCAAGATCAAAAGTAGGGTTACTACCAACTAATGTACCAACGTTGGCACCATTGATAATTTGTGGCCAAGAAATGTCAGATCCAACACCAAGATATCTGTCATAATCACCTTGCACTTCCTTCAATAATAATGCATCATCCTCTTTCACTTGCTCAGTAACTGTTTCTTGAGCAGGCATAGCATTGGTACCGAATGATGCCCAATCAATGTCTTTATCAATAAATGTAACAGCACGACGAGTACGAACTTCTTGAGGTTGTGATTTGTTCAAATTCATCTTTCTATTATTGTTGTTCTTACGGGGTGCATCACCATTAGATCTATTGTTGTTTTTGTTGTTGTTGTTGTTGGTACGAGGAGGACGTTGGTTGTCTCCAGCCTGTGTCTTTTCACCACCTTCGGCGTTTCTTTGATATCTAGGCTTATTGTTTTGTTCACCTTCAGCTCTAGGTTGACGAGGTTGACGAGGTTGGCGGGGCTTGGTGTTGGCTCCTTCAGCACTACCAGCATCAGCAAATTGTCCATTGTCTTGTTGTTGCTTTCTGGGACGGGGTGTAAAGTTACCGTTACGACGCTCGCCATTATTATTGTTGTTTGTACGAGGTTTCTTTGCGTTTGCTAAAAAGGAAGCGAAAGGATCGGCAGATTGGCCTTCAGCAATGGCTTTACCACGACCTGAACCACCAAGACGTGCAGAAAGGCTGGGCTTTTGCTCTTGTTTCTTTTCTACGGCAGGGGTAACGGCAGGTGTGCTGTAACTTTTGGTGGAAGATAAAAGGCTGGCATTTCTCCAGGCTGGGACGGCCTTGGTAAGACTGTTGCTGGCACGGAACATTGTGTTATTTACTTGGTTTTTTTTTTCAAAAAAAAAAAAAAAAAAAAAGAAGAGCAAAAAAAAACAGGCCCTGGTGATTTTGTGTTTAAATGGTCACTTTTCTAAAATTAAGCCTCAGCTAAGAAGCTCAGTTCAGACAAGCTTATGCTTTCAAAAGGTGTAATAGCATATCAAAAAAAAAGAAAAGGCTGAGGAAATTATTATAAAAAAAGTGAGGGGTATTACTTTATTATTTAGATGGGCTAATTATATGATAGCGTAGTATACATACATGTACAGACGGGAGCTTGTTCTAGTTTAATTTTGACTAGCCTTCAAACTTCCATGAACAACTTGTGGAAAGGAAGCCGACTTGTCTTTCGGCTCGAGTCTAGGACATACCAGTTGATTTAAAATCTCTTTTTTGGTAACCATACCAATCAAACCAGCCTTCATACTCATTTCAACCGTCCGGTTACTCGAAATTGTCTCTTCTTCACCTATATCAGATTCAGAAGGTGTTGATAAATGATGGCAGAGATGACATTTGGAGCGGAAGAGTCTTCTGACACGACAGCTCAAGCTATTTTTATGCTTCTTTAATGCCTTTGCTTCAATTGATTGAATCTCACGTGCTGCCGCATAGCTCTCTTCTTTGATAACTTTAATATCTTGCTCCGTGCGGTAAATAAGAATAACTTGTGCATCGCTTTATAAATATGTTAAAATTAGCGTTTGGTATGGAATAGACGCTTTCTTCACTTACGAGTCCTGACTAAACAATTGATTCATTAGGTCAATGACAGGTTCTCTTGAGGAAGCTGTCAGATACGTATCTAGTCTCATTTTACCGATCGGTTCATTAAAGCTCTTTGATTCGAGCAGATTTAAAGACTAATAAGATTTTATATTAATTTTTCGGCTGTTTTACCGGGTAAGAAAACAGCAGCATATGTAGTTACCTTCAGTTCTAAAACGCCAAGAATCTGATGATCATCATGTTGATTCGATGCAGTGATACCCTTCTCATATACAATAATATGAGAGTAACCGCTACCGTGGTATTGCTGGACTTTGGAGGGTGTAAGCATGACATCAGGTTTTAACATCAACATATTACTAGCCGATGTTAGTATCCCGTCTGCATATTTTTCTTGCATGCTCAAAACATTTTGTAAAACAGTGACAGTTTTGTGGTTCAATGTACCATCGGGATACTTTGCTGAATCGTGAAGTTGAACCAACGCACCAAATTCTATTGTTTGTAAGAAATGTTAGTACAGCTAAATAAACAAATCATATCAAAATTGTAGTGAATCATGTTACCTGATACGCCATATATAAATCCGGTATGTGTACCTAATAGGTAATCTAAAAACTTGGAAATAGGCCATGATATAATGAACCACATGCCAATCAAAATTCTCACGGGATAAGCAAACAATGCACCAATAGCCAGACCATGCTTTGAGAATATCGCTTGAGGAATGATTTCTGAAAACATGACAAGCAATGCGGTAGAAACAATGACAGATATAAACCCTAGATTTGTTTGTGAGTAACATTCATATATACATTTTAAACAGCCTAATATGTTTTCTCTACCTGTGCTGAAAATGCCATCAAATAAGATTGGCAATGTTTCGTTCAATACAGTATTCGTCAACAACAGGGTCGTTAACAAGATATGGCCATTTTTGCGGATAGGAATGATTCGTGAAGCATAGTACTTTTGTTGTGGCGTACCAGCGATTTCCAAAATAGCAAGATTGGTAGTATCGAGGGACATCTATAAATAATGCAATCTGTTAGTTAGCGTCACTAAACATATAGGCGTTATCAAATCTTTTACCAAACCAAGAGTTAATCCTGTAAGAAAGAGAAAAAAAAGATAGTCAATATGCATGCATGGAAACGACAATCATTACATGGCTTTATATATATATATATATATATATATATCTTACCAGCAACAATTCCACTTAGGATCACCAAAAAAAAGATAGCTACGATTTGTCCCCAAAATGCTCCAGACTTTGGGTCGACTTCATGATGTTCTTCAGGTTCTGCTAAAACAGTGGCAGGAAAATTCAAAACGAAACACGAAAACAGTAATACATACAAAAACGGTTTTAATAACATTAAAAATAGAGAGTAACTAAAAATTAAGATTGAAAAAAATCGAAGTAAGAGAGGGAAGGAAGGAAGGAAGGAAAAAGGAAAGGACGGAATAAAGAAATGAAATGAAGACTTTTTATATCATCAGTAACTCCTTGAAGTATACACGCGCATCATCATCAGCTCATATAAGGTTTTTTTTAACGATAATGTACACAGACATATTCAACATATATAACACTGTGTTGTCTTACACATAAATTACATAAACAGAACTTAATATCCCCTTTATCATTATAAACTTATCCCGGACCGAGAAGATACACATTAGTAAATTAATGCGAAACGAACCATTAATGCAATCAAGCGAGATAAACCAATGGATTTTATTATTGTTCTTTCAATTGAGAGATCCAGACAGCTACTGATTCTGTGGACATTGGCTGGTTTTCCATTTTTTGGATCCTTCCTCCCTCTTTTGACTCTATTTGGACTCTTGTTAAAAAAGATTTGTATTGTTCAACAATACTCGTCTAATAAAATTGTTAGTTCATACTTCCAAGCAGTGTTTGATAAGACCAACCTCTATTGGCTTCATCAGGATCTGTTGCATTTTATGATCGCTGACATATTCTCTAAGTTTCCGAACCACAAATCTGATGCGTTCCTCTACCGCTTCCATAAACTGATCTGTCGCCTCCTGTACATCTCCTATGATTACATCAGCATTAACAATTATTTTTTCTGAACCGAGACACCTAATAATTACCTCCATTTAGCTGCTGTATTGTTGTGGGTGAATCATCGTCCGCCATTTTAGTTACAACTGCTGCTGGTAAAATTGCCGATAACTATTAAAAATGATGATTAAGAAAAACTAAACAGTATGGTATTTGATTTGAATTTACCTTGATTAAGAAGGCAGTTAGTGGCTCTACACAACTGTTCACACAATTGTTTATAAACTCTTCGCACACTCTCTTGATTTGAAAATCAATTTCCCGTCTCGAATCCAAACTGACTTCGACTACGCGTGGCATTCCACGCTGGGCCAACCCAATAAGAGCATTTGGATTAAACATGAGCGATTTATGTTGTTGAAACGAAGATAAGGAACCTATTCTAATTATTAGTGGCTCGTGTGGATCGTATCGGGATAGACATACCGGTGACATGAGAGAAATCTAAAGTTTTTCCTGCATGAACTAAATTTGCTTCAAAAGGAGCAAGTTGTTCTTTTAACACCAGTAAATTTTTAATTAAAAATAATTCACCATCGAGACGAGACTGGGAGGATGAAAACAAAATGGTTAAATGATAATTCGAATTGGCTAGTATAAATAAAATACCTTTAAGTTCGTAACGCTGGTACTGGCCTTTTGCAATGATTCATTACATAGTGAGACAGCCTCCTGTGCCAAATCCTCAAACACACCAGTCTGTTATAATATATCTCAGTATAGATCCAATAGAAATAAAAATAAAAATCGCTACCTGAACGCACCGGTAAAGTTTTGAAAGAATCCAAAGTGTCTTTTGCAATGTTGGAAACCATCCACATGTGTTATCGCTACCATCCGCCAGTAAGTTTGACCTAGCTGAATGAATCGAATGTGTTTCCGAAGTTGTGTCTTCTTCTACTGTCAAGGTTGCGGCAGTGGTAGAGTCTAATACGACTGATGATTTTTGGTCTTCGTCTGATGTTACTTTTGTTTGGGTATTCTCAAAGTCTTGAGGTTTAGGTTGATAGTTTTGAATATCATTATGTATAAACATTTGGGATCGGAATACTAATCTGCCCTGTGCATCTTCCATCACGTTCTGTATAAGATGACCAAATTTTACCTCATTTTTGTCCTCAACTACACCAATCGCTACATAATTAGTTAGTATATGCGTATCACTTCTGCACTTTCATTATATTTTTACCGAAATCATTTTCATCCTGCATGACATACATCAAAAATACATTACATAATTCAGAAAGTGTAGTGATATCATTTTCGTGAATAATACGTGGTCGGAGGTAATCATACAAGTAACTTGTTAACAACTCCAGGTAGTTACTTTATAATTCATATTAGTACAAACATTGTTTGTAATTTATACACTTTGGTGTACTTACTACAGTTCTTGCTCTCCAGTCTTTTGGAAAAAGTTGTAGAACAAATTGTACTCATCCGAACAAAGACTCATCATGTATGCACAGCCATTTTTAGCCTGTCAAAAGCTATTAATACTAGATGTAAATGCCTCGTACGTAATCATACTTTACAAATCCTAATAAATCCTTGTCATTGGGCCCAAGCTGTTGGATCTTTTTTGATATTAAAGGGCCCAACAATTGCTGTCTTGTCTGGAAATAAGCATGAAGCATGTCTTCGTATAACGATTGATATTCCTTATGACCCGGGCATCTCTTTTGTACCTGAGTTGTCAAGGATTTGATGGTGGATGCAATCGTTTTAAATTTTACATAGTACATGGTCATTTGTTTACCCATAGTAGCGTCTTTTGTGCTCACTTGTTTATACACTTCGTAACCCAAGTTCTTAATAGTGGACACTACATACATCTTAATAAGTGTAATACCACGAGTCATACATTGTCTGAAACGCATGAGATATAATTCTGAATCACGGTACACATGATGATCTTGCATATACTGTATACATTCATCCAACTTATTCAACATCGGTATAAATTCTGCATTAAGACAGATATCATCGCCTGGGGAATTGAATAATTTGGCGATCGGTTCCAGTTGGTTGAAATAGGCTAATCTCTCGGATAGTCCTTCTGCTAAATGTGTCAGACGATGCTGTTCTTCTAATAAGGTCTCGCAGGCTGTTTGAATTGAACGAGTTTGTAATTCTACAAATGAGTAATCATTTTCTAAATCGTCGAATAACTGGCAGGTAAGTTGTAGATCTTGCAGAAAGTCATCACACGCTTGTTGGTAAAGTTCGACAGTGGATAAGTGGTTACGATAAACATCTTCTTGTCCTTTCTCCATCTCGGATTCCATCACTGCAAACCAATCGAAAAACTCTTGAAGAGTTTCGATGGGTTTTGCGCTTCCAATGGCATGAGCCATATTCTTTTCTGCTGCTGAATCTGCTGCCGTTGCTTCTGCTAATAGGTTGGCGGTAGATAAAGTATGTTTCAGGGTACCTAAAAGTCGAGATGATAGTACATGTGGGTTAAGTGGGCTTTTCGATTGAAGTGTATCGGGCGTCCCTGGTGAGATGCCCAAGGAAGGGGAGCCTAAAAGTTTGTCGCCCAAATACTTGTTTGTGGGTCAATAGTTGATAAAAACAACTAACTAAAAAAAACATACCCAGTTGGACGGAAGAGGCAATTCAGCGCAGGCATCTTGCAAATCTTGTACACTTTGTTTTTCCTTGTCGTTAAGCTTGGTTTTTTCTTCCCATTCTTCTAAAGAGATACCGCGCGTTATTCTTGACATAATGTTGAGAGAAATACGCACGTCTGTTTATGGTTGAAAAGTGAATCCTTTTTTGGCCCCAAGTTTCAATTCCCGCGTTATGTTGTCACTGGGCGCACATATTCATTTGGTTCCACACGCGAGAATGTTGCTCAATCTCATAGTACATAGAACAATAAGAACCTGTACTTCTATAATTATATCGAAGGATTTATTTCCTGATATCAAATGTTTAAAAATAGAGGTCTTGAGACTGAATGGGATGATGATGAGGTCTATTAATATAATGATTGACTTGTATTTTAAAAAAATATGACTAGAATTCAACATGTAATTAATTAGAGAATGACAAATAAAGTCTTTATTCTAATCGCTTATAAAAGGTACCAAAAATTCAAAAAAAATTCTAAATATCTATCTCACTTTATTAAATGAAATTCTTGTGTTCTATCATCGCATCATTGGTTATCGGTAGTGTTACAGCAGCTGCTATTGAACGCAGGGCAGAAGTTGGTGAAGCCTTAATGATGTTTGGCTACAATCCTCCTCGTGTCAATCCTGAATACTGTGTAGGCTTTCATATCGACTACCCTACTACGCCTGGTCTCGCATTTGAAGCTGGTTCTATTCAACAATTGAAATGGTCGCTTGATGAAGATATTGTTCATTCCCCTAACATTATTACCCGTATCCGTATCTTGAATTCTACTCAACACAATCAGTACATTATTGGAGAGAATATGAGTAAGTATTATATATATATATATGTTGTGTTTAGCTGTCATTTGACTAATTATGTCTGTTCCCAGCACTCTATCACGAGGCAAACACCGGCTTGGCTACCTTCCCTCTCAACATTGAAGACGTCAGTGGCTTGTATCACTATCGTATTATGGTGAATTATGTTGGCACACTAGTACATTGTGTTTATGAATCGGTTCCCTTCACGATTCTCCAAAATCCTTTCAAGAAATACACTGCTGCAGGACCAGCTAAAGTTGTCGCTCCTACATCTTATGAATTATATTCTTTGATGCCTGATAGTAGCTATGTTAATATCAAAGTATAATTGCATTTTAACAAATAAAATAGTAGCAGTAGTAGCTTGTAACACAAATGACGCATTTTTTTCTCTTGGCCTGCAAAGTTCTATTTTTAAACCTCTTTTTTTTTCCACATAAAACCCAAGCCTTTGTTATTATTATTCCTTTACGCCCTTTTTATTAAAAAGAATTAGTAACATGAGTTTGAAAGGATTACACTTTTCGTACAACAAATTTAAAACCGATGTGCAATCGCAGATTGCCAAGAATAACCCAATGCAAAAGCAAGACACCAAGAGTCTTTCCATGTGGATCTTCCAGGAACGCAGTGATCTTGCAACTATGCGTACCATGGCCTATCAACGCACTGAAACGATCAAGGCTTTAAAGGATTGGGTCCAGGAAGAAGTTGAAGAAGAAAAGACGGAAAATGGACGTGATTTAGAGGTACTTCTTTTTTGAAAGCCCTCTTGTATTTGTATATTGATCTTTATTCATTTATACAGGATATTGTAGGTGACAAGTTAACCAGGTTACTCGACAAACAGATCGAGATCGAGCAAGAGTATGCTAGTAAGTGTTTGTATTTTGCGTGTCCTTGTGATCTGTTTACTAAACAGCTGTTTGCTATCCAACAGATAAGTTTCAACAATATCGTCACGCTGTTAAATCTATTCGGGATAGAGAGGAGAAATTGTCAGACGCAAGAGAAAAGAAGCGTTCCCTTCAATCACGTATCCTGAATCTTAGCAAAACCAGCCCAAAATCACCAAAGTTACCGGAGTTTCAAAGAGAATTAAGATCATTGGCCCATGAAACACATGAAAGTGAAATGGATTTAGCTGATTTTAAAAGATTTGCACTCAAGGAAGCCTTCTACCTTCGATTTAATGCCATGAATGAATATGCTGAAAAGACTGCTTTAATTGCGGGTTTCGGTAAATACTTGACAGATTTGATTGAAATTGAGCCTACCCCACCTACCCAGCAACATAGAAGCCCGTATGAAAAGGGTCCTGAAGCCGCTATTATCTTTGCTGATGCAATGAATGCTGTGAATGATTGGAAGCCAAAGGCCGCAGATGAAAGACCTACCCTTGCAAATACCGATGTAGTAGATACCGGTAAAGGAAAGGAGCCTGAAGGAACATCGGCCCAAAAACCAACACCACCTGAACTTCCACCTAGACAGCCTTCCCTTGAAAGTATTGTTGTTAATCAACCTACGGGTTACACTGCCGACGAGATCTCAAATGCTACGGGTGATTTAAAAACAGCTCATGAAAACGAAATTGACCTTGACCAAATTGACTTGTATGATGCACCACCACCTGCTTATGATGATCCACCAAAGCATATCTCCTCCCCAATGAATTCTGATCATCTAACTGCCCAGCACCACGATAGTTATACTTTCAGTTCACCTTACCAGACTAGCGCTAATTTGCCTCCTGCCCCTCAACCTCAACATCAACAATACCATCAAATTTTTGAATCCCCTGCTCCTATGCATCAACAAGCACCTTATCAACATTTAAACCATTATCAACATCAAGATAGCACTTTTTATGATCCTACAAACGTAATGTATAATACTCAAGTCAATTACCAGCAATTGTATCGTCAAGTCAGTCAGCGTAGACAACCTGCAGCCTATAGACCTTATTCTGAATTCCAGCAACAATTCAACCAAACTCACAGTGAAGGTCACGAAATTTTGAGACAAAAGGTGAATGCTGGTGGGTTCCGTATTCCTGCACCTGCACCTGCCCATGATAGTGCTGAAGATGAAAAGGAGAGGTTAGCTCAGCACTATCGAGAACAAGAACAACAACAGCAGCAACAATATACCCAATCACAATACGGTGGATCTCAATATGACGGTACACCTCGTTATGATGGTGCTCCACAGTACGACGGTGCATCGCAATATGATCATGGATCTCACTATGGTGGTTCCCAATATGATCATGGGTCGCACTATGCTGCGTCTCAATATGGAGGATCACAATATGCCGGATCCCAGTATGAAGGCTCCCAGTATGGTGGGCTTGCAGGAACCCCCAATCAACATTTGCAGCCTCAGAATTCTATTCAAAAGCCCTTGCCAACTGTTTCACCCCAACAGTCACCCCAGGTACAACCTGCGTCTCTTTCACATAATCAGGAATTACAAAAACCTAATTATGAGCAGAAAACTCAAGAAGAAACGGATTAATCAAAAAGAATAAATTATTGTAACAATATAAAAGTAGTTAGTTTATTTCAAAAAAAAATGTTTGATAAAAAAGGAAAGATGAGAGCTTTTGTGTGTGTGTGTGTGTGCTATATATTTACAGGGGTGTGTTGGGGGTATTATTAGTGTATATGTTAGATTAATGAAGGTTTACAACAACATGCATCCATTCATGATGTCTATTAGCAAAATGCAAGTTAATCCATTTGTGTACAAAGGCCCCGTGAATTCGAACCAGCAGACGTTCAGAGCACATTGGACAAGTTCTGTAAGAATATTTCTTATCACTTGCCGAACTTGAGGAGGAGCAAGAGGAGGAAGAGGAAGCAGACGAAGATCTTCTTAAAGAGGTTGACTTTTCTGGTGTAATATTTTTTCTATTTAAGATATCAAATGATGTAGATCTTAAGAGTGGTGAACTGATAATAGACATGTTGGGTATTGAGCTGAGTTGTATATATATATATGGAGACTTTTTTTTTTTAAATATGCATGTATTTATGTGAAAAAAAAAAAAAAAAAAATGAAAAATGCTTGATGTTTTAATAAGTGGGAAAGAGAAATTTTTAATAAAATCATGTACCTTTTTATAACTTTTCCAATTTTTTTTTTGGGGAAACACAAATTGTCATGGGAGTAAGGTTTCTAAAAAAAAATTATGCGCAACACACAAACACACACACACTAGTGTATAATCAACAAACAAATACATATATTGCTTATTAGCGCCATCTCATTTATTATAATAATTCCCGCCTTTATTTTAATTTGGCCCAACTAATGCATAAGCCAATTATCCTTGCTTTATATGTTTATGCCTTGGCTATAAAAAAAAAAAAAAAAAAAAAAAAAAAAAAAAAAAATCTAAATAAAGGATTGACGTAAGAACATGTACGATTAATCTTTTTTGTTACTAAAAACCGCAGGTAGCACGTATAAAAAAGTTTGTGTAAATCCGGTGATCTGTTAAAATCCACAAAACACGCACAAGACAAAACGGTTAACATGTTATCTGCAAAACAATAAGCATCTATAAAACATAGCGTGATTATTATTTAATAAAGGATGATCGATTTCCGGCAAGCAGCCATAAAAAAACCAACAAAAAAATGAATGTATACAAAAGAAGGTACAAAGTTATCATATGATTTATTTTTACGCCCTATTTTTCTTTTCCCCTGGTACACTGTTTTCATAAATTATTCGCACAACCTCCGAACAATTTGTAAGATCCAGGGTTATGGCGTCTCGAAATCCCCAAACAATGTTTTAAGGGAGCTCGTTGGCGTTACTCATTTTTACACCCTGCCATAAAAATTTAACCAACTTCATCAAGGATTATCGTAGTCATATACAAACCGGATATCAGTTTTGAAACTAACTTAGCATAGATAGTGGTTTTTTCATTGGTGGAATCACCTGGCACAGTTTCGCCGGTTTTTAATCTGATCATATTACCATCTATAGAGAACAATGCTTCAAAGACCGGAACCCAAATTTGATTTTGATATTATTGTTATTTAAATGCTTGGGCAAAATCTTGAGGCTCATCGCCTCGCAGCTAGAATATTTCGAGCTTTTCAATACACATTTTTACAGAGTATATTTTCTAATTGGGCTATGCTTAAATTTGCCATAGTGATTGTTGTCAATTATGTCGAATATCGTCATAAAAAGGCTAAAAGTCTTTCTTGACTGGGAAATATCCGGATTTACGAGAATTCTATTCAAGTATATGTCGTCGTATATCAAATCGTTATTATCAATATGAAAATCAGCCAATATTGTCCCATATGTCGAAATGATTTTCGGATATGCTGAATTCAGGCGCTGTTGAAATGTGATTTCATTCCTCTCCACTGATCGAATATAAGCAAGTTTTAATAGAAGATATTTAATGATTAATGACACCCAAGATCAACAAGGAGGCCACAGCTCTGTATGTCTCTTTTCTCAATAATGATGGCCTTTTTCATATATATGTGTACAAAAAATTGGGTAAATTTCTTCAGCCTTGTTGTAAATCTGATTTTTGGTTTCTTGATATTTGTGATGCATCGTATTTACATACCATCGAAGGTGCATATTTTCCTGTGAATTATGAAGCATTGAGCCGATTAATAGAGTCAATTGTACCTCAGTCTCACCATTTATGTCACGGCAGGAAAAGTAAACTGTTGGTTGTATGCTTGGATAAGTACGGTCTACTATATGTTTCCAAAGCAGACGCGACATGGAAGGTCAACGTTTAAGAGAGAGCCATTCAAGCAGCGGTATGTTCGGATGTATTGCCAGCCTCTTCTTGGCTATTGTGATTGGTTTCAAAAACATTTTATCATTGGACATTATGTCTATACTGTTTTATCCAGGATTATTAAGACTTGAATTGTTTTCGTCTTTTTCAGTTGTTGACAAAAAGATGGAATGGTGAAAAGGTGTATTTTTTTGAAATAAGTTATGATACGTACTAAATGATTTTTGTCATAAGTTAATACCAACAAGGTATCAAAAAGGGATCACAATTGTTGGATAGACCTACAATTGTTTTTAAAAAAAGCGTATCGATATAGTTTGCTGTTCAATAGGACAGGCGTATCTATCTAGGTAACACGAAATCTTAAACGCAAAACACTGCACCATAATCTTATTTAATCCGTGGTTTCTTCTTTCGGACACGCTTCGGCTGAAATCCCTGTCATAACAGCAAGGGGGTGTGGGTCTTCTCATTTCAAGAATGTATACATGTATATATAAAAGTGATGATAAAAACAATTCTCTATATAAAACAGTATTTTTAAAACACGTATTAGAAATCTATTTGTGTTTTAGCATTTAGAGAATTGATTTAATTCTTCTCAATGTACCTGTGACCGAGAAAGAGGTGAGGGGCCTCCCCATGATATTTTATCTTCTCACCCAAGCACCGGTGTAGAAGTCGGGGTTATTGCTTGTTTGTATAATTTTTTGATAATGAGGCCTTTTTTTTAGTAAAAGTAACACGAATTTGTACACTAAAAATTATTTCAATTGCGCAATACTAGTTGGTAACATGCATGTTTGCTTGTTTTGTTCATGCAAAAAAGAAAAAGAAAAAAGAAATGGGAGATATGTATCTCAGACATTAAAAAAGAAATTAGAGATATAAAGATAGATAATATTAACGCAAAGGTGCCTTAAGATAGACATATACCCGTTGTGAATTTTTCTGCGCAGCTTAAAGAAACGTGTTAAATCATATCATCTCAAAACGGCTAAAACTGTTCCACAATGTTAATCGTTAATATAAACCTGTTTTCTACAGATTCAGTTGTAAATGACGAAAAAAAAAAATTCTAAATATCATCATTTGAATGAACACTAGTATATCACCCGTTTCTTTTACAATTTATTTGTTTCTTTCGTTGCAAAAATTTCTTTATATAAGTTCCGGTAGTTAGATAGCAATCTAAATAAAGTTAACATGTTGGAGCAATGTGTTAATCATACCCATCTTCATTTGTATAGCTCAAATGTATGAATGGCCAGGAGTAAATAAATGCTTGATCACGCTACTGATCCGATGAGATATCTGAATAACTAGGAATTTTTAAAAAGCTATGAGAAAAGAGAATCGACTTTAAAATGTTTTACGTGAGAGATTTAGCACTTATTCGACTAGTTTTTCTTTATATGTCCCTGGATTTTACCGCAGCTTGAAGAGAATGGACCTTGAACTGTTGTCACTAAAATCCAAGCTAAAAATCCCTCATAAGAAATTACTTCTGTTTTCATTCAGCTGAAATATCTCTTTGCCTGCCCTATTTGGAGCTGAATTCGGAAATAGTACCTATAAACCCCCTAAATTCGGCCTTACCCGTAATATCGGTCTATATAATCAATTAAGATGGTTTGCCATAATGAGACAGTATAGATTATATGAATCAACAACGCCCGTGGTTACAGCTATTTATCGGAACAACATGTTCGCCACATCATGGCTATTGAATGCACGTGGGGTAGGATAGTGAATAAAGTTGCCTGTACAAACATTTAATATCACAACTCCCATGGAAAATGGATATAGGTGAATCGCTGTACTACCCCATACTTTTATAAACAAAGTCATAACATAATATTCCAGTAGAGAACACATTTCTAAAATTATTATTTAGCTGAGCATCAAGTCCTGATTAGAACTGTCAACAACAAAAAAAAAAAATGCTTAAATCGAAAAGCAGTTGAGACGCCAGTGTCGTACAAGAATGTTGTGTTTCAAGAAACCAAGTACCTGATTTTTGTAGGATGAGCCCTTGCACTTTAAATGACGGGTTTCTACTTTCCGGGTGCTATTAATTTCCGCCGCTTTTCTTTTCTTTCAGAGCTCTTTTTCCAATTTGTTTGCTTAGGTGATTGATTTTTGGCAAAAAGTCATTTTCAAATTAATTTACAGGTTTATGGGCAATAATAAAAAAAAAAGACGCCCAAAACAGCCCCTGTAACGCCTTTTGTTTGTCAAATAAAATAAAAAAATTCGGCTCACCGGACAAGAGTTTGTAGAACGTCAAGTAGCTTGAAACACAGAGCACTGACCTTGTATACTTTCATCAGCCCATCTTGTCCCCATGCTAAAAACACAAATCAGACTAATATTTGTAATTACATCATTTTTACAAATAAATTAAAACCAAATGATATTGGGCATAGCTCTTAGGAATGGTTACATTGGAATCAAATGATTGGTAAAACATTTACTAACGTGAAATAAAAATAGATGAGAAAAAAAAAGTAACATGTTTAAGGTAACACGTTTGGATGTATTTAGGATGGTAATACGTTTCAATCTATACTCGTTTTTTGTGTGTGTGTTTGTTTTTTGTACAAAAGTTTGCGTAACGTGAAATAGAGTTTCATCGCCTTCCGTGTTTATCACTTTTCCTCCTTCTCCAAAATATACACACACTGTTACACTGAAAAAGTTTATGCAGAATATTTATTTATTTATTTACAAAATGTTACAAATGTTTTTAATCTTCCTTTCTGTGCTTGGCTTCTTCTCTTTGTCTATGAGCTTCGTTCATTCTTTCAACGGTCTCCTTATCTTCTTCAGCTAATTCATTATCGATACGTTCACCTCGAGATTGCTTCATGCTATGACCGTGAGAGAATTGCTTCTTGTTATGTTCTTCTAATTCCTTGACGCTATTGAACATTTCGTTGTGACCTTCCATGGACTTTTCATATGGACGACCAGCACCTAAAGCAGCTTCGGCATGGGCAATGTTTGATGGTCCAGTGTGGCTAGTTCCTTTGTTTGAGCTCATTTTTTCTTGTTTATTAATATAAAATTTGATATTGAAATGAGAGTAGAAATTTTCTGACTCTTTATATACAAAAAAGAATCGGACTAGGGGAGTTTTTATTTTTTTTTAGCATGGGTATCATCATTAAATCATTCTGAACTGATTAAATAGCGACTCAGCATTTTTGTTAGTCTGATCGTTGATTAGTATATCTTTGATGATCGGTGGCGGATTCAACCCAAGCTGACGAGCTCGTTCTAAAGAAAGGTAAAGGACAATAAGATGCTGTTTAAAAAGTATTACAAACAAACACAAAAATTACCCCAACGGTCAATTCTTTTTATGCCGACACATGGTCCATACGCATAATTTAGATCAAATGCCCTCAGCATTTTATCTGTTTCATCCAGATGCTCTTGGTGGACTACAAAAATACAAAATAAAACTTATAAGCGTCCCGAAAAAAAAACTGCAAGAAATAGACCGTACTTCCTTGCTTGGCGCTACCACCAATTTGGACAATATCATCTTGAACAGTTTTCTTATTTTTTTGTTTAATATGGCGGCGAGTTTTTGGAATGTCCAACTTTGTTTGCTTCTTTCGTGGCATATCTGATATTTAGAATGAAAGAGAGACGAAATAAAAGTGACAGAAGCCACAGCCATCGTATTTCATCGAGTCAGATATGCTGTTTGGTTTCAAGTTTTTTTTTTGACAGGTTTTCTGCCTGTTACAATGATTTATGCTGAGATCGGATCGCTCGGTGAAATGTTTTTAGTCTATATTTCAACCTGAACGAGCATATATCATACCTACATAATGCAAGTCGACATGTATCGAAGAAGCACAAAAATACATGCACAAAGGGTATTTCTTTTATTATAATGGGCGCCAAACAATGCTTGCATGAGTATGCGAGTTAAGCCTTATACTTTTGTTTCATACTGATCCTCGGGAGGTTAATTTTTTTTTTTTTTTTGGTTAAGTCGTCATAACGTCATTTTTTATTAAGTGCATTTTTTTTTCTACAAGATTCTAATTTCCAAAGCCATAAAAATTGTATTCTGCCCAATTGACAGGATTTTGTATTAATTTATCATCGATTGGAAGAGCATGACTTTCAAAGTCTTCATCAGGTACAGCATGTCCTACACTTTTGGTTGATTCGGGAACTAATTTAAACAAGTCATGGTACTCCTTTGGTAAAATAAACTTGCCCTCCTCGTTAGATCTTTTTCGAAGGCTTTTGAGGACATATTGATTAGCGACATCATTATGACGTTTCGTTGTGTTAGCTGTAAAATGTTGTCCGATTTGAGGTAATTCATTCGCAGCATCATAGTAACCGATACACTCTTCATATTGAACTGTTTTGAATTGAGTGTAATGTGCGTTGTATTTCTCGTCAAGTGCGTCCTGCAATGTTTTTACAGATTTATTTGTTGGGTGAAGCACTTTCCAAGGATCACGACATGTTTCTGCACGACAGGATTTGAGAACTATTAACAATGCATCCAACCTATTGACAAGCTGTATATTCGCTTGATCATACAAGTTATTCATTTCATAAGGATCCTTTTTCAAGTCGTAAAATTCATGCTCTCCTGTACACCATACAGTATACATGTCTATGAGGGTTGTTAGTTTGTTTTTCTCTCTCTCACTCCCTCTTTTTTTGTAAGTATACTAACAATTGTAATCCTCAGAGATGACACGAAGCGTTTTATATGTGTTTGGACCTTTCACTTGCATATTATCGTAATTCTCGGCCATCTGGTACTCACTCCAAAACTCTACGGCGAAACTTTCTTTGGAAATATGTTTGCGATGATTCTTGAGTGCCTTTGTTAAAGGAATAACACCGCCATCAACCCAAGATGGAATGTATTGGTCACCACCAGCCAAAGCAACAAATGTAGGAGCTAAATCGTGATGAGCGCTGACAAGCTCACTTGTTTTTCCTTTTTCAACCCCAGGACCACGTACAATAAAAGGGACGCTAATGATCAATGTTAATTACTGTTTACCATTTATAATATTAAAAAGACCGTACTTGATATCTTCTTCCATGTTAGTACATTTACCAGGAAGAGCCCTATGTTGCCCAAGATGATATCCATTATCTGCACTATAAATAACAAATGTATTATCAAGCTCTCCAGACTTCTCCAGTTCCTCAAATATTGTGCCAACCATTTCATCTACGGATTGTAACGCACGCAGACGATTTCTATATGTTTCATCAAATTCCTCAACCAGTGTAGCGTTTAGCTTTTCGAGCTCCTTCCAATACGAAGCTGTTTTAACTTGAGTTTCGGGATTGAAATGTGGGGTACGAGGGACTTTGAAAAAGGAAATTATTATCAGGTATTTTATTTTGTCAGATGACAGATGCATTATTCTCTTACTTTGGACATCCTTAAAAAGATGAGCATGACGAGCAGCTGGAACTGGAGAGCTTGTTTTCATAGATCCATCATTTCCAATTTCAAACTGACCATGGGGAGCCATAGGTGCAACTAGATATTGATTAATGCCAAATAATAAATCATCAAAGTTTTAAAAAACAAAGTTCTTTACCCCACAGAAAGAAGGGATCATCTTGAGCTTGCACCCTCTTGAGAGCAGCACGTGTCTTTGCATGAACAATATCAGTTTGATAAGCATCCTTATAATAAACAGGAGCCTCACCATTCACAGAGAACACAGCAGTATTATATACATATGTATAAGGATCCACTAACTGTTCTTGATAATCAAAGCCTTTGGGTGTGGGATCATTGTAATTATTAACGCTATATTGATTCATTAATTTACCAATGTAATTAGTATTGTAACCAGATTTTTGTAGCCAAAGGGGTAAATAGTCATCGCCTAATTTTAGTGTGTTGAAACGATTATAACCACCATAGGGAGGGGACACATCTGTTATACTAAATATCGATACCTAGTTAGTTTTTCTATACTTGACTGTATTTATTCTACTTACTTTGTATTATGAGCATATTGACCTCGCAAAAGACCAACACGACTAGGACAGCAGATAGCAATGGTAGCGTAATGATTCTTGTACATCGTACCTTCATTGACAAGATACTTTTGGACATTTGGCATATAATTTAAAGAATCCAGTCGATAGTCTTGGTCATCTGTAAAAATGAATACGATATTGGGTTTCTTTTGTTCTTTAGCATTAGTTAATGCAATTAAGGCAACAGTGCCTAATAATATGCCCGCTAATTTCATATTAGAAAGATGGTCGTTGATTGATAAATGGCCAAGTATATAAAAAAAATAATTAATTTATATGTCTTTCAAACCAGGAATCAAGATATGTCGGCATCAGGGATGTAATATTGTATCATTCGTGACACATGCTGAGAATGGCGTAATATTTGATAGTGATATCGAAATTATTTGCCATAGTTGTAGGAGTTTATATTCCGTGTACCATATCGCACCATTCGTTTAAACGAAATTGTATAAAAATGACATATATGGCGACAAATTAGAGATTAGAAAGAGGAGGCTGCTACATGACTTAAGCTATTTACTTATGTGTAGTAGAGAAAAATAAAGTATAGAAAGCCGCGGAAGTATCGTTTAATGCTGTACAGAAATACTGGGTTCAGGTCAATGTTAAAATACGTATCATAATCTTCCACTTTGCAAGCTGTCCTCAGCTTTCTTAAGTGAACGAACAACGGGTCTCTCAGGGACAGCAAATTTTTCTTTGGACAACCGAAGTGCGCTTAGCTATAATGTAGGATCGGATTATTAACAGACAGCAAGAGGCCAGTTTAACTTATTTCCTTAAACCAAATGAAAATTCATTGCAATATTCATATATTAATCCTGTCTGCTTACTTTTAAAGTCTCGTTGAGACTTAAATCTAATATTTCTGACCAAGCTCAAATTCAAAATTAGCGCAAGAGTGAATGAGACAATTGAAATGTCGGACAACACACTTGTCTACCAAAAAGGCATTGGCAAACAATAATGAAAAAGGGTTAAGGCGCTAATAAAAAGTGTATGTAAAATTTAGAGATTTAAAGACTGGCTATAATACAGAAAAGGCATGCCAGTTAGGACTTTCGGTTCTTAGTGGAACTACCGTCATTCGTTTTTTTTCCTTTTTGACGTTAATGAAGAAATCGAGGAACCCTTCTCCCAATGGAAAAGTTGGAAATTTATACAAAATCTTAAGAGAGACCAAAAGTACCAAGACGGCTATACAAATTAATTTTTGATACTGTGCACTCAAAGACAGACCAATTAAAATCTGTCTGTTACTCATTATTTCTAATGTCACATCCATCACATCCCTTGTTAATAAAGACCATAATTTAACGTATTGTACAATTTTATTCCAGTCGCCAAGGACGTGGAAAATCAACTCAAAGAACTTCAGTTTTAAATCTCAAACAGTCAAAGGCGACTAGTTCGAGTTTTGGTAAAACATATTGCATTTATTAAAAAAAAATTCACTCACTTGTAAAAGGAAGACCTTCAAGACCCAGGAGTAATGCCATCACTTCCTCAATCACCTCACCGGTGGGAGGGATTCGGTTTAGTGCGGCCCAATCACATCGTTTGGTGATCTCCGAGTACATTACCTTAACATTGTCAGGAATGCCCGAGTGATCATAAATATGTTGGATACTGCTTTGTACAGCTTTCAACAATAACGAAGGCTCCTTACCTGAAACAAGACAATCTTGCCAGCCACAAACAATGTTGTACAAACAGGCAAATGTGTTGTTGTTACAAGTTGATTCACGAATGACATCAAAGCAGAGTGTTCTGGTACGTTCAACATCATTACGTGATTTACATAACAGACTTAACAAACGACAGTAGCGACTAGAAAATATATAAAGTTAGATACACCATCCCCTTTTGTCCCTTGTGCGCTCACTAACAGTCCTTGACTGTAGATACTTACGGGCCGGAGACATCGGGGCGTTTAGCCTTCAGACATTTGGCTAATTTAGCACTAAGTCTTGTGAAAATATGGTGGAAGGCCTTGGCCTACATCATACGAGTATAGTTTAGTAAAGGCTTCATGCATATTATTTATACTTACATTTTGTGAACAGTAATAGGACAGAATCCAGGCATAGGCCTTTTCCCTTGAATCCCATTTGTCAGGTACGTCAATTTGATACAATCCTTCGATGCCGTACTTACACATGGTCTTTGGATCGGGCTTGTTGACAGACTTCATCACCTTAAAGTTGGAGTTAATCTCCTCAAGGATGTTATCAATGTCTGAATCGGTGACATCATCTAGTTTCTTTTTCTGAACCCATTCTTCAACCATGGAGACATATCGCGTGTCCATTTTGGTCTTTTTAACTACCCTTTCTTCCGTAGTAGGTGGTCGATCGTGCACTGGAAGTATGATGGGTCGGCTATCGATCACTTTACTAGGATTGCGGCTGTTTATGAACTTTGTCAACCGATTGTCCTTCTTCTTGCCCTTAGGCACAACAACTGGGATTGGTGGCCGTGCTGGTACGGGGGGAGATGATTTGGATGTTGATCTGACCAGACCTTGCTGGGTGGTGACAGCTGGTTTACCAAGAGCCACATTTAGTCCACGAGCAGGATTAAGAGAGGGTTCCGCCAGTTTAGGTGTAGGGTGCGAGGAAGCTGTATTCAACAACGAAGTTGTTTTAACTGAGCGGGACGGGATCATACCAGAATCAGTAGGCTGATGTGATGAGATAGAAGAGTGTCTCTTCGATTTTGATTCTCTTGGTGATTTGTCATGCGTGTAGTCTGCCATATTGCCTGTTTCATCGTCTGATGAACCTGACTTCAAGAGGTCATCCAAATTTTGGTTTTTGCTCACCGACATCGACAGCTTACGAACTCGTTCTTTCAAATATTTGTTCTCGTCCTTGTACATGAGGTTGCTTGCCTTCAAACTGTGAATCTTGGTGACAAGAGCAGGGTTGACATTGGCGGTATCTTGTTCAAAGGACATTGCTGCGGTGTTCTGAGCCTTGGAACGGATCAAATTATCAACGCGTTGTTGTAATTCGTCACGATTTTGTTTAATTTTATTATTTTCGGATTGTAAATCACGAATGGCTTTTTGCAGCTGGTCCAGCTTCTCTCGAGACACAGTATAATCTGCTGTGGACTTCACCAATTGCTCCCTTGTATGAACAAGTTCTTGTCGGGTTTTATCGAGGTTGGCCCTGTCGGAGTTAAAACTGTTACTTGTTTCTGCGCGTTGCTTGGCCAATTCAAGCATTTTCCTCAAGCTTCGTTTTTCGTCGTTGGCGCGAGTAAGCTTTAATTCGAGATGTTGGATTCGTGACTTGGCTTCAACATGATCATTTTCAACTTGATCCAATTTTAATTTTAACACCTTTGTTTCTTCTCCGTTATCTGAAAGGCCCGCTTCCACTTCCAGTGTCATAAAGTCGTCCTCAAGCTTGTCAAACTTTGCTTGGATACTTTCGACTTCCGCCTTTAAGTTCTTGTTATCGTTTTGTAAGGTGCGGATGAGATTATTTTTTCCCGATATCTCTTGTCGGTGCTTGTCTGAGGTCTTTGGCACTTTATTTACATTTATGTCGTCCGCTAACTTTTCATTTTTCGCTTCTAATTGGTTAATATACACCTAGAGTAAAATCAATCATGAGTTTGATGATAATAAAATAATTAATATGATAGGTAAGCTTACATTTTTGCTCTGAAGAGCTTTTTGGCTGGCCGCCACAGAAGCTTCAGCTTCTTTTAATTTCAGTTGAAGATTATCAATGATAACTTGTAAGCTACCAGAAGGATGCGTTACTTGCTTAGACATAGTTAGTTCTAATTCAAGCTTTTCGGACTTCATGACTTCCAATTGCTTCTCTGCATAGCACAGCTTTTGTTCAAGCGAAATTATTTTTTCTGCTTGAGATATTTCAGTTGATTTAAGAGCCGTGATCTTGTCCGTTTGAGCATTAGTGTCTATAATCGGGACGCGTTAGATCTCTATATTAACCATTCTTAATTTCTTTATTTACCTTGCTTGAATTTCTTTAAGACGTTCATTAACTTGTCGGTTTTTATTATCCTTTCCTTAATACTCCTAATATTGTTGTTAACGTTAGGATTGGTTTCTGCAGACAAGTTGCTATCGGTTTGGTCGTTTCCCGACATGTGGTATATATGGCTTTTTTTTTTAGAATTGGCAAAGAAAAAGAAAAAACTGCCATGAGAAAAAAAAAAAAAATGGGCGTGTTTGACAATAAGCAGTCACAATTGATTTTTTTCACTTTGATGAGTTACGTTGTGACCACATGCACTTTGGATGTTTTTCAGGAAAAATAGAATGTCCTTAAGAAAAGCGAACGAAAAGCATCCACTGATTATTTAAAAGTCTTTTAAAATGAGCAAAAGTTTCATTTAAGATCAAGATGGTTGTCCAGTATTTTCAATCGAGGTCATGCGTATAATTTTCCTAGAATTGCAGCCATATCTTTTAAAACATCATCAATTGTCATATTGATTCCGCTAGGTGTTGCGGCAGGATTTTTCAATATGATCTGATCCACCTTTGCGTACTTATTCTGAGTCCGATGGTTTTGAGCATAAGAAGAGCAGAGGCGTTCAATTATCTTAAATCCACTCACTTGTGGCTCATCGTACACTTGGATCGAGCGAAACTGAAATAATATTTCATGGTAGCTGCGCATTAAAATCATTTAATTGCATTGTTACAGTGAAAACACTTCTTTTTCATAATCAATTTTGGCTTGATAGGGGTCTCAATTGCTCTAGGTATAAGCACTGACACTATAAGTACATATATATGATCCTTAGCATATCTTAGAAACTTTGTGATCGTTAATACAATCGCTATTTTTCGAAGTTGACTTGTGCAATAAAACTCCAGAAAAACCCAGAACATTTTTTTTTTAACTTGAACTGATATGAAAGAAAGTTTCACTGCTTTTCTAAGACTCAGTTGGTGTTATTAACTTTGTGTTAGTCCTGTACATTCTTTAATACTAGACACAAGTGACATAATTTGGAAGGGGTACTTCACAAAAGAAGAACTCCTTCAAATTAAAAATCACGAAATACAACAGTTTCCAAATATACCGGTTTCATTACAATCGTATATGCATTCACTCAAGGAATCTGATAACGATGTCTCATTAAAGAATATGTTGGGCGAAAAACAAGACGTCCTGTATGTAAGTGGGTAAGAGACACTCTTCAAGAAAACAATACTTTAAGTATAAAATCCACTAATTTTGAGCTATAGTGACCTACGAATACTAACCACCAAACCTACAGGAAGGGTATTTAAAAGGCGCATTTGTAAATTTTGAGTTTTTCCTTGAGGTGTAGATACCCTTTGTGTTTTTGGTCTTTTGAGAAAAATCTCAAGATCAAAATCTAATGATTCAATATATTATATTCGCGCTATTCCGGTGCGGAACTACTTGCCTCTAACGGACAAGTTAGTAGGGTATATGTTGCGACAAATCTGGGAGTTCATTGGCACTGTTTTTGATGATTCGAAGATCACTTGTCGATGGTAGGTACAAGCTGTGCATCTGGCCTAAAACTATTTATGAATATATTCTCATTTTTCTTCTCTTGCATGATTAAGAACCGAAAAAGCAAGTCGCTCATCAACAGATCAAAAAAGTGAAAAAAAACAAGTAGGGTTTTTACCGTTCGATGTAAGGGTACTGGAGTTTGGAATCCCAGACACTTATATGGAATAGTGGTTTAGTGGCGTTGATGCGGGAACCGAAGACGTTTTCCAAAAATTTACCCTTAAATCGATTGTTTTTTATATCGAATCACTGTGAATACAAAGTTTACAGTCGTATTTTATGATTCGCCTGCTGATTGCGTCTCTCGTATTAATCGCAAAGAGCCATTAAACTTACCAGAAGATCCTGATGATATTAGTAACTTGCTTTTACCAATATAAATAGCTATTTACCAGTGCAGATTGATGATGGAGCACATCAATAAGCTCGTAAAAAAAAGCCCCTTGATATCAACGTTGATCTGGATCAGTGCAAGGCAATCGTTCCTAGCTTGTTACTAGTGAAGTGATCAATAGAAAAAAAAAGAGAAAAGTTGACGATGATGTCGAAAATTAATAAAATTACCCAATCATCACTATCCAAATAATAATCTCATTTATTACCCTCACATTTGTTAGATATGTTTTTTATTATGTATAAATAGTTAGTTCCATTCACATACACGTATTAGACCAGAAAATTGTGCCATCAGTGAAGTAAATTAGTGCGCACTATTGAATTTTATTGGTGTGTTAGATGGAAGACGTGTAATACGTAGTGTAAAAGTCTAAGAAATTGAAGCCACCATCATACCGATCAGGCCAAGTCTACTGTATCCTCTTCGGAAAATATGTTGAACAAAAGACAAAATCGTAGACATACGAGTGCTTGCAGACCAAAGAGAGGAGGGTATAAAATTGTATGTTCTTTTGATGTACAGCCTATGTTAAAAATATTTACCAAAATTTATGGTGCCTTAGATACTTCAGATTATAGTTACATCCGGAAAATGGTATAATAATTCTGCCATGCTGTCAAATTCACTTTAGCTCAGTTTGATTCTTACTACAAGGTAGTACAAAACTAAACAGGATAATGATGAACAAAATGAGGTTGAAGATAAAGAAACAGCTTAAACATGTATATTGATAATATTTGTTTAATATAATATGGGTTTTAAACAAAACAACTTTTCTGGATATACTTCGTGCTGAGCTTATTTTAACTTTTTCCCTATTTTCTTATTTTTTAAAAAAACTACATGTTCATTCAAGATCTGCCGATCGAGATCTTGCAACTGATTATTCGAGATTTACCAAAATATGCCGCGTTAAACTGCATGAGGGTCTGTAAAGCCTGGCATGAGCCTGCTACGATGGCGTTTTACAAGGAAATGGTTGTGAATCTCGGCAACATACCGAAGTTGTCAATAGTCTTGAACCAACGCGATCAGTTTTCTAAACTTGAGAAGTGGACCAAAGAGCTTAGAATTCAGAATGATGGTGACTATGGTACGGACTCAGACTATGATTCCGATGCCGAAGCAGTACAATACACTCTGGACAGTAAAACATTCTTTAAGTTGTTATCAAAATTACCCCAGTTGAAGACACTTAATCTTGTAAATTCTGCTCAAACTGAGCATTATATGGAGCTTATTGACGACGCGGATATAGAAGGGTTACCTCAACTTGAGGCCATTTTACCCGGGCATTTACCAGACAATGAAAATTATTTTTTTTCGGAAAAGAATATGTTCAGATTTTACTATAAATTCCGGAAATCATTAAAAATTATGGAGATAAAGTACAGGCACATTGTCAATGAAGAAAAGACTATGCGAGGTGCGTATTTGTTGTCAAAATTTAGCTGCTTAACTGTATTAAATATAGAAGACACTTCACTTGACAGCAATTTATCTTGTGTAAACATCTTAAATGCATGCCCCACTCTCGAAATACTTTTTTTGAAACGCCAATGTCAAGTGCCTGATTCGGTCTTCTTCCAGAGCTTCAACCGCAAGCTCACAAAATTGAAAAGCTTGAACTTGGAAATCCCGCAACTCTCTAGCGCATGCGTCAAATATTTAACCCACTGCGCTATATCTGACAATCTGGAAAAGCTTAATATTACTTTATCATCAGATGACATCGTATCATGGATAAACAGAGAAGATGAAGATGTTTTGTTGGACTTTGCTAGAAAGTTAAGCTTTGTAGAAGTTGTTTGGTTTGATTCTTTCAAAGGTAACAGTGGGGTTACTACATTGCTTCCAATCCCGACAGTTAATATGACCAAGCTTTACTCGGTAATGAACGCAATCAATGGAAAACGTAGGGTTGAATACCATGGATCTTTTAGCGATAGTTTATATGGAGAAACTATGATCACAATGATGGACAATAAGAATATGTCAAGTTTTGATATTATTAATGGCTGTTTGGAGGAGAATAAACTCGGTTGGCTAGTCCCTGATACTAGCATTTCTGTGATCGGGCCAGAGAAATTAAATCATATCATTTTTAAGGTGAAGCAAAGCAAGGAACCGTTTAGTCTTCACCTGTTAAAATTCATGATGGTCAACTGCCCGAATATCAAGACGGGGAATATCGAAACTGAAACACCAAAGACCAGGTTAAAGTTGGAAGTAAAAGGTGCTACTTTTGACATGCATTTGACTGGACCTTTCCCTAAGTTTAAAATATTTGATATGATTTCAACATATGTCCCTCGAATGGGAAATCTGGAAATTGAAAGACCATTTGAAAATCTAAACGACGATGATGATCATAAATTCTGTTTGGACTTGGCTGGATTAAATGATTTGAAAGAAGTATCTATCACTATTGACTTCAAAGGTCGGGATGTAAAAGGTATGTTCTGTGCCGTATTTAAGTTCCCAGGCAATGATACAGTTCATTGCTATTCCGTATCCTATAATCCTGGGGAAGCATACGTCCAAAAATTTGATACATTACCTGAGGCTGGTTGTGATGAACACTTCGGTGCATTTGCGCGCAAGGTATTGATTCAATGTAATTGGATAAAACAGGTAAAGGTATGTGTAACACCTCAGCAAGTTTATTCTGGTAAATATAGGTGGGTCACCCGCTTACAACTATCATTCATTATTTTAAAATAAATTTTTCTATCCTTGTCTTTAAAATTGTTCCCATTTTACACAGATACACTTTTTGAAAATGAGAATTACGTTCTGAGCAATAGTTTGTTTCCACCTGTTGATAAAAAAAAAATGCAACATATCTTCTCACTTGGGCTTTAATAAAGTCGACCTTTTTTTTTTCAATAAGCATATTCTCTTTCCCTTAAAAAATCAAACTGTTTCTGTCTGAACAGAGATAATTCCCATTAGCCCAAACGTGGTATTCTTGACGCTGTTTGTTAGAAAAATTAAAATCAAAAGCTACTTTTTAGTCGAATGAATTCTTTGTATAATTGGATAAAACAGCAGTAAAGATTGTTAAGATGATCTGTATGCAAGTAGTTTAAAAATTCTTGTTTTATTTACTATCGACAGGTCTATAATTATTTCTGATTCTGTAGGTAATCGTCACACTTTTCCAAGTGAGCAAGTCCTGTTCGGGAACCCAGCAAAATAGGATGATTTGACAGGAATAAATTTAGCCCTTTTCCCCTGTATTCTAACTTTTTTTTTAACAAAAAAGAAAAAACTAAATGTCCATTCAAGATCTGCCAATCGAGGTCATGCGTATGATCTTCCTGGAATTACCGAGAAATTCTGCTTCTATTTGCAGTTATGTCTGTAAATCATGGCATGTCCCTGCTACTGACACATTCTACAACGAATTGGTCTTAACACCCAGAAACATGTGCTATATTCCAGAGATCTTAAGAGATCGTAAACACTTAGCTAAACTTTCAAGAGCGACCAAGACACTTTTAATCGAAAACGATGAAGAGTGTGATGATGACGAGTGTGATGATGACGATTTTGATGATGACGATTTTTATGACGATTTTAATGTTCAAGAAAAAGTCCAAAACATCCTTCACCACGATACTTTTTTGGGGCTGTTGTCAAAATTAACTAACCTTAAAAAGCTTGATCTTAGTGGGTCTTCCCAGACTTGGCATTACTCAGATTTGCTTTTCGCAGTTAATGCAAAGCGCATGCCTTCACTTGAAGTTTTTTTACCTGGAGAATTCTCGCCCTTTGAAGAAAGTATTTTGAAAAGCCGTATACTCCAAGTCTACGACAAATTCTACAAATCTATGAAATATATAATCATAGGCTACAAGAACCTTGTGAATACAGAAAGAACTATCAGCGGCGCTTCTTTATTGTCGAAATATAAATGCTTGACCGAGTTAGTGGTCGAAGATGATTCCATCGATAGTAATTCATCTTGTGTAGACCTATTGAATGCCTGTCCTAATCTTGTCAAGCTCACCTTTACCAGGAAATGCCAAGTACCTGATTCTGTTTTTAATCGGGATAACAACTGTAAGCCAACGAGATTAAAAAGCCTGAAATTGGAAATCCCAACGTTGACCAATGCATGCGTCAAATATTTACTTCGTTGTGTTGTATCCGATCATTTGGAGAACTTTGACATCACCCTGACGTCCGAAAACTATATTTCGTGGGTAAACAGAGAAAATGAAGACCTTTTGTTGAAATTTGCAGCAAAATTGAGTACTGTCAAGATTGTCCGTTTCAATTTCCGTTATCCTCCCCACGATGTTAACATTTCACCACCTTTTCCAACAGCTAATTCAACCAAGATTTACTCAGTGATGAATGCACTCAATAGAAACCGTCAAGTAGAGTATTGTGCATTATTTACTGACAATGACAACCGTCGCTTGGATCCGGTTATGATAATGGTTGATAAGCACACATCTACTTTTAATGAAATCAAGGGTTGTTTAGAGGATGGTAAACTGGATTGGTTGATGCCTAATACCAGTATTTCCATGATCGGGCCCGAGATATTAAACAATGTCAGTTTCAATGCGAAGCACAACGTGGGAGCCTTTGCTCCTCATCTATTAAGATATATGATAGCCAACTGTCCGAATATCAAAACTGGAAATATCACGACTGAAAATCCATACAGCCGTCTGAATTTGATAGCAAAAGAGACCGCCTTTGATTTAGCATTGCACGGACCTTTTCCAAGTCAAGAATTTATCCGTTTGCTTTCGACATATGTCCCTCAGACTAAATCTTTGAAAATCCTAAGAGGAGGTCATTCTGAAGATAAAGATGATCTTAAGTTTAGCTTAGACTTGACGTGTTTAAAGGGTTTAAAAAGTGTGTCGATTGGTATTAACTACGCCGGGCGACTGATAAAAGATAATTTCTGTGCTCAATTCAAATTTCCAGATAGTGATGTTATTCATTCCTATGTCTTTTCCAACTATCCTAAAGCACCGGTACACAGATTAGAAAAGATAGCAAAAGCTGACTATGATTCACAACCTTGTCTCTCTTCTCACAAAGTTTTCATTGTATGTCCTAGAGTCGAAAAGCTGGATATCCGTGTAACGCCTCAAAAGGTTTTTGTCAGCCAATACCGAATGGAGCAAATTGCCCACTTTCAAATTTCATTTGATATTTCAAAATAAATTCTTTATATCTAAGTACCTTCTTTTCAACAACATGTCTACTGTTGTTTCTCATAAAGCTATGAACTAACACTTTTTGGGAAATAGTTTACAAATGTTCGAATATGTTCCGAAGGAACATTGTTGCAAGTCTCAATTATACCTGTAGGAAAATCCTTTTTGTTACAAAATTAACTACGTTTGACCTTATTTTTAACTATTGACCAAAAATGCTCAATCGGATGAAGTTTAAGCGAACAAGAAGAGATACAAATGCACCTACATCATATCATTTAGTCATCCTAATATCAATTTCATTGGATGTATAGATTGGTGATTTATTTATCATAACCAAATAATATTCTTTCATTTTTAAAATGCAATCCATTGATTTAAAATAAAATTTACATAGTGGGCCAGTGACAGTTTATTCATAAAGTTTAATGGTGCTTTTCTTTTGTAATTACCAAAATAGACTTATAGTCTTTTAAATATGTGATCGCGAGGATCCCGCACCATTGACAGGACACACATGGCGTAGATGGCCCCCAAATCTGTGTGTGATACTGCTTTGGTGGTAGGAGTGAATGCAGTAACTGGTGTGCCCATATTAGACCATCCTTGGAGGTCTCATATCTGTATGGAAGGCTAAACTATTATAAAATATACAGTTATTTCTGATATCCAAGGTAGCATTTGGCCATGTAATCGCCAATAATTCATTTATCTCTCTTGAACTTTTTCTTTTGTGGAATATAAATAAATCATTTTGAAAAATAAAA